GATGCTTGGATTCTGAACGAAGTAACCGAATCATTGTCCAAATTGAGTGTTACACGCAGCACTGTACGAGTGCCAGCTATTCAAAAAGTAATAAATAGAGAACACCGCAACGCGACGAGAATAAAAAACAACAAACACAAAAATCAGTTAATTTTTCGTCCCGGCATACGGTCCTCCAGAGTCCGTTGAGCAGCCTGCTATTGTGGTCTCTCCTTTATTCGCATATTCAAAAAGTGATCGCCAACTATTAACCAACTTACTACCTTTAAAATGCGTGCTTAGGTAAGAAAATGGATGGAGAAATCTGTTTCCAGATTAACTTAGTGTCAAATGACGAAGTTCTTGTTTTTTCAAAGGCCTAAACCTGCGTTGCAAAGGACAATGGCTACTGAAGATAACGTTGACACTAAGATTGAAAGACTGTTTATCAGGTGTTAAAGAAATGGAAACTGATAGAAAGAAAAGAATTCAAGAAACGAAGATCAGCAAAGTTTGTTTTGAAAGTAAAGAAAATTTCTTCTTGCCCCATCTAGCCCCCTTGACAAACATTTTGATGGCGCTGTTTTTTATGTACTTTGTTAAAGCTGTTTTTATTCTTTTATTTAGCCAAAAAGTGGGGAGGCTATGGCTCCCTTCCCTGCTCCCACCTTTGGCGTGGACCCTGTATATTCTCAAAAAAGCTCTAAAGTTTGATTTTGTCGATGATCTTCGACTACCAGAAAGAGGCTTATTTAAAAGAGACTAATAAATGACTTATTACAAAACTGCAAACGAATATTTCATGGTAGAAGGAAATTTAGATAAGGGCTAACCATACTATCCTGCCCCTCCAAAAAATGCTGTCGAAGTCTTTACTTTAAAATTATAAACGTCATGATAAAATTCTATTAAAAATGACTTCGACCTGCCAAGTTTGAAAGACTTTATAAAGTCGACTTTAAAAAGTCATGTTTAGAGTCGTCTATATTAAAAGCACTTTATTCCCGAAAATTTTTACAATCAGATTTTACAAAATGATTCATTCGTTTATATTCTTATGTTCATGTTTTATTGTTAAATTCTTGCCATCTATTGCCTTCACTGTCTTTTTAGGGTTTCTTTTGTGATGCAGACACATTTTGAATAAAAACGCTGCGCTTAAAATGGTTGTTCTTAAACTTTGAAAAGACCTTTTCTATTTCATGACAACATAGAAATAGCCATAGTGTTGTAGGAAAGCTTGAAAAATATTTTCTTCGATTTTCTTTCGGTCTTGTACCCGCTTTTGGTGTTGCCTGATGACCACATTAAGGAATGAATCTCGGAGTAGGAACTTATACCGTTTTGTACTATACAACATTAACGAGTAGTTTTAAACCTTTGATATTTCTATAAGTAAGGCCTACTCAAAATTAGACTTGTATTATTTTACTTGAGGTATACAAACGAACATATTTCTATACAGAGCAAATTTTATGTTGCTTAGGCCTTACAGACATATACACCAAGGCCTAGATATTAACCAAGAAGTAGTGAGTAAGTAGAGAGCTACCAAACCAAAGAATATCAAACACTATGTTAAAGAAATAAATGGAAAAATTGGCAAATATCCTATAAGGTCTAAGATTGGAGAAAACTTACCAAATACAAGCCATTACTGAACTGGACGAACAGGACTTTCTGCGGCCATAATTTTGACTCTTTCTCCAGCAAACAGTCCTGTGAACAAGCTCGAAACTATTATATAGAAATCAACTTCAGTTCTAGGCCTTCTGCATCAATGGCAAACTAAAATTTCTTGAATCAAACCTGATTTAAATTGTCTAGCACTTTTACACTTTACCGTTATAGCTTTCCAAACACCATTTTGCTTGCCTGAACCCGAGTCCAATGCATGACTGCCTCCGTTTATTTCCCCAGGGATAAGGGCATGTCGAGAAGACATTCAAATTTTGTTGTGGAATATTCAAAGAAATGCTTGCGAAAACCATTGTTCTCCAAAGAAAATATATTTTGGGGCATTTAAAGGGGTGCTTGGGGGGTTTCTCGTAGGGTAAGCTGATAAGCCCCTGTAAAATGAACTGCTTCAAAAAGGGTGGAAATGGGTCCTTCGTCAAACGCATTCTACTGAAATTCAATGTTCTTGGTTATTTCCTTTATGATAAATAGTAAAATTGTAAGTAAAAATTAAAGCGAAGAAAATAACTTTAATAATCATTGAATTTGACAATGAAAAATAATTTCGAGAGGGAAGTGACCAACTGAGAATTCATATTTATAGAATGAGATGGGGCCTAAAGATGAAATGTTGTTTCCAATTCTGACAATATTTTCTGCCAAAATAGCGGAATTTTCCAATTAATCCGGTGCTTTGTAAAGGCTTAGGGTGCCCAGTCACTATTCCCCCCAGGAAGCCGTAACAACAACATTTTGTGACTGCAATGACTGAAAAGAGCATCGATTTATTGAGTACAAACGAAGTTAGTATCCCATATAAATACTATTAAAAGCATAAATGGATAAATGAAAAAAGAGAATAAAAGTAAACACTGTGGCCTTTTCAAATAAGAAAAAATTGTCGATAGTTGTGCAGGGGCGTAATGGCGAACTTTTAAGAGAAATTTTCTTTGATTTGTTTTAATCAAATAGAAGTCTTTCGTGTAATTTAAGGGGGGGGGGGAAGTGGGGCAGAAAAACTCATAACTTTTGCTTTAGTTGAAAAGATACTTAAAATGCATTTTTTATCTCTTGTCTCTGCTTCCTCATACTTACAGTGAACGTCAGTGATATCCGTAGATTAGGACAAGGATAGAATGAAGTTACTACCTGAGGCGGCACCATTGTTGCCGCGGAAGGGGAAAACTTTTTTGCAATCTAATGCTTCAAATTCGACGGAAAATGCATATTTTGAAGCAAATTTTTATAAAAAAAATCTTATTCTAAGATCCACTGAGGAAAGCGATGGTTTTAATAGACTTCTTTCTTGTTTTACCTTACGCAACATAACTGCATAAATTTTCAAATCTGGACAAAATTTTCAAAAATCTGGTGATAGGCACAAAATTGGTACTGTCCCGGTCTTCAATATGAAACAAAGATTTAATCTATATTAATTTTGACCAATTTCCATAACAAAATTTGGCCCTTGAAGATTCGGATTTTAACTGAAGAAATCCGAGCAGCAAATTACTCTATGGTATGAATCGGTAAATCCTTAGAAATCATTTTGAATTGTGGAAATCTAGTTCTTTCTTTACAATAGTGAATTGCCTCTCGAATTTACGGTAGGTACTAAGTAATTTATGTTGCTAAGAGTTTGAAAATTATCTACAGCTTAAGTTTGAGAATTTTCTGACAAAACATTGAATTTTCCGAAAATCAGTCAAATTTTGAAGGCAGAGGGGGGCATGGCAGCGGGGGCCAAATCGGGAGCAATGCACACAAGGCTTAATCTAGGATGGTATCTGTAGCTCTCTGAGTTGAAAAACGTTTGTTCGAATCATCGAAAGTTTACATTACACAGACAGTAGGTCTAACATAGGATGATTATGAAGGGGAATTTCGAATGCTTCATTCGGGTTCAGAAAATCCTGTTCTACGTCACTAGAATCTAGTGTCCGCTCCAGACTCCAGGCTTGACGTTATTTTATATCTAGGGGACTTCCAGGTTGGGGTTTGGAGCACAGGCTACTCAATTCAAGTTTGATACCCCCAGCAAAACAGCACAACGTAAGGAATAGCAGTCAGCCTTCATTTCAAATTCTATTAGCAGTTTCATGTAAAGGTAATTATCAGGGGGTTTTACTTAAAATCAACAAAACATTGAGGTTGGCAGATAAACTTTGCAGCGTGAAGGGAGGGCTTCAGGAGTGGGGTAATAGCCCCACACTTTTACCAAAATTTACCAAATCTTTTCAATATTTACAGAGGGAAAACAGCACTCCTAGCCCTAGAATAATGCAACACTCTTTTAAGCAGTTGAACTTTAACCCAAAAACTTCTGATTCAGCGAAAGCTTAAATCTAGAAATTTTAGGCTAGCTATTTAAATTATAATTATGACAACTGAATGTATTTTACCCTGTTGAAATTAACCAATCAAATAAAAATTTAATAACTTTGTTTTGTCTTTTAAGGGTTATAGATTTAGGGTCACGGCACCAGTCAAGATAGGATCATTTGACAAAAACATCCGCCCACCCTGTAAATAATTTAAATGGCCTCTCCAGCCAAATTTTGCACTTGCATTTTATTGGCTAATCCAAGGGAGTTGAACCTGCTGATCATGAATTCGTTATTTGTTTTTCGATATTTTTTACAGTTTGTGAGATATAAGTTCTTGCATTTCGATAATTGAATTAAATTAACCGACAAAAATTTTTCGGTTTGGTGACACTGTGACGCAATTTTGACGTCACTCTGCATTTCGTTAGTCTCGCCTCAAACCGAATCGAACGACGGCGATTCGAAAATTCAGCACAGCAAGTGATGGTACTCTCAGTTCTGTTCCACCAGCTTTTAGTTTGAGCATTCCAGACACCAATTCTGAAGCCTTTAGCTGTTCATCGTTTCTGGAGAACAACTGAAGTGTCAATTACGATTAATTATACGCGAGGGAAGAGCTGGAACAGGAAGCCATAGCTTTGTGGGCCTACACAGGTGAACAGAACAAAGTCGTGACATAGCATGGACACATTCCGACCCGCAGACTTAGAATGATTGTAAACATTTAATATTTTTCTATCCTAAAAAGCTCCTGCTGTAGATTTAGATGCAGTTATCAACGCATGACCATGACTCCTTTTACACTTCGGTGGAAGATATACTAAAATCATGGCGAACGAGAGCCGCACATTGTGACGTCAGAATGTCACCAAACTGATTGGGTATTTGTCGTTTTTTCTCGGAAAGGTTCAACTTTAAAGCCTTATAACTTCTAAACTAATTGGAATTTTGCAAAAACGACAACTTTGCCATAATAAACGCACCAGATGCTAACTTTTTAGTCAATAAAAAATTGTTTTCAAAACGTTTCAGTACATACAGCCCCATAAGCAACAGATACATATGAAAGGGTTTCTTTCAAAATGTACCCATCAGCCCAAGACAACCCACAAATCGATTATATTACAAAAAGTTTTTATCTTAAATATATAATAATCAATAATAAAATACAGTTAACATCTTAATAGAAACATTAGATCGCAAACATTCGAAATTTTTTCATTCAGAAACTTTATTTTCGTGACAATATTTTCGTGGGGGAAAAATGTAAAAGTTTTCTTAAGGGATGACCAAATGTTTTAAGGATATGGCATAAACAACTTCAGGGATAAAACTAGCCTTTTCAGTCTTGGGTTTCAAATAATTGCCAATAAAAAGGGGCACGTGTTAGATGTTTCTTATGCAAGGAAAACTGTGCGTTGCAATACATTACGCGGGCTTTTCATATAAAAATAGTATTTAATCAACATAAAGTACAAACAAAGAAATTAATCATTTCGTGAGCGCATCCAGGGCTAAGTAATAAAAAGCAATTTGCTCTTGTGTCGTTAACTATCCATAAATACTGCAAAGATATTTTGTTTGGTCTTTGAAAATCAATGTAATTTGTCGTTCGGGTAATATTCTACTTCCTGCAAAGAATCAATACTCGCAAATACGATCAGAATTTATACACGGGGTTCTATTAATGGGGCGAGGATTAATTTTACATTGAAATTGATAAATGTTTTTATTGATATTAACTGACCTTTCAAAAGCAGTCAAATAAACAAAATAATAAAACTACAAATAAAGCTGGTTTTTATACAAATAATGATGCCAAGTATAGATGCTTCAGTTACGAAAAGCAAATAATACTAATATAAAATTTCCGACTATGGGTTTTCTGGGAAAGTGCCAAATACATATGCTATGACTGAAGATAAAATCAGTGATTTTCAACGACTATGCCACATCACACTAGTGTACCGTGAGAAACTGTGAGGTGTACCGTGGAAAATTATCTAATTTAACTTAAATGGCCTAAAAATCCTATTCGAGGAATCGAAATTCTTTATTATCTGCAAATTAGCTGCCATCATCGATTGTCTGTACTGTAATAGTGACTATATTGTAAACAGCGAGTGAGCATAAATAATTTGAAATATCGTTTTGTCATCTTTAGGTTCCAAAGTGTAGTTTTTCTAGCATTTTTAGTTGGTGGCGTGTCGTGAGATTTTTCAATATAAAAATGTAATGCGACAGAAAAAGGTTGAAAACACTGGATTACATATAGGTGAATGTGTGCATTGGTCCTTTAATAAGCGTTGATTAGGGTACGATATAAGGCTAAATATATCAGTGACGTCATACATGCGTATAGAGTGTTGTTCCTTATCAAACCTGATATAAATGTTACCCATGGAAACAAGAAATATTTTACTTGACAAACTAGTAAAATCTCTGCAAATTTGTTTAAGTATATCAGCAGAGAGATCCATTTGTAAAAACATATTTGGTATCCAGAAAAGGCAAGAGCTAGTAAAAATAAACATGCTAGGTTGGGGGTCATTTACAAGCAATGGTGCAGTCTTCATTGCGCACCCTCGTCTCTTCTTTCGAATTTCAGCATTACAAAATCACGCGCCAATTCATCGTTCGTCCGTTGCGAAAGGATCTGAAGGATTGCCCATCCAGTGTCGTCCATACTAACAGCTGCCTCAAGTGGAACCCACGAGGCAGATGACTTTAGGTTGACGATATCTTTCAATTGAATAACAGTAGTGCCTATCATTTGGTTCCGCCGAATCAACGATGCATCTTTAACACTAAGCTGCAGCTCGTAGCAGGAGAGGTCTTCTTCGTTGCCAAGATTACTGCAAAGAAGAACAAAAAGTGTTCTCCAAACTGGTTCTATTTGACAAAAAAATCAGGGAATTCTAAGACCATAGGTTACATTGATCTGATGATTTGCCATGGAATGACCCACAGGCAATCAAGGTCGAGTACCATAGTGTTGTACCTATGTCTCTAACTTAAAGCTGCATCCGATCAACGAAGAAAAACGTGACCCTTTGACTGCATTGTCTTTCACACAATGAAGAAATAATCACCTAAAATTGTAGGAATCTTAACGTGTTTACGACTGGTAATACACCGAGAATCTATCACAGAGAAAACACAGATTTTTCAATCGGGTATCACATCTCGGCTAAGGTTAGAGCCAGAACTGGCATTTACAGTCTGCTTTCAATAGCTCATCAACCTCCTGAAAAAAGTTAACCGCAGAACAGTGGCATGTTTAAAAGAAAATATTGCAGGGGTCTTAAGAGATCTTACCCCAAGAGATCTTACGCCAAGAGATCTTACGCCAAGAGATCTTACCCCAAGAGATCTTACCCCAAAAGATCTTACCCCAAGAGATCTTACCCCAAGAGATCTTACGTCAAGAGATCTTACCCCAAGAGATCTTACCCCAAGAGATCTTACCCCAAGAGATCTTACGCCAAGAGATCTTACCCCAAGAGATCTTACCCCAAAAGATCTTACCCCAAAAGATCTTACCCCAAGAGATCTTACCCCAAAAGATCTTACCCCAAGAGATCTTACCCCAAAAGATCTTACCCCAAGAGATCTTACCCCAAAAGATCTTACCCCAAGAGATCTTACCCCAAAAGATCTTACCCCAAGAGATCTTAACAGACCCTATGGGACATTCAAATTCTATCAGCTGATTTAGAATATGAGATGATTCTTACGCACATGGAAAATTTTGTTAGTTTTTCCAATAGCAGAGCTTGACGTTCGTTCACAGTCTAAAAAGCTCATCGTAGAAAATATTATCAAATATCAAACAAGAAAAATGACTTACAAAGATATCGTTTCGTTGAACTTCGGCGAGTAATTGTTGTGTTTTCGACTTGTGGTAAAGCGTCGCTTCTTGTCACTCAAATGTGGTCCAGTAATGTTTACTTCAACAAAAGGCCTGAACATGGCTATCAAATAAAAAGACAGATCTGTTTAGGCCCCTGGCTTCGCGCATCTCTGGACCACTCAACTACTAGTTACTGTGGTATAACAGATCATTCTATAAATTTGCCAGTCTTAAAAAAAATTGTACCAGATAGTGCATGCCTCTTAAATATAACGTAAGGATTTCATAAACCAAACAGCGAGAAAAGATTTCATAAATTTATCCGAGAAAAAATCGTTTTGGATTTGATAATTCGGCAGCTCCTTCCACCCTCACAGCAAGCAGTAAAAATTATGATAATGTGCAAATCTTGCACATTGTAATAACGTGATAACAATGAAAATAGATAAAAAATTTTTACCAGCTCTCATAACACTAAAAAAATCAGTCCAATTCAATGGCTTTGGAAAAATTTTTACCCTAAAGCAAATTTCTCTAAGCACCACGAGCAAACACGATAAGTGAAACGTTTTCTATAAAATTCGAAAGGTTTTATGCTAAAATATATTTCTATTCAAAACCAAAGGCAAATGCAATTGGGGAAGCGTTACAAAACAAAAAGCACTCTTAAGTAGAAAAAATTCTACAAAACGTACTTGATGCAATCCAATTGAGTTCTTTAGCTTCGACAACTAAAAAAACAATCGATTTGAAGCATAAAAACACATGCAATGACTTAAATAAATGTCACATCAAAAAGTGATCTATTAGTTAGATCATTCGAAGTACCTATTTGTTATTTCCTGCTTCAGTTTTTAACATACATGTCGAGATTATAAAAGCGGGCTGTTTTTAAACATAAAACTGATACAGAAGATAAATCAAGGAATTGAGAATAGCATAGCTGGAGAGAGCATGTCCAACATGGATGTAAAAGAAGATATAATTGGCTATCGAAGAAGAATATAAAGAGCACTGATGGAGATTAAAATTCATTAACAGAAGAACAACACAACTGTATGACAGCTACAGCATATGAAAAGTAATTCTCTTTACAAAATATTATCTGTAGATTTCTGATAAGCAACCACGTCATAATAATACGCATGGAGCCGTACATTTTTCTCAGTGATGCTTGAATGATTGAAAAACTAAGAGCCCTTGATCTTTGTAAAGTATTGAAATTATATCTATGAACACAAACAATGGTTGCATCTTACTTTTGACTGTGACTTTGTGCTCTCCATTTGCCGGGTAGGTGAACAAATCAATTTGAACAGAAACCTCTCCAAAAGACTCGTTTGAATTATCGCCTGGAAGAGAGGCCAAATTACAATGGAGGCGGTGGTAAAACAATATTTGTAACAAAAGTGACAGATAACATACCCTTTATCCTTAATTTTTAACATTGTTTTTAAAATATACTACATTGGAAGGCATCTGCTGCAGTAACAGAAGTTGAATCCATAAGTACGAAAGTAGTACGAAAGGCTTTTCCGATAGTAAAGTTTGTGAGCTCCAACAAGATTCTGTGTTCGGCCCTTTGCTCAAATAGCCTCGGCAACATCTGATCATCCTCCAAATTGAAGGACAAAGGAAAAGAAAAGAACTTACTTTGTTGAGCTTGTGTTTGGATAAATGTTTTGATGAGGACATCGGTTGTCTGCGAGCATAACGACAAGGCGTTTCTTATCGAGATGAGCTCTTGGGTCTTCACCAAGTAGGTTTTGCGAAGACCATCACCATTCTGACAAAAGTAGTTCTGCAGAGAAGATTAATAACAAACCTAGTTGCTTTAAAGTGAACGCAAATAAGTGAAAAATAAAAGAGAGGGACATTGATATCTATAGACTTTCAATGCAAATGAGCAAAGTACTTCGATTTAAATTTCACCCGTGGGCAGTAATGCAACGAAAAACACAGGAGTAGAAGCTGCGATGAAAACTGTTAGACTTGGGTAGCTCGAAGAAATACCCTAGTAAAGTAGGGCCAGGGGTAGGGGTAGGGCCGGGGGTAGGGCTACGGCCAGGGGTAGGGCTACGGCCAGGGGTAGGGCCAGGGGTAGGGGTAGGGCCAGGGGTAGGGGTAGGGCCAGGGGTAGAGGTAGGGCCAGGGCTATTCGTTAATTCAAATTACAAAGTACGTTTGTAAGTTGTGATAGTCCCAAAAATTAGAAAATCGTCAATCCAATTTTTAATAAACACTTTTAGAAGTTTAAAACGCTGATTATTAATCTGAAGTTTGTTACGCTTTATACGCCAATATCGATCAGAAAAATATAAGAATCGATGGAAGAAAAAGCATGCGTTCGTTTAGAGAAGAGACCATGCTGGAGAAGAGACCATACTGAATGGGGTGTTCTGTACGTGGTAATACAGGGAAATACATTGTTACAATTGACCTTCAAACAGTTTTGAATGGAATCATATAGGGCTTGTTTAATTAAGATAGCTAGGCTTTTTTTGCCAATTGCACTCTTAAAGAATGTTGATGTAAGGCCGGTTAAAACAAAGAGGGCTTCTTTCGATTGGCTGATTTTGATCAAGGGGATACAAAGGAGTACCAAGTATCTTTGCTGAATTACGTAATCACGCTTAAAATAATTGCAAATCACGCTTTCACGGTACTGGAAATTTAATCTCACGATCACGCCCCCTAGATGTTCCCTGATTTTTTTAGTAACTATCTAATAGTAGTTATTTCCTGTTGGCAGAGCCATCGGCATTGAAATATCTGAATTAATTGAGACAATTACCTGCTCTGGTACCGGAAACCAAGGCTTTCTATTTGTAAAAATGAAAGCACTCCATTTGGAAATTCGCTTGCAGAACTCATTTACACGCAATCACGCATGTGTGATGCAAATTCACTGGTCACGCGCCAATGTCTATTCACGCATTCACGCATAATAAGGATTTGTTTCACGAATTCACGCATCGAAAATACGCCGATCACACGATCACGCCAAAATACCTGGTACCCCCATACAATAATAATGCTTCTCACCTTGAGAACCTCAAGCGCCCGTTCCATAATGAAACATTGTCGCTGACTCAAATTGTTTGGCTGCTCGCGGGTGAGCTGAATAAAAAAGAAAAATAAAATGTCAATAAGTATTCATGTAAGATGAAAGTACAGTAAGAATAAATCTGATGTCAGTTGAAAACGGTTACTGATATGAAAAAGTGTTCGTAAACTCACATTCCCACAAAAAACTGCCTGCTAAAGAGGAAAAAAAACCAACTTGAGGACAAGCTGATGAGCTAGCACGAAGCCGAACTTTAAAATACACAAACGTGTAGCTGATTTGTACAGTTCATAACAATAGCCAACCAAAATTACTTGAATTAAATTAAACCATGATTAAACCAACATATAATTGTATATTCTTATCAGTTTTGAAAAGCTGTGCTACGGGGTGGGGGTATCAGTCACAAGGCAATGGGGGCAAAAAAAATGGGCCACACCCTTTTTACTGTCAGGCAGCACCCCTTTACCAGCAGGAACGCCAACATTACAAAAAGGGAACGACCATGCCTGACTTTAGGTTACGTAAAGTCGGTTTCAAAATCATGGAATCGCATCATAAAGAATATCTTGCCAAAATATTACCCCTACCCAACATTTTCTCATTGAATTAAGACTGCGTGAAAACTCAATCAAAGCGAGAACTATGGGGAAATGGCCCCTAGTAACCCCCTCCCTGTAGCGCTGCCATTTGTGCTACGGTGTGTCGTTTTATACAGACGTATACAGATTGCACAGAGATTTCGAATTCCTGCACATGCCCCGGAGGACTACATTGCTCGCAAGTCATCCCACACTATAAATATCCTCTACAACAAATCACGCTGAAACGCCCAGTCAAACATGAACCTGATACTGATATCATTTCACAACACTATTTTGCGGTACATAAGTAACTGCATCCATTTGCTTCTCAGACGTTTACCACTTCCCTTGTTTCAATGAATACAGATTGAGAAAAGATTTAGAGCACGCAAGCGTTTACGCGGGATTAAGAAGGAAATGTGGTTAACGCACTGGATTTGTGAAAGATCTGGCCTTAATCGGTTTGCGAAGCTGGTCTCATCGATTCACGTGTGGCCTCTTCTTGTAACATAATCATTTGCAATCAATACTGATCCATCTCACATCTTCCAAAATTGACAAACAAATTAAAATGTGGCAAAGATTTGAAATAACATCATTAGCTGCCGCCAGGGCCATAGGTTGAAACAGCGAAGCTAAAAAACCTTATATCCACAATCATCTTTGGCATTTGTACTTCGTTTGCGGAAAATAGTGTTTTCAACATAGTGGCTTTAAGTGGCCAACAGTTATACATAGAGTACCGAAGTGTGACGTCATCAAAAATTTATTTTTAGAATTTCTTGAATTTGGCCACATAATCTGAAAGAACGGCATAAAATACCTCTCAATATGCAAAATTAGCTAGATATGTCCCAAATTGGGCGAGATATGGACAATAGAAGATCTGAAGTTTGCTAACGAATGAACAGAGACCAAAATACAGAGGTTTGATGGGGCAAGAGCCTGTGCTCAAGTGGCCATATCTCAGCCAATTCGTAATACCTATAACTGATTTTGCATATTTAGAGGTATTTCACGATGCTCTTTCAGGTTCTGGGATCAGAATTCAGAAATTTGAAAAATAGACTTTTATGACGTCATCACTTCGGTACTTTATAGACAAAGCTTGTTTTAGATTCACGTTTGCAAATTTGAAATCCAAGAGGAAATGGTTGTGTAAAGTTAAAGATAAAACTAGATTTTGTTAAGTTGTGTGAAGATGTTTACTGCAAATGTTTAATGTTTTTATTTTATAATAAACAATATACGAAGGTTACAGTGGCCTTTAAAAGGTCGTGAATAGTTTCATATAGTTTAAATAATTATTCAATGGCCGTCAAAGGTTTTTGGTGGACGAAAACAGTTGGTGAGAGTTGTTGGTTTTACAGGTTTTACATTGTGGTACATGGTTGTACATGATTCGGCACATTTATCATAGTTTTACACGGTAAAACCACGGTTTCACATTGTTAAGTGTGTAGTTACATGGTTAAACATCACTGTACATGGTATCCCATGCTTTTGCATGGTTAAATATGGTTTTACATGGCAACATGGGTAAACTTAGTTTTACATGGTTAAACATGGTCAAAGGAGGTTTCATATTGTAAAACATGGTTGTACTTGGTTAAATATAGCTTTCCATCGTTTTACATAGTTAAATATTGTTTTACATGGCTACACATGGTTATACATGGTTTAACATAGCAACAGAACGTAGGACCATTGTGAATAGAAGTCTTACAATAACTTGCTGCGGACAATATCCTTGTAACAAATTCTTATCTCATAATTCTGTTATCTTTACAATTTATTTAGCAACTGTTATATTAGACAAGTTAAACTGAACTAACAGTAGTATGAGTTGCTTCAGGTGAAAGCAGAACAGTACCATAAATACAATCCCATTTTATTAGATAAAATAAGTAAAATACAATAAAATTTAATAGCGAAATACTATTTCGAGACTGTTCTAGGAAAAGGCCAAACCCATGCCATTTTCACGCAATTTAAAGCCAAGGACAACATTGCAAATACATAAAAGAAAGTTGCTTTTATGTTTCATGTAAAACTTAGTAATTTCCCTTGAAGTAGAAATTCTGAAAGAATTACCTTGAAGTAGAACAAAAATTACGTTGTTAAGAAACCCCAAAGAAAGTTTCAGGACCCAAAAATCGATATTTGCTAAGGTACCAAGGTTATTGAGCCAGTTTTGAGATGCTTATATAAATAATTTCATGTTTAATATTGAAGAGAGAATTGCTACCTCGGAGCTTGGAAGTATAACGAACTTCTCAATGGTGTCAAGCACGAGCTTCCATAGTTCCTAAAATTTAAGAAAGTGTCAAGCAGTCAGATTACACGGTGATTATCATAAAAGTTGGCGAAAACATTAGAGGGCCGCACGGGATTAAGGGTAAGATAGGGTGACATTAAAACATGATATGATAACCAAACTGGGCTTACGTAGGAGAAAAAATGTCTAGACAGAGCTGAGTGGCGAGAACTCGACATTTTAGGGCAAAGTGCAACAGCTGATACGAACGTTAGAGCAAACGAGACAGTTTTAATTAAATAAGTCAATTTACTTGTGAATGGTTTTCGTGTGAACAAATTTTTTGCAACAGTGAGATTTCGATAAAAACTTTGTTTCAAATTGGTAAAAATTTGAAAACATAAGATGTCGAAGCACTGTTTTGGTTTGGATTATTCAAACATATGGAGGACACGAGCTGATGTTTGAATGCAATATTATAAAATAGGAAACAGAAAATGAATAATTCTTGCTGCCAAATGAAATGTAAAACTCCAAGCTCAGATTAAACCTCTTATTGTAGTAATCTACACTCTGATTTATAACTTGAACAATCATGAAAAACAAAAAAAGACTATTTGGCTCAGCAAAAATTTTAAAGAAACATCCTGCTCAACATAATTACATCTTTATTGTCAGGTATAACTTTAGTTTTAACATATCATGCTGTCTAGACTCTTTCCTACTGCGATTTTTCGGATCAAAACCCTAACGTGAAACTGACCCATGTCAAGAAAAAAAAACGATTCCACGGCTGTGAGCCGGAGAAAAATGACCCAACGATGCAGTCGTTTAAGGAAAGCCAGTGCATAACTTGACATAAGTATGTAAAGAGAGAAGAATTAATCGTTGTGTTTGAAATCCTATCTTTTTTACAAAGCGACAAGACCAAACCATTGATTATTTTACTTAAATTCCTTTGCCAAGAGACTTTTATTTAAATGATACAAGATAAATTTTGAGTAGGGCAAATAGGGCAGTCTGGAGGAAGGTTAGAGGGTTTTCTGGACTCTGATAGTAAGAATACCACATTTCCTTAATCTACAATTTCTTAGTTGAAGAGCCGAAATAGCATTTATGTCCACCATATTCAGAAAAATGATAATCTTATATGTTAAAGTGCAATGAAAAGGCCATCCAAAATACATGTGTTCTTGCATGGAATCAAATAATTTAATGCCAAAAGTAGTAAAATTCCGGCATTATTTATTGCATTGTAGGTCCCTACCTTTAGAAGTCTCTTGAGAACTGTTCTATCGCAGAATTCAGCAAACTTCGGGAAGCTGAAAAAATCATTGAACAACAACAATGATTTGGAATTTGATTGGGAAATAGTTTAAATGAAATTGGCAATGGCAAATCTGTGCTCATTTGGTCATATCTCAGTCAATTTTATACGCACTTAACTAACTTTGCATACTCAAAGGTTGCCCATCAGATACAAGGTGTAAAATCAACAATCAAAAAATAGATTTTTATAACATAATCATGGTAATTATATTTCTTTTGCTATCATATCAACTGAAATACCCCTTTCACAGGAATAACCCAATACAGTAAGTTGTTTAATGATCGCATTAAGCGTAAAAATCGGAGTAGCAACTTAGAACGGTCTTGTTCTATACACCAAATAGCGTGTACAGCTCTGCAACTACGGTATCGAGCGCTTTATGACAGATCAGTAAACTGTAATTTCCATCCCGCTACAGTAATATATGAATTATTTAAAAAAATTTGGAATGCTCAGAATAAGCACTATATTTCTTTACTTTTTTGCAGATTTTTTAGACTTTCTCAAGTACCAAAGTAACTGTAGTTGTATAGATTATTTGATGTTAGTTTTTACAATAGTGAACGTACACTAATTGAGACTAACACCAATTGAGACAAGCAATTAAAAGGATTGCATAAGATAGATTAATTACTTCATAAAGAACAGGCGCATTTGATTTTGAGGAACCAAGTTTAGGTCTTATTCTCAAATTTTGTGCTAACGAGTTACCATTAAGAAACATAAAAACATAACATGACATAAAACAGAACATCTTATCAGATCCTGAGGAGTTCTTCGTTCTAATATCTAAGTCAATTGAACCAGGGATAAGTACCATGTCAATTGAACCAGGGATAGGTACCAGGGAATAGTCGAAAATATTCTTTTCCTGTCCATCTTTAAAATAAGGATTTTGAGCATTTTGAGGTTGAGTTTGACCAGTGCAAGGATTCTTAATATTTTGATCATCTTAGGGCTCGATTTCTTAAAAACAGTTTCTCATAAGAAATGTGTGCAATCCATTTCTAAAAAAATAAACGATTGGACTAATATTTTCGCTACAAACAAGACATACACTTCATCCATAAACTGCATAAGTGGGTTGAGGACATCCTCCACCTCTTTATCAAGTTGGTGTTTGTCATTGATCGAAACATTGTTAACACCGCCCTTAATTCTGAAACAAAGAAACAATATATAAATCAGCATATATTCAAAGTAACATAATATACAACGTAACGTAATATAACATAGAAAATAACTTGTGAGATGCTCTACATAGCTTGATTAATGACAGACATCAAGTCCCTGATTAAAGTTTCAGTGACCGAGAACGGTTTTGCTGTTAACATGACTGGTCCTATTTATGAGGACTGGCACTTCTTTATCCGGGCATTTTCACATAAAAACCCGGCTCGAGGTTTAGATGAGTAATTTAATGGCATTGTAGGAAAACCCGGTTCGGGGTTTACATGAGAAATTTATTGGCATTGTAGGATTTGTTGGCAGGTTCTTATAGCATTTGTATGGCCATTTGCTGTGACACAGCGATGTTCCGCAAGCTGCATACACCGGGTTCGGGAGATACATGCATACTGAGGCCAATCCGGTATCTACCGGATCAGGATCATTATATTTTCACATCAGTATAATGGGTTGCCATATCATATCTTTGTCTTTTGAAAGGATTATGTTTGAAGACCATCATAATATCTCAAATAGAATAGACTAGGGTCGCAATTGTGGCTTTTGAGGTCCTTATGAAAACCATTGATCGGCAAAGGGGCTGTTGTCTGTACAGGGGTATGCCCTTGTTGAAGGCCCAAAAAGATCAAAATTGGGCTTTGCGTAGATTATTAAAAGCAGTTCAGACATTTCATCATCACCCCATGCAAGGAAAGTTTGGGATTACAAAAATTTTTACAAATACATAATGCTGTGAAATCTGGGTGAAAAGAAATGAAAAAAGAGTTTGATTTCTAATTTATTGATGCCATCTTTAAGCCAAAAAGTCAAGGAAATCTTTACGATTTATTGTAATCATAGATTTTAATTTGAAAATAAGAAAGTTCCAATAACTAAATCCTATATCCTGGAATTTCGAACAAGAAATGAAACGAGCTGATCAGAAAACAAACGCAAAAAGAAAAGTTTGGGAGGATGCCTGTTTAGACGAGAGAAATACAATTTGCATATTCTTGAAAGAAATTCTGATAAATTAACAATATATTTTTTGACAGAACTAACCGAACACTAACGTAAACACAGTTCAGTTTTTTCCATTAAAAGCCAATTCCTCTCGCTAGGTGTAGCACGCAATACTCTTTAAAAAAATTTTTACCCGTAGGTTCACTCCCGCACCGGTAGCCTTATTATATGTAAGATTTTGTGGGAAACACCAGCCCTTCTTCCTCAAATTGTTAATACACAAAGATGACCTAAACCCTCATTTATTGTCGTACCACAACTATTTGTCTCAGGTTGATGCACCGAGTTAACAAAAATCCCTTTAAGCGAACTATTTATGGAGGCTCAATTAGGGTATGACGTCAAAGCTTGAACGAACATACAGCATTCTAAGTCGAATTAAATGGTGTCAGCTGGAAATCCTCGTACTTAACGCGCTGGCCTCATCTTCAATCTTAATCTAGCTTATCAGGGAACCAGACAGGCAGACCAGCAAAAAGTGATTATTCTTGGACCTAACGAATAAATGTTTAAATTATCTATTAGAAACTATACCATGAAGCCTTGGTCTCTCACAAAGCAGGCGTTAAGCAAAGCAGGTGTTTTCTTTCTGTTAAGTTATCGGCATAAATTGTTATACAAAAATTCTTGAAACTTTGCTGTCTCAAGCCATAATATTACCTAGGAAATCAATGATCAACACGGGGGGAATGGCAAAGGTATTCTGGTTGTCCCTGGATCGGCAGCAATACCAACAAACTCCACAAGGGTTACAAGGCCAGTTTAGCTTAAAGCTAGGGACAATCTCGGCCTACAGGCCGAAGGGGAAAAGTTAAAAGTAAACATTGTGTCCAGTTGCGGAATTGTATACATGTTTTCAGCCAAAATGATGACCGAGTAGGGTAGCACTTAGCAATCCACTTTCGTTGTACCCATTTTGATATTTGATTGTACTGGCGTCAAAATCGTGTTTTGACCCAGATTGAACGAACGGCCTTCAGGACTGAAGTCAAGCATTCTAACCATTTGGCCATTTTACCTTTTTAGCATCATTAGTCTGCCTGCAGTTTTATTTCAGGAAGAACCATTTTTCAGTGCAGCCGACAGGTTTATAATAAATTGCAATTTGCATTAGAGATTGCCCAGTCCTTCAGAGCTGCCTATGGCAGAAATGTGTCTCTGGCACTTACTAATTGGGTTGTTGGAAAATTAGATCCGAGCTCTAAGTGGCTAGGCTTAGACTTTTCACGAACTGCAGATCGTTGACAATGTCGCCAAGCGGCTAAGCCTTCGAATATTTCCGTATCAAAGATAATTTCTTGTTTCATATTCACCATGGAAAGAAACGATTCTCTAAATAAAATGTAGCGGGCAGATGTCTAATTTAAAAGAAGAGGTTTTAGATCATCTAACTGCCACTTTAAATTTAGCCTCTTCCTGGGTAATAAATAGAAGTAGATTAGAGTCAAAAAGCAAGCGACAGGAAATGGATGATTGAAAAAACATACAGTTTTAAAATTGGGTGACAGTTGTGAAAAAGGACAAGCTAATCTGTCTGACTTGAGGTAAATCGAACCCAGAAGCGATTCTGATTGGGGGATACCCCAATCTTTTCCTAAAGTTGGCCGGGCTCGCAAAACCCTCTGTCACCCAAGGTATGCTCTTTTTTATAAAAACCAGAAAATTTTTGGATAATTTTCTCGATAATTATTTTTGGATAATTTGAAGTTTGGGCGTTCTTAATGCTGTTCTTTGTCCAAAATTAATTTTTCTTCAACTAACTATCAATTGCTCATAAGAGTATTAAATAACAGTTTTGCATGACATCAACTGACTATATCTACACAGTTTTGTTAACACGACAGTAAACTTTCAAGAGCAATTCAATATTTCCTTTTTTTCTTCTAACTTTTCAACTGTTCAACTGTTCATCTAAGGCTGGGCAGGTTCGTATGTTGTTCTTATTTGTTTAGCAAATCGAGTCTCGGTTCCTTTAAAGTTTGTTCTTATAAAAGTAAAAAGAGCGCATTTTCTCTTCCAAGCAACCTTCACCTCTGCAATCAGCCACGAAGGTACAGCATTCGCCCACCCCAGAACAGAAAGCCGTTGTTCTAGTGTTGAACTTTCAGTGGAAGGTAATTGCAGTTTATTTATTTAATGGGATTGGGCAAGACGTTTTGTAAATTGACTCATGTGAGGCAGCTGGTGCCATGAAAAGATACCAAAGCCGTGACCTCTAATCTTCAACCCCCCTCTCCTGGCACGGTCATGAATATACACTGAGTATTTCATTTCAGGTAGTCGAGAACCCTTCTATAGAAACAAGACCATATATCAGAAACATTGCCACAGTCTTCATGTATTCGATGTAATCACCTGTATCTAGTGCCTATTCGTGCTCCGAACTAGCATATACGAACATTTAAAACTGGTATTCCTTGAACAAACATACATATTTCAAAACCTCCTGATTGATACTATAAATTGCACTTACCGAATCAATGTTTTACTCATCTTTCGCATGCACTCTTCGAATTTTGGAGCAAGGCTATAAAGAATCAAATTCATAGTACAGCAAAGTCTAAATTGAGAGACAAGTTATATTAGAAACGGGGATAGGAATGCACTTTCAGCTGCAAAAAACCTCGCTTGGAGATATTTCAAATAAGTGGAAACTTTAAAATAACAATGCAGCTATAACTCCTTTTATTTAAAAACCAATTCAAAATTCTATTAGATCTGGATTAGAACTAACCTGATTCTTAAGTCAAAGGTAAATTATATTCTATTAAAATTTTATTACATTGGGTGCCACGTTTCATAAACCAACTAACTTACATCCATTGATTTTTCAATTTGTTGTTATCATTATTATTTATTATAAAATTATTTACAGTAGGCGAAGCTTTTTAGTAGGGAAGCGAAAAATTTTTTAGCTAATATAACAGCTAATTAAAGCCTACTATCTATACTGCATTTACAAATCTTAAATTAATTACAATGAATGGATAAAATAATATAGGAAATGTACAAAATTAAAAGGATGACTCATTAAATAATAATATACAATTATTCGATGACTATTTCAAGAATCCAATCTGCGCAACGTAAGGTTTGCATAGTCTGCAGTTGCATTTTGTATCTTTCCAAGTTTTAATCTTTTTTCTTAAATATTTCAGTATGATAAACTTACGATGAACAAAAGAAAATTGTTATAAAAAATACTGATGATTTTATGCAAAGTCGTTTAATTAAAGAGTATGGCAGATGGTTTAATAAAAAAATCCCTTAGGATCCTCGAAACTATAAAACGAACCCTCAATCATACCTTTTTAAAAATTTTCTAAGTCATTTGCTTCCATACCATTCATTGAAAATTCAGTTTCCAAGTTCCAAGGCGGGTTAATGTGCCAAAAGTCAGGTTAATGCATGGGTTAATTTGCAAATTACTACCGTTTTCCGACCTACAACCATATACAAAAGATATTTCCCCCTCAATATTGTTAAAAATTTGACAGTAATCCAAGATTTTGGTTAGCTTTGCATTTCCGGACAGACGTCAAAGAAGAAATTAAATTTATAAAAAATAATCAAATACCTTTGAGCATAAGTTGAACTAAGGTTGTCTAAACACAAGTTCAGATTTTTCTGTAAATCTTGAAATAAAATTTTTGTTTCTTCATTGAGCTGCAAAGAAAAAATATATTAAGAGAAAATATAGGATGGCGTGGGAAAGAAGTTTTGGATGGGATAATATTTGCAAATTAAGCAAAGGCAAAGTCAGATGACTTGACTGTGGGGCTGTCTGGCCGGCGGTACAATAACGACGCCTAAAGAACTTCATAATCTTTCAATATCTTGATATAACGAGCAAAATTATTTGTTCATTTCGTCGACTTATTGCTTTGAAATCTATCAAGGCTATTTAAGACTATTAATAAAAATTTTGAAAGTAAGGAATTAGTTGATAAAATCAAATTGGGTTATTTGGTTTATATGACCAAATGTTTCACTTATTTGCTTCAAGAGAAAAAGTTACTTGATCGATAACATTGGGAGACATATTAGACTGCAATGGTCCTGAACGTGAAAATAAAAAAAAACCTTAATAGCACATTAATTAGGAGCCAGCCTTCAATTCATTGAGCTAAGTTTGTATATCTGGTTCATGTCAGGGAAGGCTTGAAGACAAATGGTTCCAAGTCCAGAAATGAGCCTAAATTTTAGAAGGTCTTCGGACAAAAACAGTAAAAACAAGGTATTTTCTGGGTATGATAACTGAATTCGTTACGTTCTTAATAGCTCTGCTTGCTGTTGTACCAAAACCCAGTACTTAGAGTTTATAAAAATGCCCAGAAGAGCGTACGTAGGAGAGGAACCCTTAATTGTACCCTGAAGATAAGGCCTGTTTTTCAGAGCTCTGCTTAGTTGCGTTGGTCTGATACAGCTTAACTGGAGCTAGAAGATTTTCCGGTCTAATCTTACCTTTTCCGGGCCTGCGGACTCAAAGAGTTTCTGAATCTGAACTCTGACTTGCTGTACATTGTTCATGAGCGTGCAAATCTGAATGGATAACGCGAAGCATCAGGGTGAATGTTTTCAGACAGTGAAAAAATAAGCATTTCAACGATAAGGGTTTAAACAATAGAAGTTCTGAAGCTTTTCTGATCAAACTGACCCAATTGTATAATCAACATCGTGGTAGATTTTTATGCAAAACTCTATGACATAACATATGAAACAATACTGATTTAGTCTATATAAATTATAAAGGTCTAACTGTGACTTCTTCAAACATTGGGAGAACATACTTACAATTGTCACAGTATTGAACTGACAAATGGTCTCGAAAATGTCTTGTACGCATTTTGTGTACTGCCGGGTGACTTTATCAACAGTCTAGAAGAAAAGAACATCAAATGCAGGTTTAGGCTCTTTCTGGTGAAAAAGTTGAATGATGCAGTTGGGTATAGATTAGTAAATATCGACAATATGCCGAGCTAAAAGCCTGGTCACCATTTGGCTATTAAACGTCTTCTACCACGTTTGCTACCACGTTAGCATACAATATTTTTTGCATCTGTGTGGTAAGGCTCCACTTAAAAATGTTACAACGTACTTTCGATAATATATATCGCATGTGAATAATGGCAAGACTCGCAAAGATTTTTCTGAAAATTCAAAACAAGAAAAGAGAATAATAACACAAAAGTAAATGAAAGAAATTTATTAATATCGTACCTGGGCGTATCTATGCAGTAGTTTTGCCTCGATATCCGGATCGGGGCATTCTAGCTTATTCAGAATTTCTAAACTCTAAAAAAGAAGAATTTTGCAAATGCTTTTGAAACCTGTAGTATAATCATTTATTCTAATAAATAAATTCGATCAAAACTACTAATAAAAAGTCTGTTATCTGAAAATTGGTTGCGCGAAATGGCGTTTATTGTCTCTCTTTCATAACTTCCTTAGTATATTAATATTTCATTCAATATATTAAAATATTTTGTAACGCAAATGGTTGGTTTCAATAACTTTCTTATAAACTACATGATAAATTTGTGTAATAGAACTGATATATCTGGTGATATCCTACGAGATATATGATTTGATATGAAAATGGCTTTGAAAAAGCAATTATTTTACGACATACTAAAAGCTTTTTCGTCTGACACTCCTCAGAGCATAAAACGTCAGAATAAGGTTCCAAAAGAACACGATGGAGAATATATAAAAAAATAGACAGAAGGAGTTCGTTTTCTCTCTTGGACTCCAGTGGTAATTTTTCTTTAGGCTCGCGGCACTGATTGGTCAACCATACCGGTCTTGTGCTTGCGTTTTTCTGATTGGCCTATTTCGATCCACAACTGGGTATATATTTTCCATCGTGTTCTTTCGGAACTTTATTCTGACGTTTTATGCTCTGAGGAGTGTCAGACGAAAAAGCTTTTAGTATGTCGTAAAATGTTTGCTTTTTTCAAAGCCATTTTCAAATTCTGTACCGCAAAAAAATAATTTGATATATAATTTGAAATAGGTAGCAGAGAAACAATTCAAAATTATTTGATAAAATCATGTCTGCCTTTCATTGATGAAATACAGTAAACTTCTAACGATTCCACCTTTTATAGGAAAACAAAATATGCACGTGTCGTTAAAAATCTAAATTTTAAAAACAGGCTTAAGCCGTGATTCAAAAATGCTAGCTGTTAGGTAGTCATGGAGTGGACGGATTATTAAAACTACTTTAGTGAAAGGGTAAGAAAGAAACCAAACCAGCGTTTTATTAGAAATGCAAACCGGAATTATACCTGGTTTAGGGAGGAAAAAGTATCCACAACGGAGACAGAGAAGTCGGAGTGCTCCGAGCTCGTCTGGAACTAAAGGAAAATGCGATCGAATTGTCACAAACTCATTAATAAGTGTAAAAGATACATTATTAGGCTGGTAAACAAACATTCACGGCAAAGAAATCAAGTGGTTAGAAAACGTGAGTTGAAGATCGTGGGTTTCAAATCAAGGCTACATCTATGATTTGAATTGCTGCTTCTGAATGCGAATGAATAACTGGCTTAACATAGGGGAGGCTAAGAGCAAAGAGCATAGGGGGGCAGCTCCCACAAGAACCAGTCTCCCAAGTTCATCATGGTGTTGGCAAAGAAGAGGTTTTCAATCTAACAGGTTTCTCTTCTATTGAGGGATCGAAAATAGCAATCACTTTTATACTTTAAAAAATGGGATTAAAACTAGGTAAAATGAGTGAAGAATTTCTTAATATAAAACAAATATTTTCTTTAAGCGTCCTTTCTATTCATTTACATGCAAAAAAGTTGAATTTTCTGCATAAAGCATAGCTTTTGGCTGATTTAATAACTTGGAGTGAAGAGGCAATTGTTTACATCGAGACAATACTCTAAGGGCCCTGGAATTTTCCGAAAAATTTGGATCATAAAATTAATTGGAGGAAGAAAGCTTACGAGACCTTAAGAGGGGAGCAATTTTCTGTGACAAATTTTTCGCACGAAAAATACATTTGCTAAATCTACTTTCTAGCTTAAACCTTTTGGGAGTGTTATCACGGCATGTGAAAAGAATATGTCAGTTAAAAATCATACCCCGTCTCTTTTGTCTCTGTCAATTGCACCATACATATACTCCAAAGACATTTCATCATTTTCAGTAAGCCATTGCATGATGAAATATTCAAACAGCCTAGCAAAATATAAGATGAAAAATAATGCTTTGTGTATGGATATAAAGAATCTTTTATGCTCTCAAAAATTCACTCAACAGCAATCTAGACTTGATATGACTGGAATTTATGAAGGGTCATGTGGGCATGGGATGGGGGCATGGGGGAACTTTCTTTCGTGACTTGAAACGCTATCATTTTTAGGGGTGAAGTCGAATCTATCTTGAGGAACCAAGATTCTGACTGCTAAAAATTTTGATATTTCCTTGCCGTGCTTTTCAAGCAAAAAATTATCACTATTTGGTGTTGGAAAGCAACTCCCGTAAGCTTATACTAGAAAAAATTAATAATGGTTGGGAGCATGGGAACAAGAGCATGCCCGCATGAAGAGTGAAGCAAAAAGATTAAAACTTCATTGATTCTTCCTATTCCAGTTATTTCCAAGAAAATAGAAAATACTCAACGCAACCATTACATAACGGGCGGAGAAAAGAGACAACAGACATTTGGCTAAAGAACAATTCCTAATTGATTTGAAGGGGGGTTGGGAGGCAGAAAATTGATCGTCAAGAAGAAAAATTCAAAATGTTGAAAAACATAACGAGATAAGATCTCCTTCCTTTCTACTGTTAATTCACCTATAAATATAGTAATGGTAATAGCAAGAAAAGATTCAAATAGAAGAACTTCAAAATAGAAAAAACTTCAAAGGTATAAACACAAGGGTTCTTACGTCATATATTCGGGTGTTTCTTCTTCGTACTCAGGGCAGTCTTTTATGTGAGTTTGGAAAAGACCTTTAACCTACAAAAAAAATCTTCATTTCAGCGTGATATTGCAAAATTGATATTCAAGATAAAACATGAAGATATGTAAAAGAGAGGAGGAAACTAAGAGGAGAATACAAGGAAGGGGTTTTCTAGCTACTTCACACAAATATTTTGTGCCTTGATTCACGTTGAAAGCAAAATTTTTACACTAGAAAAGATGTCTAATTTTCCATACTACCACCATGGTATAGGAAGCTAGATAATATATATGAAATCTGGCCATGGATGTAAGGGGAAAGATTCACCTGGAGAGATCATTCAGATTTTAATCATGTATATATTATAAACTTCAAATTGTAAAAAAATATTTATCACCAAATACTTGAAAACCAATATTGCCATACAAAAGCAATTTTGTAGGAAGTTATTTTAATTGAAGAATTGCTGTTGAAGAGCAAACAAGCTTAATTTTTCTAGGTATCACAGATAATTTTCGAGGTATCAAAACAAGTTTTCCATAGGTTATTGAATGGAGAGGTATGCTTTGAAAAAATGTTCAGGCCCTGTTGTTGTTGAGATGGAATCAGAAGGTTTGATGTAATAAGCTAGACTTGTAAGAAATATCAGTCTAAAAACCTATGAGAGAGAAAGAGAAAGGAAGAGAGAAGACGAACGATGTGAGTGTACTGTACTGTGCCTGTTATGAGGGTTCTATGAATTATTTCTATGCAAGGCTAGACGATCCAGCATGGAATTTAATCTCAATATAAGTAGGAGATAGGGGGGGGGCTAAGGAGGAACAGCAGTAAAGCAATGACATTATATCAGCAAGTGAAAAATAGAATAAATCGCCTCTTGCAAGAAGTGTTTAAAATATGCTTTTTCCTTACCTTAAAATACAGATTAACATAATCTTTATTTGTCAGCATTGAATGTTTTCTTTGCTCTGTGCAAAAAGAAGATAATAGTCATAAACAATATTGCACGAGAACGACAGTATTAACTTTTGATGTATATATATCATAAAACACAATAATTAAAATCCAAGATATGAAACATGAATCTATATAGAATCAATTTTTAATTCTATATAGAATCAAAAATTTAAAAATAAAATGAATATTCAATGCAAAAAGCAAAACCAAATAACTTCAAAAATCTGATACAAAACTACTTTATAGAGATGTGTAGCGGTAACTCCCCCCCCACCCCCCCCCCCCCATGCAATAAAACCATAATGTTCTCTACAAGATCAACTCTCATTTCAATTCACTCTCATTTCAATTCTTTTCAACCATTCGATCTTGTTGTAAAAATATATGACACCTGACAAAGAATTCTCAAATGATAACAACGGAATTTTGCAGCAAAATATGTCTTTTAAATTTTCAAGCTCCCCTGTAGTCAGTACCTGTCAATACATTTCCAATATTTTTCTAACTACACATGCTGTTTCTACTGCTCTTCTCTGATGTATAAATACAGTACTACATGAAATATATATATAAAGACTATACGGTATGCGTTTCAGCGTTTGTTCTGGATAAGATTGTGTTCTTAAATTTTGATTTAATTAAAAAGTTTACATCGATTGATTAAGAGATCAGTGTCATAATCTAACAGTAATTGAATTTGATAAACAAAAGCAAACCCATTCTTACCGTCCAAGAATTCCCGCAGATCAGACAAAAAGAACTGCCACATAAAATAGGCACTGACGTAGCCAACATCAAAATCGGCAGGAAATCTGAAAGAATTTGAAAAATTAATTGTTTTTCAATGTGAAAACTTGCAAAGTTACTTGATTTGACATGAAATACAATCTATAAAAGTTGCAAGGAAAATTGAAGAACAAATACTGAAGAAATAAAGGAAGGTGTTTTGTCCTACAGTATCAACATAAGGCTGACCAAGAAATGGTATTGACAAATAAAATTACATGAAAATGCTTGATAAATACAAAACCAACACTTTATTTTCATTTATATTATTTCGTTCGGCCCGTCTCTTTTAACGTTTTTTTTCTTCTCATTTTCACATTATGTTGTACGTCATTTGCTACTGATAGTACGAATTAAAAAAAGTATTCTGTGAATTGAATTTTTATAGTTTGTTCATAATTAATTTGATCTTTAAATTTCAAAATGTTTTTTAATTAGATAATTTAGTCAGATATTTTTAGTAGTTTTGTTCATGTTACAGGTCAAGGGCCTATCTACTTCAAAATGAATGAAATAAAATCAATAAAATTTGCACAATTTGAAGATATTACAAAAGTACAGTATAGCCTTGTTTTGATCTGAAATGTCATTGTGGTTATCACAAAATGATGTATATTTTGTTAAGGGATGTTTATGCTGAGAAAGGTAATTCTAAAATTTAGCTTTTTTTCGTCGTTGGGCAATGTGGCATACCCTGATTATCAGATCATCACAAGGCTACGTTTTAAACAGGAGACTTGGTTAGCAGTGAAGGGATCGTAACCATAAACAGGTTTGTCACCTGTTGAAACTCGCAATAAAAAGCATTGTCTATAAAAAAGCAATTCTTCAAGACATGAAAGAAAGTGCTGTTTTTAATAGCAACTGTTGCCAAACCAAGAAGGGAAATAATAACTTTGTGAAGGTTCTTCCGACAAAGAAGGAACGAACAGAATAAAATAAGATTTGAGTCAGACCGAAAATTTGGAACACTTACTGGTTAAGGATATTTCTATAAATAGTTTTGTCTTCTTCAATAACAGCAACAACGAGTCGTATAAGCTTAAGCCAGAAATCCAGGTTTCTCGCGGGTACATCTGCGTTACCCGGAGAGCGATTCCCATTTTCATCACCATCGCTCAATACCATACAATTGCTGTACACAAACTTATAATTCGACTTCAAGCAATTCTGAAAGAAAGAAAATTGTATCTGTAGCATGACTTCAATTAGATCTTATATGGATAATAATATATTGTAGAATTTTTTAATTTTGATCCCATAACCAGAAAGAGCATCACCAAATGCCTTTCAACGTGCAAAATCAGTTAAATGTATTATGATTTGGCTGAGATATGGCAACACGAGCACAAACTCTCCTCTCCTTAAACCTTGGCAATTTTGTCTCTGCTCATAACTTGAACAGAGCTAAAAAACAATGACAGTGATCCGTTGGCAAACTTCAAATCTTTATCAACCACATCTCGCTCGTATTTTGACACATTTGAAAATAGACTATGAATTAAATGATTGTGCATATCAAGAAGTATTTTATGGTATTATTTTAGACTTTGAGGTCAAAATAAAAATAACGATAATACAGTTAGCAAACAAATTTAGTACCAGAATGAAAATATAATAGTTTGATTGTTAAAAACACGATGTTTCGAGCATGTACTCGTTATCAAGTTGCTAGAAAAGAAACGAGGCGAGCAAAGAGAAGGCGAGATTCGATATATAGAAAAGAATGCGAGATGCGACGCAACCGAAAAAAACAGAATAGGGGAATGGGAGGAAAGTTAGAAAAGAGAAGGAAATAGATATAAAAAGAAATTATTTAAGGAAATTAAAATGTTTATCAAGACCATTAGGATAAAGTGTTTTTAAGCTAAAAATCAAACGTTTCTCCAAAGTCTTCCGTTTGGTGGCATCTTGCGGTGCATGCAAAAAGCCAAGGATGGATATGTCGGCAGTAGAATGATTGGAGGAGTTAAAATGTTTAGACATGTTGCTATCTGCATCACTCTGGTGTTTTTCTGTCAGATGGATTTTGTTAGCAGCATTTCTCAAGTGTTCTCCAAAACGGTTGGCATTTGGTGCAGATGATACAGTAAATTACACAGGAAGAAAAACAGGTGAAGTGAGATCTGATGTGGAAGGATTGGTTAGGTTCTATAATAGTGGTCGATTGGTTAATGTGTGTGCAAGTACGATAGAGGTGATGTTGGCAGGGGTAAGTGCCAAGCTGTTGTGATGTTTGGTTTAAGTTTGTTCTGACCAGGTGGTCTTGTCTCTGCAGAAAGCCAGGAGTGCGGTCATGCACCACAAGATGCCAGCAAACAGAAGACTTTGGAGAAACGTTTAATTTTTAGCCTAAAACTCTTTATCCTAATGGTCTCAATAAACATTTAAATTTCCTTCAACAATTTCTTTTTCTCTCAATTCCCTACCCTTTTCCTACTCTCCTCCCTTTCCCCTATTCTGTTTTCTCTGTTGCATCGCATCTTTCATTCTTTTCTACATATCGAATCTCGCCTTCTCTTTGCTCAGCTCGTTTCTTTTCTAGCCACTTAATAACGAGTACATGCTCGAAACGCCGTGTTTTTAACAATAAAACTATTATATTTTTATTCTGGTACTAAATTTATTTGCTAACTGTATCATCGTTATTCTGGATGAAGTACCACACGCAACGTACATAGTTATTTCAACAACAAAAAACATTTGAAAGCATATATTATGACGTCACACATAAGAACTCTGAAAATTTATTCATGATTCAATTCAAACACAAAAAGTAAATAAGCTGTTAAAATCATTTGCCCCTTACAGACAGTCTTTCCCTTCGGTGATTGGCTAAAGTGAACAATAAGGCTCGAACAATCTCTCTGATTACGAGATTAACGTCGTCTCTGATCGGCTAAAATTACTAATTATTCGTTCAAGCTTAACAAAACGGGGACAGACCCCCTAAGCATCAATTAGATGAAAGCAACTCGAAGCAAAAACTAACGGAAGGAAATTGACATGCTAAAAAACCAAGGACCAAATCAGGGGCGGACACTTGATCAAATATTGGGGGGGGCAAGCCTATTGTTTTAATAAGATGACGTCACATTTCCCATTGTTTTAGAACAAATGACCATTGTCGTTTAAAGTATTTGGGGGGCGGTCGCCCCCCCCCCAAGTGTCCGCCACTGGACCAAATCATACGCCAAAAATTTCATTTTTCACTGGGGTTCGGTTAAGTTTCATTCCGATTCTAAAGAATTTTCCTCTCAAGACTCTATATTCATAATAAAGAATTATATTGCATACCTTAACACATTCAGTTACAACATGAGCAGCTCTTGGTGGGCTAGGTTGCTCTAAAACCTGAAAAGTATTGAATTTAAATTATTCAAACATACACACTAGAGTTGCCAGTGTCTTAAATATAGGCTGTAATTTCATGTTGACAGAAAGAAAAAAATTACTCTGTGTTCTCTATCTACGAAGCATGTGATGTTGTTAAACCTAATTTTTTCGATAGGTCAATAAGAATCGTGAGAAAAGGCTCTTGATAGGTTCAATTAAGAAACGAACTGAAGTGTATTGACAATGAGAAAAGGTATAAATTAACAAAAAAGTTGAAAATAACAAAACTTGACACAAATGCAAAAGAAATTCAACTCAAAGTATTGCAACAACTAAAGCATCAGAGCCATTAAAACAATGGTGATGTGGAGGCGAAAGTTTAAGAGAAACGGAGGAGCGTTGATGTTCCGTCGATCTAAACCCTCCTCGCTTCTCTTCTCCGCTCCTCCCGCCCGCTTCTCACCAGTAGTAGTGCGGCAATGGTATACAAGGAGAAGAACTGCATCACAAACAAAAACATAATTTGGTAAGTGTTACCTTCATTCTGAAGAACGTAATGCTTGTCAATAGATCCACGGTTGATTTGAGATCCGACAATTTCACAGCGTTGGATGCAGGAAATATCGTCTAAATAAAATGATCAAATATGGATAAGTGAAGTTCAAACGCAAAACAACCGTGAAACAAACGAAGAACGGACGAAGAAAGGCTGACGAATTCATGCGGTAAAAGAAAATATCAAGGCAGAAGGTAACGCAAGTTTAACGCGGTATACACGCGGGTAAATAATAACGAAAGGTTGTATACTTACCCTGTACGAGCAAAGGTCTATTCTCAAAGAATTATGTAGATGGTCGAGAATTTTTACGAAATTTTCTTTCTGCAAAGAAAAATATTGAGATTAGGATAACTGCAATTCTAATTCACAATTACGATTCTTTTTAGAAACTGGAGTATTTCATTTTTAGCGACTATTTAGTCAAGTTATAGCGTTGAAAAATATTTGTTGAATTCGTGTACATTGCAATGCTTAACAAAATATGGCTTAAAGAGCATAATACCAGACAGTCGAAGCTCGACAATTTAATATTGAACTAGATAATCGTCCTTACTCGAACAAACAATTTTCCAACGTAACTACTCCCATTCAGGCCTACTTCTCATAATTTGAACTATCGATTTACTTTCTCTAGAAAATCTTAATTAAGTGACGCTAACAGTAAATATAGGAGGCCGTCAGAGACACTCTATTATTGAGAGACTATCTGAAAGCTGAAAAAGTACAGAAAAGATAATTTTATCATAAAATGCAGTTAAATTTGTATCAAGTAATGCGCAAATTTAAACGAATCTTTCAGCAGTTAACGAGTTTAACGAGTACAGGGGAGGTCATCCTTGGAAAACTGGAACCAACCAACCCAATTAACAAAATGTCGTCACAATATTTCTTGTGTTTTGCTACTCTAATAGACTGTGGCCTAAGTTCTCTCGCGGCCTATGGTGAAAAAGGTTGTCACCTTGAAATCAACTTGAGTGGCTCGTTAGCTTAATATAGACATACCCCAAAATTGGTAGCAGCGAATCGATCCGATGCCGAAGCAGCCGAGGTAGCTGTCGTGTGTGCGTAAAAGGCATTGATGTTGGCCAGTAAATTGCTCATCACAGCTGGAACACCAGGGTTTATATAATGAGCAGATAATGCCGAAAAATGCCTGGAAGAAAAACAATGCCCTTGTTGAATTTTGAAGAAAGCTGTGCAAAGCGAGAGTTCGTTTATAATCTTTACGTCTCAGGTATTGAAATTTAGCGATTCTCCTTTTTGGTCTATGACTAACACAAGTATACCTATTTGCTACAACAATTTTTATGTAAACGATTCTATTGAAATGTATTTAAATTGAAAGCAGCAAGAAATGTTGAAAAAAATTAGGTCAGCGATAGAACTAAGAGTTCTTTGCCCCAACTGGGGAATCATAAACATTTAAATTTTCAGGATAATTATGCTTGGTAAATAAGGCTTCTAAAACAAATTTTAGGAAATATCTGAAAATGCAGGGTGTTCATGTCAACTTTTGTGCTTAAAATATTTTTAAAATAAGAATTTGAAGAATAAAGCTGATGCCGATATAACTTACAAGTGGGGGATGATGTTAAAGCATTAAAAAATTAGGATGAATAATAGATAGGATCAACAATAATATTGAAAATGAAGAAATAAGGAAGAAATAATTACGTCATCGCCTGGTATATTGTTTCTATCCCGTATCTGATGGCGAATTCGTTAACTACTTCTAATCCTGGCTCGTCAAAATAAACTTTCCATGCATCAGTCTAGAAAGAGAAATTTGGGATGGTAAAACGGCGTTGGATCTCAATGGCTAACTTAGAATGAAAGGGTTGGAGCAATGAAGAAAACCCTTTGCAATTTTCAATCAGGCTTTGTTAAACAGACACTGAATTCGAGAATATGATAAATTATAGCTTTTCAAAATACGAATTAACAAACCGATCAACCTTTGAAAAGATAAAAATAAGATAAAATTTGATGAAATAAAATAAATAAATAGACAAAAATAGAAACAAAAAACAAAATAAAATAAGACAAAGAAAACGAATAAAGTAAAATGAAAGAATATAAAAGATAAAATAAAACGAAATAAAATAAAATAAAAAAGGAATGCATAAAATGTTATTAAATATAGAATAGTTAATATAGATTTAAATATAGTTTAGAATATAAAATCAAGAATAAAGTATAGAGTGAAATATAGAATTGAATATGAAATATTAAGTACAATATAATATAAACATAGGAAGCCGTATTCACGAAATAACTGGAAAAGTCATTTCAGGAAACAAATAAAACATATTATAATCTATCCAACGACACAGTAAGAAATATTGAAGAAACGATATCAAAAAGGTTGACGCACCCCAAACGCTTTCGGCAAAACGACTTCTCTTCCAGCATTCTCAAAGAGGAAGTGAAACAAATTCTAGAAGTTAAAGATTAAGAAAATCAGTCTCACATCGATATAAGTTAGCTTAAGGGAAAACCCCTGAAGAAATACGAGGAAAACCCCTAAAGAGCTGAAAATATTCTACTCTATAGGCCAAAGAGACAAACAAACAAAGTAGCGAAGTAACAGTAAAAGATATTAAGAACATTTCGAGGTAACTACTCTCAAAAGAATGGTGGTTTGAAATATAGATTTTATGGTCAAATGTCGTTTGCTTCATCTAAGGGTATGAAAGATGTAAACTTAAGGTTTTACACTGAGGAATTAAAGCACAAAAGAGTATTGAATTTGTCAATTTATTTCATGTTTATTGTTGCAAAATAGGATAAACACTAATTTAGATTAACATTTCATGGACTGCACAAGGCAGTTCATTTACTGCAAAGATGTGCCTCTATTTTCATAGAACCAAGTTTTAATCACATTTTTTAATTTTTTAAAATTTTGGGTTGTTTGATTTTATTTTGAAGAGAGTTTCAGATTTTCTACCCTTAGAAACTGAGTGATCTAATACCAAATCTCAGAAACTGAGAAATCTGATACCAAAATTTGAAGAAAAAACAAACCTCATGTAAACATGTGTATTGGGCGTGATATGGAACGAGTTTCTCTTCTCCTTTGATTTCAATGCTAATTCGAAGCCTTATTGCACCAGACACCGCTGACCTATCGGTTCGTTTTTCTGCAAGAATAAAAAAATATCAAAAGCTTCACACAGCAAATACCATAGAAATATTTTCTCTCGGTAGAATAAAAGGTTTCGTTTCATCTTGGTGCAAGTTTAAGATGCTTGAAAAAGCGAAACGTTTCTCTAATGCATTGATGTTTTATCAAATACTGTTACAGCTAAAGATATAAATAAGGGTGTGATACCGCGTTTCAACCATCCAGAAGAGCACAAACCATCTTCTTTTAAGCATTTAAGAAACACGAAACAATTTTTATCTATCATTTATCATTTCAAAATCTAACGATCTTAACGTCTTTTACTTGAATCATTTGTCAAGGGTCCTTGTAGCAAGATATTTGGGAGCCTTGCTAAATATCATCGCTCTTAGCTCCCTCTGTGAAAACCCTGGGAAAGGCACTTTGCAGCTTACCTAGATTGTACCAAACATCCATTTCACCGCTCAATGTCCTGACCTCGATGATCGTCTGGCCAAGGAACTCATCGGGCTCCCGCGTGAACTTGGAGCGAACTCTCGCCTTTAAATCGTAATCTTCGTCCCTTTAAAACGAAGGATAAAAATTTTCGCAAAACAGGAAGAGCTTGCAGTCTAATAATTTGTTATAATAGTCGAAGAAAAGATGGGAAGGCCTATTTTTGTTCCTTTTTGAATGCTATCAGCATTATCCCTGGATATCTGATTTCTTAGTGATGACACGCAGATCGATCCATACTGTGCGTTCGGCTACACTGTGCGAATTCTTCAAGCGATAAAAGAAATTTTGAAAAATATACAAAAAGGTCAAACCCATATTATCATAAGATGGATATCATAAGAGCGAAGAAAATTAAGATTTATGAAAGTAGATCTAAAATATAAAAAACATACCAAACTCTGACTTTTATTCGATCAGAAGAATTGTGACATTCGCTACGAAATGAAATTATATGAAAGGTAAATTTACATTAGTTGTCAAGCCATGAAGGAAATCAAGAAGAACCACTACATTATTTGTAAATTCGACTCTCCTAATACTATGGACGATGGAAAAATTATATCACGGAAGATAAGGTCCACACCACAGACAGCAACAGCAACAACAAACAAGAACAGCAGCAACAACAACAGCACGTAAAAACAAAAATTGATAGCTTTAAGGGATACCTTTTATCTAGATGAAAATATCTCTAAATTTTTTCTCTCAAAATACAACAAAAATCATAATTGAAGCCACGAAATGTAGAATTTAAATAAAATTTTCTTGCATTCTCAAGAATGAAAAAATCTGTCTTCTGACTGGAAAGCTATAACCAGGCTCAAAAATCGAGAAATATTCTACAAGAAATAAAACAAGGGCAACTTACAATTGGAACGTTTTGTCCCACACGGGGTTCAAGCTCTTTGTTATTGTTGCAGTTCGTTTTTTGTTCTTTCCAACTTGTACCGTCACATAAGGGTCACTGGTACCTGGAGAGAACAAAAAAGGGGTTTACTTAACGGTATTCATAAAAAAATACTACATCAATATAAATTTCTTAAAACTTAATCCAAATGTTTTAAGGCGTCTTGTTATTTTCTCCCCCCTTACAAAGCGTAAGATTTCAGCTGCTTTACTATAGATGCTTACAAAATTCCGGGGGGGATGTTTTCGTCAGTAAATATAACATGCAGAAATTTAGTATATTAAGGTAATAGGAAATGCTAATTCAAGTGAAATAAATACAAATTTACGTATAATGCTAACACCAATTCCAACTATGAAACAGCAGTTAAAAACAGCAAAAAATTAAGCTGTTTTTTATTTCAAGTATACCAATACCTGTTTTATCTTTGGCAATCAGACCTTGCGCACTCACAACTGCAAAAGAAAATTGATTCACTCAAAATAAACCAACAAGGTTAATGCTGTTTGAAAAGAATTGCTTAAAAATTGTGTTAAGACGTTAATATATTTGTAAGAAAACTCCTTCTTGAGGTGGAGGTGTTTCTAAAAAGTGCTTCTTAGAAACATTTAGACGAAAACTGGATACGAAGTTCAAATTTATAGGCAATCGGTGAATTTTAGCAAAGATATTCAGTAACCCGTAAATATTAAAATATTCGAGATTAAAGAGGTCTCTTTACGTCATTTGAACCGTTAGGGCCTAAAAAGCATGATAATTGATAGGAAAACGTTTTAAAACTCTCTCAGCAGGCCTAAAATGTTGATGTAGTGTAGATGAAGTAAAATAAGATAGGGGAAAGATTTAATGCGAATGTAAATCAAAGAAAAGCTAAAAGACTTTTGCAATTGATAAATATTTAAAACTTTTTAAATGACAACGCCAGTAATGAAATAATAAATGTGATATTCAGTTCTTGTGAGGCATATCTTCTAAGCCATCCAAGAAAAGAACATATCAGAACATCTTGTGAGAACATATTTTCTTCATTTCATAATTATATGTACTTATTGCGGCTTCTTCCTAAATGAACAGCCTTCAGTTAGCCTTGCTCTACCACCTGTTGGTTGGCAGAGTACAGAGTAGAACAACTGACACACAATACAACTGTTTGGGCATGGCTGAATACTGTTGTGATTTTGAAGCATATCTTCTAAGCCATCCGAAGCAAGGGTGAAGGCTAGCCAACAAAGGTTTGATTAAAAATATGTCAAGGATACAATGATGTGTCAGTAAAGTACACAAATAAATATCTATCTTATATATATTTTCAGGGAATTTAGAAACACAGCCATAAGTATGGACAACATAAACTTTTTTGGAACGTATCACGATTTTCTGGATATAATTAAAACTGAGAAAATTAGTAAATGTACCAGTGATGGAAATTCTCGCATTCCAGACCGAAGTTCGGCTCAAAATGTTTTGTTTTGCTTCGTTCATGTACTTGATGTGGTCCATAGATTGGACTGAAAACACTTCCCTAAAAAAGTCAAGAGATGATGTAATTAGACATTTTAAAAAGCAGCAAATGAAAAAGTACTCTGAAAAACGAGGATGGTAGGCACTCTTATAAAACATCTCGATTTCAAAATAGAGCGCTTTGGAGAAGCATTTTTGCTATAAGAAATGGGAGAAAGTTCTAATTTCCTTCAAAACTAAACGATAAAATCAAACAGCAAAAAGTTTGCTAAAGCATTAATAATATAAAAAGTTCTTTAATTAGCGTGCTTTTCACGGGGGCTGTCCATCGAAGGACTCTACAAGAAATGCTTACTTGTGTATATATTACTTCAAATAAAATTTAGCACATTAAAGAAAAAATAAATGAAAATCGGTAAAACAGGTGCTCTATCCAATCAGTGATGAATAGGTACAATATGTGAAATAAAAAGCTGAATAAAATGCTGCAAGGCATGATGGGACACAACGCTTCATTGAAGCCTCTGAATTTAATACTGAGCCCCAGACTCTAAGTGTGTCCATCCAGATTCTGAAAGTTGCAAAACAATTTGAAAATATTTTACTAAACCTGATCATGCTAAAAACATCTTCTTTCTCCATGACCCTCTTTTCCATTTTGGCCTCGATATGATTTAAAATCATACGCGACTTTTCATCGCTTCCATGTTTTGAAGATCGCTCGACAGCACCTGGGAGAAAATCAGTCAAAGTTTATACATAGCACAAAATTTACAGGATTTGGACAGAAGTTTAGAAACAAAAGATTCGACAATTGAGAGCCAAGAAATAAAGGCTGAGCTTCCTCTGTCTTAGGCCTTATGGAGTAAAACACACCAGTATATTACATGTTAGATAACTTTCATTGCTTCTGTTGCATTTTCTGCATTATTTGGGCAAGAAATCAACAGAAATCACTGAAAAGAAAAAACCCTTGAGACACAAGATACCCCAGGGACCAAAGAAAACCATTCTCAACGGACCTTTTATACCATATTGCGGCAGACTGAGTGAATAAAATGTAAACAGAAATTCCTTAGCAGTAGATTTTTAAAATTGGTCAACTCACGCTGAAGACAATCTGCGTTTAGTAAATCTTTGCATTTTTCGTGACACTTGACTCCACATTCTGAAAACAAACACCAAATTTAAACTAGCTTTCTAACTATGAAAAAAATCTGACAATCTCTAAATTAGCCAAAAATTATAAATGCTACAGATTTAAACAAAGCAAAAAAATACTGTATTCCATTGTATAAAATTATACTGATATCATATTATAATTGAACATTAAATATTTTCTTCATTAATACTGAATTTTCATTGTATGAATCATTTTGCATATCAAGTCTTGAATATCAAGTTCGAAATGATAAGCAATAATGCTTTAAAGAGTCTTAAAAAAAATTGAATACATCAAGTTCTTTTTTAATACCGAAAGATAAAAATATATAAATGGATATCAGAAGAAATACTCTGATGGCAGATGTTATTGGTTTGTAAAGATGGCTAACTTCGCCTGTTTACAACTTTTACGATTAATATCAGGACATAAAAAATGAAACAATACTTACCACGACATCGAAGACCTTGCCTTGCAAGCCCCCACAACAGACTTTCGCATTCATAACAAAAAATTGGATGCTGAGCGGAGAATTTTTCGAATTTATGAGGTGTTGTGCCTAAAACAGAGAATTTTCAACTGAAAATTGGTGAATCAAAACAAGGATAAGCAATATAGGACGAGGGAGTTTGGAGGGCAGGGAAGGTTTAAGGGGGTGGAGTGAACTAACATGCACGGATATCAGATAACAGTTCTCAGATATCAGATAGCATCAAAGAGCTATATAAAAAACTAAAATTTCTAATTCCCACCTTAAATTTTTCAGTACACTCATTTTTTTTATAAGAATCAAAGGTCGATGTTGAGTACTCCAATTTCTTAATGTTCTGGAAATTTCAATACTTGTTGTTTCTTATAAGTTTCTAAATTATGATGTCATGAATGATGTTATGAAATGTTCGTGACCTCTTTTATCATGTCAAGAGATTAGCTTCCGTTCTGATGCTGTATTTAGACGTGGAAAGTATATTTTTATCCCTTGTGTCTTAAGTTCTAGGCCAACAGGACAAAATTTCGTTGATCTCAGTTTTATCACGATTTAAAAGTTTCTTAATTTTTTCTGACTGTCCACTACTCGTTTCATATAGCCAGTTTCTTATAAAAATGAGTGTAATGGTGAATCTTAAATGACAATCGTCCATATTCTAAATGACAATCGTTTTGAGTTCAATCATATTCTATAGATATATACAAAAATATAAAAATCTTTGGTGATAGGTAGTAAAATATATATTATCACTTCTAAATGGGACATTGTTTTTATGAAGAAGATATTTCAGGACATTTGGATAGAAAGTGAGTAACTACATATCGGAGAGGAAAAGTTTTGGAAATACAGAATTTTAAGAGTAAACTTTAGTAATATCAAAACAACAATAAAGAAATCTAGAGAGCTTTTAAATCACATTTGTACACGGCAGGGTGCAATGTGATTTTGTAAATGGATTGCAGTGATTCAAATTTCAGCATTGGCTGTTCTATGTTTTTATCTCTGCAAATATATTTCAACAAAAAATCTCCAATAACAACTTGAATACAAAAAAGCTTACTCGATATTGGGTAGATTAAAGCTTGCAGTGTTTTCTTGTAAACATGCAATTTCTGTAGAAGCGAAAAGACAGCGATTAGAATACAAAATCAACATGGGTATTAATTCAGGGCCGGGATTTGGTTTGATTGGGAGCAGAAGACGAGTATTGACCGGCAAAATGAGGTTACACGACAAGTGACTAACGGTTTTGGTGGACCTTTTTAGGCCATTGAGTCAGAACTTGATTAGCTGAACGAGGCTGCGCTGGACGTGCATAAATTGTAAACAATTTTAAAAAATTCACTGTGTCTTTTTCATTTTAAAATAAATGTTTAAGAGACAAAATACTTATTATAATAGAAATTTAATCGATGTAGCCATAATAGATCATAATAAAGTCAAACTTAGTCGCATGATGACTGCCATTTTGAAAGAAGATTTGGCTAGGATGGGTCGTGGAATTTCGTTTGAAGACGACTTCAAAATTGTCCGGTTATAAATATTTTCTTCGTTTAAAAGCATGAAACTCTTTCAGCTGGGAAGCAAGGAATCAAAGAACTAACTGAAGCAATTTTGCATGTTAAAAGCAAGGTATCGTATCAAGTAGAATTTAATATTGCATCAAAGTACAGGGCTTGGGTTTTTCCCGTTTTTTGAGACAGAATGGCTACACGTTTTATTTCTAAGAACAACCCTTATAAGAAACATCAGGTTGAGATTAGCCAAAAAAAGGAACAATATGAGAAACAAGGCAGGAAGAAATTTAACAAAACTCAAGAAATGAAATACCAGCAAAAATTAAAAATGAACGCATAGCAACAGAAAAACAGAAAGCGATAAGCAAAATAGCATGAATTCAGCATTTATCAAGCACATGTTATGTCCGGATACTACTAGGCACGGAAAATTAAAAAACAAAAAAAAAACACGTGAGGTTGAAGTTAAGCGAAAAAATAAGAAACGCGAAGCTTAAACTGGAGCATTGACTTGATATGTGTTCTTATAAAAAAAGGGATTTATGCTTACAAGTTTGACAGAAATAGCAAAACGCAACAACACAAAACCTACAATTAACTTATATGAATGGACTTTATTTTGAAATGCAGGTGGTGAAATGTTGAAACACTTTTGGGAGATTTGGTTTGCCTGTGTCAAACTTAAAGACTTCACAATAGATAGCAACATTCCACTGAAGAAGAAGCGTGGCCTAGCATTTCAATGACGTTTTAAAAGCGCAGTTCACAAATATTTTTCGTACTGAATAAACGTTTCACTCAAATGTGATGCTGTTTTTTCATCTATGTAAATATTTAACAAAACAACACCAAACACGTTCAATCTTGTAAATAAAAGAAATTGCTGTCCTGACAACACTTCTAAACTTTGAAAAACAAGCAGTGTGAGCAATGGCTTGGATCCCAGCTAGCCACAAAGTTTCCCGATATAGGACTCTGGTTCTAGTTATCAACGCCGAATAACCAGAGACTTCCGAGCTAGGTCTTTTTACTTTATGGCGGTACCTTACCGCCTAAAACCATTGATTGGCTGCGCTTGGAGATGCTATGCCATGAAACATTTGCCGTGACTTGCCACGTTCCCACGAGCTAGAAGAGGCTAGAAGCGAGGGGATATTTCAATGCGCGTGTGTGACGAAATCACAGGGTGCTAACGCTTGCTGTTCTAGAAAATTACGGAGGATACCAAGTCGAAGCACTGTGAACCCTGCCGAGAAGCAACAGCCAGCAGCCTCTTTTCTATGCGAGTTATGAAACAGCTTCCAGTCTCTTTTTTCGAAACAGCTTCAAGTTCTTACGGAAACTCTGTCAAGGCAATTATTGCACCTTGAGCATCTTTCTGATAACTCTACAAAGAGGAGTTAGCTTAGCATGTTTATACTCAGCATAATAAACACAATTCAATTACGAAAAATCTGTAGGAACGCCATACTCACCAATTCTTCGTCATTCAGAGAAGCTCTGTTTGTCAAGTTGGCTCTGGACTGTCGTTTCAGTGCCCAGGCCGAAGTCTGTTTAAAAAAAACATTGCTTTTTATATAACGAAAAACCGAACAAAATCATCAATGTATTTAAGAATGGTACGGACAATACATTGCAACAAAAGAAAAATCTTCAAAACATATCATAATAACATTAATATAACCTTACCTTGAAAATTATTCATCAAGTGATGACAGAGAGAAATTTCTTATCCTTCTTTCTGTACCCGCCAACAATATCGTAAAATCGCATACGCCTATTTTTTATTTTTTTTCCATTCGATTCATACTTGCTTAATTTCTATAGTTTTCGTTTCTTTCAACCATTCTGCTATTTCATATCTACCTAGTTTCATTAAACACATATGAAACTTCTAATTGGGCAATTTACTCTCTTAAAAAACGTAGTTACATTAAACAAAGCCATGGTTACTGGAAGATTGCTATCAACCGATCCGTTACAAGTGGACAGCGATACACATGCTTTGTTCTGGAGAACAGGGCAGCTTTAAGTTTCTTTTCCCTGTTTCACGCTTAATGCGTTTGTCAGGGCACTTCTACTAATAATGTTTAGATTACTATGAAATATTTCAATCGTCATTGAAAAACTGCAAGCAAATTTTCCGCATCCATAACAAAATTAGTGAATACTTGCTCTACTTTCTTCCACCAACAGAAAGAAACTCACCCCAAATATCGAGTTTCTTCGAGGTGAAGCTTCAATCCGAGACGTGGAGTCGATTCCTTCGAAAAATGACTTCCTATAATAAAACACAAAAACTACATTTAAAACCAATCAGATGCTATGCTTTATGATAATAACACAATATTTTTAGAAAAAAGAAATCATCGGTCCGGACAAAATCCCACGTGAAAAATTTACGAAAGCATCGTTCGAATTTACTTTGCTCTGCGGCCGAGTGCACAAGGCGAGCATGCATACAGGTGGGTATTACAGGGAGTGGGACCACACAACAATAGACACATATGTTGCTTCAATAAAACATTTGTGACAAATAGCAAGTGACAAAAACGAACAGAATTTTATTGATCCAAACAAAAAGGATTTCTACTTTTAATATGAAACTTTTTGACAGCATGTTCTCTAGCAACACGTAAAAGACTTAAAACTAAAACAAAGGTTTTTTGTGGACCCTTCTTGAAGCCTTAGCGCCATTTTGAAATCGTCAATGATACGACAGCCAAACAGGAAACCCATAATGAAAGCGGTCTATACAGGGCCATCGCTAGCTGTTCGGAGAAAGAGGTGGGGGGGGGGGGTTCTCCGATTTGTTGGTGAACGAAGCACCCCTGGATAGATAAAAACTCCTCATTTTTGCAATGACAGTTTTTACCAAGAAGGGGGTTTGGTTTAACACCTCCCACATTTCCCCTCCTCCGTAGCGACGTCCCTGAGTCTCCAGATTGTCGAACTTAGCTTGAAACTTTTGCTCGACATGGTCAGAGGAATTGGGCTATGACACAGTTAGGGTTTACTGGGTTTGGGTATTTATTGTACAAAGGCTCGTATTTCCCGAGATTTGTGCAAAATAGGCGAGTATAATGGCACGAGACCATTTTTGGCAGAACATTATCATCGTTCCAACATAGTTTTACCTCAAACTCTTACTTCTGTTCTTGAATTATTGAATAAACGACTGGTACGCAAAATGACTTACGATTCCCTTCTCTTCTGCCAAGTTTTCCTGCGAGTTGAAGACGGGGAAAGCTTAAAGCCGCCTTTACGCCTAAGTCTTGGGGTGTCTTCAAGGGGAGACACGCTGTCTATTTCTTCGCCTGCATCATATGGAGCAAGAGAGGAAGAGCGCGAGACAGACTTTGTGCCTTCCTGAAAAATAAATTTATTTAATAGCTTTGATAATAAGACGTTTTTTTAAATAATAAGGTTTTTTAAACTTTATGCACAAATATTTTGACAAAAATTATTTCTCCGAACAAGGACGCTTAGATAAATACATGCGATTCTGTAACAAGTCCCACTTCTCTATTTAGCTTCCCATTTCAAAGTATGCTTCCTTATTAGTGACCTTCGTCGCATTGCCATTGGGCTTCGTGTTTTCGTTCATTATGGTTTGTTCTTTAAAATATCTTTCAATGCCTTTTCATTTGAACCGCTTCAAAGAGTCCAGGGACAACAACTATGTCTTCTAAATACTCGGCAACAAACGGCATAAACTGCAAGCAGTACACATTCAAATTAAGCCACCCTTCATTATTAAGTCGCCTTCTATTAAGCTCCCCTCTATTTAGCTCCCCTCTATTTAGCTCCCCTCTATTTAGCTCCCCTCCATGATACCTTGGGAAATAGCCCCCCCCCAGGGGGCTTTGGATAGAATTTACGTTAATTTTGTAAAAAAAATTACCAGAGAGTGCTATTGAAACCAACATTAGGATTTTCCATAAAACTTTGTGCGCATACTTAGAAGTTTTATTTTATCAAGCCATCATTGCTGAGTGAACATTCAATCAGTAAAAGAAAGCAAATACTCTGATAACGAGTGGTACAATTATAAACTGATGAAAAAGAAAGGCCGGATACCGCGGCTATCTTACGAGAGCATTCTTAAAAATTCCCCTTACTCTAAATATAACTGGATCCTTTGCCGATTTGAAGTTTGAAGATAAAATCCAAAAAAACATCATAAAAAGAGAGCCTTGTTAGAAAATCTATCCCAAACACGGCGCATTGTGTGTTGGGGCACAATTGGAACTATTTTAGTCGGTATTTTGTAATGGTTTGCGCCCTTTATTCCTTAGAGGGGAATAAACTGTTGGCCAAAAAGTGAGAGGAGTGTCCTAATGTAAAAAAAAATTAAGTCTTCAAAACAAATTTGCTTGGTTGATGAGCCAAAAAAGGGATCTTATTCTTTAAGTCCCTTGGCAAAACCGTTCTGTGGCTAGAAGTAATCAGCACCAAACACTCGTACCTTTAGATCGACGCAAAATGCTGAACTTAAAAAAATCCTAGAAAATTACCTCATGCGATGAGTGAGTTTCTTCCTTGTTCATATACTCACTCTCTTCTTGGTCGTGTATCTCTAAAATTTCCTTGAACTTTTGTCTTTCTTTTTCATGCGCCGGTTCCAGTCCCTCCCCTTGTCTTATTTTCTGGTCCTCCTTGATCGTTCGTACTGCCTTGATCCAGTTATTCCGTGCCTGTACAGAGGTTTGGTCCGCCTCTGGTAGATCGTTCCTTTCTTCTTCGTAGGATGAACGAGAGAGGGTCCGATCTTTCTCACTGTGCTCCGATGCTGAGTCCGGATCAATTATTTTACCGTCTGGAACATCTTGCGAAACCATATCCTCCGTTTTTGCAACCATGGTTTCTTCTTTGACCAGTGTGCGTGCTACGGAGGATGGTGGTGACATTGTGGAGGAGCCATATTCTGAAAACAAAGAAATTTAGTTGTTTCTCGATTTCTAATATATGCAAAATACTAGTATTTCTTATTTGGTTTCATCAATAAAAAGTTATCTTGTTATATCAATGCAAAGTTATCTTGTCATCAATACAAAGTTATAAAGGGAGCCTTAAGTTTTAATATAACCCTGAACAGAATGACATTTAATAAAGGCTTCATTCGGACGAGGTGAAAAATTGTCAACCTAAGTGACGAAAGTCAAAGGGTTCCGATCTTGTATCCCTTGAACGTAAATCTGTTGATGAATCGAAAAATACTAGAAATAACGGAAGATGAAAAAATGACGAAGATGTTGTATTTCTTGTGGAAACAGTTGATAATGACTATTTTCAACGATTCAAAAGACTATTTTTGTGTCTCTTGTACTTTATTTAAAACTGGGAAAAGATGTTATATCTTTTATAGAAGTTGTGAAAGGAACACCTTCCTGACATTCCGTTTTGGAGGCTTTCTATTATCCTCGTTTTTCAGATATAATAATATATTTCGGGTATAATCGCCAAATCTGGCAATTTTCAGTAGTTTTGAAAAGTTACATTAAAAATTAAAGTTAAAGTTGGATTATAATAAATGGACGTTTATTTAATGCTAAACATCTAATAACAGATGAGAAATTTACGCGGACATGAAAATAACGGGGTTTTAATTAACGCAGAATTTTTCAGGTAAATACTATGATAGCACTTCCAGGGGTATGACATGTGATACATCAACAAAGAAAGCACGCGCGTTAATTTAATCCTACTAATGTGACGTTATTGGTCGATGCAGCAATTCTGACGTCAGATAACATAAGATTAATGTTCGAGATTAATGAAAAAGATTTTTACATCGGTGGATTACATATTCTGCAGACGCGGCCTACGGAGTGCCTGGCGGACATCGCCAAACAAGCAAGAAGGCAACCAGATGAAAGGAAATCTTCCATACATAGAAATAAACGGATCTCAAGCTGGAGATTGGAAGGTTTTTATTCATCTGGGGAACTTCATCTGGCGAAATGTACCCTTGGCAGGAATTCGAGCGTCTAGACTTGCCGATGCGAATATTGGATACTGCGACAAATCCAAAGCAAGATCGCGTCTTTGCATCAGTTAATAGCAGATATCAACAATTTGTAACATGGAAGAAGAGATAATGCCCAATTAATAACAAATAATGACTCAAAATATCGACGTGCGTCGTTAAATAGCTGATACTAACAAATATTGATTCAAAATATCGGCGTGCGTCGGTTAATAGCAGATATCAACAATTTGCAACAAAGAGTGAAAGATATTGCCCTATTACTAACAAATATTGACTCAAAATATCGGCGTGCGTCAGTTAATAGCAGATATCAACAACTTTTAACATGGAAGAAGAGATATTGCCCAATTACTAACAAATATTGACTCAAAATATCGGCGTGCGTCGGTTAATAGCAGATATCAATGAGGTGCAACAAAGAGGGAAATATATTGCCCAATTACTAACAAATATTGACTCAAAATATCGGCGTGCGTCGGTTAATAGCAGATATCAACGAGTGGCAACAAAGAGGGAAATATATTGCCCTATTACTAACAAATATTGACTCAAAACATCGGCGCGCGTCGGTTAATAGCAGAAATCAACAGTTCACAGAAAGGAACGAGAGATATTTACAGAATTTTTTAAAAGTTGTCGACACAAAATATCGAGGAATGATTAAATCTTCATTTCAATAATGTTGTACAGGAAAAGTACAACGTGTAGCTGAAAGTACAGCTAAAAAACGATAACTTACATACGGAAACTGGTACCGTTTTTAAAAATCAATTAATATTGATGTCAAAGTTGCCTGGAAAAGGACAATAAGCTACAACGCATAACAGTTTGGTTTCCAACTTTGTATTTCTAAAACAATGAAATGATCTTCCAGGAATAAATATGTAACCACTCGGACATTGGCCAAAACCATTATCAAAACACAACGAGCCTAATCGATCGAAATCTGCAGACAAAACTGCCAAAGAAACGGAAGAAGAACAAAAGCTGCTGTCCCCCATCAAAGGAATATATATAGACCAGAAGTTGCACAAAACAACACCAAGAGAGCATCTTGAAAATAAGGGACTGAATTTACCCTACCGAATGGGGTCGACCATTCAGAAAACGTCTCAAAGTTCAGAACTGCATTCACCCCATCAATATTCTTCGATAGACATCAAGGGCGAGTGCAGCTACCCCCATCAAATGAAGTCAACCATCGAAAAACACCTTAAAAGACCAGAAATTGCAGCTACCATATCAATGTACGTGGATAAACATCAAAGACATGAGCAGCTACCCCCATCGAATGAAGTCAACCATCGAAAAGCACCTTAAAGTCTAGAAATTGCAGCTACCCCATCAATAAACGTGGATAAACATCAAAGACATGAGCAGCTACCCTATCAAATGAAGTCAACCATCGAAAAGCACCTTAAAAGTCCAGAAATTGCAGCTACCCCATCAATATACGTGGATAAACATCAAAGTCCATTGTAGCTACCCTATCAAATGAAGTCAACCATCGAAAAGCACCTTAAAGTCCAGAAATTACAGCTACCCCATCAATATACGTGGATAAACATCAAAGTCCATTGTAGCTACCCTATCAAATGAAGTCAACCATCGAAAAGCACCTTAAAGTCCAGAAATTACAGCTACCCCATCAATATACGTGGATAAACATCAAAGTCCATTGTAGCTACCCTATCAAATGAAGTCAACCATCGAAAAGCACCTTAAAAGTCCAGAAATTGCAGCTACCCTATCAATATACGTGGATAAACATTAAAGTCCATTGCAGCTACCCCATCATATGAAGTCAAACATCGAAAAGCACCTTAAAAGTCCAGAAATTACAGCTACCCTTTCAATATACGTGGATAAACATCAAAGTCAAGTGCAGCTACCCCCCATCGAATGGGTCAACCATCAAGAAAGCACCTTAAAAGTCCAGAAATTGCAGCTACCCCATCAATATACGTGGATAAACATAAAAAACACGAGCAGCTACCCAATCGAATGGGTCAACCATCGAAAAGCACCTTAAAGTCTAGAAATTGCAGATACCCCATCAATATACGTGGGTAAACATCAAAGACAAGTGCAGCTACCCCATCGATTGGGTCAACCATCGAAAAGCGCCTTAAAGATCAGAAACTGCCTAAGCCCCATAGAATGATGTCGAATAACACCAAAGACATGTGCAGCCATCAAGAAAGCGTCTTAAAGTTCAGAATTTGCATTTACCCCATCGAACAAAGTCAACTATCAAAATGCACCTTAAAAGACCAGAAACTGCAGCTACGACATTGAATGAAGTCAACAATAAAAATCAAAGGCGAATAAAGACCAGAAGCAGCTGAAAGCCAAATCGAGAAAGCAACTTGATATTACAATCACCCCATTTGGAGAACCTCTAAATGCCAACATCTGCAGATAACCCCATCTACAAAGCAAATTAAAGACAACAAGTTGCAGATAGCAGTCAAGATCAGATGCTGAATAATCCACTAAACACAGTCGACAACACCATTGTCACGAGTACAGAAACCAAAAGTAGGATCATATACTGCAGATACAAATATTTATTCAATTGTCTTACAGATAGATCGAAAATTGCTGACACCCTAAGTTTAAAGAATCTAAAGACAAAATATGTCCCAAGGGAATCAGAAACTGCATAAACCCCCACCAACAGAGCATCTATTTGATAAAATAACAGAATCTCTAAAGAAGATAGGTATCTTTAACATAAAGGACCACATGACGATCCGAAACTCGCCACCCATCGAAAAAATCATTCACAGCACAATCACCCATTTAGAGAACCCAAAAGACACCAGAAACTGCAGTTACCCCTAAGATAGACTCGAAATGGCAGACACCAATCAACAAAGCTTTGCAAAAATCAAAATCTCCAAATACATGCAATCGCGGATTCTCACACTAATCAAAATTGATGTAATCATTCCAAGAAGATGTTTTCATTCCAAGAACCCTTCAAAAAGCCACTGCAAGCTGAAAACGTATTGTCAACCACACAGATCAAAAGTTTTGTTGACGAAACTCGTAGGCCAAGGCACAAACTGTAATAACCGTAAAAAGAAGTATTTTGCAGTATGATCGACAAGATATACATTTCAAATATAACTAAAAAATCTATCAATTCATAACCAAATTGAAAAAACCCACTATTAAAGTTTAAAACCCACGTAAAATTGCATTGTAAAATATCATTTGTTTTATACCTTTGTTTTATTCTGCGAGTTTTGTTTTTTTTATCCAGTTCTCTTAGAAAGTTAATGATTCTCAAGGCTAGAAATAAACTTATTTTCAAAACTAATGAATATTACTGTTTATCGGACTGTCAAAAATATATATTACAGTCCCTTTTATTACTAGTGACTTTTAATAACAGTTACTAAAGTGTCCTTTTTCGGTCAAATAATGATTAGGTCATTAATTCATACTTCCACAACAAAATAATTTAATTTATTTGCGGGGTTTCATATTTGCTACAAAATAATTTAAATTTGCTCGCAAGACAATATCGAGGATTGAAAGAACTTAAGTCTATTGACTAAATAGTTTTTATATAAGACGTAGATATGATATCATCAACCGAAACCAGTAGATGTCACATCTCATGATGTCATAGCAGTCAACTGAATGCGAACGCAATGAACACCTTGCATGGAGATTTAATTAAAACAAAAAACATTCTACCCACTTTTAAGAAAGTTTATTTGAAACACCTGCATGATCAACAAATTAAATATAAATATCAGCGGTTTGCTTTGAGAACTTCGTGCAAATGAAAAAGCCCTATTGAATTTGCATCATCAAGTTGTCTTTGAGTCACCAGCTAAAAACGAGGTTCCGAAACTAATTTCTTGAAATAGAATTTTCCTTATTCCTTTAAACTGATACCTAATGAAGGATTAATATCCCAAAACATCAAACAGACGTGAACATATTCCTGGAGAGTGCTTCCTTTAAATATATCTTTTTTTATTTAACGAAAATTATTGTTTATTGGTCTGCCATGAAGAGCTCGATGCCGCGTAGGCAGAGCTGTACACGCTTTTGGTGAACAGAACTTTGCAGTTCGAAGTTGCTACTCCGAGTTTCAGCCTTAACGCTTAATGCGAGCATCAGGCAACAGTTTCAATTTCGGTGAACTGCTCATATCTTATATAAACAACACTATATTAACAATATTTGCAGTGGGGAGACTCGTGATGACTGTCTTCAAATAGGTTTAATACAATCAGGCCCACTGAAAGGGGGCAAAGGGGGGAGTGTTTATCAATGCTTAACGAATATTAATTAAAGTAAGTAAACCCTTTTTGCAATTTATATTCAAATTAGAAGAGTTTTAGGTCTATTGTCTTGGGAAAGAAGGGGCCTAAGCATTGGCCTGCCACTGGGCCCGGCGTGGCTCTCTGCGGCTCGGAATACAAGATTGACAAACAGAGAGAGCCGTATGTCCTTAACATTTCGAGACGTTAGCATTGACTAGTGCAATAGAAGACAAAGTAGATTATGAATTATACGACAGATATTGCAGGATATTGACAAAAATGTATTATTTCTCAAATCGCGGACAAAACTGTGTTACTGATCGTGTAGAGGCACATCATGCAAAGATTTTGATAACAGGGTTTCTTCCAATTTTATTATACATTATTTGGTTAAAAGTAAAGTGATGCAGTACTATTTATGAGTTTATCCGCTTTAGCAAAAAAACTACTTTGCGAGTTTTTCTTTCTTTCAAAACATTTGCTTTCTATCTATTGACTGAAACAAACTGAAAGCCGTATCTCTCAAATGCTGGGAAACTTGGCATGAAAATTGAATTAAATTGTGTTCTAACTCAAATTTGTGGTGATTTTCGCTCACAATTCTAAAATTTGTTTGTCAAATCGCTTAGATAATTCACTATCAGTTTTCAGATCAGAGTACCGAAACTGCTTGAACTGGCATACAAATTAAACGTGTTTTTTCTATCCTAACTTTGAAAAATAAATGGTCTGAGGGCGTGCCATTGTCGACATTTTAATTGAAAAGGCTTTCCTCGCAGTATGAGAACACATAACGAATAGTCTTTTACGATAGAAATTTTAACTTAAAAAAACGAAACCAGGAAACTGCTTACTGGGCCTAATTTTATACGAATCGTTTAGAAAGAAACACTAAAAATACCGTCTGCTTATATCGAAAAAAAACTCAAGAGAAGCAAACCGAAAAAAAATACCTTCATCGCTAGTGGAGCATCTAATTGGTGAATCTAGATCGCCTATTTTGATTCGATTCCACTGGTTTTGGATCAACTGGATCTCCTGACCCAGTACCGAATAGCAGTAACGCAGCTTTTCTTCTAAAAGTTCTTCCTCTTCTGCAGAAAGCCCTTCAAAGAGAGAAATAATAATCATGATTACAAACATTTCATCAAACGTTCGAATTGTTAGATAATTTAGATAGTAGCCCACCTGATTGTAAGCAATGGACGTTATAGATAGAGACCACAAAATTGGATTTTCTTTGAAGCCTAGAAACCTACCAATGTTATCGAACATTGAGTCTTACTTACTATAGTTCTTTTCTTCAACCTATTTTGTAAATAATTGTAAACATACGGGAGTTGTGCCTAGATTCTAATAGAGCTGAGTCTACATCCTTAAAACAATCATTCTTCGATGAAATCTGTTGTGAAACTCAAAGAGGAGCCACAACGGGCCTAACCTCCATTGAGAGAGCATATTTCGGTATTTTCTAAATAATATCTTACACGAATTACTTTGACATGAATGAAACATAAATTCGAAGCTTGCGTTTAACTAGGGGAAACTGCGTACCGTCAAATTAGTCGCTTTTTGAAAACACGCTCGCGGGAGCCATTCAAAACGTATGAAAATGTACCCGAAACTGAGACTAATCTGCCCTGAAAAAATCTGCCGTTACAGACAGGCGGACCAAAATAAGTAAGCAACACATTAATGGATGTTCTTGTGTAGACAGAAACTTAAACTAGTATGAAAACGACATGTTTCTGTGTTAACAGTCAAACCTTCCATTCCACATAGAAAAGTAGGCAAAAAGGAATGCTATCAAAATGCGTAAACATCTTTTGTTGCAAACAGAACTCCGTAAACAAACGTTGAACTACGATTTGAAACAAGCATGTGTTTTAAAAGTTGCCTTTGCAAAAAGTCAAATTTTATATACTCCGGTGCTTTCACAGCCGAAACTGAAATGCAATGTTTTCGATTGAATGAATTAAAAACCACAGAGAGCTTTGACAAAAGTAGACATTCCAATGAAAACAAGATATTATGCTGAATTCATTAGATGTTGTGGCGTCACACCAAGATAAAACCAATTTCTCCACATGTCACATTTCGAATAAACTCCGAAAATGAGTCATTCTTTTCAGAAAAGCTAACATAAAAAACCCCAAGTAGCAGTAAAAAGGCTTCCGTTTTTAGTGTCCTTTTAATTGAAAAAGCAATGTACCAATACTTTATATCTTAAGAAATGATATCTTGTTAGCCTCTCGTTGGCCTCTTGTTAGCCTCTTGTTAGTTTCTTTCTTTAGCCTCTCTTTACAGCCACTCTTCTGAGAGGCTAAACCCTTTCCATTCTTAGGGCTTTACTGATTAGCATGAGCATACCCAATAGGTACCCAATGATACCGGAATTACCGCTACGTTTTTAGCCCAATTCCCGATTATCAATTCCCGAATCCCCGTTTAATCGATTCCCGATTCCCGCTCACAAAAACTTGTCAACTCCCGATTCCCGACTTCATGAAATGTATCTGAGAGCAGAAAGCCAAAAATATATCACCCTAGAAAATCAGCTTTAGGAAATTGACTATTTTCTGTTAGAAAGTAAAATCATTTTCTTTCAACTGTACTTAGGATCCCAGCTCTAAACCTATAACTCCCTAGTTATTGAAATAATATTACAACCACGGAACAGTGTAAACTTTAACGTTGTTTCTGGTTTTATCCAATTGTTAGCTTCACTCTCACAGATCTACATAATCCTTTCACGAAACACCAACATGTTTATTCAGGTATTTAGCTGCCTTAGGAACAACGCAGCTGGAAAAACACTTACTCATGCAAAAAATTAATGGCGAAGAATAAAGCTGTAATTTTTAAGCTATTCGCACCGACAAGCGTCAATAATGTGACAATAAATATGGAAATCACATTCTTTATAAGTCGAACGAAGTTGTCAATCTCAATTTTTAAAAGGCTAATCCAAAACTTGATCTACTCTTTTACTACAACCTTAGAGTCGGTGGGGGGCTGCTTTGAAGAGAACTGGGGGGCGGGGTTATCGCAAAACATGTTGTAGAAAACAGTAGCACAAAGTAGTAATAGGCTTATTTCGAGGTGTAAGGACGGCTCAGCAGCAAAGATCGCAGACTACAGATCCAAAGATCCGGGGTGCCCGTCACAAATATGACCGTTATTTTAGATTGAGGAGAGTCGTTTTCTCTCTGTAATTCCAGGTGTAGGAATCACGAGGTGTGATCACATCACATAGAGAGGAAGGACCAGGACACTGCTCGATAAGCAAAGCTACCCAGTACATTGGTCATTTCCTTTTCATGCTGCCTTCAGCCTCATCATCGTTACCACCATGGACAAGAGGCAAGCCGGTTTTACAGTTAGAACTATCAAATTTGACTGCAAATCTGGTCAGATGACTTTGCACTTTATTGCCATTAAGACTTACCGTCCGGTAAACTGAATCGGGCATCGACCAGCAACCGGTGCTTTGTCGCTTGTAACCCGAATGGGGTTTGTTGAAATAATTCCAGCCATGCTCCTTCGGAGTTCTGCGTTCAGAAAGAGGTGTATAAGAATCATACAAGGGCAAGAAAAAGGACATAGTCTTCTATATAAAAGTATCATGAAACAGGGAGTGGTCATTAAAGTTCAAAAATGGAGTTAAAATTTGCCTACTATCGCCTATTTAATAGGCTTTAGTAAGGTATTAGAGACATCCTTTCGATTTATTTAGTAGGTAGAACTGATTATCCTGTATTTCCTAAAAGTCATTTTGTCACTGTAATGATTTGTAAAGAACTGGGAATTTCTTAGAAAACAAATTATTTCAGACTCAAAAGATTGGTAGGCTTAAGTGAGAAAGTAAAGTATGGATTTTGATTGTCTTGTGACTTTTCAGAGATGTTAACGCAAAGCACAGATTGTCAGTTATAACACTAAACAGATCATTATAATTCGACTGTCAAATGAACTTTTATTATTGATGTCTTCGAAAACGGGGATAAATTTGCCAAATCCTTTAAAAGTTCTTGAAAAAAGGAATTTCTGTAAAAACGAACAAAGAAATGGCAGTTGAAGTCCTCTTTTAGCATGGGAAAGTCATATCGTGTGATTGACACTAGGACCTGGCTGGTTGAATAATTGACATAGCAAATAACCTCTGCAATGAGCTCATAAAGTCCGTTGCAAAATACAGAGCTGCAAGGAAGGCAGGAAAATTATAATCACATACCTTCGCAGAATGCCTGATTTGGTATAGAGGAACTGTTGTAAATCCGAGTGATTTGTCCCAAAATAGGCCTTTGATTTTCAGCTCGAATTTGAGGCTGTCTGTCAAATCCTCGACATCACTACGAAGGAGAGGCAATGATTTGTGTTAACTTGTGGAAGAAAATATTAACTACAATGGCGACTGCAGTGTCGATTGGTTTATTTACTAGATTCGTTTATCAACTAGGCCACCTTTCGGTAGGGAACTCCCTATCGTAAATGTGATTCCATTGCCTGGCCTGTATTTTTTAGCAGAAATAAGATAATATTGAAAACTTTTTTCAGTTACTAATGTATTTGTTCAGATTTGTTAGAATGAAGTGGAATTTCAATATTATGGAAACTGGACTAAAATGAACCGGCAAAGATATACATTTTGATAAAACAACCAACTTGGATAATGGTTACTCGACTTAAAAATAAATTTTAAGTCAAAAGTGTTTAACAAAGCTTCGTTTTCATTAACACGTGGCAAAAAGTTGCAATTTACAAAGCAATGTTCGATGCCACTGTCACTGGATCCTATAAAATCATTTCATCTGATTGAAAATAATGGTAGAATTCTTATCACAGTGTATTAATCAACATAAGGGGGCAGGCTCATTGGGGTCGTCCCAGCCCTGTGGATTGACCAAACATTATTTTTAAAAATAGCACGGCTTTTGCAATGTACGAAGAATGTGGAGGAATGATACTTCGATATTATGAATTGGCGATGTGGACAAAACTGATGATGATGATGATTGATGATGATGATGATAATGATGATGATTGATGATGATGATTGATGATTGATGATTATGATGATGATGATTATAATGATGGTGACAATGATGACGACAACGAAGATTCCAAATGTATTAAAAGTCTGAACTTTTCTAGATGCGCTTCCAGTCTGTTTCCCAGACAACTAAGAACCTTTATGTTTTATGAGAATGCCTAAAAAAACAGCGGCACAAGCTATGACGCAGCAACTTTACACAACTCATATATTGGGGCTCTGTGAGTGGGACCTAACTGGGATTTTTTTTTTTTGATATGACGAAGGACATTTTTTGCTTGATAGCATAACACGAAAAATTATTTTTATTCGGTTGCTTTATCAAAATGCGTTTCGCATATTTACAGTTTCTTGATAAACGGCGGGAACTGCTATGACGCAGTAAGTTTACAAAACCGAGATCTTTGAATTCCACTATCAACCTTTGCAGAAGGAGAAATCGATGCGTGCCTAACGATCTCTAACGACCCGCGCTGACAAAACGGTTCCAGCATAATGATCTCGCGGCAGTGCAATTACTTGATTACGAAGGGGAATCTTTCGTACGTAATTGTGAGCAGCCAAACTTTTAATTTCGTAAACTTCCTAGTTGCGAGTGCAAAGATTTCTTTAATTCGGCAATTGAACCGTTTGATTAAGAAATGTAGTCACAGTTCCCCAAATGATTAATTGATCATTCTCGTAACTGTTAGTCTGACAGACTTTTAACAAATTCCCGTTGTTTCTATGTTTTTCCTACACCAAACTACCTTATCCAACGGGGTCTGAAGAATTTGGAATGAATTTTGGATAAACCCTAGAGAAAACTGGAAACTACCTGCAAGCATTTTGCAACAATTTTGCATAGCCTGGAAACTTTCAAATAACTTTCACCGACTTTGCAAAACTTGGGAAAAACTAAACAGATTTGTAACAGTTGCAGTATATTCGAATTTCCCGCCCTTGCTTCAGACTCTTTAAATGTCCCGAGTTCCTTGCATGAAAGTTAATTCTTGCAGAAACTCGTGAAACGTGAAATCGCATATTCCCGCACTTTCTTTTGTATCCCACATAGCAAATTGCAAATTATACATCTAATTACGTTGACGCTTGACAGGATGAAAGCACCATTCTCGATTACGAGAAGTTTCTGATCTATTCTGGCTACCGTTCAACATGCACGTGCAGAACCAATTTTAACTGCCCAACGTCACGAGCAAAACTAAAGGTGATTGGTCGAATCTAAGAGGATGACCACAAAGGGGATCTCAGGCTAGCAGCCGAACCCAATTTAATAGCACGATTATAGACCTAAGTGTCGATTAGCGAACCTCAATTGACCACTTAATCGGGAAACTCACGATTCTCGATTGTTCGTTTGGGAAAATTGGGAAAATCCTTTGATTTTGGCATTCTATGCCTGCATTGTTTCGATTGTCTCCCGCCTTTGAATTCGGCTTCTATGTTTCCATTGTTAAACTCATCAAAATGCCGATCCATTGTTACACAATTGGCAACAATTCTACATATATATATATATATATATATATATATATATATATATATATATATATATATATATATGGATGCCCATCGAGCTGAGCAAAATCCCCCCTTCATGTACTCATTCTTCGTACATAAAAAACGAATCTGCCTGAATAATTTAATGCTTTCCATATGATCTATTTCCTGGTCACCCAGAAATTGAATTGCCACATACCAAAAGGCGATATTTAGCGTTTACTAGCAACTTCACTGTTGACAGCAACAATGAAAGTTATTTCAATGCCGCAATCAGCTGCTAGTTAACCAAAATTACATTTTTAATACAATATTCTCAAATCAAAGTCAGGAAAACATTACGGTCGCACGGCCACTGACCGGAGGAAGGTCCACGAAAAACAATAGAAGCTCCTATGACACACCCAAGCCACGCCCACTTTCTATTATTTTGTGAGGAAGGTTTACCTTCTGGGATGTTTTTGTCTGGAGGAAGGTTATCAACTTTTCTGGGCTCTGTCTCAAACATGAAGTGTTTCCTATTTGAAATAGTAGGATGTGATAATGTCTGCCCGCATTAACGATTCAGAATATCTATTTGTCATTGCGAGCTGTTATCTGCACATGTGGTATACCTCGCGGTGCACTTTGATGATAATGACAAATTACCACAACCCTAACAGACGCATTTTGTCTCTTGAGAATTTAAACTGGTGCAGGCACACTCACATGGGGCTTGAAAGGTTTCTGACGCATATGAAGTATTCCTCAAGGGAATGAAATTTATTGAAAACTACCACCGTAAAACTCAAGACATGTATGGTTCAATTCCCTTTAGATAGGAGTCGCCATCTATCACATCAATGCAGTGTGACCAGATCTAGCATTATATTATGCTTTTACCATATGTTTGACCAAAAATCGTCATTTAGCACAAAATCTGGCATAATCAGAAATTTAGCATAATTCTGGCATAATTTTTACAATAATTATCTGGCATAATTATATTTCTGTTAATAAGATTCGGGCCAACTGGGAAAATGGTGGATGTCAAGTATCTGCATGCAAACTTTTAACATGAGTTCATATTAAGTGCACCAATTTTGAACCAACAAAGTCCATGAGAATAAATTGAACCAGAACATTTACACCAGAGTGCAGGATATCTTAGTTAATTTCCTAAAGACGATCTTAATTGAAATAGCGAAGATGAATGATAAGAATTTTCAGCAATTGACATTGTATAAACTAATCATGTTTTTGTTAATTTGAATTGATTGTGCTGGTTTGTAAACTGTTCAACTTAAGTTGTTGAACGTTATTCTCCATAAATCCTCTATTTGTTGAACGTTATTCTGGGGTTTTTGCTATTCTGCACATGCGCTGGCCGCTCTTTCAAACGAGAGAGCCTCGATTTTAAATCTAGCATGAATTTTGTAAATCTGGCATAGTTTTATGACAATTTCAGCATAATTGCGAAATTGAGATCGGTCACACTGCATCAATGCAGAATACAGAGGTCTATTGTTGTTATACGTAGAAGCTTGAGATAAGTAGAGTCCTTCCCCACCCATTTTCGCTCCATATCACCAAAACCATGGGTGGTACAATCGCCAGAGGCACCTTTTTCTAACCTTACTCGCTAAACAAAATTTGAATAGACAAAGCTCTATTTAAAATATCCATCAAAATAACCACAAAACCGCAAACAAAACACCTAACGTATGTCAATTGCCTTGTAGCAGCAGATTGCATCCTAATTAAGAAAGCATTCTCAAATCCGTCGAATCAAGCATTCGCAATATATATTCGCTCGTTTTTCCTAACGAATTTAGCAGCTGCAGAATGAGAATCAATTTCGATAGGTCGCTTAAACTAGATTTAAAATATGAATAGGTCCGAACCATTTTCATTTCACCATGCGCAGAGATTTCGAGTTTCTCATTGCCTTGAAACTGATAACCCAATTAACTCAAGAAAAACCAATTCCTAGATTCTTGAAGAAATCAGAAAATTAAAGAATCTCTACGAACAAAAAAACCTAACATTTCCTACAGGATATCGTAAAATTCGATACCTCAATATTGCTTTTCTTTAACACGATGCATATTAACAGAACTTTTGCTTAAAAGAGCTACGTTAACAAACATCAATTTCCCATTACAGTTAAAAGCAGGTAACGTTTGATGAAATATTACACTATTAGTAAAACAATTAATATTTTGATGCGAAATTCATGTAATTAGCGGGTACGTAATTATGCCGAAATCAATACAAAGACAGGTATTTTTTAAAAGTAATGCAACGAAATTAATTACTTTTTCCGTTGGCGCCTGTTTTGGTAAGGCCACATGGATGGAAATTATTCACATATTTGGTTCTTATTACTGTAAATTTTCAAGAGAAATTGTATTTTGAGTTCATTCACGCATTTTATATCTTGAAGTATACCATAATTTTGACGTTTTTGCGAGTGATGTAGATTTTAGCTACAGCAGATATTTGCGATGAAGAATGATTCACGAGGGCCCGAGGAAATTATTCTTAAAAAAATCCGCAAAGTACGTCAGAATATGCAGATTTTCTTGCCTAATTGCCAAGTTTTTGTCCTGATGATGCAGAATACAGAATTTTGGTTAAAATTGGCACTGGTTTTTCGCACATATTTTAAGACGTGACGGAGGGTAAAACTGAAAAAAATAAAGTAAGACGTTTTTCTCCAGAAATAACTTTACCAACAAAGACACGCAAAATGTTCCTCTGTTTGACATGGAAAAGAATTGCCTCTGTCATATCAAACCATAAAATTTAATGTGTTTAATCACGTAAAGAGGACATTTTGTATCATCCGAATTAAAGCCACACCCACAATTTAAGCCTCACAAGTAGCTTTCGCACTGATGACAAAAGTTGAAGACGACAAGAAACAGAACACTTACAACGCAAAGTTTTGATGCCAAGCAGGATTTGCTCCTTTAACCAGGCGTGTTTCATTTGATTGGCTTTTCACATTTGCTGCCACATAAGTAATTGCTTGGCCTAAATAAATTCAAAGTAAATTAGATTTATCAAATTATATATATATGTCTTCGATTTCGAAAGAGAGCAAATATTCTTTTTATCTCAAAATTAAACAAATTCTCGCACAGAAATATTTTTTTGAAGAAGAGTTGTAAAGAAACTTCAAATTGTATAATTCTAGTTGCATTTCCAAATTTGCTGAAGAAAAACAAAACAAATTTATCAATATATCAAATTAATCAATATTTTTCATATTTAGATTCAAAGATAACAAATTCAGATAAAAAAGAAGTGAATTAGGTAAAGGATTTAAAAATAAACTTACCACTTTTCCGTTCCTCTTCCAAAACAACTTTTCCTTTTTTCACTGAAAAATTTATGGATGCTTCAAAACTAAAGCAATATATTAGGATTTGCATGCATATATCAGTAAGAGAGTTACTGGAATGAAACACTTACGTCTTGCGTAAAAACTTTTCAATAAATAAAGTTTTCCTATCAACCCAAAGAAATAATTTTGAACAACATTGTTGAAATACAAATCCACAAATTTAACTAGCTTTATAAAGGCATTGCTTTCAAATCTTTCAAATCATTGAATAATTTCGATCAAAGTATTTTCCACCATTCAACAATAAGCTGGCTACAGGTTGTGCTATTGAAATTAGGCAACAAAAACCTTTTGATTTCTTCTTAAAGTTAGCTAAATAAACAAAGAAACACCATTTTCTATTACAGATTTGAGAATTGAATTTACGCAAGGATTTGAACAATTTCAATAAAAAGTTGTTGAATGATGTTTGACTTTGAATTATTTTTTGCTTCCTGTGAACTTTAAGTTTATCAGATAGAGAATGCATCAAATTATCATATTCAGGGCCGCAGGAACAAATTTTGAGATGGGTGGCTCCGTACTAATTGATGTCATGATGTTATTATCAAGCATCAGCAAGAAAGTGGGGGCTCACCCCCCCCCCAGCCAGCTCGGATGTGCCTGATATTTCAATCTACATGGAAAATTACAACAGTTAACCTTAAGGTTCAGTTTTTTTGTTCACTCATATACACACTGTGCAGTATTACAAAACTGATCTCAAAAATGCAGCAAGCATGCCAACAAAAAGATAATTAACTTTGATGCTATTATCATGCATCAACAAAACGTGGAGGGCTAGAGCAGGCCTTGTGAGGGGTGAAGAGCAGGCCTTGTGAGGGGTGAAGAGCAGGCCTTGTGAGGGGCAAAGAGCAGGCCTTGTGAGGGGCAAAGGGCAGGCCTTGGGAGGGGTGAAGAGCAGGCCTTGCGAGGGGCAAAAAGCAGGCACCTGACAATCTGAGCAAATTCAACTTTCTAGGCATTCAATTGAGCATCTTCAAATATCATCAATAACAAAATCTGATTTTTTGCATTACGTTTTCAGACAGCAAAAACATGCTAGGCGTCAATAAAGCTCCTAGAATTTTCTAGGTGTGTGTGAAGGGGCTTGGTCAAGCTCTCCTTGCAAGGCCTTGGCAAGCCCCCCAGCCCCCCCTGACTCCGGTGTGCCTGATCTTTCAATCTCCATTAAAAATAGCTATCTTTACCTCTTTGCTATCCTCTTAGTAATAAAAAAAGAAATTAGGGGTTGAGGATCGCATCAGATTCATATTTTCACACATTAACCAAATACTGTGTTTTACCACATTTCAAAAAGGTGACATAAGCTTATTTTCCAGAACAAAATAGTAAACATCAAACAAAGCTGTCAACTAGATATCTATCTGCTACGAAAACATAAAATTGCGTGAAAAGATGGTATGAAAAGAGACTTTCAGATTGCTTTGTACTATCAGCAAATGACTTGTAACTGCCCCTTCCATATCAAATTGGCTAAGAAACTACACATCAATTTACACAAACCCCTTATTGTACCAAATATGATTTTATAGTCCTTTAAAACAATTAAATTTTCCTACTCTCTGGAAAATTTGAAATGATGTTATATTCACATCTTGGAACAAAACAGAAGAAACTGAGATGATTTCTCAGTAAGAGAAACAGTTTGTATTTCTGCAAGGTTTTTAATCTCCTACCCTATATTTGAGGGGTACTTATGCATGGGGGCACTTATTCATTATAATGAAATCAAGCCATTTTGAAATTTTATTGGGATGATTGCCAATTTAAAGCATGCTAAATACAAGTCAAAATATAATATGTAGATCCACTTAAATTTTAACACTGAGCTAACACCTAGATCGAAAACTTTATGAATTTTTTATATTGGACCTTGACTGCAAACATAATCAAGAACATTGTTTGATGGAATGGTGATAAAATAAATTCATGGTAAGTCAAAGTAGATTATGCATGGATCAAAATGGATAGTTGTGATAGAAACCAGAAACAATGATGTGATGAATTAACAAAAATGATATGACTGATAATCCAATTAATAATTAACACTGTCCACTTAAAAGACAGGAATCAGATGTCTTGGATTGTAGGTATAAAAGTTACTGTTTTACTGGTCTGTCAGGTTGAGTTCCCAATTCAATTGCAGTTGTATTTAATATGCAGTAACAAAAAACGATTGATAAATCAACATTCAAATGAACATTCTGTTTTGATCAAAGATAAGGACTGAGCTTTTGAAATGAGATAGAAATTTTATAATAGATATTTTTTACTTAAAACATAAGAAATATGGATCAGCACAAAGCACTAAAAGTTTCTTAGTTTTGGCCTTTAGTACTAAAAGTTTCCTAGTCTGTTTCTTATTTCAGGACCTAAAATCGCTTTTTCTTTTGCAGATTAGCATTTTAAGAAGAATGTAAATGCAGATCAAGACCAAAATACCAATCCAGCTCAAATTCCAAAGTATGCTCTCATTTCTATGGAAAAATCAACAAAATAAAAACTTGATATTCTTTTATACCAGTTTTTTATAGATAAAAAAACATAAAAAAATATTGTCTGAGAAACTTTGGACTGTCATGACAGTACTTTCGATTTGCCATCCACATACCTTAATATTTCTTACGCAAAGATTTTTCAAGCTTTCTAATGTAAAATATTAACTTGAGCCATGCAGCCCTGTAAGTGACTGAATTGTTCGTGCACAAAATATACGAGCCGTTGGGCCAGTGTAGGATCGCAACTTCGTGAGATATGACTGCAAATCATAGCAACAAAGTCGGGAAAGATATCATTTTGCTTTGGAATTGGAAAGCAATTGGTCAGCCTTTATTAGCAGGTATTACATCAAAACGCCTAGATATTGTTTACTAAAGATATTTAATTCCAACGAGTCACCAAAGTCTTCTAACGACTTAAAAACAAGCGTAACACAATTTTACGATTCCAGATTAAGATTCCAAAACGCGATAATTTTGACGCGATTAAATAACCAATTCTCACATTCAGTTTAGGAATACGCCACTTAAAGATGTTTGATAAATAAAATACGCATATCTGGCGAGCTTGTTTGCAAATTTCTCGGTGCGGTAAAAATTAACGTTCCACAACACGGCCGATATGGTTTTTGACGTGGGAAATGCATGGAGAGTAAGTGGCTGGAAGACTCAAGATATTTTGTATCACTCCAAATATCACTCCTTCTTTACTTTCGAGAGCTAATCGCTAAATATTCTGACTTTTCAATATTTCCGCATTGACTTTTCGGTGGTTTTAAAGGATGTTTCAAAATAAACGAAGCAACATCAACAGAACATATTTACCACTTACCGTTAACGTAGAGTTGAGGCATTTCATCGCAATGAAAGAAAGAGATCCTAATTCCAAGGTAGACATCTGTATTTAATGAAAATCATGACCCCAGCAATTTGTTGACTCGACTTTCCTTTTCCCAGTTTTACGTAAGGAAGAAATGAACACAAACACTGCTTTTGATGAATTGAATTGAGCATGAATTGAGCATTCCAAGCCTCGATCACAATTACGGTTCATTGTGCAAAATACCACTACCGACCAGTGCTACCGACCAGTGCTACCGACCGGTCTTTTTAGTTCCTAGGGGGGCTATCTAGAGGGTGGGGGGGTTGAAAGAATGGACACCCCAACAGAGTGATAGACGCAGGGGTCGATGGCCCAGGGGGTTATACCTACCACCGCTGCAAGAAAATTAACAAATGCCCATTTTGTCAGAAGACGTGCCGCTATAAAATGAGAAAGCAGGGCTGTGGGGAGTGGGGGGCAGAGGGGGTAGTTTGTCCTGGGGCTCAATGTCCAGGAGGCCTCCTGAAGTTATAAATTTCAATTTTAAAGTGGAACCAATCAAACGTAACAGAACAGAAGTATGTCAAAAACTAGTGAAACCTTTTTAAACGATAGCAAGAAAATTACTACTTGAAATATAGCTCCTGAATTGTATTTTAAGTTAATCTTAAACAAGAATCTCGTCTTTTAGTTTTACCCCTAGAGCCTCAAAAACCTCCCCGCGTTATATTTTGGAAGTGAAATTTCCCATTTTGTCAAAAGGGATCACTTTTTGTCAGAATAAGTACCACTTTGTCAGAAAAAGAACCACTTTTGTCAGTCCGTAAAGCTTCCAGTGAAATAAAAGCTAGACAGTACTGTACAGAACTGTACAAAAGAGTTATTAACTAAAAGCACAGGGCAATATAAATTGGAATACCACAAAAGATAACTCTGTTTCCCGCCGGCCGGCCAGCACAACCTCGCATTTGCTTTTACCATACTTCCTGCACAATACTGGGTCGGGAGGGTAGGGTTGCTCTTAATAGAGAGGAAAAACATTCCAAATCACTGCTTCGATGGGAGGGGCCAAGTGACAGTAAGCTCGATAAAGCTTTAGGATGATCCTATCAATATTCGATTGATAGTTCGTAACTATCTTCTTCGCGTTTTTTTCCTAAATATATATTGTATTTACATTAATAACTTTTGGCAGCACTCTTGAAAGCCTTTTTCAGTACTGGGGTCAAGGCACCAATTTCGGCTATCCACCAAACCACTAACCTACGTTCCCTTTCTCGAGAATTCTAAATTTCGATGTTTTAAGGAAATCCTGGTTTCCTTTCTGGGCTTGGATTGTCAGATGCTTACTTTCATAATCCTTCTTACGAAAAATTTCTTTGTACGAAAGATTCTAGGGAATGTTCTTTTCACAGTCTTTCTCCTATTACCTGCATTAACCTCAACCTCAAAGTTCCCTTGATCGAGACTTTTGCTAAGATCTTTTTATTTCCTTACAAGCTTCCTTTTGTCAAATAACATCGTATTAAAGAATTGTGATTAGATTGTCTTTAAGGCTCTTTCTTGTAAACTATATAATAAAATTCCTTTGGTCAGGATTCAAACGCTTAAAGAAGTTTTGCTTCATGAAATAGTTTCAAGTTTTGTGTCATAAAATTCAAAGCAGATGTTCGCAAAGGGTAAAATTTTTCATTCCCATCATCAAATTTTACAAATTTGTTTTTCAAAATCTCTTTGGTATTTGTCTTTAAAGTTTCTTTTTTTTAATCAAATATATTTAGCTAACTTGCTGGAGCAATAATTTCTAAAGACATTTCTTTGCATTAGAGCTCATGAAACTAATAGTTTTCCAGAATGTTGACTGATTCATTTAGTCCAGAGGTGGCGCCAGAAATCTTCTGACAGAGGGGCTGGAGCTTCCGACAGGGGGGGCTAAAATGACTAAAATAAGCAGTTTTCGTACGTTATTTTGTCAAATTTGCTCCAAAAATAATCTAAAATTTCCTCCGATGGGGGGGGGGCTAGATGCTTCCGACGGAGGGGCTGTAGCCCCCCTAGCCCTCCCCTGGCGCCACCACTGATTTAGTCTATATTATCTCATACTTTCACTAAATAAAGGAAGAGAGTTTCGTATCCCTATCAAGTATCCTCTGCAGTGTGCCCAGGATTAAAATTGACTGCTCCCAAAAAGAAATTTTGTCCTTAATTTCTCTCTATGTTGACCCAATAATCTAAAGAGGGTAGTGTACACTATCGCAATATCTATGCTCTTTGTGAGATCATCTCTGATGAAATCGCAACGTCGATATAAGTAAAGCATTCTAAGATGCAGCGACAGCAGCCGTCACGGCAACAGCTGCCATGACAACAGTTATTATACCTGCTTGCAATAGAGATGAAAATTGGAGGAGCTTCGGCGAACTCCCTCCCGTCCCTTCCATGTCGTGCGGGTCTCAGAAATGCCTTTCTGTAAACAACTGAGATTGCACATGGGCGTTGGTGGTATTTATATGTGATGTTGCAAAAGATCTTTTGTTTTTCTTTGAAGCAGCGGATAGAGACAGCCAATCAGGAGCTATCTCCAGTTAGAATGAATTAACCTGTGCTGGCACAGTGAGCCTCGATGCGAAGAGGAGGTGAGAGAGAATACTTTGGAAGAAGGCTCTGCTGTAGGCAAGTTCAAGAGGACACACATCACAAGACTCTCTGTTGTATGTAGAACTCATTCAAACTATTTGACGACACAAAAAGATTGATAAGAAATTGCCCATTCATGAGGAATCTGTAGTATAAAGGGTGCCATCACAGAATTTGTCCAACCAAATTTGAGCCCCCCAAACAAAAATCTCTTAGAATTTTAACAAGGTGGCTGAGCCACCACCCACCCCATCCACGTCAACAATGTCCCTCTGGGAAAGGCAAATGGTATCAAATGAGTCTGAGATTTGTGAAAGGAGAAATGGGCCAAAAGCTAGCAAGGAAATGCTTATTTCATAAGTATTTGGAAAAGTTTGCAAGGAAATGGCTGCAGTGCTAAAAAGTGATCTGTATCTATCCAAAGCACTCTCTTTTAATAAAATTAATAGTCATTTTATGTGTTATTCTTGTATTAAAACTTACCAAGATAAATCTGCCAACATCAACGTTGCCACTGTCTCTCATGTCCGTATTTGAGGTGTTTAACTCTTCTTCCCGATATTCTGGCTCAAATTGGTAAGGTAACACCTTTCCATCTTGAGTTAGAATATCTGGAGAGCCACGAGAATCATCATCTGCTGATAGGGAATCTGGATAAAAGTCCGACATTCCGAGGCAAACACTCGAACAGAAACTTTCCGTGTCGCTTGAAGTGCTGTCTGCCATTTTGAAACTTTTCATACACGCTTTAGAAAGCCGATGATCCTACCGTGAAAGCAACCGAGACCGAAAATCTGTGTGACGTCAATCCGAAGTGCTCCGATAATGGCGTTGAAAAACAATTCAACTCAACGACCAATTTACAAATGCTTATAACTACAAAACGGTAAGAGATATGAAAAAATAATAGCAGGTCCGTTTTCAGGAGGCCAGATTACATCGTAATCGAAAATAAAAATTTTGGGCTAGAGTGGCCCTTTAAAGGCAGTTTGTCCCCTTCGTGATGCCCAGGGAAATTGCACTATTGTGGTTCTTCATTCTGATTGTTTATTTGTGCATTGAATCAACGATGCCTGAATATCGTGGTCATGAAAAGAGATACTGAGAACAATGGGGGTCATACTGCCTTTAAGATCCAAGTTAAAATTTTTGATTTTTGACAACAAAACCTGAAAATCCTCTGAAAATATAAAATTAGTTAAATATGTTTGCTTAGTGATTGTGGCTTGGTCCATAAAGTTTAGCAGAGAGACAAAATAACAGAAGTTTGGCAAGGGAAGAGCTTGTGCTTATGTGACCATATCTCAGCCTAATTGTGAAGAATTTAACAGAACTTACACATGTAGAGATCTTTCATCATGGCCTTTTAGGATATTCAGTCCAAAATCGAAAAATTTCAAAATATCTTAATGATGTCACCACTTAAAAATTCGATTCAACAGCTTACTAAAATAACCACTCTTTTAATGGTTTTTCAACGGTCAGTACAAAGCCGAGGGGCTAGGCCAAGGCATGTAAACATATAAAACCGAACAGGGTCATTTCAATAGTAGCTGACTTCAGTGGCGTACCCAGGGCGGTAGTAGTGAGGGGGTCTGGGGCGCAGCCCCAGAATTTTTCGGCACCACGCCCTTCAAACACTCGCAAATGCGGGGAAACGCCCCTTTTGCAAAATTTCCCCCTATTTTTTGATTCATTTTAGCTACGGTAAATAGCAAAGCATTTTAGAATTGTTATTGACACAAGCATACAGTATACTACCCCCCCCCCAATTCCCCCCCTTGGGTACGCCACTGGCTGACTTTAGAACAGTGATGTAAAGACAGGGATCACTCTTTGTATCTCAGTGACTGCCCAGAGCTTTAAATCTATCAATGCTGAATCAAATGCATAACTATTTCCAACAAAACTACTTCAGTAACATAAACAAACAACTGTTACAGATATTAAACATATAAAAATTTGCAAACGTTCTTTCTTCATGCCCTTTAGCCTAATCCACACGAACACAATTCTGGTTACTAAAACTTATGTCTGCCAACTGAGTTAAGGCCCCTCGTGTTTGCCAACTGTGGTTATTGTGGGATAATTGGCGAGATTAATATATAAATCCTAGAATTGTGTTTACACAGGAAACCTCACTAATGAAAAAACAACGCAATTATGTGCTGGGAAAAAGAATTATTCGATATTAAGGAGACATGACAAGGGCTTCATTAACCGATCATTCGCTTAAAGATATTAAAAGAAACTCGCTCATCTCCGTAGACGATCCAGAAATCTAGGTTTAGATTTTCATAAAAACATTATAATTTCAACTTTCATACTCATCTTAATTTGGTTAAAAAATCGTCAGCACGTAATGACTACTCCTTCGGGGTATGGATCTGAAATCTCACTTATAACTATTCGCTTTGCTTCGAAACCAGCATTAATACGAGAGTGAATGTGGGCAGCTCTATCTCTCCGCTAGCAACTTTATGAATTATGCTATAAGTCTTTTCCCGTTAACAGTCTGTGCTCAACACACGAAAATTCTATTATTTGTGTAAGCAAATCTAGCTTTGTTCGAGAAAATATTGTTTTCAAATGTAAATAACTGGATACTCAAAAATATCGAATTTGCCATCATCAGCCAATTGGGCAAAAATTTAATGATATCTACATGAAGCATCAATGGCTAACTGTAGTTGTCCGTTGGCTGTCCGCTTAATGAACATCGGCATACCGGACAGGAGTCGTGCTGCAAAAGATAAAATCGTGGAAATTACGTTCATGAAGTTTTTTCACTGCAATATCAACTGCATACAATTTAAAATCTCTTCAATTAAAAAGCAATACAATGATTTGAGTGTGCATGAAAATTTTCGGATGAAAAGGTGAGAGAATAAGAAAATTTTCAAAGAAATATGTTGGAATAAAAGGTTATTTTGTTTTTAATGGCTATGAAAAAACAAACATTCAGAAAAACGCGATTAGCCTATTGCGATCCACATCTGGGTTTATATTTTCCATCTTGTTCTTTCGGAACTTTATTCTGACGCTTTTTACTCTAAGGAGTGTCAGACAAAAAAGCTCTCAGTATGCTGAAAAAATGTTTGCATTTCTTCAAATTTTGTACCGACAAAAAACCCGTTGTAAACCCTTTACAAAATTTACTATTTCAACTTCAAGCAAAAATTCTTGCACACTTTTCTAGAATCATGAAATGTACCTTGACAGCTATGCAGAATATTGTCAAAAATATTTCCCTGTTTCTGTCCACAGACAAATAGCAATTTACGGACCATTCTACTAATATTGTACATAAGAAACCACTCACCAATTGAAGCCAAGGTTTTACACAGTCCGAGTGAAACTTGTGGTTGCATGATAATTTTAAAACTTGTTCATGCAATACAAATGAATCTTTACAAACAGCGCATTCAAGTTCATTATCTAAAAAGCAAAGAATTACATCATAACATTTAAAAGTGCACCATACCATTAAAAATATTTTTGTCGATATAGTGTTCCATTCATCTCTTTGGACATCATTTGACAAATACTCTAAAGAAAAGCACACTTTAGCAACATGCGATATGTTCCTGTTTTTGAACGCCATTTCATTCTTCATTACATAAACATTTAATCATTGATATGATATGATATTATATGATATGATATGATATGATATGATATGATATGATATGATATGATATGATATGATATGATATGATATGATATGATATGATATGATATGATATGATATGATATGATATGATATGATATGATCGATATGATATGATATGATATGATATGATATGATATGATATGATATGATATGATATGATATGATATGATATACGATATGATATGATATTATATGATATGATATGATACGATATGATACGATACAATATGATATGATATGATACGATATGATATGATACGATACGATATGATATGATATGATACGATACGATATGATATGATATGATATGATACGATATGATATGATATTATATGATATGATATGATATGATATATCATATGACATGACATTAATTCATCATTGTGACAAAAAATAAAGAACATAGGACTTACCAACATCTTCTTGTGAAATTTGAATTTTTGGTAACTTGTCTATATTTTCTTTATCTGCAGGAGGAGGACCAGAACCTTCTAATTGATTCAGCAGCTACAAAGAGTATATACAATCAGATAGATAAAAGGTATAAACAATTACATTAACTACAAAAAGTTTCGTCGTGACAAAATTTCGGATAAATATTTTCATGAAATTTTCTTCGACGAAATTCAAAATGAGACGAAATTTGGTCACGACAAATTCTTTGCATTTAAGATTTTTGAGAATTCGCAAAGAAAAACTCCTACACGAGGTTAGGAATCAAATTAATGTATCCTCTTTTTATCTCTTCAATGTCAACTACGTCCTTTTCCTCATTTACATCGTCTTCATAATTATCTTTATCGTTGGGAATCATAATAATCATCATCATTGTAGGTTCTTGAACTAACCTCGTTATCACTATTGCTCAATGAAAATAATTCTGGCGTAGCGAGAGGAAGGCAAGAGGGGCGGGTGCCCCCCATAGCAAAAAATTTCTTTGAAAAAGGGCGTTTTTGTCGTTCAAAAGGGTGTGGACTCCAATTTTCCTTTGGTTAACTCGCTTTTGCCCCCTCCCAATCTTACACCCTGGTTACCTGCTCTAACTGTCTTTTGACGCAGGTTTCAAAAGATTCCACCTCTGTCCTTTAATATTCAACTGTACTATTTCTTTCATTCGTTCAAGGTATTCGCATTTTTTAACCCGAATTTCAAACTCTACAGAAAGCAAAATTTCTCGACCAACCTTTTCTATTGAAGATGGTCTTATGCTTTCTGAATCTTATACTTGTATTCACACTTATACTTTTAAGGTTACGGTAAACGTTTTCTGGATAAAAACATCAATTTTTCGATTATTTCACATTCAAGTAGCCAAACTTTCAAGGCACACAGTGATACCAACTTTGAAACTAACAGACATTTTGAAAATGGAAAAAATCCCATGTAAACGAAGGTTTCCATAATTTCTTTATCAAAACTTTTAGTTGAGGCCTGAAAATCTCTTGACCTGTTAATCCGATTATCGTTGCTTTGGGGTTGTCTCATGTCTCATTTACAAACGCGCATGGCACATCCATATATCCAATGTACGGCTGTCATTGGATATTTAAACAGGATTATTGATCTTGAAGCTTCAATTGACTTGACCCGGATTACACTGTGGTTTACGAGTGTACCTTGCAAGTGCGATCAGTAAAATCCCGTTTTCTCAGGGCTTACAATTCGTCTACATACAGGTACGAAAAAGCTATTTTGTACCCAAGGAACCAATCGAATGGCTCAAAAATTTGCACACGACCAGAACAGATGTCGGGTAACCAAAGTATGTCTCAAAATTTGTGTATTTGCTCTGGTCTGTCTTTTATAGACAAATACATCTACGAGAGGGAAGAAAAATTGTTTGGCAATATTTGACCTGGTATAGTTTCAAAGGGAAGGAGAACTTGAAATATCTGAGATAAGCTTTGGTAGCTTAGGATCTTCGCTTTCTGCTGATATAAGTAAGATTTTGTTACCTCAAACGCAAGGGTACAAAATAGCTTTTGAAGGTGGTACAATCATTTAAGCAATAAATGTGCATGGAAAGTATAATTTTACCATATTTGCCAATTATTTTTATATGGTTGGAATCACCACATTTTTGTGCATCAAATGATGTATAGTTTAATCTGATTCCGTTAATAATTTGGCTTTTAGGGAGAGAAAACCAAATATTTTGTCAAAAACGTTTACCGTAACCTTAATTATACTCTGTTTTTAAACTTTCATGCCATAGAAATATAGAGTAGAGATTCCTTGAATGCTAAAAGAAACTCTTTTGATCTTTTTTGCCTTTAGCAGTTGAGCAAAGTTTGAATATTCGATCTGTCTATCGAGATTTGAAAGTGCTGCAATATATTGCCAGCAGCCAAGCATCATGAGCATTGATTGGTCAAAAGTAAGCCAATGAAACCGTAGATTCTCACGAAACATTTTCAGGGGCACAAAGCAGTACAAGACTCAGGGCTGCCTGCTCCTGATTATTTATTTTACATTTCATTGTATATACAGGGTACGATTAAGGTGGCTGCTATTAGTACTGCAGCATAAGGCCTATTTCTGAAATAGGCCAAGAAGAAAACAGACAAGATTTTTCCTGAAAAAAATTACTCCCAACAATAGGTTTTTTGTGCTGCAGCATTAGGAGTAAATTGGATTCAATATTGACGGCTACTGCTAAGAATCTTACACCTTGAAAATTCAAGTGAGGACTACATACCTGTGAAATTATGTTGTCAAGACCATTAGGCCCCCACACGTAGTCACCCATATTTTGATGAAAAATTCTATTGCTGCAATGAGAAATAGTGGGATTTGCAAAGAATTTGTATTTGGCATCAAAATAGCTCAGTAATACCAACTACAAACAGGGCCTCCGCCATGGATTTCAAAGTGGGGGGGGGGGTGCTAAAAATAGAATAATTATCCTAAAAATGTCGCCCACCATGGTTAGGCGACGAATAAAATTTTAGTTTCCAGAGTCTCCAGAATGGCCCCTAAATCTCTAAATCGATTTCTGAGGATAATTTCCATTTTACTTAAAGACTCATTGCTAACAATGGGCCTTTGCGAGCGTGGCGACGGTCCAAACAATGGCAGTAATTGATTTTAGACAGTCTAAAAATGCATTATGGGATGCTTACGTAGCGCAATGGCTCATTGTTATCAATGAGTCTTTAATGTGAAATGTTGTGAAAAACGCAACTTGTCTAAGAGAATCTCTCGAATATAATAACAAGGAAAGTGGTCCAGATGTGTTACGGCACAGTTAGAATTCTGATAATGGAAACTATTTCTATAACTTTAACACAACTCGCTTAAAGAAGATTTTCTGCATGCTCGTAAGTTGACACAGTTATAAAAAGTAATGTCTCATTGTTTGCTCAATACAGTAATTCTATTGAGTGGTCAAGCTAGTAATTGGTATTGTGTTCAGCTGCGAATTTGTGCTTTGTGTTGATATTGCTGATGCACGGGGATTTGTCACTTTTTAGTTTTTTGATGCATTTTTAAACTAGAGAAGGACTTCAACTTGTTATTTTTCTTTCATTTTTTTCATTTTTGGCATTTCTTCTATAAACCCAATTTCTCAATTCATACATAAATGTTTTAAGATAAAGCCTAAATAGGGTGCGTCACAATTACCCTTTTCATTTTTAATTGAGTCATTTTTTGCTTAGCAAAAAAGGGGGGCTATATCCCCCCAGCCCCTCTTTGGCGGGGGCCCTGACAAAGATCTTAAAGATAATCACCAAAAGATAATAAATAGCAAGAATAAATGAAAAGAGTGGAGTGGATGAAAATACAAAATCATAGCATGGTCTCGATAAAGAAGCAAAATAATACAACTATGAATTGCAAGATCTAGCCAATATCTTGTGAATCTATGATGTATAATAAAAGAAGCTTACAAGGTCATAACTCCTCCACCTCCATCTCGCTCCATTATTGCTGAAGAGAGAAAAATACCAATAAACAATGAACGGCTTTCTTTTGTTAAAGGGGGCCTATGCACAGGGAACAGTGGTGGACACCTTGGGGCGTGGGAGGTGGTCACCGGACAAGGTCTTTTGTTCTAAAACAACAGAGAAGTGTGACATCATTTTGTCTAAGCAAGGCTTGCCCCCCCCCCCAATATTCGACCAAGTGTCCGCCCCTGACAAGGAAATCTCTGCAACACCAGGAACAGAATTCACAGACTTTGAGAGTATGGTTACAGATTGATAAAATTACAAGGTGCAATAAATCATCTACAGAAACAAGCAACTATGCATCTATATACAAGAAACGTATTAAAATATATAGTTAAAAAACTTTGGGCAAAAAGCTTAAAAGAAGGGGGCAACATTAAAAAATTCTTGGTATTCATAAGCCAGAAAAGCAACAATCACTGCAACTGTTAAATATTCAAGCTTATTTCAAGCCATTTTCTATTCATTTATGAAACAATCTACCATCAATGATTGCAAACCCCGCTTTCCTCCCCCCCTTCTTCCCCCTTCCTCCCTTCCTCCCCCTTCCTTACCCCTTCCTTACCCCTTCCTCCCCCCTTCTTCCTCCTTCCTCCGATTTCTGCAACCCTTGTGAAAGATGTAGGTCAACAAATGAGGCCAGCTAATACACTGGTTTGTACAGCAGTTTCTTTCAAATATTTCATCTGGTACATTCTATGAATATTCAGTGAAAGATATGAATGACAAATAAATTCCCATAATAATCTTCATATCTTTGCTTCCATTTCATGAAGGTTCATGGCCTCAATAATATAATCTTGTTTTCAATCAAATTCCTATCACTTTAGTGGAACACAATAGGAGAGGCCATGACATTTTGTTTGTATTTGTTACTACCTAGCACCCGAAGGTAGATTTTTAGAATGCTGTGCTTATCGAGCAGTCTCCTGGTCCTTTCTTTCGATGTGACCACAACTTGTGATTCCTATGCCTGGAATTGCAGAGAGCTGACGACTACATAAAAGTTTGGTCTTGTCAGCGACTTGAATCCCAAATCCCAGATCCTTGGAACTGTAGTTTGCAGCTCTAACCACTGAGCCATCCTCACACCTTTAATTTCAGTACCAAGAATTATATAGCAGGCATGTCAAAGATAAAGAGAACTATATTTCTGAATTTGATAAACACAAACAATGAAAAAGAAGAAAGAGTAAGAAAGGAAGCCTTGTTTCTTACTTACCTGTAACACCTAAATTTGAGAATAACTGATGAAAAAATCTGAAAGGAAGAAACACAAGTGATTAAAAAAATAACAATAATATTTTCAAACAAAAAGAATTTATATTGAAAAAGGAAAGTGATGTTAAAGCTTCGCTACATAATTTGTTTATTGCAGAAAATTAGTTTTGAAGCATAGAAATCGGAGTAAAAGTGGTTTAAACCAATATTAAGAGGAAGGAAAAGGAATTTTTTATGTGGAACAGCATGGATGATGGTCTAATGATGATGAATGTCTAATCAAGTCTGAAAATCAAGTATGATTTGCTACAATCAATGTCTTATTATACTGAAGACTTTAAGGCATTTGAAGGTTATACAAAGGTTAAGGTTTAAATGATAATATATCAGAAATCCAACCAGATCTATTTATAGCTACATAGCTATTTATAGAATCAAGCTCATTGTCTATAATTGTTACAGTAGTAAGAATTTCAAAACTTAAAACCTGCCTTACATTGCAAGGATACATTTCAAAGTATAGCATTTTATGGTATAGTATAGAATTCTGGAAAAAATTCTAGGAAAAAATGGAAAGCAGCATTACAGTATGAAAATGGTAGCTTAAAGGCTCTTATGCAACCGGCATGCTTAGTGGCAGTTGTCTTGAGACACTGTCTATGTTTTGCACTTTTATGCAGTACAATATTAGGCTAGTTTTTTAATTGTAGCCGTAAAGTGTGCAAGCCAAATGAATGCTTACTGATCAAGTGGGTTTTCTCCTAACATTGCATTTTGTTGTTGACCATCACTGCTGTGAGTCATATGTAATACTCTTGGTCCTACATGTCTGAACCCCCTTCCAGGTGCATCTGAACCACCTGAAATGAGGAAAAAATAAAGAACTCTCATATTGCATGAGCGGGCTGACCAAAGGTTGATTTCTGTAAACAACAGACAATATGTGAATCAAAAAACACCAACCAAGGAAGAGTTGTTTTTACTCTACATTAAGTCTTTAAGAAAAATTTCACTTCTCTAGCTGAAGCTGTTTCAAAAAGCTGTTAGTTGAAATGATAGGTGTGTCCCAATTATGATTGTTAGGTACCTGAACTGCCTGTAAGAGAGGACTCATTTGTATCTACGTGGGTATGAGACAAGCCTTGAAATCAACCTGGTTTTGAATTCTCGACCTTGAGCACTGCAGTCATACACCCTAGCCATTTGGCCTCATTGGCTACAGACAGCAATTTAAAAAAAAAAACTTTCATCTCAAAAGAAACAAGAATAGACATTTCAAAACTTAAAGGTTTTCTTAAAATCGTATTATTTGGGTAGCACTTAAGAACTTGCAAAGAAGTCTTCTATTTTCTCCTTCCTTTCAAGAGATGGTGCATTTTAATAACACTCTCATATTTAGCCTTGATCCAGTAGCTCAAAGATCTTTCCTGAAGCACTGACTGCAAGGCAGGATGATCTAGCTAAATATCCGAATTGCAGAAAAGCTTTAAAAGATCCTAAACAAACTTAACCAGGTAATTTGAAACAAAACTTTAGATGCCATTATATACATTTTTACAAGATTCTATATAAAAAATTATTTATTTGATAAAAGAATCTTCTTTAGCCTATTTGATGTTTCGGTTAGACTTTTAGAAATTTTTAAATATAAAAAAATACATTGTTCCAACAATACTTTCAAATTCATTCAATTGGCATGCAGAACTGAGCTGTTTCCAAGAACATAAAATAGTAAGGGCTTTATTAACTGTTTTATGATTAAGAATTCAACCATTATTGGTTGCCTATCTACAAATGTGGAGCTAGCCGGTTTTATATCTTAGATTACTGATTATCTTTAATATATGTATACCATGGAATGATAACCATTGACATTTCTTCTGAGAACCTTTTTATGATTTGCTAGTGGGGCTGGCAAGAAAAGGGCAGGTTAAACCTGTGAAGAAACACATACTATTGGTCAATAGCTGGCAATTTGCCTTTCGAGGTAGACGCTGCTTTCCTGGTATTGGTTTCAATCATTTTTCATATTTACTGAACATTCCTGGCTTTATACTGTGCAAGAAATAAATTATTTCTTTACAACCAGCACATATATTTCATATAGTGTTATTTTGTTTACTCTGATATAAAAGATATACATTAATATTAGTCATTTAAATATTAATATAAGAACAGAACAAAATGTGGCCTAGATGTCTAGTTGGCCATTGTTGTGCTATCAGTTCAAAGAAACAAGCACTAAAACATATCATACCTTCCATGCCTCTAGAGTGTGAGTACAAAATACCGAATGGATCTCTACTCTAAAGAAAAAATAAAGAAGTAGAAATAATAAGTAGGCTGTTACAAGGAGATCATGGAGGCTAGCAAGCACCCGCAACATAATACAGTATAGAGTGACGATGTCACAAAAATTTATTATTAGAATTTGAATTTGAATAAAACAACATGAAACACCACTTAATATGCAAAATCAGACAAATCTTTTACAAATTGGCTGAGATATGGTAAGATCAGTATAGAAAATTTCACCATCAAATTTAAATTTGGTCTCTATTCATAACTTTTTTAATAAAAAGAGCCGAAATATCAGTTCAGTTCAGTTTTTTATTTCAAATTCTACTGTATACATACATTTATTGCAAGTTCAAATTTTTCCACATTTAAAAAGTATACCACATTTGCTGTGTATAAGCCAAGGTTTTTATTAAGGTTATCTGGTGTCAAATTGTACCTTGGCTTATACAAGGGGCAAGGTCTTGAATTTTTTAGAGTTGGTTCCATCTGGCTCAAGAACTCTAATGTAATGTAACTTTAATTGGTCATATCTCACTCAATTTAAGACATATTTACATGTTCTTGCTTTTGAGATTATTTCATGGTGTTCTCACAAAAGAATTTTTGCAAGAAAATTTCAAAAGATTTTTTTACAGGTCTAGCAATAAGGAACGTATGCAGACCTGTCTATAACAGGCTAAAAGAAGCTTTATGTAAGCATTTAATACGTAGTACTGAAGTGTCATTGAAACATATTTTTCAAATTAAAACAGTAGTGCAACTGCACAATAAACAACTGAGATTGCTTCACTTCTAAATATGCAAACAAACATTAGTGTAAATCAAATGGTAAAGTTGGTATTATTTGTGTCAGTAACCAGCCAGAGATACTCAAACAGGCAAACAGGCATGAACTTACATGTATATGACTTTCAAAATCAAATGGAGATCGTATATCTGATGAGTCAAAGTCCATTGAGCTAAAAATAGATAATTTGATACAAAATAAATTGAGATACATACAGTTGGAAGAGCGTCAGTGGCATGTTTTTAGCTACAATTTGATTTACTAGTCATATGATACTTACGATACCAAATAATCAATTTTAATTATGAACTGTTATTACAAATTTCTTAGTAGGGTAAGGCAACCACAATAACAGAGAAAGGGAGCTTCAAAGTGATGCAACATGAAAAATTAACTGTCTTTATAAATATCTTTATTACTCATATAAAAAAAATAAATCATAGAGAAATGACTGTAAATGTAATCACGAGATAATATTTTTGAAAAGGAATAATAATAACCATTGCATAAATGAAACAAGAACATCGTTATAAAACATTTGAAGGATTTGATACTTTCCAATTGATGCTTTACTAAGACCACTATGAACAAATTCACACCAAAAGCGCTTTAAAGAATATTTATGTTGAATATTAAGGTTGAATTTGCACAAATTCAGCTGCTTATCAATTGGCTAAACATAAACATGAACATACTCTTCCATTTCAGGTAGTTCTTCAATAAATCCAGATGAACAATTTGGGCACAGGAAATCCTAAAAACAAAACCAAATATTTATTATCAAAATTTAGCTCAGTTCCAATCAAACAATATATATAGGAATAAAAGTTATAAAAGTTAGCTGTCTTTCCTGATACCAAATTGAAAGCATGATACAATCTGAAACAAACTCAAATTTAAAACAGTATATATATAGTCTACATTGTCTCTTTAAATTATATTTCTTAAAAAATCAGCCACTTAGCAAATAAGCTATACAATTGTTGCTAAAAAATATTCTAACTTCAATCATTAGACCCAGAACATTCTTGCTTGCGGCCCATTAACAAAACCCCCTCCCAAGACCTAGCAATATCAGCCAGGGCCCGGAGAGGGGGGAACAATTTGCCCCAAGGTCTAGGGGGCCTCGTGAAGTAATGAATTCCATTTTAAGAATGGAATTAATAAAGCATGTCTAGTAAAATGTGTTTAATGATTGCTAGAACTTTTCTGAAACGTATTTTATGCTAATCTGAAGGGCATGGTCACAAAAATTATCACCAGCTCTGCTTGGAGGGGGCCTCATCTTTTGGTTTTGTCCCAGGGCCACCTAAACCTCTTGCAGCCCTAAACCAGCAAAACCCTTTTAAAAACTTTTTGTGGTGGTTTTGTTCAACTAATGCACTCACTTAAGCTACCACTTTTGACTTGTTTTTTTTTCTATATATATTTTGCATTACTTTTTACATCTTTATTTACATCCCAAAATCTTTTTTCGTCTAACATTCTTCAGAGTATAAAACTTCAGAATAAGGTTCCAAAGAAAAGGATGTAAAATATATACTAAATTGTGGATCGAAATAGGTCTATCAGAAAAATGCATAACTGGCATATTTGTCCAGTCAGTATTCTGTGCTTATAAAAAAATTACCGAGATTTCCAAAAGAAAAAACAAACTCCATTTTACACAATAACGGCTTTAAGAAACCATGTCATTTCAATTTCTGTAAATTCTATGATTTTAGTGATTTTAGGGAAACAAGGAAAGGTATTATAAGCTTGTCAACATTTTCTGTTTTAAATTTGGATAATTACCCAGTAGGTAGCATCATACATCTTTTTGACTTGGAAAACCTTATTTTGAACAAAACAATTTCCAAGCAGCTAATATGATGCAGGATTTTCCTAAGAGAAGTTTCTATGAGCACTGTAACCTCTAAACAGCTTCCTTTCTAACTTGTACTGCCTTTGAAAATAATACAGAATGGGGGTCAGCTTTGTAAGGTTCTACGCTGCGTGCAGTGTAAACAGGGTATATGGGGAAAGTAACAAAACCTAATTGACCTTTTAAAAGCTAAAACCTTTTTTAGTGCTGAAAAATCATCTCTTTGCCTGTTTGCAAATATTAAACTAAATATTGAATTTGTATGAAATCTAATTGGCAGGATTAAGAAATCTTCTTTATTGTTCTTCAGACTTAAAGTTTATTTTTCATTGCATCTCAGCATCTTCTTCCCTGTACTTAAGTTTGCTAGGAAGCATGCCTAGCAGCTATAAAAATGGTGGATTTAATTCCATTGAATACTCGAGCTAAGGAAGCTAAATCAAGCATAGGTAAAACGAAACTTGTGGCTGTTCTATAAGACTGCCCTTGAATAACAATCTTTGCACGCAGTTTGAGATGTAAGTTCTATTTTTCAAAACATTCGAGCATTTAGGCCTTATTTCCTTTCGTCTACGATGGATTATGACGCAGACCTCCCATTTGGATATGATAAACCAGACCCACATGACAAGCAAAACACTTACCGGGAGAGACTGTCTGGTGAACTCGGAATTGCATTGATGGCAATAATATCTCTTCTCGACAACAACGAGGTTATCAACACTTGCTTCTGCCATTGCTGCTGTTAGAAATACAGACTGCAACTAGAAACGATGTTGCTACAGACCTGATCGACCTGTCCTGCGCACAAGCAAGCGGCCTAATAATGAGCTCAGTAGACTTTCACAATCTCTCAGAGTCAAAATTACACTTCATGACTAAATGATACGACGTGGGCTTAAAAATTGCAGCATGAACAATTCCTCATCAGATACAGCTATGTGTAGAATCGATGTTTCCAGAAATAAGCAAAATTACAACATATGCTCCTTTGCACTCTCCACGAACAAACTCCTTGCGTCAATATGGCATCGACGATTTTTATTGTGAATGCGGAGGAACTTGAAATCGAGGCCCACACAAGCAAAGATTTCACTACTGAAATAAAATTGGTTCTTCGAAAACTGGAAATAGTTTTTTTCCGGCTTGTAGTGTTAATGCAAGGACCGCGGGACATATTACAGATTGAGGGGGCTAAAACATTTGGGGACTGAACATGCTAAAAACCAAGAGCAAGGCGACATTTTGTATGGTTTTAAGTGCATTATGGAAATTTTTTGGGGGGCTAAAGCCCCCTCAGCCCCCTCAGCCCCCTCGCTTCTGCGGTCCCTGTATGTAAGGAAGTGAGCAAGAAAGAATAGGGTTCAAATTTCTAGTCGATTACGTGAAAAAAATTCATTCCGAAGCTTCAATTTCCATGTTTTATCCGTATACTAAAAATGTAGAATGCTACGATTCTATGTAACTTTGTGCTTGCACTTCAGCATCGTATAATCTGTTATTGACTTGCCTTGAACAATTCAGAGATTGAAAATTTTAAATAGTTCCAAAAAATACTTATATGAAGGTCAATTCTGGACAATTTCTACACGCTTAAGAGCAAATTCTCCCCAAAGAGTGCAAATTCTGACGTAACTAAATTTTTCTTAACGATAAATCGCGATGTCAAATATGATTAATAACCCAGAATTAAAAGGCTTAGCCTATTCCAAGGGAAATTAGCTGCGAGGATACTTTATTAAATTGATCTTTACTTCTTATTCTTGTATTTTCGCCCTTGCATTCGCATTAAAATTCTCCTTCATTCCCAACCTGTTCAAAATAAGTTATATAATGGTGAAAAACCCGGATTTAATTCCGAAAAAAAGATATGCATTCCACTGACAAAGCTGAAAAGAAGTTTCGAGAGTTCTTTTATCGCTTTCGATCAGATAGTGACGTTATTGTAAATGTTATCAAGTATTGTTGATGAATAGGAACATCAACGTGTGTTGTATCTATCCATGTAGTTCGATAAGACAGGCAAGTAAAAATTCAAGCTGTATTGAAGATGAAATTGTAGCTACTGACATATAAAGATTGAATACGTTATTGAAATTGCTACTACCTCGACGTCTGACAATACATTAAAAAGACACGCACAATAAATACTGTAATACTTTCACCTCTACAGGCTTTAACATAAACACTATTCTACCACAAAAATGACAAATATTAGTTGCACTTATACGTACCTCCATCATAGAGGGCATTTGTGTAGGTATAATTGGGGCAGTAGGAGAGAAAATTTCCTGGCTGGATAGGGGGATGCAACAGAGGCTCTTTAGATGCACATAAAGAAGGAGTACTTCAAGGTTGCTATTGCCAAAATATGGCAATTGCCCCCGTCTCAATAGGCACTACAGCCTCTTGAATAGAATGGGTGATATCTGATAAGAACGATAGGAGCCTTCAAAATAAAATCTTTGAATAGACGACGATATAATCTTTTGTTCTTTGGAGCAGGAACCAAGCCCAGGACGCTAACATATAATTACGTGAGTATTCCACAAAGGGCCGACTAGGGTTTCTGGTTATTTGAACAGAAAATACACTGCCTGGTTGAATGTATCATTGCAAGATCACCGACATGGCAGAAAGTCGACGAACTACCCCAGGAGTCTCCTTAAGCCTTGAAAGAGCGCATTGAGCATTTGCTTGAGCAGCATCAAGTATAACGTTTTGCTCGATGATTTTCGGCATTGTGTATTTGGATATGGCCAAAAGAACACAATATTTCACTGCGCAAGCATGTTGGATGCTGCTCAATCGAAAGTTCAATTAGCCAAGGGCTTAAACAGGCAAGGTTTATCTTGATGATACAATAAATCGATGACTGTAATTTTCATGCCTTTCTTCTTCTCTATGTTATACCTAAATTAACAGGAAGATGGTGTACTTGATACCCACAATACCCACAATACTAATTTCAAATTAGCGTTTAAATGCAAATATTAAAATTATGTTGATGATTCTATACCAGCTCCACGGCACACAAGATACGAAAAATTGCAAAAAAGAAAAAGCCTAATAACAAAGATATTTTCCTTAAATGTACCACCAAAATTCACATTCTTAGGGCCAAATACGCTGCCAATATCTAACTCTTTTTCGATAAAACTTTTCATGGTTGCCCGACTGCTAAAACTAATTTTAACAGTGACCTAGCCTGCGTGTTCTTCACAAATAATGGAAATACAATTCAGAGAGAGAATTGAAAACTTCCTCCATTTAAAAGGGAAATATTTATCCACACTTAAGTCTCGACAACGCGGAGCATATTACAGATGGAGGGGGCGTAAACGTTTTATGAGGGCCAAACTTCTTATAAACCAAGAGCAAAGTATTTTTTTGTGTGGTTTTAAGTAAATTTTAGACATTTTTGACAGGGCCAAAACCCCATCAGCACCCCCTGCTTCCGCGGTCCCTGACAAAGCCAAGCAAACCCAGAAAACGTAGCTGTATCAGAAACACACTTATAATACCTTTTGCAGGAGTGGGTTGAAAGGCAATGCACCCTTAAAAATGTCTAGGCCCTTCCTCTTTTGCATAACATATATTCAACATCGCTACAATAAACTAATACCATACCCCATTCTAATGATGAAGAACGGGAATGGGAACGGGAAATTCACCCTCTTACAAAGTGATCAAAATTTGAGATGCAAGTATCGCCTCCTTAATTTTCTTTAGAAACGGCGTCAGTTATACAATACTGTTCTTCATTTAGCCACAACATATTCCAACCATTGGTCGGATTAAAAATCAAAGATACAAACCTACCCACTTCAGGATCCTCTCATTTGCTAAAGCAGTCATATTGAGAACTGCCATTTGTTATTGAAAAACTAGGGTCTTATTTTGCATTAAATGACAAATGAGTTGTTTTGGCTGAGGAAACAGTGTGTAATAGTAGGTGCCACTCACAAACTTGACCACTCCCCCCCCCCCACTCCCTGTTAGCTGTTGGATAGGCCCGATACAAGGGAACTATAACTGAATAAATGTATTTCTACTCCAGTCTAAAGCCCCGACCTCAAAAAAATAACTGGAAAAGAATTCTCTAGTTTGGACAATACTCAAATGAAAATCATCACTGCGACAGAAATTCCAGGAATGTCCCTGGATCATCTTGTATCACTTGCAACTGTTGTATTTGCTGTTGCTGCTGTTGCTGTTGTTGGAGCTGCTGTTGTTGTAGTTGCTGTTTTTGCTGTTGCTGGGCAGCGGCAACGTTAACTAAAGCAAGCGAGGCAGATTGTCGCTGCTGCTGTTGTTGCTGAAGCATTAGTTGAAGTCGTTGTTGCTGCTGCCATTGTTGCTGTGCCGTCAGTTGTTGCTGCTGCTGCTGTTGCTGTGCAGTCAGTTGTTGCTGTTGCTGCTGCTGCTGTTGTTGTTGCTGCTGTTGTTGCATGACGGTTCGATTGCTCAGTAGCTGTCTCAGAACAGCGCTTGGGTTCTCGACCTGGGTTGAAGCGAATTTAGCCCTTAAGACGCATGTAACAATATATGCAAAGCAATCTCAAAAGAAAGATGAATAGGTATAGCAAATAGACAAACGTCAACACCATAGAGATTCAGATTCACCATGTCTATATGGTAGAAGTAGTAGGTAAAATGTTATGATGAAGAAAGTTAGAGTACGATCCAAAGAAGAATCTGGGGCTTGAACGACATATCCAAAAAGTTGAGTTTGATCCTCTTTGTTATTTTTTTAGAGGACTCAACCATCTCTTGAAGCTGTAATTTGTTGTTAACAAACACTTCGAAATGAGTTGAGGTATTATGTGCTTATGCTTGAGCTCCAACAAAGGTTGAAAAGTGGGGAGGGGGCCAAGGGAAAATTTAACACCCATAACAAAGATTATATTCGGAGGCCCTGTTATGTAGATATCGATCCACATCCTAGCATAGAGTTTTCGATCTATGTTCTGACATTTTAAACTCTGAAGAGTGTCAGACGAAAAGCTTTAGTTTACTCAAATGTTTGCTGTTTTCAAGCCATTTTCAAGTTTTGTACCACCAAAAGATCGTTTACATATTTTGACAACGGGAGTATTTCTTCTAATCTTGAGCCAACCATGGAAACACCTAAATTTAGCATCGTAGCAAAGATAGAGTTATTGGGTGAAAATGAGCTATGAAATTGACAGAGTTTCATTAGAATCATGAAATATTTGAAGAAATAATCAAATGGTTGCTTAAAATGGTAGCAAAACAATTTAATGCGATATTCCATTTCTACATGGGATGCGGCGAAAATACGGTTGAATACCTATAAGTTGGGCCGTCAAGGGGGTAAGGAACTGACTTGACTTAGCAAAAGTCCGACTTTTCCGGGGTACGACCTTTGACTTGAATGAGGTAAGAAAATCCATTGGGAGTTGAAAATCAGTTTGACTTTGTATAAGTCTGAGTTACTCGGCGTACGAACGGGATCCAACTGTGAATCATAACGTAATGGCGAAAAAACTGAGACACTACAAAATCGAAGAACTCAGACACCGTGATTTGAAACTCAAGGCTATTGGAGGAGAACTGAAGCAACACTTTAATAACTGATCACTAACAATCACGATTTCAACCACATGTCAATAATTCTGGACCCTAATGATATAAATCTCAACGTATGGTTTCCTTTTCAACCACCTTTTGTACACTACGGCTTGCCATAGGCGGATGTAATGGGCCTAGCTGTGGCTTGGCTGAAGGGCAAATGACAGTATGAGAACTGGGCCTACCTGTAGCTGTTGATTACGACTGAAATTAATCTGTTGTTGAGTGTTTGTTACTGAGCCCGGGTCTTGAGAGAAGTTCACCAGTCTCTGAAAGAAAGAAAACAAAATGACAAACTAGAAACATAGCAAAGACTAAGGAAAAACAATCTTTTGGTGGTACAAAACTTGTAAATGGCTTTGAAAAAAGCAAACATTTAGTAAACTAAAGCTTTTCGTCTGACACTCTTCAGAGTTTAAAACGTCGGAACATAGATCGAAAACTCGATCTATGAAAACTCGATCAAGAGAAAATATAACAATCATCACAAATTTTTTTAAAAAAAGTTCTATTGTTTTGAAGAAAATGAGGGGCCATGGCCCCCCGGCCCCCCTTCGTCGGAGGCCCTGTTAGGGAAATCCACATAACAAAGTAAACTATCAAATTCCGTAATATTGAATGAAGACTAAGAATTTACCGCCGTTTGAAGTGCCATGGTTTGGGTTGGTAGCTGAGTAGCTGAGGTAGCTATTGTCGCCCCTTGGATTGTCGTGGCACCAACCTGGCGCATCTAGAAATGAAGAGCAAAAAATTTACGAATAACTGAAACATTGTCAAGTGTCATTGGGAATCTCTAAAAATAGTAGAATCTCTAAAAAAGTGCAACAAGACTGCAACTTCTATCAGTGAAAGTGTCCACCCGTCGAATCCCCGATGTGGATTCATATACAACGGCGAGGTTATGCAAAAAACATCCGTCAAATTGACGCCACAGTGTCGCTGACGCGAAAATGTTTTTGACGAAATTGAGCTCAAATGTCGAAATACAATCACTGGTATACAAAATATTCGAAATCTAAAAAACTCATGATCAGCAGGTTCAATTCTATTAGATTAGCCAATTTTGACCACATAGGCCCTTTGAGCAAGCAGTTATAAAAGTTGCATGCTATAAAAGACTTCAATAAAAGGCGAAAAACAAAGCCCTTCTTGTGCAATAACTATGTTCTGTCCGTATTTGAACAACTTCTTCGATTTCACAAACCGGAGGTCTCTCGCATATGTTTGGTAACCAGCCTTTCAAATTCCAAGTTATCTGGCTGTTAAGAATATGAACAACTTACTTGCTGGTTCACGGTCGTTGCTGTTGTTGCTGGCTGCACCATATGAGAGGCTTGCTACAAAAAGTTAATACCACGTGACTTGACTTACGGTTTTCAAAACTACGTTAACTTAAAAAAATGCTATGACAATAACAGAGGCTATACAAAATGTTTTTCTTGGCTTCTGTGTGTGCTAAACCTTTGGTAAGATCCCAAGACGTTTGAATAAAAATTAACTACAGCATTATATCCATTGTGTCTTTTTGAAAACCAGTTGGCATTGTCGCAAAATATTGTTTATCCTGTTACCCTAACTCAAAGGCACCTCGAATGGCATATCATACACCATATCACACACAATCAAAGCCAGATTAAAGCATTGGCGTAACGCAGTTAAGGACACCTTGGTTCCTTACCCCCAAATTATTTTTATCTATATATTTCAGACTTCGCTCAATTTCACCTAATGCTTAAACATTCTAAAGTTCTACAGTTGAGGTTCCTTTAAATCAGCTCCCCAGGTTAACGAGAAAAATTTAAATTTTTAAAATTGATATTGTCTTTGACATGTTCTACAGCGCTGGATGGGACCTTCTTTCAGCATAGGGTTCTTTTTTGCAGTCCAAAATAGGGGACCCATCTCAGGTTTTCCTTAGGGCCTAGATGCCTTCTTGCAGCATAGGGCTCTCTTCTGCAGTCCAAAATAGGGGACCCATCTCAGGTTTTCCTTAGGGCCTAGATGCCTTCTTGCAGCAAAGAGCTCTCTTCTGCAGTCCAAAATAGGGGACCCATCTCAGTTTTTCCTTAGGGCCTAGATGCCTCCGTTACGCCATTGATCATAAGAGCTTGAAAAACCAAACACATACCCCAAGGACAAATTTTGGAAGCTGCTTCGTCTTCATCTTGAAGTCATTAATAGTTTTCTAAGATTGAAAAAATTTATTTACATGAAAATGAAATTGTATGGTTGATAGATCAAAACGATGACAATTTGATTCAAATTCTATTAAAATCTACAGAGAATGAGAAAAAAAGCATTGGGAAAATGAGAAAAAAATTAAAGATTTGTAAACAAAAAAGAGATTGCTCATTAATTCACTGCATTTAATTCTGTTTAAAAATATTTGGGCATTGAAAAGCGGCAACGCATGTAGTGTGCAATTCATGCGAAAAATAATATTGCTAAAAACTGTTGAATATGTTTAACATCGAGTGAAAAAACTCGAATAGAGTTGAAATTATGAATTCTGGAAAGACAATTTAATGATTCAATGAATGAAACGTCATAATTATTAAGATAAAAATAAAAAAATCACTCCTAATAATCATAATTCATTCCATTTTATTTTAAAACAAGTGTAAACAGTAACCCTATCAGTCTAGAGGACAGCTTGACTGAGTGCCGTATACAACTTAAAAAAAAAAAAAATTAAAAAGAAATTTATTTAAAGCTAAGAAGACATTTACAATACATAAGTATGAAAGCTGAGGAGGACAAACCACTCTTCAGTCTACTTTTAAAAACGCTAAGATAGGTTTGATGGTTTGATACCGAAAGGCAACTTATTTATAAAATGTTTTGACGGAAATTCAGCATCCTGGAAAGTTATATATATAAACGCAAATAGATAAATACTACGTACCTTGAGGGAAGCAACGAATGTGGTCTGAAATGGTATAAGATTTTATTAAAACAGTTGTATGGCAGGATGAAATGTTCAAAAATCATCATGAAAGGCGAAAAATACAAAAAACAAAGTACTTTATATGTCTTGCAAAAATAAACACCATATTTCATAATTCAATTTCATAGATACAAAACCGAATTGGAAAAAACATGAATATCTGACTAGAGTTTAAAAAAAGAAAATGATCATTAACTTTACATGTTTACAATCTCAGTAGGGGTATGCAGCAAATGTAATTATGCGCTAGTTGCTTGAAATTTGAAGGTTAGACGTTCAGGACTTGTAGGTTTTTCATTAACTTTTTAAGTAGAAGGCTAACATTTAAAAGTAGGCGCTTATAGGTTTACCGAAGTTTGTGCAGTCTTACTAAAGTGAGGGTGAAAGTAGGCAGGGGCAGATCCAGAGCAAATTTGAAGGAGGGGCAGTCGGTAGTGGGGGCGCTGAAAAATTTTCAAAAATTGATGACGAGAGTACGATGTATACAACAATTTTAGATCCATTTTCAGAATAAACAACTTAACTTAGGTAATCCTTGAAGCAAATTGACCTATCGGTCTCAAAAACCTTTCCACCTGATTCCCATTCTGCAAAAGGGGCGCGCAATTACCAAAGGGGCGCCAGACTTGCTTCAACTCGTTGCCCCCCTTAAATCCACCACTGAAAGTAGGCGGCGAAGGTTGGTTGGGTAAGCGGCGGACTTTCGCCAGTTGCCAGTTTCTAATGAAATCCCTGGAATTATAACTTTGTCATGGCCAATTACCGTCAAGGGATTTTCGAATCAATTGCTTTTTGGACTTTACTATAAGGCGCAATATCATGGGAATCCTGATTTTACAATTCTTTTAGAAATTATGACTGAGCTCAGCGTCAAGAGGTTTTGAATTTATCAAACAATCAAAGGCAAAAGTTAGAAATAATATCAGGGGATTTCAAAATTGTCAAAGAAAGCTCAACACAAAAACCTGCAAAGGCAGAGATTAGCGATGGCACTAACAAAAAACTTTATCTAGATAAAACATTCCAGTTGTTTATAAATATATGATTATAATATAATTAGATGGTTATAAATATAAGTTCAAAATATTTGACTCACTAAGGGAAAAATCCTCCATACTTAAGTGGTCAATGAACAATTTGAAAACAAACGTGTTTCACAGCTAGATTTAAGCATATTTAACAAGTTTTTAGAAACCCAAAACGAGCCTTGACATTTAAAAACAGAGGCAACTGTAAGCACTGTCATTTTTCTGGGTGATAGTAAAAAAAGGCGAATTAGGCCTAAACCTGGCTAAGAGGCATGTTTGTTGCCAAATGATTGAACTCTGCCTGGGTATGAAGAAATTAAATCTTTCAGCTAATTTGAGGTTTTGAACATACGACTGTACGATATCTGTAACTTTTATAAACTGACCTGATCTTTTGGTATCACTCCAACAAAGGCCTTTCGTTTTGGATTGAAAATGAGCAATAAAACTTGGGGCGAAGAATTAGCAGCTGCACTGGCACCATTTTGCAGGAAGATACAGCCAGCCTAAAATTAGAAATTTGATTTAACATGGCTGCACGAAAAATCTTAAAATAAAAATACTCGAATAAACGGACAAACATTCAAAAATTGTTACCTCCTGTAGAAATAACAAAAAAGAGAATTCAAGCAAGTAAAGACAGGATCTTCATTATAAGAGGTTTTTCAATGAATTTCGCCAACTGCAAATGCGAGTCTATATGCTATCTTGCGAAATCAAGTTTACCTTCCAGATATGGTACAAATCCAGTTTACCTCCAAGTATTTTTTATTTTGATCCACAACTGGGTATATCGTGTTCTTTCGGAACCTTATTCTGACGTTTTATGCTCCGAGGGGTGTCAGACGAAAGAGCTTTTAGTATGTTGTAAAATGTTTGCTTTTTTCAAAGCCATTTTCAAATTCTGTACCGCAAAAAAATTGTTCAGATATGGTACAGTGAAACATTTGACTACCTCGAAACTGTTCGTCATTGAAGTTCGGAAACGGTTCGTCACTGCATAACATCATAAAAGTCCAACCGGTAATTCAACAAAAGATCTTCTAAAATGCTTAATGAAAGTGACAAGGATGTTAAAAGAAATGGACTTAGAGGGAACTCTTGTTGGAATACAAAACATATTTGGGCTACAGAAACTTTTAGTTAGAACTATATAACAATGCTTGTAACGCACAAATATAGACCCTGGATACAAAACATATTTTTTTCTTTATGTTTAAATTTGCTTGTGGATTTCATTTGCGACACGTAGCATAATTGCCAAATTAGGAATAGCCTCGTTTTTGTGTACGGTAGCTATTAAAGCTTTGCAAGCCTTGCTTTCGAGCGTGTGCGCAGATGCTAAAAAATGAGCAGAAGATGATCTTTGTGTTTCGCTGTGAAAACAAAACCAACACCCTTGTACGAGTGTTGTACCAAGTTCAACCCCTTTTTCACAATCATTTAAAGGACTAGTAGCATGATTGATTATATCCAGCAAATTTCATGGCAACTTTCTCCAAGTCATTTATTGACACCTAAATAATGTCATAATGACACATTTCAGGTATTAATTAATAGTTCAAGCCTTTATCCGATCCAATTCCTCTGAACAACAAACTGGAAATCTCATGACAGAAGTCCTTTTGACATAAACGATCGTAGAATAAAAGCCATGACAACAGGAATGACCCTATACCGTTTTGTCTTGTACGATGTACAGGGGTTCTACTGAAAACAGTCCCATAACTAGAAGTTGTGACTGGGTGGGCGTTGAATGATGACGTAGAAAAATGGTCGAGACAGCAACCAATAGGAATGTAATACAAAATCTTTCATATTAAATTATCTCGGGAAGTTTCCAAAAGCCCTCTCACATCTCTCCAGAAGTTACGGGAATGCTGTAAATGATTTGGCTATACATATCTGAAGGATTAAATTGTATAAAATGCAAAGACATACCAACTTATGACTGTTCCTGTTGGCGGGGTCGGGTGCCATCACTCTGTACATTGCTTGCAGGCTAGCTTGGTCGCTGATGTCAGAAAAATGAAAGTAGACGGTCTTTGATTCTCGCAACAAAGTGCTCAGGTTCGCCTGTGAAAATGTATATCACAATGATAAGGATAGTGGGTATCAAGTTAGCCTTTATGCCATGTGTAGAATTGACAAACCAATGTATCTATGTATTTTCAAAAAGCCACTAATGCACAGAATTATTATACAATAAAGCCGCCAGTTGTATGAAAAAACTTCAAGGTACCATGATACTATGACAAATATAAGCACAAAACTTCAAGGTACCATAATACTATGAAAAATAGACGTTTGACTGGTCGTTACTATACAGCTATAGCCAAAAGGAAAGAAATAATTAGGTCTTGCTTCGTCTCTGAATTGATTTTCCCTACCAGGTGATAAAGGTTTTTGCATCCTTGAGAAAGTCTTTAGGCCTAGCTATCGTTCAGCATTAAAACGGTCATATGGCAGCTGACGAAAGGAGGGCAGATCATGTACACGAACCTATTTTCAAGGCACCTTTGAATAAAAGGGAGGTTTGATATGAGAAAACAGCACTCAACCATTCAAATGTTGAGATATTTCAACTTCGATTCGTTTCATGATCCAATTTGTTGTTTGCTTTCCCTCCCTATCTTATGGAAACACCGCATGTGCCTTAATGAGTATTTGCCATGTAATGATCATGGTTTAAAGAAAAGTTCACGTTGTGGTGAAAAATTGTTGTCCCCCCATTAAATTGGTTATGTTACAATACAAAGTGAGGAAGGTCGAAAGGAAGTTTGCTAAAAACACAAAGTCTTTACCAGCCAGTCTTGTGGAACCAGGTTCATTATGAGCTTTTTAGGCCATTCAGATGTGTCCCTGTTAAACGAAAAAATACGATAAACTTTCTGATGTATCTTTTTTTAATGGGAAAATAGAACGAGCAGTCTGATTTGTTTACAGGTTCAAAGCTGTTAAATTGTATAATCGCTGCTTATAATTGGAAATTCGTTTCTTAACTGTTTTCGAAATATTTTATTTTGGCAATCTCTATCTACTATTGGTTAAATTTTTTTGATGGAGTGAAAATGGACAGACCAAACAAACTTATGGCTATAAAAACGATGAAACTTAGGGAAAACAAAAGCTTAAAAGCCCCGTGTTCAAGGCTACCCCTTTTAATTCAACATTTTCTGTAGGAAAGGATGGAATAGTTCAACTTCTTTTGTCACGTAGTATGGACAATGAAAACAAATTTTAAAGGCAGTCTGTCCCCTCAATAATTGGCTAATATGGACAATAGGTCTTCCCGCCTTAATGGATTTGGCTGGCCTAGCTGCGGTAGTGGACAACATTTGAAACTGCGAGCAAAAAGCTATCGGTAATGGCAATAAGATTTAATTACTGGAATTGACTGATGATAATGGAAGCATTTCCTTTCGCTGTTGACATATTTGTCGCAAAAACCAAACAGGGAACAAAATTTTTCTAGCCACAGCTTCACTTCAACGGAAACACAGCCATTTGATTCAAAAGCTCTGGAATCCATGTTGTCTCTGATTGGTTCAAATCGTTTAATTATCGATCAAGGTCAACGGTGCATGAAATTCACTCCCGTGAAAATAAAGTTGAGCACAATAGGGGACAGACTGCCTTTTAATGCCCGTTGTTTGCTTCTATGCCAATACCATCTACAAATCAGCGCATGCGTCATAAATTCAGCGTTGCTAAGGGTAACAGAGAAATTACTCACAGTGTATCATCCTGTGCGACGGTGATGTTACAGGACATTTTTCGTTCTGTTTTCGTTTCAGAATTGGTTGTTTGGGTCTACGAGACAAATCATTCTGTTATCAAATGGTGTACACAGAGATATTTATAAAATCAATTAGATTTCAAAATTTGAAGGTCAAACTATTCAGTGAAAAAACGCTTGCATTTAAGAAAATATTGTGTGCTTTGAGCAAAAGTGTAAAGGATTGGACTGCGTATGCTAATTTATGTTAATTAATGTTTGTGTCGTACATATAAGTTCTTTAACTCTAGAGTTAGGCATCGCCCCTTATGTAACGACTTCAGTAAAAACTGTTTTCCTCAGCTTTCATGTACTTTCAAATAAAATAAATGTACTACAATCAGATTCTTTGCTGTATAATCTACATGCAGGGATAAAACCCGTCTTATCGGCTATTCTATCTTTCTACACAAGCAACATTACTACAGGCCACTTTTCTTCGTGAGAAACTTAGGCCATCGCCCTTCATAGAACGACTCAAATTTCGGCATGCAGAAAAGCGCGCAACGGAGAAAACCCGGGAATTATCATATGCCCTCTTTCCTTCTACCTTTATAATTCGTCAATATCAAATCAGACTTTCGTCAGGCTATTCTTTCATACTATGAATAAAAAATGAATAAAGTTATCCCCCAGTTTTATTTTCTTATCTAAATGAGACTTGCTCCCGATAAAAAACTCACATGAATAAAAATTGTGCAAGCTATTGTTTGGGTTTCAACGAATATTTGCTTTTGAGAGACGAAGAAACATTTTGCGGGGTTCTGTATTGTTTTAGCTAAAAACCCGAACGAAGGAAAGGCCAAGAAAGTTGAGGTGCAGGAAAAGAGAAGAGTCGATGGTCTTCTAACTTTTCACTTGAATTCTGCTTACTTTTAAAAGATTCTCCTAGCTTTTATGAACAAAATGAAACAACGACAATTAGCAAAAGTTTGAGAAATAACGTCAGCACAATAACTTTTTTTCATATCAATATTTATCATTGCACAGTCGGAATTCATGAAAGAATCGAATCGTTCAATAAAGGGCGACGTGACACTATTGTTTAATCAATCAGTTATAAAATCCCGACTCCGGTTAGCCATTTGCAACTCCGACCCAAAAAATAAACGAGCAGTGGCTGATTGTCTCTCTATTGTCTTGATTGTCCCATGGGTTTTCTAGCCATAGTTCGATCAACCTCGAGAGAATTGGGCACACAAAAAATGAAAAGCCCAAGGGGGTTCAAGAAAAACAAGCCGGTTACAATTTCTTTGTAATTAAATGTTATTGATGCTACGATTAAAAAATCATGAAATTTTCCTCGTCTGCTAAGTCGTCTGCAATGCAATAAACATGAACAAAAAAATGCAAGGAATACTGGTCTAAAAAAGAGCTAGATGAAAAAAAGGAAAAGTTTGCCTTAAATCTACAATGAACAGAAAAACTCAGATGGATATCTAGCTTAAATGGCAACTTACATCTTTCCACATTAGCTCGCCAGTCCACGCAACTCTTCGCTACAAGTAATAAAGTAATTAAAATGACGATAAATAAATAGTTTGCTTTGAACAATTCATTCACAAACATCTAGCGAATACTTTAATAGCACTATTAGTTTTCTGAAACGATCTTTTAAAATCTTTGGTAATTTTCCAGTGAGAATTTTCGCAATAAGAAGAGTTGCAACTCCAAAATGTGATGTATAAAATGTTTATGGATTAAAACGTGAATTTAGGGATTGTAAAAAAATTTTACATGATATAAAACAAATCATTACACATTGGATTCTTATCAAAAAAGCTCCGTTGATTAGGATAGAAATTAATACAATAAGATGAATATATTAATACAAACCAGAAAATGGAAATCATAAAATTAAGAAAAAAACTTTCATGTTTGACTTCAAAATTAAGATTTAAAATAAAAATTTTCCCATTGCAAACACTGAATTAATGGAGTATCTTTTCATCCCTATCCTTGTAACTCCTCTCCACCTTGATCTACCAATAACCTAAACCTTGTGCCACTACTCTACCTACCTTCCTTTACCTCCAACTCCTAACCAAATATCTAGCAGTTGCCTATATTCCTTCCCCCCCCCTTTGTTTTCTGATCTACCCACACCATTACCCATTGATCTACTTATAACCTAAACCTTTTGCCCCTACTCCAACCCTCCTTCCTCTAACTCAAATATCTAACCAACTCTCTAAACCATGCCTTCATTTCTTTTTACATACTTGACATTATTTCCTTTTTCAGACCCTGCCTCTATTCATCATCCACCATCCATAATCCATAATCCACCATCCACCATCTACCATCCACAATCCACCATCCACTTTCCATAATCCACAATCCACTTTCCACCTTCCACAATCTACCATCCACCATCCACAATCCACCCTCCACCATCTACCATCCACCATCCACTTTCCATAATCCACAATCCACTTTCCACCTTCCACAATCTACCATCCACCATCCACAATCCACCCTCCACCATCTACCATCCACCATCCACTTTCCATAATCCACAATCCACTTTCCACCTTCCACAATCTACCATCCACCATCCACAATCCACCCTCCACCATCTACCATCCACCATCCACTTTCCATAATCCACAATCCACTTTCCACCTTCCACAATCTACCATCCACCATCCACAATCCACCCTCCACCATCTACCATCCACCATCCACTTTCCATAATCCACAATCCACTTTCCACCTTCCACAATCTACCATCCACCATCCACAATCCACCCTCCACCATCTACCATCCACCATCCACTTTCCATAATCCACAATCCACTTTCCACCTTCCACAATCTACCATCCACCATCCACAATCCACCCTCCACCATCTACCATCCACCATCCACTTTCCATAATCCACAATCCACTTTCCACCTTCCACAATCTACCATCCACCATCCACAATCCACCCTCCACCATCTACCATCCACAATCCACCATCCACTTTCCATGATCCACTTTCTACTTTCCATAATCCACCATCCACCACCTTTTTCGTCTGCTATGTTTGAATACAATACAACCAACAGCTTTTATTAAACATAATTTTACCTGTCCAAGTGTAGTTGTTGGTTGCGGCTGGACCTGTGTTGTCTGCATCTGCTCAGTATTGTGCGCGTTGACATCTGATATCAAAAAGTTAAATTATGTTAAGAAAACACTGCAACGACTGCAAAAATTGCCAGAGTCTTGAATTCTTTATTAAAAAATCTAATTTATACTTCAACATTTTTGAATACTTTCAAAGATGTACAGAGATCCGTTCGACCTTGAAGGTATGAATTCACAAAATGTCGAGATAGCTCGAAAAGTTAAAAACTTTTCTGATACTTTCCAGATTATAAAAAGGTTACGTAAGGCCCCAAGCTGAGTAGAAAATTAATCTCAATTGCGGATCAAAAGTGACGAGAAATTATGATTTCATTTTTCGTTGTATATTGACTGATATTTGACCAAAATGAAGTTCCAGCAAGGAATGATATTGTTTAGTTTTTTCTTGCTACATTTATCATATACAATAAAAAGGGTTTGTTTAGAAACGAAACCCTGAAGGGACCGGATAAACTTACTTTGCTGTTGAAGTTGAGCCTGCTTTTGTAGCTGTTGTTGTTGAAGCAGTTGTTGCTGTTGCTGCTGAAGTTGCTGTGTTTGTAATTGGACTTGTTGCTGTTGTTGCTGCTGTTGCTGTTGCTGTTGCTGGGACATATGTGCCTTCTGTTGTTGTTGTTGTTGTTGTTGCTGCTGTTGTTGTTGTTGTTGTTGCTGTTGTATTTGAAATTGTTGCTGTTGTGTTTGTTGTGAACGTTGTTGTGGCTGCTGAGGTTGCTGTTGCGGTTGTTGTTGTGGAACCTGTTGTTGCTGTTGTTGTTGAGTTGCCTGAACTTGTGCTTGTTGCATCACCTTTTCCTTTAAGGTAAACCCCCTTAAAAGAACCATGTGGTGGGGTTTCTTTGCATTCATTTTGTTAGCTTGCATGTTGACTTCCGTTGAGTAGCCCTTAAAGGAAAATTGACATTAATTCAAGTAGCCCTCGACCTAAGCTATACTCTTGTGTTCGTTTTCAAAATTCATTCTACTACAATTAAATAAGCTTTGGTGCCGCAAAATTAGCGGAACAATTGCTCATCAATCACACGTCAACATTTAAAAGAATTCAGAAAGCGTCAAAACATATCGTGACGACAAATTAAAAATCATTTGGCAATCGGGGTCGTCTTTTCATTCAGAATCTTTCTACATTAAAGAGTTCCTTTTCTCTCTTGGACCGCAGACTATTTAGCTAGGTTGGAGGTAGGTTGTCACCGATTGGTTAAAAACAAGGAACCAATCAAGCATCGTTCTTCTTCTTTCTTCTTAATTACGTTATTTTCGATCCGCGTCTGGATACAAATTTGGCTTTCTATGGTTATTTATCAATGTTTATACTCAATGTTTATATAGGAGTGTCGGACGAAAGCAAATTTATAATGTGCTATGTTTCCATGTTTCCGTGCTATCTACTGTAATGAGTACGAAATAGCTGAAGCTTTAGGAATTCTTAATTTAACACTAAAACCAACGACCAATAATATTTAGAAAATGACCCAGGCAATCACCCAATAAGATCACTCTAAAGGCAGCTCCGAGGATACACGATGTATTTACCTTGTTGTAAAGATTCTGTAGTTCTGGCATGCTTCTTGGTGAAATTACTGACAAGTTGATTCCTTTCTGCAATGATGAGATGAGAAGAGACATAAAATCAATTTAAAATCGTTGCATATCTTTTGTTAAGCTAACACGTGAAAATCCATCAACGCTAAAAATCCTAGTGAAAACAATCTACTGTAATGGAAAATGTAAGAAATGAATAACATAAAATGAAACATAATACATAAAAATTAATACATAAAAGATAAAAATTACCTTGGACATCATTTCTGCGAGTTGCTCAGGATAAAAGCCGTGATAACTAAGGCTAGTTTGGCTTGGTATTTGATACGGCTGGGAGCAAGTCAGCACAATACAGTGACGTTCAACTTTGCTGCTCCTGCAAAACAGCAACAATAATCACCAATTAGATATTTCTTTGTAGTTGGATACATAAGGGAGAGGTCTATAGCAAAGAAATAGAGATGGGAAGAGAAGACTAAGAGAAAGAGAAAGAGAAGAGAGAGAGAGAGAGAGAGAGAGAGAGAGAGAGAGAGAGAGAGAGAGAGAGAGAGAGAGAGAGAGAGAGAGAGAGAGAGAGAGAGAGAGAGAGAGAGAGAGAGAGGGAGAGAGAGAGAGAGAGAGAGAGAGAGAGAGAGAGAGAGAGAGAGAGAGAGAGAGAGAGAGAGAGAGAGAGAGAGAGAGAGAGAGAGAGAGAGAGAGAGAGAGAGAGAGGAGAGAGAGAGAGAGAAAGAGAGGGGGAGAGAGAGAGAAAATCAAGCTTGATACTTTTAGTTTTGAAAGAATAAAAGGATACATGGTATATGAGAGAGTCATGTATAAAAGTCTAGGAAGCAATTGTTAGGATGAAAGTTAACTGTTAAGAATTTTAGAAGGTCTGATAGGAAAATGAAATAATGTTACATAATGAGAAGAAAATTTGTTTGAAAGTTCTCAAAGCACATTCTAGCTTGAAATAACGTTAAAAGGATTACAAAAGAGCATAACATAACAATAAAAATAACAGCATAACAGCATAGCTTGTAAAAAGCATAACGTCGTTGGAAACTATTTGGAAAAATCATATTTCAAAGAACTGATCCCAGCAATATTCACTCTAAATATGGCTAATAATTTTCCAAAATTCATTAACAGATAACGCGTGAAAAGAACTACTTTACATGAATATAGCTTTGAAGACATTTTAACGAGTAGGCAAGTCACATTAAAAGATTAAACATTTTTAGCCGTATAAAAGATTAAAGTCTTTCTCATTTATCATTTATCTATCGATTCATTTATTTTATAAAATAAATCTATAATAAATATGTTCGTTTCAGGTCGTTGCCTCCCTACAATATTTCGCTCCTCTTCGACTGCACTGTTTTGACATATTATGAGTGGAGCAAAATAGAAAACATTTGGCACAAATTGTCACAAGCTCACCTTTCTCCTTTGCGATACTCGTGCAGACCCTCGAACACCTATGAAAGAAATATACCCAGATATCAAATGCAAGACAACTGAAGAAAGTAGCATGCCATTGAGTGTCGGGAATGGGATATTAGTGGAAATGAACTTAAGAAATAGTATGATAAAAAGAAAGATCCATTAGCTTAAACTTCTTAATAAAATATACCTCCAAACAACTAACCAATAATTTTGCACTGTTATTCGTTTGCCGTGTGTCAAGGCCTCCATAAAACAAAAACATCTCTACAACAGACACTGCCCTACATCGGACACTTGTCTATGACGGACATTTCTCAAAAACCCACATCTCCTTACAATGGACACCTCCCTACAACTTACACCTCTCTTTACTAGACATCTTTTAGAACAGACAATCCCCTACAACAGATGTTAACACTGGCAAAACCTTTGCCTATTAAATGGTGTTTCAGGGCACTAAAAATGAATCAAACAGGCCATATGCAGGTTGCCAATAAATACCATCATTGTGCCCACTTCCTAAAAGGGAATTTATGTTTGCTGGTTTGTACTTGCATGTGTTTGCTTGGTTTTATCTTACCTGTAGTGCTGTGGCAAGCCCCTCTCCAAGCATGCTACATATCTGTGAATCTTGCGACATGAATCTAGGATATAATTTAATTGATTTACTCTTTATTGATGAAAACAAATAACTTTTCAAGATGCCCCTCGTTCAAAGCCATTTCTAACAATGCATGCCATGCCAAAAATCCAGCTGGTCTCAGTTCTGTTCACTGCTAAAGGAGTTCCTGCAATTGCCACCTTAATGGGCCATTTCTACAATAAAACATTCCCTAAACCACCTTGCAAAATTGTTCACAAAGGTACTCACGTTATCCCTTTGACAGTTTTCATGAATTTATAAGCATCGTGCGTTGGTTCATGAAACTTGACTTGGTTGCCTTGAATACCATACTGATTATTGTATTCAATGAGGGTGAATAAAGTTGGTAGGTTCTAAAATAGAGCATATACTTTGTAAGGAATGGAAATTTATGCTTTATGGGTCAGTCATATAGTGCTCAATTGCATAGAGGCAGAGCTGTACAAACTTTCTGGTTGAATTTGGAAAAATTTTGGTTGTATTTTGTGCATCAAAAGCACTCCTCAGGGAAAGGACCCTATTACCAAAATCCCCACCAATCAACCAGACTCTACACTATCACAAAGACAACCTGACCTTTGGGAAAGACACTAGCCCAATGAGTGAGAATGGTGATACATAGATCAGAAGCGCAACTCAAATTCCAAGATTCAAAGTCAAAAATTTTCAAAAATCACAATTTTTTTCTATAGATCTTGATTTTGGATTAATCTACATCTTTTATGATTACAACAATAATAGGCAACAGTAATTTGTTTCTACCTAAACACCTATATACTGCTTTAAACTTTATCATAGCCATATTGTAAAACCATTGTGTACCAATTTTTTCAGTTCACACAGAAACACAATTGTTCAGTTCTCCATATCTTATGCTCAAAATCGATCAAAGAGCATACCATGTGTATGCACCTATTTTTTCCCAACTATCCTGAACAATGCTAACATTTAGCAAAATTGGTAAACAGTATTTTGGCAAGCCTGAGAGTTCCTTTTTGGACAAAAAATTTGTAACAGTATGCAATTGTTTTTGTATAAACAGGCACCTCAAAAGAGCATTTGAAAACTTGCACAGATTAATAACTGCAAATTCAGAAAACTGCTTTCATTGATACACACAAAAAACAAACATCTCTCAGAATATAGAAAGTCTTACAATAATACTAATAAACCAATCAGAAAAAGTAATAAAATTGTCATACCGCTGCACCAAACCAATTGATGGTCGAATTAATAAGGGGGCTATCTGTGAAGTGCCTGTTGAAAAGGGAATTCAAAAAATTAAGCATTTGTGTATAAAAAGCAAGTCTTGTTCAATAATTATGGTGTGCATTTACCATCAAATTTAATGATTGCAGAATTTCATCAAAGTTGTAGCTTTTTGTCAAAGGGCATTCACAGTTGCACAAGGCTTCTCAAACTTTTAACCAAAACCAAGATTCTAAGAAACATGTCATTGGGCTTTCTACACAGTTTCCAGGTTTTTAAATTTTGGCTATCGCTTTACACATGGCATTTATTTTCAGGCTTTCAATGCATACAGAAGCATGACTTTCAGGTTTTTATTGTGGACCTTGAGTTGATAACTGCCTCGTTGCAGACCCCTAACATACAAATTGTCATAGAACATCAACTTGAATTTATTCTACTTTCAATGTGGCTACAATCAGCAACAAACACTAGAAATTGAAAAAATTGAAAATTTGTTTGGACATACTCAAGGATGGGCTTGATATACATAGATTTCATGTCATCAAAGTGAGGCTTGAAGTTTGATGTGACTTCGACCACAAACACAACATCTGTGACATCCATAGGTGCTTCCACAGGCATCTTGCTTCGGGAAGTTTCTTCAAAGCTGGATATTGAAAGCACAGCAAATTTCAGTATAAATTAATTTTAAGTGGATCACAAAATTTCATAAACTGTTTTCAAAAAAATCATTTTGTGGTATAGAATTTAAAAATGGCTTTGGAAAAGCAAACATTTTGAATAAATCTTCAGAGCAAAAAACATCAAAGATAAAAAACTCTACGCTAGGAAATATATATACCCAGTTGTGGATTGAAATGGGCAAATAAAAAAATAATAGCACATGACCGTTGAAATTGCCCAATCAGTGCCACTTGCCTATTAAGAATGTTACCAATGGAGTCCTAAGGTAAAAACAAACTTCTTCTGGCTATACAATAATGGTTTTTTAGATACAGGTTTTTCAGGTTTGCTAGTTGGAGCGATGATCAGACTCTACCAACCATCTGAAACATGCCCCCATTACAGTATTTTGCACAATCTGGGTTTTCTAGTGAATGCTGTCTAATAGTGGAATCACATAGCTGTCGTTTTTAATCTGCAGAACCAAAGGATTGGATGGTAGGAACCCAATCCTTTTAATAGATAGAAGGATCTGTAAACAATAATGGATTAAAGGCAAAGAAACATTTTGTAATAGCCTGTTTAATCTGACTTTCAAATTGCAAGGAAATGTTACTGATCCATGGTACTTTTAGGTAAACCAGGCAATTTTGCGGACCAAATTCTACATCAGCTGAAAAACTTGCAATCTCCTTTCTTAAAACACTCAGCCTCTGTTTTGAAAATGGCATATGTGTCATAAACATATAAAAAATCGACACCTGGCCTTTTTCACAGTTGAACAAAAGCTATTCATGAAAGCCAACAAAAATGTTAGCCAAGGCAGGTTTCAAAGGACTACCAATGAAAACATCCCCTGGGAATAGTGGGCTGTCGTGTCTCCCCTGGTACAAAACATTGGCACATATTTAGATGGGCTCACTCAAAGGAACATTTGTAAAAAGACTACACATGTCGAAAGAACAAATGAAAGACCATTCGTTCTTGACCTTAAGGCTTTGCATGTATTCAGCAAACATGAAAGACCCCTTGATGCAATGTTTTGAATATTTTGGAAGAAGAGGATAAAAAACTTCAAAAAGCAACTTAGCCCATTCATGTTCTGCTGTGCCAATCATAGACAAGATGGGTCTAAGTGGAACATTCAGCTTATGTATTTAGTTAGGCCATACATTTGTGGACGTTGTGAACCAGTGGGTCTTATCCTGTCATAAACTTCTTTGGTCAATACTTTTGAGTAACCAAGCTCAAAAAGGTTTTTTGAAGTATCACTCTAGCTGGGCCATTTCATCCTGTGTTGTGCTCACTTTTCTGATTGGCCTATTTCAATCCAAAACTGGGTATTTTTCCGCACTTAGAGTTTTAGATCTATACTCTGATGTTTTATACTCTGAACAGTGTCAGACGAAAAGCTTTAGAAACATGTTTCAAAATGTTTGCTTTCTCAAAGCCATTCATAAACTGTTTTTTTCTACAACAGCTAAGTCCAGAATCAATCTTTTTGGTTAAATACTTTTGAAAGAGTTCCTTCATGTATAGATATATTTATTTATTCAAACATGGCAATTCATTGAAATATCTTGACTCCATATCTGGATAGATGGAGTTTCCAGTTAAATATTCAAGCTTGAATTGTGATTGGGATAAATTGTTGTTGCTAAAAACCCTCAATCTTGATAGCAAACTTAAATTGAATAATATAGATTGAATGAAAAATTGGAATGTAAACAGTTTTAGCTGAAATCCAGTAAAAACCTGATAACTGCGTGTGGATACGCTAGATATCTTATTCTATCTGACGATAACATTTCAGTGCCAAAAAAACATTAAAGCTACAATAAACAATACGATTTTATTTTAGGCCATGTAATTGTCTCATTTGAGGATTGTGCACAGGTGGTTTTACGGTTCAAATCAAATGTCTCTGAATTTAATTTGAGTGATGCGATTCCGAACTAGGACAACAGACTTTTAAAATGAGTTTTGATCGGAAAAAATTCTACAGGCCAAACACAAACAAATTGTAGATTTTCAGAATATCCGATGCTAAATTTGTTGTCGATAAACGACTTGAACTGGTATGGAGGTAGCTGGTGACCCAAAATAAATCACCCTTTCCCACCGTTAAGATTTCTAATCCATGATAAAATAAAATAAAATAATAGGTTTATCGATTTGAAAAGTTGTTTGAAGTAGAAAATGAAGTAGCATAATTTCATTCAAATTTGGGCCTAACAAGAAGGCATAACATTCAAAACATTTCACCTTATTTCTGGCTATAGTATTATTCAAGTGAACATCAGCTGTTCCCCCGTCTTCAGTCATGCAGACTTCTAAACAAGTTGTCTTCTCGAGTCATTTTCTCAAAGTTAAGAGCTTCGTAGAACTTTTCTCGCTGCCACTTTCATCCCACGATTTCACTTTCGTTCGGGAATAACCAACATATTGTAGTTGTTGTTGTACCTACTCTGTTACCGTCATTTGTTTGGGGGGGGAGAGATAAAAAAGTAGCGAGCCCAGCAACCCCTACCACCCACATTCGCCTGTTTTTAATAAAATAGTAATATAATTATTTTGTATTTGCTAATTGACATTTATTCTATGCCTTGCTATTGTGTATTAGCTAGTTAATGCGAAAAACGATCGTTCTCTATGGGTTTTGTCCAAGACTATTTTTCCGGGTTGGGGGTTTGGGTGGGTTGAACACTTATGTGCAGCTAAACGGGGTCGTGCCGCCCCAGTGGGTGGGCTGGAAGTTCATCGTTCTTATGTCTCTTCCATACTAAACTGTCTTTCTGTCACTCCAAATCCCTAAAAGTGGGTAATGCTGCTATATTTTGGGCGGCACACCCCCAAACTCCCGGGACTGTTCTAATGTTTATCTCCTCAGAACTTTAGAAGAATATCTGATTACCAAAAAAAAAGGCTAAGAGAAAGGCTGATGGCATTCAACCCGAGTGGCTTGTGAAAGCATTCGATGTTTCGTTCGAATATATTCATATAATTTAATGGCGTAACAGTGCTTGTGAAAGGCTGTTTAGTACCTAAGTTTCAATATTGTATAAAAGAAAGCCTTAGCTTTGGATGGAACAAAAAGAACAGATTTGGTGCGTCAAAACGTGTCATTTATTCGCTCGGTATCAAACAACAAATGGTGTCAGAAATTTTATAATGTGCCGGCAAATTTTACAATTCTTTGGTCCCCTCCCTCCCCCTCCCACCAGGACTGTTCTAATGTTTTATCTCCTCAGAACTTTAAAAGAGTATCTGATTACCATCAATTTCAGGAACAATTCGAACAATCATTTAAAAGTGTATAAAACTTTTCGTAAACAATCTTTTGGTGGTACAAAACTTGAAAATGGCTTTAAAAAAAGCAAACATTTGAGTAAACCAAAGCTTTTCGTCTGACACTCTTCAGAGTATAAAGCATGGATCGAAAACTCTACGCTAGGAAATATATATAGCCAGTTGTGGGTCGAAATAGGCCAATCAGAAACACGAGCACGTGATTGTAGAGGTTGCCAAATCAGTGCCGCTTGCCTATTGAGAATGTTGTCAATGGAGTCCTAAGGTGAAAACGAACTCATTTTGTCTACACAATAGCAGGTTTTTCGTGCTTATGTAGATAGATTCCAAAACTGCTAGATGGAATGACGATCGGGCTTTACCAATAATCCGAAACATGTCACCATTATATTTTTTTGCACAATCTGGGTGTTCACCCATGTGATAAGATCTTTGTCTAAGAATTGATAAAGATCAGCAAAAATTAAGAATTTAAGAATATCGTCACTTATTGAACAAATTAGTATCACTTTAGTTTTTGCCACGATTTCGAGCCATTCATTAGCGCCATCAGGAATTTTGATTTGAAATGAACGTAAGGATCATTTTTATTTCAATTTATTAGAAAAACAGCAGAAAAATATAGCTGTATGAGATGCAGAGAAGAAATACATTAGATGCAAATACAAATATATAAAATATTGGCTAAAAATATCTATAAAAATCTAAAAAATCTAATTTTTAAGAATGATACTACACAGTGCAGTATGGAAATATTAACAACAGTAAAAGGATATGAATCAAATTGCCTATGAATATTAAATTATCACGATGTATATGGAATAATTACATTTCGAATTGCTATAAAATTAGTTAAACCAGAAAACTATCAAAAAGAACCTAAGTTGAAAAATTTGTGACAATTAAAAATGGTCGGAAAACACAAAAATTTTGGATCATGTCCTCTTTCCTGTCAATAAATGCCCCTTTAACCAACAGGGACCCCAATTTTACCAACAAGGAACATCCATGACTAGCTTTTGATTAAGTAATGGTATCAGAAAGAATACTCTGCCAAGATATGATCTCCCTCCTAACCGATTTTTCTTATCTAGACGAAATACAAAATCCATCCCGCTAAGACCTGGGGGAAGTGTCTCCCAGTCCCCCAATTTGGTTATCTATTTTGAACTCATGGGTTAAACCAACTTTCTACTTTTCGTGTGTCATTAATACGGTTTTGAATCAACCTTGCATGAAACTTTGAATTAACTACAAAGGATATAAAAACTTTGTCTTCACTCTTAAGAATGAAAATAGCAAACGACAGCAAACGACTGGCTATTTGTTATTAGACACCTGATCAAAAGGTTGAGATATTTACATTCTGAACTCTACAAACTATGAAAAAAGTCTGGTTTTGGAGAGCCATTTCAAGGCGTTCATATCCTCTCCATTTACTGATCTTCGATGCTTTTTGCTCTTTCTTTTTCATCTCCTGGCACAATCATATTCTATAATTTTTGAATGGAACAAATTTCTCTTTTATGTACGGTACTCTGTCATTGAGGGAACTTTTTCAATACAGTATTTTAAAATTTGTTACTTAGCAGAAATACTTTTTCTTCCCCAAAAAATAAATCATTCACGTCCCTAGAAACTTCTTCCCCCTAAAAACTTCAATATGTCCTTAATCAAAAATACACTCTCTTAGCCTTTTTGGAATATCCCTCGAATAAAGACTATTTGAGGGTAAAAGTTCTGTACAATAAGTGTTTGAAAAATGTCTAAAAATGTAAATACTTTACTCACACCAAAGCCAAAAATACCGAAACATTATTCAGTCTTAAATCTCTTTTATTAAATATCAATAAATTAAATTTCGCAAAGAAAATTTTGTCAGAAGATTTACAGAAATCACAAAGAGATGTTATACATCTGAGAACGCCAAGACCGAATGAAATCCAGTGCATTGATCCACCTGAAAAATTACAATTTTGCTAAAAATGACTTTGTCATCTGAAAGTTTAAAAACTTAAAAACTTTTAAATGCCTTGACAAATAAAGATTTATAAAAATAGAATTCGTTTATTCATGTTAAAAAATTGGACGGAAGGCTGGCTGAAAATTATGAGGAAAACAAAACTTGAGAAAACTTCCGTAGTGAAAATGAATGCTTGTGGGTTGCAATAAGCCTCGCATTCAGGCAAACTGCATTGCTCAGTCCGAACAAATAAGAATTCTATTGAGAAAACGGCTGACTAAAAGGTGTGGAAATATCGAAGATGGTTGAGCATGATGAAAACTAACTTACTTTTCTTTCTCCTCTTGGTCATAGGCCATCAGTTCGTAGACCCGACCGTCGGTTATAACATTGAAAGAACCATTGTTTTTATCTTGATGAGGAGGGAAGACATCTTCAACAGCCAGTATCAGATCTAATGCGATGAACCTATAAGGGCAAGTGCTTGATAAAGTTACGTAAGGACAATAGGGTCACGGAAAGGAGAGGTGTCGTTGCAATGCGTAAGAGGACTCCCCTGGCCCTAGAAGCGTAGTGAGGGAGATGCCCCCAAATGGCAAACAATTTGGAAATGGGAATTTTCTGATGTTTCCAAAGAATTTTGAACCTCCATTTTCCTTCCCTCAACTCGCCTTTGCCCCCCAATCTTCTCACCTTGGCTACGCTACTGTCTGGCCCCCTAAAGAAACGACCCGAACGGTAGGGAATCCGGGGAACGTCTTTGGCAAATGGCCAGTCTTCATTTAGAAATCATTAGTATAACATTACCGTGGGCCTTGAAATGAACTTTCCATTTGTTTAATAAGCATAAAAACGCCTCAAAAACTAAGATAATTTCGAAGGGGGGTTAACTTACCCTCTAGGAATGTTGTTGTCGTTGCTTTTGTAATAATATAGGTATCCTTCCCGACTTATTGAAAACCATCGCCTTTGCCACCGCTTTCCGATGGGGCCCCCCTTGACACCTCGCTTGCACAGCCAGCCTTTTAACTGAAAATGAAGCAATCAATACCTGACATTAATGACGGGGGAGGTTCGTTACCAGCATTGCAATTGTATAATGTGTTATTCACAAACAATTTCCAATGTTTTGTCCTATATCTTATCTCTTTATCAAGAAGTATTATTCTATAAACCAAGAAGAGCAATCTGATATAATTAAGCATAGTTCTAACAAAATTTTTGATTCAGTTGAAAAATCTGGGCAAACATATCTTGAGCGTGTGCAATCATGCTTGGAGGTAAAGAAAACTCTAACGTTGTGTCTAAAGTTCCAGACTCTAGCTACAACGTCTTCAATTAAAAAAGCAACCTAAAGAACTAAAAACGATTTGATTTGATAAGCCACATAACGACTTATTTGATAAACCATACTTACATCTAGTTTTTCGAAGAACTTCTCTTTTTCCGTTGTATTGTCTTGCCTGTCTGCTTCAGCATGGATGAGCTGTTGAAAGACAAGAAATTTTCACGTGAACTGTTTGGCTTCCCATTGCTTCAAGTTACACGTGAAATCCGCGCTTTGCCCGCGCTATCTCGATACTAGCAAAACGAGGTCTAATACGATCTTTGACTTCAAATGAGACATATCAGAGGATCTCCAAAAGAGACATCCAAAAACGAGAATTTTAAAAAGACTAAAAAATTGTACTAAAATACAAAAATAACAATGAAATAAAAATTAAAGTTCCTGAATATTATAAAAAAAATCGAATGTAAACAAGTAGGTAAAACATTCTTAAAAGCGCAGAGGTCTAGCTAGTGCGGAGTTGAAAAACGATACACACTCTAAATTGATTCTAATTTCGACATATTGTCAAAATACCCTGTTCATTTTTCTTTAGGTTCTTAAAGACATTTTTCATAGGATGACGTAAGGATATTGTTGACATCATACCCTGCTTCGCAACTCTTCAACAAGCAATTGTAACTCTCCAACTTCCATTTGCAGATCTTCTTTTTCTCTTCGCAACATCGTGTTTTCATCCTCCAAACTTCCGCACTGAAGTAAAAGTTCTTGGTTCTTTGCTTCAAGATGTCTAAATATCAAAAATGTTTGTTAGACGAAATTCAAACAGCCAATTGAGCCAAAAATCAGTTTTAAGAAGCCATTCTTGATTCGTCGGAACATAGCTTAAATAGAGGGGCAAAATATCATACATTATATTAAAAATTTCTCCAAAAGCAATATCAGACATTTCACAGTCTACTACGGTTATAGGGCCACCGAAGAAGGGAGGGGGGCATGGCAATAGAGCATTGTTCAAAATCTTTTGTTATGACTGTTACATTCTCTTGCCCCCCCCCCTTCACTTTCGAGCCTGCATTGGAGCCCATGGGTTATTTCACTTTAAAAGTGATGTAACCGTTTATTGCGTGACTTTAACCGGAGTCTACTGTAACAAACAATACAGGTTCCCTTTCGAGAAACCGCTATCTTTCCTACTATATGGGGTGTCCCCTCGTTGATATCTTTAACATGAATATTTTCCTTAATACAATAATTTTTTTGCTTGACGAGTTCTTGTGAATTTTATAAGTGGTTGCATTTTGTTTTTTGGTTAAACTTGAGGATTCTTATCGGATCTAAAGCCATAAAACTTAAGATTGCCAATCTAAGAAAATCATTTAAAATCTCATATAAAATCAAGCCTAACGAACCACTCGATATATCTTTTGACGGAAAACTTGCCACATTTAGATATTTGAATTTCGAGTGGTTTTTCTAGCATTTATATTCCTCAAAGTAACTGAAATGCTTTGATTGGGGTTTCCTTTAAAAAAACTCCTTATCAGCTACCCAGTGACGATTTCTAAAATTGATCAAAGTTGCCAGAAACGTGAAATAAAGATTGTCTAGGGTAACGAGCAATATCTTGTGTCAAAACCATTATAAATTAGTATCGAAAAAAAGAATTTTAAAAGAAAGTTAGTCTAAAGGTACACGTATGAAACTCACAACAGTTGCAAAGCAATTCTTTTGGAATCATCGTTATCAGTAATTTTTGAAAATGGACTGGTTGGTGAAACGGGCAGTGTAGCGGATTTTAACATCTAGAAAAGAAAGAAATTTGAGCAGACAAGTTTGAAGTGTGAGCATAAGGCGTGATGATTGGTGCTGATGCTCTCCTATCTTCTGAACTTAGGAGGCTGTGACACTAAGTAAACCTTCTTGAACTGATCGCATTATTCTTAGTAAATTTGAATGTAATATTGAACACAGCTATACAATCAAATGCCTTTTGTGATAATCCTTATTACAAAGCAGACATTTTCAAATAATAGAAATTTCAATATAAGATGTAAAATATATGTGATTAAAACATTTAAATATCTCATCTGAGAAGCACATTTGTTAATTTAGAAAACAATTTATAATTGGAACAGATAGCAATAAAATCTTGTGGTCAAATGACATTTAGTGAACATAGGAACTTACGTCTGGAATCGCATCCATATCTGAGTCAGAATTAAGACTGCCCTGGAATTCAAAATACATCAATGATATTTCGCTATGCTTGCAATTCAATATTATAAAATCAAACAGACGAAATTAATGCTCATTAGAAGACAAAACGGGATTCATAGAGAACTTGCATTGGCTGCTAAACTGGTTGAAAGAATAGAATTTTAAACCTATAGTTATAAAAACGTTAAAAAACAGTTATAACAACGTGCTTGCTCATGCATAGCACTTTTATCAAAACTAAGGGACCCTTTTTGTTTAAAAAACACATAAAACCCCTTCCAGCCGGGGGGGTTTTGAAAATCGCCCCAAACTGCATATGCAACCTTACAGCTTTGAAAGAGGGGCATATCACTCTACAAAAATCTCGTACACCTTTTTTGAAAATCCTATTGTTTCAGCTGAAAATCCGCAGAAATCCTTTTGTTTTTGGGGAAATCTCGTACGCCATTTGCAAGAGTGAATCGCCACTCGGCCTTGAAGGCTAGATATCTAATTTGTTTTAAGTCGTCTAAAAGGCTTACAGCCAGTTTTTAATTTCAAGTTATATGAAAAACAGTGCAATATTCCCATTTTTAATTAGTCTTGAATTAGATTCTGATGTTTTTCAGCTTTAAAACATTATTTTGAACGATAAGAATGATTCCAGTTACGACGTCATTCACCATAATTTCACTCGTTCTCATTCCAAATGAAAAAACCTACCCTTAAAACATCACTACGATTTCGATTATAATTGGTACTGTTGGTTCGTAGGAAATGTTATGGCTTGTTTTACAACAGCAGATATTTGTGCTTATAGCATTAGGCAAGACTTTTTGTTACCAGCTCACCTTCCTTCCATGAAGAACCGCCCTGACTCCGGATCTTAAAGTTGCCAATATATTTCCTTTGGACGTTTTACGATCAACAGGCGTTGGCGGCGGCGTGACAGCATCTAGGTTAACAGCACTGAGCCTATGTCGCTTTTTTCGTTCCGGTATTGAAACTTCCGGACTATAGTCCGGTATTGGAATGTCCGGTAATGAACGATTGTTTTTTTTCGTACCGCTTCCCTGCTCACCGTCTTCAAAGGAAAACAGATCACCTAAGATGCAATAATTAGAAAATTTTTGCAAATAATAACCATTAGTTCGGTGCAGTTTTGAGATTATTGAGCTTCCACCCACAAACAAGGTTCCGGATCACAACTTTTTTTGTTCCGGATCACAACTTTTTCTTTCAGATTAGTAGATTCAATAAAAGGTATTAGTAGATCGCAACAAAAGCCGAGTTTCAGGTACATATAATGTATAATAATAACAATAAAACGAATATTGATACAGGATAGACAATTCAACGTGTTAAAACAGCTGCTATCAATGTGTGTCCTGTGTTCTACGCCTAAATGATGTTACCCTAGATATTGAAAAAAAATAAGAATACAGATATATATATAAAAGATAAAATTAAACTATTTACCCTAAAAGTTACAGATATAGTTTTAAGATAAATATCACTTAAAATATTCCTCGAGTTGTTTCTCAAACTCCTTATAGCTCTCAATTTTACGAATTTCTAAATGACTTTCTTGCCTACTCAGTTTTGATCCTTGATAGCTCTAATGTGTAATTATTGTCATTAATGTATAAGCCATTTTTATTTTTCATATTTTATTTCCTTTTTCCGTTCATTGTGATTTTACCAAAAAGTCTCGCATTTTCTTAAGTCATAAAAGCCTCTTCCTTTAATTTCACACGCCAAGTGTTTGAATTAAAAAAGAAACCACATAAAAGGAAATGAAATCAATCGATCAAGCTAGCTTTCTTACCACTCGATGAGACGCCATTTTCATCAGACTTTGGGGTCAGGTTAGGGCTGTCCGCTGGTCGCAGATGTCTAATGTCGGACTTTTCAGCAATGTTTAAATCAAGCAGCAATTGAGACTTCGTCCTAGCATCACAAAAATAATCAAATCTTAAGTCAAGACATAAGCCTAAAGGTAAGCATATTGACAAGAAAAAATCTTCTTGGAAAATCCGACAAAAAACGGTAGTTTATACCACATTGTTGGATCTAAAATTTAGATTTAGATTAATCCTTCTGACTAATCCTAAACTAATCCTAACCCTGATCTTGAAAAAAATCTGATCATTGTAACTGAGGCCGCATTTCTCCTTCTGTTATTTCTAACAAACAATTAACCTATACTTCATCCTGAAAGCAGCAAACTAATCGAAAGTACGATTTATACATTGACAAAGGGAAGTAGAGCTAGGGGGCAGGGGGGGGGGGTCAGCCCCATTCTAAACTTCGGAAAACAGTTCTCCTTTTTGCTATTAGTTTCTGAGAAATATTTCGCGAGGGCATCTTGCTTTTTCAAGCACATACCCTTAACTGACGAAAAGAAGGAAGGGTAACTTAGAAGGTCGTTGCAATGGTGGAAAGTTAAAACCAGCAACTCAAGTCAATCTCAAAGAATTTCGTCGGCAATCAAATTTCTGCTAATGATACAACGAAAAAGAGATAGTATCCAATTAAAACTACACGCAATCTAAGCAAGCAAATTATTGTTAAATAAGTACTACAGACGAAAACTCCTTAATACAGCAAATATTGCTTTTTCGAGTAAGTAACTTAGGCCTAAACTTACTGCTGAGCTCGTCCTTGAAGAATGGCCACATTGCTGTGAGGTTGCTGTAATGGACAGCGGAATTCGAACACACCATTGTTCTCTTCATCCAATGACATTGTCATGCGCCGATATTCCGCTTCATAGTCACTCACGTGACTAAAGTTACTGATCATATCATCGTCACTATCAGGTGAAGAAATGCAACTTAAAATTTGCCACGAAGAAGAATCGACATTTTCGTGGTGAACAGAGGCTGAGGCTACTGATATATGCTGGGCAAAAGGCCTCCTTTCTAACTAACGTTCCACCAGAAAGAGAACCTGCGGCTGTATCAATAAGAACGCCTCAATGTGATAACCATACTGTGGTTTTACTACCCTCGAGAGGTTATTCAAGATAACTTGATTCAACGGACTTATTCATCCAAAAGTCTAAGTATTAAATCAACTTTTCTGAAAAAGATCACAAACAAAATTATAGTTTTCTAATAGTAACATGATTTAAATCTGTCCAATGTTTTCCCTGGGTTCCCTTTAAATAAAAAACTCTTTGTCTGATAGTTGAACAGTTTTGGCTTATTTGACTCGTATATATGCCATCATGATCATCATGATCACTATAAAATGACCATGATTGTATCAGGTGACATATTTCAAAAGAAATTATATTTGTGTATCCAGTTAATGATTCTTTTACAAACTGTGTTATTATGAGGGTCACTTTAAGAACACCTTAATTTACCCTTTGCACCACTTATAAACCTGCAACACTCAAAGGCAAAAATGATTTAAAACCACTCACTTTGATGTTCCTTTCTTCACAAACTGACAGTTTACATGTAGGCCAGCAGTGACTGCCATTGTTTTATTTGATAAGGTTTTAAATTCCATTTCTAGTGGAGTACTGTGTAGGAAAAGCAGACAAGTATTTACAAAGATGTCATAAATGCAATGAATTCTTAGGCCGTATGCAGCTCTACTGTCAATATGTTTACATAATGGAAGATGATGATAAAAACGCATTTTGTTGAAACTTAGGTCTTTAAAAACTGTGACAGTTAAAGAGAATAACTGAGTTCAAGCGGATTTTAAAGCCCATTTAGTTAATTCACTCTCTGATGCCTTAGAGAGCAAAGTCGAAATAGCAAGGGTACTATCTTTATAAATCAATAAAGGGGGCATAATCAACAGGGTGGGGTGGTAGAGGAAAAATAGCCGACTGCACAAATACTTGAAGCTGCTATAGACAAGAAAACAATACGCATAAAAGCCAAAACTGCTTTGAAGCGTTTGTGACGAAAAACAGTTTCAAAAATATCCTCAATTTTAGTTACGAACGCAAAAAAGTATTTTTTATATCAAATTTCACGTCCATTTTTTCACAGGAGCTAGCTCCAACTGCAAGAGCTTTCTTGCATTGTGGGTCTTGGAAGAGTTGAGCATTTGAAAGTTAGGTCCTCTTCTTGATATTTAACATTGGATCAGGCGGAGAGAGGTCTTCAATTGTGACCACCGATCGAGGGCTTTACCAACAGAGCAAATCTGGCTCAAATGCAAAAAAGCATGTTGATCTCTACCATCAACAAAATCTCTCGCTTATAATTTTTTTTCCAAGATAGAATATTCCGCGTCAATCAATCCAAGAGAATATAAACTGTCTATGAATACAGTTCAATTTTTAACCAACTTTCTCTGTCTTTAAAAGAAGCTTCTATCAAAACTTCATACATAATGTAAAAAAACAACTCCTCTCTTTCTTACAGGATAAAAATGTTTCCCTAGCTCTTACTTTTTGAAATCGTTTTTTTCAGAGCCAGCAGGTACAGTGTGGAGGCGTAGCAAAATATTCGTATTTGTTAACGTTAAGTTAATACAATCTTTCTTCTTTGAAAAAATACTATTCTCTTTATAATATTAGCTTGAATTTGCAGTAGTTCCTTCCCAACTACGAGCTCCTAACAGATATATAAAAACATAAGAATGCTCTAGAAAGAAATTTTAAAACTAGTTTACATATTAACCAATTATATACATCACTTAATTCGATTTTTATATAGAATGTTAAAAAACAAATGCGATGAAAACGTTTCTACACATCTTGTGGCTATTCTTTGAATTATGTTCGTATTTCTAGCAGATCGATTTCATTTAGCGTAACATATTTTAAACAGTTAATGCAAATTTCCATTAATTCCTAAATAATAATTTGTGACTTCTATGATATTTGTCCAAAATAAAAACAAGTAACTCACCTATCAGGTTCTAGTGATGCATAATCTGCTATATTTAATGGAAATATTGCCAATTTCCTTCTAGTTAATCCTCGATTCTAGAAATGAAAGCAATGGACACACATTAATAACAGCAGTTTTAACTCGTTGAAGTGTATATCCTGTATAAATATTCGTCTTATTATTATATTATTATATTATATATTATTAGACATCTCTTTAATATCTCGGTTTTACTAACTTTCCACGATTGCAGTTGCTCTAAGATTAAAGTACAATGCAATACTTGTACAATAAACTATAAATGGAGCTTAATTGAACAGTTTGGGCTATAAAACAAATGGAGCTATAAATGGAGCTTAAGCGTACTTGGGTCGTAATTTTATCTCACTATGACCAGTAATGTGACTTTTCGCGGAGTGACTATAAGTGGAGTTGATTGCTTAACCATAATAGTTGCAATGTTATTCTGATTTTTGCCTCTTCTGTTTTTGTCACCTTATAGAATGGCGGAGCGTGACGTCATCAAAAACTATTTTTAGAATTTGAGAATTCTCAATATATAATCTGAAAGAACACCACGAAATATTTTACAAAATCAAGCATGCAAAATCAGTTGAACCTGTAAAAGACGTGGAATTTGCTAATGGATTACTGTTGCTTTGACCTGGTTCAGTGATTTGATCGGGAAAGGGCACGTTTGTTTGTGTTACGTTTGTTTTATTTCTTTCCGTCTAATTTAGCCAGCTAGTTGCTTTACTTACATCTTCTAAAGAAAATACATATTCTTTTTTCAGAAATTTTTCTGCATCTTCCGAGCTCTGTAAAACAAGAAAAAAAATCTTTACAAATTGTCAAAACTGAAAATAGCTGCTTTGCTACACAATAAATAATATAAGCTTTTTGGTACATAAAACAGGACGGTTCTTAGTTGCAACTCCGAGTTTCACGCTTAATTAGAAGAATAAGAAGAGTTAATCGGATGCCTGATGATCGCCTTAAACGTGAAACTCCGAGTAGCAACTCAAAACCTGGGGCGTGGTTGCCCACCGGGACACGGAAAATTCCCCAGTAGGCCCCTTAAAACTTTTCATGTAGACCATTTGAAATTTTTTCCCTTTAATATTTTAACATTTGTAACATCTAATTTGTGAGAATAAACAAGTGAAGTAAGGTCCCACCTTACTAACGCTGCCTCCGCGAAAAAAACAAGAAAAAATCAGCATCAAAATTGTGTGCCCCTTAAATTTTGATTTTCCCGGCCCATAAAAATTTCCCACCACGCCCCTGCTTAGAACTGTCCTGTTCTTTACACCAAAAGTGTGTACAGCTCTATGCTCTGACGATACGGCATCAAACCCTTTATTACAGATTGGTAAACATTTATTCAATAAATATCATAAATGCAAATACAACTGAAGTCAACTTCGAAACTTTCAAACGGCGGCATTTGTTCTAATAGAGGGGTGTCCAACATATGGCCCACGGAGGGCATATTCTGTGGCCCTTCTCAAGGCGGTAACTTTAAAAACTGCGTTATGTCTTTGGAGTGCAATTTCTGCAAAAAGTTATTATGATTTATTCTTAGTCATACTTTGACATTATTAGGCAAACTATCTCATCATTTGGCAAATTGATTTAATCAAACGTTTTCTCTTTTGAAGCTGAGCAAGTCAATCCGAAGTTCACGGACAAATATTTACATAACATTCATGGACGTCAACTACCAGTTTAATGCGAAATGTTAAAAAAATTTCTGCACACAGAAAATGTGTGTTCCCAACCAGAATGATTTTACAGTTAAATATGTCTTTATAAAAGTTGCATAAATGAACAAAGTGAGAAATTCAACATAATCTGGAGATAAATGCTTGACCTTTTCCAGATACATAAAAAAGAAAGAGGGGAATTTCCTTTTTTGTGTAAGGGGCAGCGTAAAAAAGCAAAGAATACAAACTTTTGGGCAATAGTGTGGGCCTTGTGAGGAACAAAATAACAATCTAACTGTTCTTTGATCAGGGATGCTAGAATTATGACAGGGCAAAGGGGGCACTACCAAAGGTTTGATGAGGGAATGTGAGGCAAGAATAGGGTAGCTTGGGGTACATCACTGGACAATTTTTTTCTTCCAAACTCTACAGTTTTGCTTGGACAAACATGAAAATATATTTTATGTGCTTAACTTTGGAAAAAGAACTGAAATTCTACAGCATTTTTCTCTGTTTTGACTCTTTTTTCTTTGAATGAACTTATTTGCTTTGACTTTTTCTTCTTTGAAGGTCTAGTCGCAGACCAATTGTATTGTATTGGCATGTATTGGCAATGGCAAATGGGGGGGGGGGATAATGTTGATTCTCTAAAATAAATCTTAGCAATGTGCACATCTTGTTTTATGAGCAAATAGTGAGGTTTTTTCTCTTCTTAAGATTTGGACCCAAGATGTTGTTACCACCATTATGCAGTAGATGGGATCTTAAGATGAAGAATTTGTCAGGGAGATGAAAAGGAACAAGGATGCTTCAAATTATTAACCATTTGGAATTAAATAGCATCAAAATTATAAAATGAAATAGGATTGCAGACTGACCTTGTAAAGAGTAACTAACAAAGCAGATGAAGTTCCTCTTTCCCAATTTACATTTCCAACTTCATACTCAATGCTATCTGACACGTTTGTTCTGTATTCAATTAACTCTTTGCTCTATGACAAGAAATTCCATAAAAATCTAGATCTAAATAAGATGAAGTTTGTGCTAATAAAACAAATTTCCATAAAAATATATTAGGAAATAAAAACAAAAGACAAAAATACATATTTTAACATACTAGAAGTTTTATCTTAACTTGGTGGACCCAAATACTTTAATGGATATGCTATTGTACTAGAAACATCCCCACTCTGCAATCTGTTGCCTCTAATAAGAAGTGCCAAACAGGTCCGTAGAAGAATGTACCCTTGCTGTGAAAGCAGTGTTTTTCCCCTGGGTTGTCACAAATGCATGGGCATTGTGAGTAGTGACTCTTAGGGGGCACAGCTTGCAAATTTTACAATGATGGGTTTAAATCAAAATCATGATATCATCAAGTGTATGTGCATAGGCTGGCCTGTGGTTCTGTTCTGAAGTCTATCAACCAGTGTACAGGCTGGTTGATCTCAGCAATTGAATCCCTGAACAAGCTATCTTCTCTTGTCCATCCCAACAATAGGAGGTGCAAACCCAAATTCTGCACAAATTCAGTGATGACATTTCTAGCAGTTTAGTTACCAGCCTCCTTGGATCAAAAGGGTAAAAACATGAAATATTTATCTTCATATTTAATATTCAATATTTATATTTATAATTTTTCTTTAACAAGTAATTGCATACCACTGTGAAAACCCTATGTCTTTGCCCTCTGCTCCAAACAATCTGTAAATTCTTTGGTTTCCTACAAAAATTAGTCATAGGTCATGTGAATAAATGTCAAGTTGAGCCAGTATCATAAAATGTTGTTATACTGTAAATTCAAACAGCCTTGTCACTCCAAGGAGGGAAGAAGGTCCATATTCTCCACTTTTTATACCCAATCAGGCGAATTCACTTTACAGGCAGTTTTCAATGGCAGTAGACTTGATTTAAAGGTAATGCGTCCAGCTAAAGCAAGCAACTCTGGGGGATTTTCAGGAACATGTGAATTTTCATGTAATTGCCCCAGCCATTACGGTCATTCTGTTTATCTACCTGCTGCAAGGTTAGCTTTTCATGTGAACAGTTTACATCACAAGAATACTGACTGCATAGCAAGCTGTTATCTTAATGAGTGGCTTGACAAGTTGAGTATATGCAGTCCTTTTATATGGACACATTACCTTTAAGATTGCCATTTATAAAAACATCAGAGACAAAGAGTCATGTGGGGTATGAGAAACTCTGCCACATCAATTTCTAAATTTAGGGGGCTTGCATTAACAAGAGTTTCGTGTCTTACATTTTGAGTAAATTTGAATAAATTCTCAATACATTTAACCTTAAAACACCATAAGAAATTTAAGCATTGAATGCAAAATGTAAATATCAATGACAATTTGTCTAAATAAAGGTTTAAATTGTCTTTATTGTCAGGAATATTTAACACTAGATCAATATTCAATGGATTTCATATCCACTTTCCATCCTAATATTGAAATGCCTAAAACTAACAGCAAGCAAAGATTCAAAATACTTTTAACGGCCTAAATGTGATTAAAAAGCAGGCCAGTGTCTGTCGTATGATGGTACAAGGTACTGACTTCTTGCATGTCACTACTCACCAATCCTTCTTCAATCGAAGTTCTAAATATTCTAGCGTCACTGTGAACTTGAATTTAAAAGCAGGCTTTCCTGACACCAGGGATTTCTTTGCATGTGAAGTCATCTCTTTTGTTTTGATAATATTATCCTTTCGTTTTCCACGGAGTCCTGCAGCAATAGAAATCGGCCTCGAAACTTTTTTCTGCGATTCTTTAAAAACAATGGTGGCTTAGAAAACTCCTGGCTTCTTACTGTGACTTTTTCACACAGGAAACCGAAAAACTCTGAAAAACTGCTAAATTTCCGAGTAGTTGGCTGGAACTTTTCATATTTACACTATTCAGAAATTGCTGTCATCTCGTTTGTAAGTGACAAATTGAATTGAATTACCACTTCCTCTCGGAAGGGGGCCAAAAATAGGAAATACGCTTTTTCAAATATTAATAATAATGGGCAGCCCCCCCCCAATATGAATTTCGATCTGAACCGCCAATTTTGTCATTCATAATCGATTTTGATATAAAAAAGATCATCTAAGGGACATTCGCTAGACGGGGGGGGAGAGACGAAGATGTTAAAGGAACAAAAAGTCTATTTTTAAACAAATAAATTTTACTGGGGCTCAGTGCCGTCGGAACGAACTTCATAGTGCGGGGGGGGGCTGCCCATTGTTTTCCTTCTCGTTCAGTACACTGTTATAAAGGAAACATACCACAGTTTGACAATTATTGGGGGGCTCCAACCCCCCCCACCCTACCAACGGGCCTGGGCTGGACGGGTAATCCCCACTCCTAGTTAAAAATGAGCCAGACTGCACCTGCATTGAGTTTATCCACCTTCAGAAATTTTTAAGGTTTATAACAGGTCCACCGTCCTGTATTAAACCCCTCTCTAAAACTTCAGTAGTTTTTAATGTAGGAAAACAGGCTTGAAAATGAGACAACAAAAGGTTGATTGTTGTCAAGACAAGCTGGTCCCCACACTTTTTCATTAGAAATTGTTCTTGTGTTACGACGCATTCTACTTCCGCATTTTGATGCTTTGTTTTACCAGTGAATAGTTAATCGGAACACATATTTTATCAGTCTAGAGTAAATGCCAGGCTAAAGCATTGACATTGAAGCAATGACAGTGGTAGATTGTTGAATAAATACCCAAAAGATATTGTCTCGAGGAATTTACCAGTTTTTGTATCTTCAATAAACACACTCATCCTTTCAAATAAAAACCATCTATAAGAAACTTTTAACTCATATTATCTGAAAAGAAACTTTGTGTCGAGTAAAATATAGGTAAAATATATTGTCTGTTACAAAAAACTTTTGGTGTCGAGTTGTCAAACTTTTAATGTTTGATTAAATCTAAAATTGTGACTTCAGGCTTGTTATCTTGAAAGATATTTGGGTTCCTGCAAAAAATGTTGTGGTTTTCTTTGACTGCTGTTGCAAAGTGTGATAAATTTGGTATAATAATAATGTTTTAACATTATAGAAACTTTTTTATGGCGACATGTGGTAAATTCTTACGTACGTACAAGGGCTTTGGGAAGTTTCTTATAAAAAATGAGGGTAATCGAGGAAAGATTGATTTCAAATTTTCGCATAAGCATAAAAAAGATGAAATAATAAAGCACCTTTTGATTTCTCCATAAAAAATTTGACATTATTTTTGATTAAAAATAAGCGTTATTTAACGTATGCTCAAAATTCATTCGAAACTTTTCCGTTTATTTGAAAAGGGGGCTACATATCTTGAAATTAGATCAAAAGCTGAATAAAGCAGCAACAGAGATAAATTTTTGAACATATTGTTTCACGCATGGCCTAAAAATGTGAGAGTGCATCTGTCTCAATGTGTCACAAATAAAAACTGTGATCCATAACTGAAAAGCATCGATCGATCGGAAAAGTGATTCATTGAAAAGTGAAACATTCAGTTAGGTTTGCAAAGAAAAAGAAACTCTTAACTCCAAGGAAATTAAAACATGAAAGATTTAAGTCAACTGTAGCCAAAATGGGTTAAACATGATTTCAATCGTTTGTAAAAACTTCTTAAAGACAGAGACAACACGCTAGGCCAAAAAAGAACGTTGCAGGCAATCCATCTTTTTACCTTCGGGATTCTTCGCTATACTCACGAGATTTCATGTCTTCCGTAAAATGTGACCCAAAAGGATTCCTTTTGGCTTCCCTGACATCTAGAAGTTTTCCCAACTGAGATAACTTGCTATTGTCACAATTCTCTTGTGGGCTAGTCCTATACATTGTGTAATAGTGTATTAAAATATAAAATGGAATAGTTATTTCCAGAAAGAAGATCAAGGTTAAATACAAACCTACTTTCGACCGCATGCTAGCAGACTTAACAGCTCTGAAAAATCTCATAATTCATATGAAAAAGAAAATTTTTTGGTTGGGAATAAACAGGAAATAAATTGAATAAGGTTTTTAAATTTCAGTTTCATTTACTGAAAGGCTGGCATTGCAGGACTGCGGTTGACAATGGAAGATTTCATTTGAGCCCAAAGAGATATTTAATTCGCAAATACCAACATGCCCATTAAAAGGGGGGAGAGGGTAGGGGGTACTTTACTTGGTCTACGAAAATGCTAAAAATATTGGACTTTTATGTTTTACTCTCAATAAACTAAAAGTGGATTTCACTTGATATCTTCTAAATGGACTTTGGGGCCATATATTAATGGCGCCGTGATGAGAATGGGGGGAGTAGGAAGAATTCAAGAATTTTTTTAGATGCGGTTGTAGAGGGAGGGGTGTCAAAAGTCCTTTGTACACGCCCCATGCAAATAGCAATGTCCGAAATTATATGAAACCAATTCAGTCGAGATATGACGTTAGGAAGCGAAATAAACTGGCCGAATTTGTTGCGAGGGATTATTCGTGGGTCAGAACCCATAGAACAAATATTTAAATAGGCCTTGGGTCGAGGCACCGGTGAATCCAAAATATGAGTGTTGTGTCTAAGAATTTAAGAGTCACACTGTAAGAACAGCCCTGTACTTTTAAAAGGGCCAAGACAAGTAAAACACAAGGTGCATAATGAAATTCATTTCCTAATTAAAAAGCTTACTTGGTTGTACCAATGCTTTTTTGATTAAATTCAAAACAAGATTTGTTACGCTATCATCAAGGTTTACAACGTCCAGTGAAGCGAGGGTAGAAGCAAACATCCCGGATGTGTTGGCGATTGAGCATCCATGTGAGGTACCTTTCCAAGCCGAGGCCATATCCTCCGTGAGGGCATGTTCCATATTTTCTCTACGATTAAAATATATAACCACGTAACTCGGCCCGTCAGAACTTAAAATAACCGAACTATGAAAATAAATTTCAACTTTCACATTTTTTAGCAAATAAACAGCTTTGAAATTTTAAACAGCTTTGAATTTATCAATTTTTGAATATATCAATGAATATTTCAATAAATTTCAGCAACTTTAGGGTTCTTTACTTGAAGGACAAAACTCATTATCCGTGAAAATTTGGAATCTAAGACCTTGAGATGTACAAAACAGATGGGCAAACAAATTATGTTGATTTTAGTTTTAGTTTGAATTAAAATTAAAATTAGTAAAAAAAATTAGTTTGAATCATAATTCTTTAGACTGTACAAAAAAAATTTCACACTACATGCAGCCTAAAAAATTAATGATATTTTACCTGATCGGTGTACCAGTAGTATGGTGCAGCATCAATTTTCTCTCTTTCATAAGCTTCCATCAATTCTTTCTAAAATTAAAAATATTACATAGTATATTAGTATAGAACTACTTTGATAATAGAAAAGTTCCCAGCAAGCAATCCATCGGGCTCCTTGACGCTAGAATGTCCCGTCAGAACTGAAGCGTACACTGTGCTTTCAGTACACGAGGTAAGGGCATTTTATGTGCCCTGTCAAAGGGCCTTGATACCAATAAATACAACATTTGAGCCCCGGCCTTGTTGCAAACAGCATAAACACATTCATAGCTATTGGAGGTAGAATTTCGGGTAAGCCTGGCCTTGGGCTACACGAGAACAACATTGACAATAGGACTCAAATCTTCATTGGCAGAGAGCATGTGCGTGGCTTCACTTGATAGCTTAACGAACAAATTTCGGTTATGGTCTTATTTGACGGTCAGGGGTTTTCATCAGATATGCATTGGATAATAATGTTGATGGTTATCAATATTGTTGCATAGAAACTATTCTTCTAATTTGTGCAGAGCTGAAGAACAAGTTGCAATTGTTGTGTAGAAAATCTTTAGTAATATATATTGAATGTCTGAAAATATCTGATCAAGGGCCAGGGCTTACACAGGACGAAGAACATGCTTACACAGTATTGGGATAAAATTCATCCGCATAAACGTTTTTTATGTAGGAGTTGCTAACTGCACAAAAAACACCTAAATTTTTGTCGTTCCTTATATTTGTCCGAGAGACCGCTTGACATGGCATAAGTTTTCATCCAGTAACTACAGTATTCTATAACTTCGTCATTCTACGGCCTAATATATTCGTCATTCTAAGAACAATTTTCGTACATAATCATGCATCCTCATAGATCCACCAACAATCTCTCCAACATTTGGCATCAAAACGTCAACCTGAAAGAAGAAACGAAACGAATAAAACCAGAAACGTATTGCCAAACGTATAAGCATATCGGAAGTATGCTTAAACAGCATGAAGACGCTTTTCAAAGCAAAATGAATTTGCCAAGCCTCGTTTTCAGCACTATCTCGTTTTGACTCAAACTGAGACACACTTCATAACAGGAACATTCTAATAAGGAACGGTTAAGACCTCTGCCAAGGTAACGTAAAGGAAGAATAGTTTAATCGCCCTCTGGCATTTAAACGCTCTGCAATAGAGATAAAGAATCTTGAGAAGTGGATCTTTCGTACTTAGTGAATTCAATTCGATTGGTTCATTCATTCCAGGTAGCTTCTACGTGATCAGTGGCGGACACTTGGGGGGGGCGAGGGGGGGGGCGACCGCCCCCCAATATTTTAGAGAACAATAGTCTTTTGTTCTAAAACAATGGGAAATGTGACGTCATCTTATTAAAACAATAGGCTTGCCCCCCCAATATTTGACCAAGTGTCCGCCCCTGTACGTGATCCGTAGGTTGCTAACCATGGTCCTCCAACAAACCCTGTCACTACCCCTACTTTTCAGGATACCATAGTTCTGGATGTTAACCCACTCTATTAGGTCAATCAATTACGGAATTCAGCTGATGAAGAATGAAAGCTTTGAATTCTGTTTATGTAGAAATTTGGCTCAAGAATAATCGCCAAAAAACTTACTTTTCATTATCATATTCATAGCTTTACATATAAACAAGAATTATATATAAGTTAGCGATTGATAAATTCCCAGAAAAGTTGCAGTCAGTATGCTGTTAAAGTTTTTTAGCTTAAAATGAAAGCATATTTTACAATGCAAAATGAATGAAATGATGATAACAAGTTTTACCGATTCCGTAAGGCGCGGATTTTCCGGACATCGTTGCATGTAAAAGGATTTAATTTCGACAGGAAATCGGCAAAGAAGTATTGGCTGCAAATGAAAAATTATATAAAATTTAGGCCTGTGCTATTTCATTTTCCAGGACAATGACTTTGGCAAAAAAGACCATTGCAAAACTCTCACAAAAAATTAAATTTTACCTCTTTTACGAAAAGGTTGTCATTTGCCTCTCTTACATAAAATTACAATTCGCCTCTCATCTCACATAATTTTTTCAAAATTGGCATAAATCGCTTTCTAAACAAAAATTCCTTTAGATAAAAATTATCTTACCATGTAAAATCTAAACAAGAAAGTTTTACTTAATCCTATATTCAAGGGTATAAGACAATTACTTTTGACAATAACAAATAGACAATGCGTTTTGTCACCACAAAGTACGATCCTAAAATGAGCTGGACTAATTAACTATCTTAAGCAAATCCGAAAAGATCTTTTAAATATTTGGTTTCATTAAAGAATTTTTAAGGCTTCAAGCAGATTATAAAACAAAAAACCTAGGGGAGCAATTGTGTGCCCAGGAAAGAGCGAACGTCCAAAAGCAAAGAAAATTCTAGATATCTAAACAGCGATCGGTTGATTAGACTATTTTGAATTCGTCGCTCATTTTCTGGACTAAAAAAATTAGAAATCCCTCAAAATTTCCATTCATCATTTTTCTAGGAAAAAAAGTTTGTTTGTGTCTGATGACAAACAACATTCTGATTCAATGTGACATTTAAGGAAAGGGAACACATTTTAGCCGTAAAAAATATGGTATGTCTAGCTCTAAGGCATTGAATAAATACCTCATTGATTTTGTCTGTCATTTCACGTTCCGGCTTCTCGGGTATGTCCTAAAAGCATGATGAGTAAATAAAATTCAGGCCCCGTTCACATTGTTCCGGATTACAATGAATACGGATAAAAAAGTATCCACTTTCACCTTGCGTTCACACTGCTCCGCTGTGAAAACAGAGACTTTTGAAAACGCATTTTGAAAACGGAGACTTTTGAAAACGGAGACTTTCGAAAATGCAAAACGCAGTGTGAACACCGAAAACGGATACTTTTAAAAACGCTAACAACAACAACAACACAGCGAGATGCTTAGACCGCGCCAATTTGAATAACTTCTCCTAACATGACTGATTCACTCTAGTACACTACTTGGAGGAATATTACTGGCAGTGAGCTGTTTGAAAAGTTTATTGGCAGTCGCAAGGTCTGCAAACCAGTTGGTGGCGTTTTCCTTTTTATCCAGAGCGGAGCAATGTGAACGCTTCATCGTTTTCATACCGTTATCAAATGTATCCGGAGCAGTGTGAACAGGCAAAACGGATCGATGTGAAAACGGGTAAAAACGAATATGGAACAATGTGAACATAACCTCAGAGGAAACAACGGGCACTCTTGGGATTGATTGGTGACATAGAAAATTGCATGATTGGTTCCCCTGGGATAAGAGCTTGTAACAGACAACAGCTTGAAAAACTGTCACATGCAGAATAAAGTTTACAGATTTACAAACACGAGAAAGGGAAAAGGGAAGGGTGCTTAGTTTCGTGACTAAAACACGAAAATCCAGGAAGAGATTACAATTTGCTTTTTTAAAGTACGTTTAATAGAGCTACAATAAAGTTTGATAAGGGATTTTTACAACAAACATTTATTTTGACAATGCATACCTCCCCGAATTCATAATAAGTTCCATCTTCCTTTTTGATGTCATTTTCCTTCAAATATTTAATTGCGTCACTGTAGTCCATTCTCCTAGCAAGGCAAATAAGTTTAGCATCAGAAATTTCAGTGTCAACTAACTTTAAGGAAACTTATATGGTATGAAAATATTTATCTCATCAAAGGCAATTGAATGCAAAAGAAAAACTACAGCAAACTATTTACAGATGAATGTTATTTATCAAAGTTTGCCTGATAAACAATATCAGTGGTTCTTATATTATAAAGCAAATTAATGTTTCTTCAGTAATTATAAAGCAACTCACGGTTTCAACAAAAAAACAAAAAAGTTAATTAGATTCTTTATGTCTTTTCCAACTTTCAAGTCGTTCAATGTAGCAAATTTCGTACCTCATCAATTAATAAGACAACAGTTATAAGTAGCAGAACTAACTAAGCAGGAGGTTTAGCAAATCTGATGAAAAACTCACTTGAAAGGTCTTTTCGGAGGTTTGAAATCCTGTTAATTGAAAAAATGAAACGATTTAGGCATATTGAAATTACATTATAAATATTTTTACCGGGAAACCAAGAAACGTAGCCTTGTAATCCATCATCAATATAGATGTGGAGTCTAGTGTATGATATTTAAACGATTAACAAAGAGATATTCAAACTTTATCAAAGAAAAGTGAAAGCATAATCGCAATTTTAATCGCATTTCAGGGAACAGGTGGTTTCAAGTTACAATGACCTCCACAGCTTAAATAAAGTTCTATCTATTTTTATGATTAAAAATCAGTGACCCTTCACGGCTTTACAGAAAAACTACCTTTCAGATTCTTAACAGACAACAACGCTTAAATGGAAGTTACTATTCACCAGTCTGCCATGAGGTGATCGGGGCCGTATAGGCAGAGCTGTGCTTGTTGGGAGACAAACCATTAAATGTTCGAAGGTCCGAAGGCCTTAAATATTTTGCACAAGGCCATGGTAAGTAAATTTTTCAACAATCCTTCGGCCTAATGTGCATTTCTTTATGACGCACGTTTTTCATTGGCTTAGACAAATGGATAGAACTAGTCTCCACAAAAGGTACAAACTATTTGGTGAATAGAACAGGACGGTACTAAGTTGCAACTCTGAGATCCACGCTTGATGCAGCACGCAGGAAGCGCAAAAGTCTCGAATCATGCAAACATGAATTGGAGCAGAAATCGACCTCTATTACTACAAGTCAAAGAGCTTTATATACCCTAATGTTTGGATGACAAGCCAAAAAAGATCGCCAGTTATTTGGCACATCATTAGTCTTAATCTAAGATAACGTTTTGAAAATGCCACAGCTTACAACAGTCATCAATTTCATTGTCAGTGTAAAATCTTTAGACCTTTCGAGTCAAAAACAGCGAAAGAAAACTGCAAATAATTTCCTGGTAGTTAATTCGAATGGTCAAAATAAATCCGCTACCATGGGAACGACCAATAAAAGAGCTGCGTTACAATCTACTGTCAGATTTATATCCAGGTACAAAATGTAATATTGGCAATACTTACTGGATTGACTTCGTAAAGAAGATGTGCAAATGGCGATTTCAACACTCGGTCAGCAACGTCACAAATCTAAAAGAATTTTAAGGCAATAGGCAAACGAAAATTTCTGTTTACTTTCTGGTACAGTAAAACCCTGCAAACAAGAACCTACTTTTCTAAAGAACAGACTGACTAGGTTCTTATAAATGTGATACTCATGATATTTTCAGGGTGTGGTTCTCATCGCAAGGACACTAACAAATATGATGCACAAGATGAAAGTAACTAGATTTGAGAATGGCCTGACTGAATTTCAAATCGTAGAGGATATGGTATTTTGTTGGGGAGAAACCAATTTCAATCACAATATGAAAAAATGAAAATGAAATGACATGGCTCTGAATATCAATTAATCAAACCACAATGACGACTTGAAAACTATACTTTCTGACTTTGAGAATTTATGATTTATTTAGTATGATGCACAATCTCATAAGAACATGGAAAGAAATCAGTCTGTTTTTGGTTCTTATCTTTGGGTGTTATTTTTCCACAAAATCAGTCTGCAGGTTCTTATTTTCCTATGTTCTTGTTTGTGAGGTTTTACTGTATTATTCGATGACGATAATAGATTTGAAGGGATATGTGCAATGAAAATATCTACCCATGAAAATGAAAATCTATCTCCCATGCCATGCATTTAATAAAGAAGACACTTTTATGCAGATATGTTTATTGCTCAAGTGAAAATAAAATTGGCATTATTTTGAGTAGTAGTTTATAAATTACCAGATCTTCAATTCGGTCAAGCAGATCGTTGAAAGAAATGAAGGGGCACTCTCCTTCAATATGGGTGTATCTGCAAAGTAAATATTTTCATGAATCAAAACTCAAAATCAAACCTCAAAGTACAGGAAAAAAAGGAGTGGTCTGAAAACTTGCTAGGTAAAATGTTGGGTTTCTTGGAAGTTTTTCAAGGCTAAATGAAGGTCTGACGTCTTTTGCATAAATTTTAAAATGCTTCCACCCCTGCCCTGTTATCAAAAATGACAACCCCCTTATGTCCTTTTTAATCTTAGAAACATCAGCCAATGTTATATCAACCAATCAAATACACAAACTTCATGACAAAAGAAACATACCGTAAATCCTCAAATTAGCCCCATGGGGGCGTATTTTTTGTTGATATTTTTGGATGGGGGCCAATTCGAGGGGGGCTTATACCAGGGTATAATTGAAAGACCTCGTATAATTTAGTAGAAATTTCTTTATAAGCATTTAATTAATTACTACCAAAAGTATGAATTTGTTGTGATAATTCAAAAAAAAGCCATAGGCATCCTCAGATGGCAAAAATCATCAAATTGAGAGGTCCATTTTGAGAATTTACGGTAGCAGTGGGGGCTTATTCGAGGAGGGGGGCTTTTTCGAGGGGATGCCAATTCGAGGATTTACGATAAGTGATTTCAGGTCTGTCATTAAAGGATGGGGTTTGGAAAAATTAAGGTGCGGTTGGGGGAGAAATAAGCTGGGGGTAAGAGATCCTTCAAAAGACCATGAAGTAAGTAAAACTAAAATTTGATTTACGGCCTTTGAATCACCTTCACAAGTGAAAATTTACTTTGGGGACATTCAAAATCAAAACGCTAGGGAGTTGGAATAAGAGCGGGGCCCTTAAGGGGTTTTCAATAATCAATGAGTGCGCGGCTGGCGGTACGGTTATTTAAGTCCCAGGAGAATTTTTAAATGTGAAAGAAGAATATAAATCATACTCGGCAACGTGTCTTCGTGTTCTTGACTGTTCAGCTCTGTATGACTGCGCAATACAGAATACATCACCACAAGCAGGGATGGCGGTTTCCAGATACAGTTGGGAGGATTGGGTCAAGTAAGCCTGTGACGTAAAAGGCAAAATATCAGATTGAAGCGACAGCAAAATGCAAAAATTCAAATAAACATTCTGTTTCAACTATAGACCAGTTGATAACATTGCAATCTTTCAACAAAACTTCTTCCCCGGAAAACAATCACTTGCCCCTAATTTTCACTTGCAAACTTCAAACAACGACTAGGCTTGGTTTGTCGAAAAGGACGGTCCTAAAGCCCAACTTCAAGTTTCATACTTATGCAATCATCAAGCAGCTAATCCTGTTTAGGAAAATTTTTCAGCATAATTGCCGTATGTAAAGTGTAAGCTCATCAAGTGTAAAACTCGGAATGGCAACTTAGAACTGTCCTGTTCTAAACATCAAATGACATAACAAATCCATGACTCTCTTTCCACTTTAAAACGTATGCCTTTTGCAAAACCTCAAATACAAAATCAATATATCATCCAACCGGTAAGGAACACATTATTACAAAAAATGAAAGAACGAACAAAGTAGTAATACAGGATAGTTTAAAAAATGCAAATACATCGACCGAATAATCAGCTGCAGGGTTTTACAATGAATCAAGCACTTTCAGAGAATCAATTTTGTCTCTTCTTTTCTTAACTAAATATAATATTACTATTTTGCTCTCTTTGCAAATCTAAGCATTTGTAAATATTTGCTAGCTCGACACATATAAAGCTAAATATTGAGGTTCGTGACATAAAAAAGTCAATTACCTCTTCACCAAAATAATTAAACTTGAACAAGGTGGCTCCTCCCTCGACTTGAGTCTGAACAAGAGTTGGTGGAGTCATCTGCCAAAAAAGAAACCCAGTTAATAAAGTTGGGCAATCCCTTGCAACAAGTTGTTAACGTCACAATGGATCTTGGTCAAGTAAGGAAAATTTTTATTGAAACGTAAAAATAAGGGATAGTTTGTACTAACCTCTACATATCCACGATCGAAATAGTGTTCTCTAAAACTAACGCAAAACTGAAATTTACTATCATGTTTTAGAGAGTTTTTTCATACATGGAATTCCACAGAGTCAAATCTAACAATTAAAATCTTTATACATATCAAGATTCAAAAGAAAAGTTCTAAACTTATTTCAAAAGGCAGACATCAAAATGAGTTTCTTTTATCGTACCACCAGTGACTAAATACGTAACTTCCCCATAAATAACACCTAGGAGCATTGAAATTTCTAAACAAAGTAACAACCATAGAGAGAGTAGTGTCATCAGTTGCCTAACGATCGCGTAAAGCGTGAAACTCGGAGGAGCAGCTTAGAACTGTCCTGTTCAAATAGCGTGTACAGCACTGCCTATACAGCATTGAACACTTTATGACAGACTGGTAAACAGCAATTTTCATTATCAAGGACCTGAATCGTATATCAACTCACCACTGCATTACCACTGATCTCATTTTTAAAATTTTTGATGTCTGCAAAATAAAAAAATCTGTTTGATAGCTTGTTTGAAAAAAATAATGATACATAACAATGATTTTTTATCAAATCAATCCCTGATTGCATCCTTCGACCAAGCCCTGCTCATGAAATGAATTAAGAGCTAAAATGCTAAAAAAATACTGATTTTATGAAAATGTCCCAAAATTTTGCACCGAGATGTAGTTGCTTGATCATCAATGTACAATCACTGGAAGAAGTCTTGGAACATTAATGTCAGTTTTTAACGGCATGTTCAGTCCCCCCCCCCTCCCCCCTGGAAACAACGTTGGTTCAATATAAAACGACATGGGAGATTAAAAACCATGTTTTTTGTGCGATTTGTATGATATTTGCCTAAAACTATCAGTATTTTTCTGGGGGAATGGGTAGAGGTAATAATATTTTGGGGAAAGAAATGGAAAACAGAAAAATACAACACAAATTGATGAGTGTTCCAAGAAGTTTTGGCTGGGATTGCAGTTACAGAGCATGTGCAGTAGTGATATTAGGGCAACGCTCCTAAACAGCAAGTGTTTGGATCTACTTAGCACCTCGGGAATGAATTGCCAAGCTTTCCGATACATTCTAGGTAGTTTTATAAAAACCAATAAAAACAAATACTGACGGCATCAGATGTGCTTAGTTAACTAGACGATGAACTTCCATCAAGCAAATAGCTGTGAGACCAAGAAAACTGTTCGCTATGAGAAGGTGCACATTAGGGCGGTCTACATTAAGAATGTTTTCATTTAAGAGGTGTACATTAAGGAGGCTCATCGTTTAACTGAGAATGAGCATCAGAAAATGAACTAACCGTATCCCCCCTAATGACAAGATGTCTGTTGTCCAGTAGCGTGTCAACATTGGACTCCTAAAATCAAACAGCAAAACTTCAGCAAAATCTCAGTGAGTATAGGCTTACAACGAATTGTGAAACTGTGAATCAACGAACTCACAAATATCAACGAGCTTTCTAAATTGTTTGGAGTAAATGGTGGATAAAGTGTTACCGCGTTTCACCTAGGCTCAAATCATAAATCATAACAAATGAAGGAAGTTTCATAAGCATTAGAATAAACTGAACACACCTCGGTGACAATGTTATCAACCCCACCAGGCGGGGACAAACCGACAACTTCCCAATAATCAGCAATCAATTCATGTCCATCTGGGGCCTTTTGAAAAGAAGATAGTAGCAATAATAATTGGTTTAAGTACTAATTTTAAAGAAAAGTAATAAATACCAACATTCACAATACAAAGGGGAGGTATACATATAATCAAGACATTCCGACTGCAAATATTTCCCTTCTACCTCCTGATCATCCTGAATTGCTATGTGCTTTGAGCAATTTCTATCGTACTATTCCCACAAAATACTTTCTCTAAATGATAAAAAACTGTTCCTATAAACTAACGTAGTGTTTTTAGGAAGCTGCAGGAGGCTACAAGTAACATTAATTCAAAATTCAAAATCATACTTTAAAAGTCTTTAAAGGACACACGACGATTATAAAGCAAAGTCGTTTAAAAATAGCTCAATTGTTGAAATGTTCTGGGAAAATTGCTAACGTGAAATCACAAGTCGCTAAACAATGTAACTCATTTCCATTGACTTTTGGGCTTTATATGTCGCTTGAAAATACCTCACAGACAAGGGTTACATATTGTCCCATGAATAATTGTTGTGATTTTTGACAAAGGGAACGACTTAAAAAGATGAAAAGCAACGACATGCAAAATCTCATGATCGATCCTCATTGGTCGCCTAAATTTAGCCTGCCCTAACCCTTGGCACAAAACACTTATGTCCGTCGTCTGTCTTTAAATGGATCTTTTCAGCACACGAAAGAAAGCAATTCATGGGACTTATCAAGAAAAATATGCTAAAATATCCACTAACAACGCAGAAGAGATTTAAATCTCTTACAGTTTTCCCCTCTGGTACGACTTTCAAAGTTCCATAGATGGCAACTGTCGATTCAGTGGACAACATCAAGGCATTGTAGGTGTGGCACTGTGAAGGAGAAAAACATATAGCCTCGATTAGTAACCAGAATTTGTCTGGAACGAGACCAGGAATGAGAAGTTATCTGGAGGTTTCATTGAATATTAAAATTTGTAGACAATAATATATCAGAAAGAGGCAACCAAAAATACCCAAATGTTGACAAGAGATAGTTTTGCGATTGTAAAACGTGTATTCTCCTGGCTAGTAGAAAAAAAATTACGATTCATATTTCAAAATACACGTTCTCTGGGCTAGAGTAAAAAACAAGCAGTATAGAATATCAAAGCATCATTGCCTTGAAAAGTCCATACCAGCTTATCTGAGAGCACACACTGAAGGAATCCTGTCCCATCTCTAAGTACAATGAACATTAAGTTTTTTCCTAAAAGATAAAGTGGTTCTCAAAATTAAAAAAATAGTTTTAACTTGTTTGGGGTGAATTTTTACTTAACAACGTCTTACGTCACCAAAGTTTCGTAATTGTAATGCTCCATTTATAAGAGATTGATCATTGCAAACATATTGACGAACTGAAAATTGGCATTAAACGATATCTAATGCATTCTTAAACTTAAAAATATAAAGATGCTTTCTAAATTTTTGTGGTTCGGATACAATCACCGTACATTACATAAAGAATATTTGTAAATGGCTTTGAAAAAAGCAAACATTAGTAAACTAAAGCTTTTCTACATAAGCACGAAAAAACCGCTACTGTGTAGACAAAAGGAGTTCGTTTTCACCTTAGGACTCCACTGGTAACATTCTAATAGGCAAGCGGCACTGATTGGTCAACCTATACAGTCATGTGCTCGTATTTCTGATTGGCCTATTTCGATCCACAACTGGGTATATATATTTCTTAGCGTAGAGTTTTCGATCTATGTTCTGACGTTTTAAACTCTGAAGAGTGTCAGACGTAAAGCTTTAGTTTACTGAATGTTTGCTTTTTCAAAGCCATTTACAAGTTTTGTACCACCAAAAGATTGTTTGCATAAATAATATTTTGTGAAATCTTTCGATAAGGTCTTATTCACCAGAAAAAGGGGATCTTAATCTGGATAAGTGCCAACCTTTTCAAAAGGGCATCTGTAATTTGCGAAAATATCAAAATTCATTCGGAAAATGCGTGCGTAAAACGAATGTATGTAGCTTCCCGTTGGATGACTTTTGGTCAAACATGAAATATGATATAACTTGACTCGCGCGTTGCATCATGGAATATCTATTTGAACAGATGCGTTGATTTCCTAAACAAGGCCTGCTGATCAAATTCGATTCGTTGGTTCAAAGCCAGTTGATCAACTCATTTGATTGTATTTTGTAAATTGTATTTGCTACAACCAAGCTTTCGAAGGTAATTTTCAGGACACTAAGAAGCTATGCCTATCGAGCAGTGTCCTGGTTCTTCCTCTCGATGTGACTACACCTCGTGATTCCTACGCCCGGAATTTCACAGTGCTGGCGACCCCCCTCACTCTGAGGGAAAGAATGGTCGTATAAGATGTCTAAGGCTCTAGCCACTGAGCCATCCTCGCATCTAAATCAACTTCAGGCCACACATTTAATAAGAAAAAAGAGAAACCTCAAAACCGTTTAGCTAATACAGATACGTATGATGCATAATCGCGAACGATTTCATATGTGTAAACACAAGGCATTCATCCCTTCATTGAACAACCGATAAATTGTTTAAGAACACATGGTACGTCAAAAAATAAGTCCGAACCTTGCTGCCTCATTCTATGAACCCAACCAAACAGTTTCACTCTGGTGTCCCTGTGCTTCACTGTATCTCTAATTTTGATCTGACAATTAAGAAAATGTTGCACCAGATAAATTTTTAAATCATTAAAACTGAATGTTAACATCGTCGAATTGTACCAAGTAGGCTAAACAAAGTATATATACTTGGCCATGTGCTTTCTAAGAAACCAAAAAAACTTAAACAAAGTTAATGGCTGACTTTAGTGGCTGCTTAGCTCTTCCCTATTTCAAAGACATTAACTTGATAATTCATTGTTATTGTGTAATTAATTGTTATTGTCAAAGAAATTGCATTTAATGCCGACAAGGGTAGAGCAGTCAAATTTCCAATGGAACAAAATAAACGAAACATAGGCATTCAGAAGTCATTTTCATATGATAAAGGAACAATGAAGAGAAATTCAGAGTGAAAGGAAAGGGTTGCGAGATTGACATAAATAACTCTTCAATCAGAACCAACTATCAGGCAACTTGGGAATATAATCTTTTTACAGGTTCATTTAAACATCCATGAGTGGGCTTGAATTCATGAAATCATGAATTAAAGTAGCAACTAAAAATCAAAAGATTATTTAGAATACCTGTTTGGCAGCAGGCAGAGTTTTGTCTTCTTCAATAGTTATTTTCTTTGCCTCTTCCAAGTTCTTTTCTCGTTGGGCAGCTTTTTGAGCCTTGAAAACAAATAAATTAACATCATCGCGAATTGCTGAAAAATCTCAAAGCAGGTGTAAAATTGAGAACTTATTTGTACATCAAATGAAACATAGTTACAAACAGTGATGCTCTAATCTCAAAATGTCCTCTCTTTGCCTGAATAGGTGCCCACATTTATATAAATGTTCTTTAATGGCAATGCATACTTCAAATGCTTAGAAAGCAAGTTTTAGATGGTATTTTCAGTATGATTGGTAGTAAAACTCACATTTAATGTGCCAAGGGTGGCACACTCTAGATCACTTGTGCAGATTAACTAAAACATTTTTGGTGAGGTATATAGAAGAAAGCTAATATTAAATTTGTCTGTGTTTTACCCATGGGTTTTCAGTTTCAGTTTTCAGTGACAAATATATCAAAGTTTGACTAAGAATACATAAAATTTGTCTTAATAAAAATTAAACAGATAACACACATATACAAATAATGCTAATATATACTTTACTATATGAGTTGATAATATTTGCTTAACTTTGATACAACGTAGTGCAAATCCTTAAAAACATTTTTTATGAAGTTGATTCAACAAATAATAGAAAAAGGAAGAACATGATTCTCTATTATATCAAAGTTTGACTAAAATCACATAAAATTTGTCTTAATTACAATTAAACAAATAACACACATACAGAATATGATATAATGCTTTCAAAATATTGTTTTCTATATGAGTGAGAAACATATGCTTCACTTTGATAAAAATGTAGTGCAAATCCTTAAAAGCATTTGTTATGAAGTTGATTCAACAAATAATAGAAAAAAAGGAAGAACATGCTTCTATACTATATGTATCCATTCGTGAAATGGCATCACAATTTCTAGCCTCTCAGAGATAATACCCAAACACACGCATGTTCATGCCAACATGATAACAATATATATACTGCAATACCTCTTGCTCTGCCTTTTGCTGGGCTTTCTTCTGTTCTGTTTTCCATAGACCAGTGACTTTTTTCAGCTGTGACTTTGATACTTTGTCAAATTTCTACAAAAGAGGTGAACAGTAGACAAAATGTGCAATAAATGAAACTGAAATCTTTGGATGACTGCAAACTATTATCAAAATATGACATAGCAATAAGTTTAACAATAAATGAACAAAAATATTTTTTATTGTGATAAATTCTGGGACATACATTGTTTTCATCTTTTCCATCGACCATGATATCTGGGAATGGCTCAGACTTGGCACATCTCATTGCCTGAATCACAGTCTTGAATGGTTTTTCCTCACTGCCATCCCCATCTTGGTCATTTCCAGTTTTTTCTGATGTAAAGATGGGTGGCCTTTGATCTTTAGAAGAAACAGAAACAGAAAGCTTTAGTCGAAGAGAAAATTTTGATTTTCAATTGTATTATTAATAATATTCTACTCAACCAAAATCCCAACTAACTTCTAACTGGTACAAAACATATGAACCTGATACATTTTGTGTAGTATTGTTGGGGAAAAATCAGGAAAGAAACTGCAAATCTCAAATTTTTGGGCAATAAAGGTTATGCATTTCTTTTGGAGGGATGGTATTGATTCACATCGTCTATAGAAGGCTAGATAATAAAAGACAGAAAAAGTATAATGCTTTATGATAAAGACTAGAATCCTGTGCTGATGATCAGAAAAAAGGAAAAATGCAAAATTGAGAAGTAGATTTAATAATAATGAGATAATAATGAGATATAAATGAGATAATAATGAGAACACACTTTTATTGTCCCTGAAATGCACACACCTTTTGTATCTGGCAAACGCATTCAATCATTTCTTGACATACATATGTCTTGATATTTTTAATAATTCTATTGCAAACCACATAAATATTTCCATTTTGAGAGAAATTGACAAAGGACAGCACTCGCACTAATAGTAATATGCAGAAACATACCTGCACACATGTTGCTTAAGCAGGTGGCCATTTTAGGGGTCTTGTGTCTTTGTGAAATTCCTCTTAAAGGGTTTAAAATTGATTTTTTGTTGCCAGGCAATCTAGGAAAATCTTGTCTTGTCACAAGAGACCTTACTACAAATAATGTGACACTGGTTTCTCTGATCGGATTATTTAATAACTTCTTCCAATGCTTTGAAATGAGCAAAGTTGTCAATAGTTTCATCCTTCTGTTTACTCTAGAAAATGGGAGAAAAGTATTCAAAGAAAATAGTATTTCATTTTTTTTTAATTCATGATGCTCTGACAGGTCAATAAAAGTGTGTCTCTTTTGTATGCAACAATTTTTGTAAAGCACATCAAGCTGGATATTGGATAAATAGGAACAGTGAGTTTTGAAAGTTTGTATTGGTACCTGAACCTAGCACCTGAAAATAGTTTTAGGACACTGAGAAGATATCAAGCAGCGTCTTTGCCCTTCCTGTTGTTGTGACCATGCCTTGTGATTCATATGCCTAGAATTACAGAGAGCTGGCGACTCTCCTCACACTGAGAGAAACTTTGGTCATGCCAGGGACATGAACCAGGGACCCTTAGGTCTGTAGTCAGCGGCTCTAGCCACTGAGCTATCCTCACGCAGAGTTATGGAAATTAATTTAGACAAACTGAGAAAAAAGGCACAAACCTCAGCTCAGTGTACCCTGGCCTGCAGAGTATATATTATGCAACAAGATCTTTCATAAGTGTACAAAACCAAAATCTTAAGTCTGCAAGTGTGCACTTGAAACTTAGGAAGTTGGGCTTTAGGAAGTTTGCACGCAGTCTACTGAAAATTGATTTTAGTAGGAGATATGCTATATGGACTTTATGATTTCCTTGACGCACTTGCGTAAAATAAAGAAAAAATAGTGTGTTGGCATAAACGTGGAGAGATTTGCTGCTTGTTATAACTGGGGCAGCATATGACAAAAAAGCAATTGTTGCTGGCAAAATGACCAATAATAGTTTCTATCATGCATTGAACCATACAACAGTTTGGTGTTAGCATTAAGATGTAAAACATTTGGCACAAGTTTATAATTTACTCGCCAATATCCATTGTGAGGAATACATTGATTCCACCTTAGACTCCTTGAATATACTGAGCCTGTGTTGGTCTTAAATATTTCACGTTTAATAAACAAAAGCTGATGACACGCCCTTTAGACAACATTCGTAATAATCCCGGTATCTTTTTAAGCGTACACTGTAAAGAATAAAAAATATAACGAGTGTGCATTTTGCAGACTGAAATGTACTCTGAACATCAAACTGTTACTTTACTGTGGTTGTGTAGCTAACCTGTACAACGATTTGGAAAGCGATTTTGAATTTTCAATAATTGAACTACAGTGGTTCTGCATAATCTTAATCTAGTTTACACAAGGTAATACTCTTCATCAACAACGTGGGTTATGGTTGGACGAGCGGAAACATCCGCCGACACCGCCCAACTTTGAAAACCTTCATTTCATTTTAACATATTTATACACAGAAACCCTATCAGCTACTGAGTTGAAAAGAAAAAGTAAAGATTAATTTACATATAATGCTGGTCTTCCTAGGGATCGTGCTTCGGAAAAGGATGGTAATTTTGCAGGAATTCCTTTAATTTCTTTTTGAACGTGGTAATCGTGGAGCTCATTCTTATCTGTAATGGAATCTCGTTCCACGTCTGTGCACCACAAGAAGTGGTGCACCACTTCTTGGCTGCTTGAATTGCTAAGTCCATTCCCATCTCAATTATTCAAAAAAATTTGAAGAACCAACCTTCTATTTTTGCACCCTCCATCTTTTTAGTTACACTGTCAGTATCACACATTGCAGTTCCCATAAACCAAATACAACCTATCAAGATTGGCCTAATGCAATAAGAGGTTGTCTTTTTGATAGGGCCTCTTCCTGAAAATGAGGTAGGCCATGTGATAGATGATGAAATGATAGGGGCATAGGGGCATCCCCATTCCATTTTTGTGTAGAATGAACAGGATTTCCAGTTCTTTTTTTAGTTTCAACTTTTTAACAATTTTTGTTTTTTCATAGATATTTTCCTAATTAATTTAGAAATTAAGAATATATTCTTGAAGTCAAGATACATGCCTTCAAAAATAGAAAGGAAGTCAAGAACTCTTTCTCGGCTCGTTCGATTTCTTATTTTGTCTTAATTTGAAATAAAAGTCTTGGGGGAGGGGTAATGTTTTGCAAATTGTTCTTTGTAGTTAAATATATTATTCCACAATCACTGTTACGTAACCTGGAGCCTTCATTGTGCCATTCATAGAGTGTCTTTCCATTTCTGGATTTCATGTTAAAAAAGAGGCTTTTCAAATATTTCCCGAACACACCTGCAAACAAGCTAAATAATGCCTAACATATTGGATGCTGCATCATACAGCTGACAAACCCAAAAACTGATTTTGACTTAAAACATTCCCTGAATCAAACTTTAATTTGAAAAAGAAAAGTGGACAAGAAAAGCAACAAAGTCAACAACTAAATCAATCAATTTTCCCTGCAATATCTACCATACTGATTGGTTACAGACAGATTTCTACACTAAATACAGTTATACCAAGTATAATATAATATTGAATATGCATAATATATCCTTTAATTAAGTGGCGTAGCCAGACCTTTTTCAGGGGTGCAATTTTTTAAGAATTTGAATAACATAAGTTGTCCCAACTTCACTTCGATAATGGTTAAGCAAAAGCATTCTTGGCTCACTACCCTTCGACATAAGAAAGGAAGGAATATTCCAGTACCTGCTATCATAGGGGTCTCTAGGGGGGAAGCTACATTCTTTTCTAGGCATATGATTGCTGCTCTGTAGATCAATTATGGCACATGACTAACATGACACCATCAAACTGATCTATGTAATCCAAGTGAAAGAGAAGGTGAGTGCTATATCCTGCTTTGAGAAGTCATCTTGCAAAAGTGTTTCATGATGAACATTTACTGAATTATCAGGGAGGGGGGATTTGCACCCCTTTGATCCCTTTAGGTTACACCACTTCCCTTACACCACATTTTATGTAATCACTAGGCAAATAATTAAATCCACTAAACACATTCAATAATTTTACTTGCATCATACAAAAACAATCAGAATAAACAAAATAAATATTAACAAAGCAACACCCCTTTCGAAAATAAAATTTAAAATATACAGGATCAAAAGAAATTTTTTTCCACATACCACACTAGATTTTTTAAAATTACAAGATTATATGAATAATATGAAAATAGATTACAATTTCTTGTGTTGTGACGGGACAATTTGAGAAGTGTGGGTTACAAAACAGATGGAGGGGATGCATAACTGGAGCAATAAATAGGATTTGCAAAATTTCCCTAAAATACACACTACATAAACCACTATTGATACTTTAACTGTTTCAAACAGATCACATCAGACTTAAATCACAACAACAAAATTCTGAAAGTTATTTCATTGTAAAATAAAAAAAACAAAATCTTTCCAGCAGCAAGAAATAAGAAATGATGCAAGAAGTTCAAATAAAGAATACAGTGCTTGAGTATAATTGGCACATGAAAGTAAAAATAACCACACACTGCTTTTCATAAGTAACGTTCAGGTTAACTTGAAATTAATACTACAATAAAGGTATGGCAAAATGATACAGCTAGGAGATAGCATGAAATAAATATTTTGCGCAGCAAAATGAATGGCTTGGTTGGTTTGCATCTTTTGTCTTTGTTAGCTTGTTAAACAAACACTAGCGACTAAAACTATCCTTGTTAAAAAGACCACAGGCCTCTGAGTTACAAGGAAAGTACAATAGGTTTGGACCCCTGAATATCTTATACACAGTGAAACACACAATCTGACTTACATAAGCTTGATATTTCATTGCTGGGATGAAAATGTATTGTCTATGTCCATTTGGTATAAATGCTATAAATTTACATTGCCTAAGTTTATCATTTTCATACTTGTATAAGTCCGACCTGCATAATTGCCTCGTTAAAAAAGCACAACACAAGTTTGCCTTGTACTGTAAAACCAAGATATTGCTACAGATATTCATTCCAATGGCTTTCTTGAAAAACACACCTGTGACTATTTTTTAGATACTTGACAGGCATTTTTGAAATGATTGAGATCATAGATGTGGTGATATATCTATTCTAAATTTCTTTGAGCTAATGGCAAATTGTTTATTTTATGGTCCTTGATATGGTTTTTAATGTCAATTTCAGTTTTTACTCTGTGGTGTTCCGATTTTGTTCCTGTAAGTCAGAATCCCTACTAGTCTAACTATTTTGTCTGGTCTGAAGAGACCCTACTTGTGAGTTTGACTGTATCAGTAGGTATCTATATTCACTAATAGACACAAAACAATCTAACAGAATAAATAAGAAAAATTATAATTCTGAAAAAGAAATTCAAAGAGTGTTTTTACTGTGAAATCGTTTTTTTACTTCAGTTTCATCCTTGATCAGAAGTGGAAACCTTGTATCATCATCTTCAGCTTTTTTACCTAAATTTTGGCAGGCTTCAATTCTGGCAAAAACAGTTCTGTTTATTGCAATCAAACTGGTTGCTGCCAAAACAATACCACCACCAACAACTGACATGGATAAAAGATAGTGAGAGTCACGTCCAGCTTCTTACCTGTCATTTTGTTTAAGATGAAAAATAAGGACAAGCAGACAGCAGCTATGATAGCATATCCGATTCCCTCCAGATATTTAGCATCTCCTGGCTTTACTACATTATTTTTTGAATGCATTATGTGGGACACACCATGAGCATTATGCTCCTTGTGGGAAAACAAAATTGTTGGCCTTGCCAAGACAATCACTCCTCCAAAACTGATGACTCCGCATACTGTATCAAGAATGCCACAACCCTTCCTTAGGCACAGAAAACTGAATGCCACAGTAAAAACAGGAGCAGTGAATTGTATCACTGTTGCATCACCAACCGGTATTCTTTCTAATGCGAAATACACACAGACAATGGCAGCAACCTAAAATTAGATACAAGAAGAAGTCATTATTCAATGAGTAACACATATTCATAACTTACACCAACAAAGATTAATTTGATACATATACATCAGTAAAACATGGGACTTATTGTTCACATGTCTGTGGCCTGTACACACAGACGATGGCATACAACCTCAAATGAGAAATATAAATGCATTTATTCAATGAGTAACACATATTCATAACTTACACCAACAAAGATTTATTTGATATACATCAGTAAAACATGGGACTTATTGTTCACATGTCTGTGGCCTGTACATAAATCATTTATACATACAAAAATCATGAAGAGAAAATAAATGCCTTATTGAAATGATGAGTACTAAATGATGTGGAAACATAGGCTTCCTACTGACCTCCTTATATGTACAAAGATTTACTTGCTAACTCAAAAGAAACTACCATACATGTCCAATCAGTTAGAATTTTAGCATTCGAAGTTTATAAAACACTTAACAACCTTGATCCTGTTTTCATGAAAGACTATTTTGTACCCTGAAAACAACAGGTCCACAACTTTCGACTCAAAAACTTAAGTTTTCAAGGGCCTAAAATCTGGAATTCACTCCCGGAATCAATAAAGACAGCACAAAATACTAGACAATTTATTGGTTCCTTGAAAACAAGTGCGAATGCTCGTTTTGCAGTAAATGAACTTTCTTATGCAATCCTTGAAATTGCTTCATGTTAGTCTTAATTAGTGCATATTCACTATTGTAAAAACTAACGTTAAATAATCTACAATACAATACAATACAATCTATTGCATGTTTTCTGAGGGAGCATTTTGGGCCCTACAACTTGTATTGTAACTTGCACTGTTTTTTAACTCCAGGATTAGAAAATTAAACTGAATTCAAAAGGAGAATCGTATACCGTTTTACCTTATCCTATCTTTAGACTTCTAAAATTTAACTGCCATTTGATAATGTCAATGCTTTAGCTATTGCCACTAGGTCTACCGTATAAATGTTGGGTATGCTTAGGACCTCGTGAAAAATGCCAAAAAGTAGCCAATGTTTACTTTTATCTTCCTACCCAAAAAGTAGCCCATTTTGAGACTTTATTCTTAGGAGACCCTGGTCGTAAGAGACTTCCGAAAAAACACCTTAAAAATAAACAAGGCTTCACATTTTTTTCGAAGGTATTGTTTTGAATTTCTTATTTGGCTTATGATTGTAGTTACAATAATGTATTCTTGGTAATTAGTTATGTCGAATGTTTTGGCATTGACAAGTATGTTTATAAGAGCAAGTAGCGGCGCTCAACTCACCTCTGCAATACCCATGATGCTAAGAACAATCAAGTTACGAAGGCAGTTCCCATAAACACTGACTTTCCCATATGTCATGAAGGCAACGATGAAAAGTGTCTGAATAAAACTCCTGATAAACAGCACTTCGAATGTTGAAACTTTGCTTGGCCATTTTTTGTGAGTATACTGAACAATGACGTTTCCAATGGTCAAGAAACAACCAGCCCCCGCCATTAGGCCTAGCCCAAGAATTCGAGGGTTGGTCTTTTTTGGCTCTTCTTCATCGCTATCTGGATCTTCATCTTTTACTGCTATCAAAGACATGGTTGTTGAAGTACTCAAAGTACAATCAACTTATGTTTCCATTCCAACAGGAACATGAATTAACGAAACTGCCTTTGCTCTGAGGAGTTAATGAGAAAAACCATCTGCGTTAAAATCTTCCGCTCTAGTTTTGTTTTTGATTGGCTCGATTCGGTTGTCGAGCTAAAACACGGACCAGCTGGACTGATGATTACGACGAAATGGTTGGTATATTATCAGTACCCCTGTATTGCGGTATTTCTATCAGGTATTTTTAGGCATTTCTCGCTCCCTAATTTCATCAAATTGCAGCACTGTCCCAAAGAATCAAATATGTGCACTTTTACAACAGTGGAATTTTTCAAGAAAGTGTTGTATCACGTTTCCTTACATAAATCCAAAATGAAGTTAAAATGGCAGTCGACAACTCCTACATTGCAAATTGAAACCGCAGACATTCAGATCCAACGTTTTTAAAGAACTGAGCGATCTAAATCCAATTTTACTAATTCTGAGGCTACTGCAGGAAAACATGTCTATTAGGCCGTGCCAAAATGAATGGGAAGAAGGAAAAGATGCAGCTGCACAAGGTTGGGCCAAAATGAATGGGAAGAAGGAAAAGATGCAGCTGCACAAGGTTGGGCAAATTTGTGAGATGCAGGTGGCATTTTGCACAGTTTTCAAAAGAAAACCCGAAAAATTCAACTTGATATTATCGGCTGGCAGAATAACCAAAACAAACAACGCAACTGAAGGATTTATTTCTTCCACGTCGTAATAAAGAGCTTAATTTAGCCACAGATTTTGTGTTTTTTTCGTCTCGGGTGCAATTAAACGTATTTAATTACCAGCAAAGTAACCAAGTGCTGCCAATTATAAATATTTGCTCTGAAAATCGATCTTTTATAACCATAAATACCTTACTAATGGTCATAAATTACACAAGAAATGACATGCTACATAAATGTGCACATGGCAAAATATCACGTGGGTGGATGTGATTTGCCATCAGTCTGGCCAGAATATTCATGGCCTCGATAAAAATACAGACTGCCCCTAGCCGAGTTGAGATGGCGACAAATGAAAAATCCTGAAAAAGTTTTGCTGCTTAAAGAAATATGGAAAATTTTGTTATTATGCAACTATTTTGGAGCTGATTTTATCATTCAAGCTTTGGCCCTCTTTGACCTTGACTGCATCCTTCTTTATGGAGAAATTGGTAACCTACTTCGCAGACTATACGTAGGGTATAAATGTAATTAAATGACGAGACACACTTGCCTGGGTACCATAGACTCAGAAAGAAAAGGTCGAACAGCTCTGGCACCAGTGGCGATTCTGGCCTTAAAAATCTGGGGGGGGGGCTAGCCGGGGGCCAAACTTTCAGTCATAGGAGCCAACGCTAGCTATTACTTTGGGAACTAGTAGAATGTAAAGCAGTGGCGTGATGGCTCAAAATTAGCTAGCTACAAGGCACCGGTTCTTAGCTCCCTATAGATAAGTATGTCCTTGGTACAGCTCTATCAAGGCTGTTATCATTATGCCAAATAGATTTATTAGTGGTGTAAGGAGCAGCTGTGTCCCCTAGAAAAAATAACAAAGACAAATTGTTGCTGGGGGCCCCTAAAGGTTCGGGACCGTTTGTTATTTAACTAAAGTAACTTTGTTCTGTTATTTCACTGAGTTTTATCTGTTTAACGATAATGCATCATGAACATGGTTTTCAACAGAAGAACTAAACTTCTAAAAAATAAAAGTCTAATAGCTTTGTAAAGTTGATTGGTAAAATTTTTCCATAGTAGTCATGTCTTATATCCAACCTCCATGAGATCAAGCAAATCATTCTGTTACGCAGAATTTCAAGTCATACAATTTCAATAAGCAATAGTAGATTGCCAAGGTATATTGGGATGGTATTGGGCTGACCCTGCCCACCCCACCGCAAGAAGGTGGATCTTCGTGATAATATATAGCAAATATAGAATTTAAATGATTGTCAAGAATGAGTAACTCTTGGTTACTACAGAACTCTTGGTAACTCTTGGTTTTTACTTGGTTAAATAAATGCAATAAAGATCGCATTGAGGAAAATAAAGAGAGCAACCCTAATAAAGTCAAAAACGATTGAACAGCTTCGGAAGAAAACATTGAATTTTTAATTATAAATTTTTGAAAAAACTGGGGGGGGCAAAACAAGGGGCAAAGAAAATTTCTGAGGGAGCCATGATCCCCCTACCCCCCCCCCCGTAGAAACGCCACTGTCTGGCACCCATGGTTGAAAACAGATTATCTCGAGGGCCACAGCCTATCTCCACAGGACACGCGCGCTGTTAGACTATGAATAAATGGATATTGATCAAATGCAAGGGCTCGGCCTTGAACCTACAAATTAGGAGTCCATACGGTAGAAATTTTGATAGTAATTCCGTATTAACATCATATCTTTGACAGGAAAACTGTTATACATTGACTTTCTACCCTTATTTTGTGTGATAACTATGACACCATAACGCAAACAACAACGAAATGTGTATTCATTTAATTTTTTAGATATGTCTGCCATTTTTACAAGTGTCCCCTAGAAACCTAGAAAATCATTCCAAGATCACCTTCAATTAATAATCTTCAAACAATCCACTAGCCAATGGCAAACATTATGAAAACATCACAAATAGTGCAGCAACAATATAGAAAGGGGTTTCAAGAAACTACGACCTAAAAATGAAAAACAAAATCACCAAAGATAAACAAATAATTAGCTTTTAAAGCAAGAACGCATTTGCAATGATCAAACTTGCACACCCAACTATATTCCATAATTTTATCTTTTTACTCTATTTTCTTTCATTTCATTCTTTGAAATAGCGTTAGTTTCTCACAAGACCCATCAGGATTTTCCTGAATATTCCTTTATTCAGTATTTCTCATCCCAATGCAACATTTTAACAAATTATCAGAACAGGACCACTGCATAGAATTCAGATCAGACAATCAAAATCCTCAATTTTATCATAAGTCCCCGAATAACCCCTCGCCTTTGAATAATCCCTCCCTCTCCCTTTCAATAATCCCTTCCTCTCCCTTTAAATAATCCCTCCCTCTCCCTTTGAATAATCCCTCCCTCTCCCTTTGAATAATCCCTTCCTCTCCCTTTGAATAATCCCTCCCTCTCCCTTTGAAGAATCCCTCCCTCTCCTTTTGAATAATCCCTCCCTCTCCCTTTGAATAATCTCTCCCTCTCTCTTTGCCTAATCCCTCCCTCGCCCTTTGAATAACCCCTCCCTCTCCCTTTGAATAACCCCTCGCCTTTGAACAATCCCTCTCAGGATAACTCCCCGCAAAAAAACTATTTTTGTGAAATAAGCCCCAATGGGCCTAGGTACTGCCCCAACAGCAATAGGTCTACTTCAAAATCTATCTGAATTTTAAGCATACTGATCAGCCTCGAATAAAACAAGATAACTTCCACATGTGATATTTTTGGCTGCTGATAATAAGCCTCTACCTTTGAAAACCACCTGAATAAGCCCCATCCCAAAACATTATTTTGCGAACAATCCCCCGACAAATGACATTTCAAAGTTAGATTTTTGTAGAAAATTTTTAACGCTGGAAAAAGAGGTTGTATACGGAGCGTAGAGTCTTAAAAAAATTTCTGAACGAGTCGGCCCAGTTTATTTCAGACACCACAAAAGTTATATTCATTGAAAATAAAATGAAAGTAAATAAAGAAATTCAAAACAGAGCAGGCTGCTGATTAAGGATTGTTCGAGGGCAATAATACCTCTTTCCAATTTTATGATTAAATTTGATATCAAGTTGTACACAAACTATAAAAATAAATTACTACTGCACTAACAAGAATTCTACAAGTCTCATAGACACCAAAATGTTACTTTACGGGACATTAGATCCGGGGGAGAATGTATCGTGTTTTTGTATCTTAGGGGACAGGGGGGAAAGGCCCTAAGATTAAGTCGTTTGTAAAGCTTTAAAAACACATTGCTAACTATGAGCCTTTGCCCTTGTGGCGATCGTCAAGGCAGCGATACAGATAATGACAGAAAGCTTCTATGGATAACCAAAATCGATTTAATACTGTCAGAAAATGCATTATGGGATGCCTAAGCATCGCAATGGCTCATTGTTAGCAATTAATCTGCAAGCAATCAGCCTGAATTTTTGTTTCAAAGCTTCAAGCATGGCCAGAACAATTTTTAAGAAGAACCTATGAAAAAATGTATTCTACTGAATGCATTTGCGAGGGGATCAACTTAAAATCGCTAAAGCCTGTAAAAATGACCTAACAGTGTTAACTTTTGCATCTTCTTGGGTACAGGGACACGTAGTTTATCGAGGGCGGGTTGAAACACAGAGCTAATATCAACATTATATGGTTCTTCAACCATCACCCTACTCATTATGACCAAAAGGGCTTTTTATGAAGATAAAACTATTACTCGTGGTATAACATCAAATTTTGTAAATAAAATAGCTTCAAAGGAGATGATTTTTTGCCCAGTTTGAAAGGACGGTAAAAAGTTTAAAAACTTAACAGCATCTAGGATGCACAAGAGTTCACCATTATTGAATATCACAGAAAGGTTGAAATTCACAGGAAGGCTAAAATTCAACGTGGGTTTAGAAGAGGAGACCAGGCTTTCGCAGCTAAAAGAAACACGAGTTGTTTATTGACTTCAAGGGAATCTTGCTTATTTACAACAGAAACGTTATCAAGGTTACCCCAAATAATTCTAAGTACATTGTCAAGAAATATTTCTACACTACAACACAAGTTGTTACATCAAAACTACAAATTACGATAAAATGGCGGAGACAAATGACGAAATTAGTGTACTTTCGATATTAAACGGCCTAAGGCAGTGATATTAGACAAAGATATTAGACGGCCTAAGGCAGTGAAAATTGTTAGAAGCTACCCACAAGAGTGCAATCTGTATTCTTCGCAAGAGAACATTGAAGTGGCCATTACTGCCAAGGAAAATTATGTCTGTCATTACTGCCAATGTATGTTTTAAAAGTCAGCGAGGAAGATGGATATTCAGCTGATAACTTATATCAACAAACAGTTGGAGTTCTTGTCTGTTAACTGGTGGAGTTGTGGAAGCGAGGCAGTGGCAATAGGGAGTAATACTAGGCTGTCTTCTAAGGTTGTTCCTCAAGGATGCACCTTTGTTACTATTATTACTACTTTAGCAACATAATCCTTTTAGGTGAATAAGGGGTTCGTCGAGTAATATATTATAATATAAATTCTAATTGGCATCACCAAGCCAAAGCGGATACGACACTCATTCAAAACTTCAGCAGGCGGCCATGTTGTGGATTCGCAATGTGCGCGTAACTAAAAAATGACGTCAGCAAGACGGACACTTGTGAGCAATGGCTCTACAAAAATCCAAGTCCCTATACCAAATAATAAAGGAATTTCCACAGTACGAAAGGTGGTCGCATGACAGCGAGCAGCATCGATTGGTTCCTAGGTCGAAACCGAAGTCTTTTCAAGTACCATATAAAACATGGAATGCCGATCCTTACCATATGGATAAACGCGACGATAAAAAGCAGGCTGTTTTCCTGTTCGCAAATATGTTTTCTGCGCCATTGAGAACAGCTATTTTGTCAAGTGTACAATATTCGCTATACAGCTCGAGCGAGGAATGGAATACCAGAATATTTACCATCAGCTAGTCTTGAGTGTATGCTTTCCTCTTTGGCGATAACTTTTTATCACCGAATCCACGATGAGTTAGGTTCTCCTTCTTGGAATATTTCGATTGAAAATCGTAAGACTGACTGGAATTATCTGAAACAATAAAATCTCGTTCCTTGTCGCGAATTTTTTGGTCTTGCCTATGTTGGTCACGACCCCATTTCGAATCCGCCATATTGTAATGGTCTCGATGTCGATCCTTCTCTCTGTCCCAGTGATCTCTGTGATAGCTGGTCTGGTATCTTGAGTCACGTGACCTATCGTCATGATCTCGAGATCTTTCGTCTCTATATCGATGTTCGTTGCGAGAGTGTTCTTTTTCGTGATGACGATATGAAGGACTAGAAATAGGACTTCTGCTTCTTTCACGCCTAAAGAAGTGGAAAAATGAATTCTTTGATAAATATGATATTCCTTGACAAGTAGCAATTCTTACTTGCAACTTATAGAACTAAGTAAAATTTTTTCTACAACATTTCTCCATTACACATTTGAAAATTACCAACGCTTTAGTTCTTCTTTCCAACCCCCCTTCCTTCATTAAATAAAGGTCGCAACAGATTGGATAAAAATGAAATAAATGAAGTAAAAAAAACGCTTGAAGATAGCAAATGTTTTAGTTTTCCGGGGGTATTGTTGTACGAAAGTACTGCACAAGATCAAAATCAATTCCTGCATTCATGTAAAAAGCTGTTCGACTTAGCGAATGTTCGAGTTATCTGTAGCTTACTGTAGTTCGTAAATGCAAGATATCAAGGCATATGTATAAAAAATAACTCACCATCGACTGCTTTTGCTGTATTCGTGTCGTGAGTAGTTCGGCGATCGGTTACCAGAATGCTTTGAGCTTTTTTCTTTGGCCGAAGACGATGATTTAGCGATTTTCGGTATTTTCCCGCTGGGCGAGGCAATTTCGATGCCAAGAGTTCGCTTCCTAACTTCATCAAGTTCGTGCAGGTTCGGCGTGAAGTGGTGATGGTGATGATGGTGATGATGCGGAGGAGGCTGTTGTTGTTGTTGTTGCTGGGATGATTCTTTGTCTTTCGTTGGTGGTTGCTGTTGATGGGGTGTTGCAAATGCTTGGTGCACAATCTTTTTCTCTGATGAAGCCTTGCGTCTTTGCTTTAAGAAAAATTTACTGTGTTTAAATGGTTAACATAGCTTGTCCGGTACTTGTGAACGCCGGCCAAAACAATTCCTCTCTTTTCTCAAGGGCCCTCTTTTCTACTGGCTTATTCTACGTAAGTCACTTTTTCGCGCCTACCAATATATTCCAAATATTTCGTAACCAATCGTGGTGCAAAAATAAAAAATGCTTATTATATGAATTAATAATAAAGCTTTAACTCTGACACTCTTCAGAGTAATATAAAACGTCAGAACATATATCGAAAACTCTACGCTAGGAAAAACATGTTGTGGGTCGAAATAGGCCAATCAGAAACGCGAGCATGTTTCGTAGCCTTTTCTTTAGCTCACAGTTTGGTTTAGGAAAATTGTTCTATTGGATCGCCCATCTAAAAACGTTTCCTATAGATTCACCAAAGCTGAGATTAAAATGAAAAAGAGGGCGGCCTAATCATTCTACTATTGGTTCTGTGAATGAGACAAAGCTTGAAGAGCATAACATGATGAAATACCTCCTCTTTTTGCTCATCCCGTTTTCTGCATGCAATCTTGTACAGCTTGAATAGTTTGCTAGCGTCGTAAGCAGTGAATTTGGAGACGAAAGTCCAGAGATTGCTTTAAAATAAACAGGAGTTAATGCATATTGAATCACGATAGCCATGTTGAAAGATTAACAAGACACATGAACCAGGAACTGAAACAGTTATACGCACCAGAACATACCACATCATCACGGTCTTCTATTTCCGAACAAACTTTTTAACTTCTCAAAAGGAAACGTTATTCTACTTTGAGAAATGGCTTTTAAAAATAAACAATGATTTGAATAAATACAGTGATATATTATGCAGCTCAAAAAACATAACTTCATTGAATTCTTTCGTACTTGAAATTCAAAGATAACATCGAGTTCAACATCTAAAAGGCCTTAACAAAAGAAAACTTACAATTATATGTTTCTTGCAAGGGAGGAAATCAATACCCTTTTCTAGTTTCGACTTCATATGTCACTTATCAGTTTCACTTTCTATATAGCTTATAACTTCAAGAGGATATCTTTCGTTGACTTAAAACTATCTTGTTACAAAACTGGAAATAGATTCTGCAATACCTTCTCCATTCTTTAGCCAAATCAAAATCCGTGTAATTGTCTAGACACTTTTGTATGTGATCGCCAATCTTCAGCAGACACTGAAAGTAAAAAAACATGAAATATACCTACATGTGCATAATCTATTTGCATACGCATAAGAAACAAAGGTTGTCTTAAAAATTACAAGATATCTAGAAATGCAACTAATCAAAATGGCGAAGGTTAAAATTCATTAATTTAAGTGCCAGTAATTATCTGTAACAGGCTAAAATTGCTCCTATACCTTAGTGGTTCTTACTTCTTCTTAGAATTTATTTTGAAAATTTTATCTCATTACATTGCATTCTCATCGTCGTATTGCATTGTTCCTGGCTATTTCCTTGTATGATATTATTACTCATTGCAAGATTAACAGAATCTAGCGGACAGCCTATCCTGTGGTTCTTCCTTCTCATACAAAATAACATAGCCTGAAGATTTGTAAAGGCGATCGACAGATACTAGAGCGACTTGAGCTATCTGTCAATTAACTATTAGCCAATCAATAAGCGTGTGAGTGGCATTCTGCTTACTGATTGGCCAATTTTGATTGACAGCTGGCTTATGCCATTTAAGTATCTGCCGATTGCTTTCAATGTGCTGTATCTTTGAGCAACACACGAGGCAAGAAAAGGTTGAAAACTATTCTGGTTATACTCTACACACCTGACGAGTTAAGTTCACTTGTTCCTTCTCGGGGAGATTTTCTTCAGGGTTTTCCAGCATGCGAAGGGCTTTCTTCACCGAGCGCATTTTCTCTTTGCACTAAAAAGCAGCAATAAATATTGACAATTAACGTCAGTAACTAGTGAACAAAAAGGGTGACAATGCTTTGGTGGGCCAACCTTTTAGTGGTATGAAGGTCAATCTCTTTGCGAATAAAAACAGAAAAACTGCTAAAAAAAGTGTAAATCACCTGGGTAAATGTTTCTTTACTCATGTCGGCAATCTCAGTGATTGTAACCGATGACTGCGAAAATTGTGAAGTCGAGTCTTCATTGATTAATTCATCCCTTTCTGGTTTGACTGGCTTTGGTTTTGGCTGCAAATGAAGGATTTAACATCAACAAAATATCACAATATACTATGTTATCAAAGAAAAAAACATTGACAGAAATAATTTGTTCTGGTCCCTGCGATTCTTATAATGGGAAGAGTTTAAAAATGCGGCATACATAAAAAGAGCTTATTTCAAAGGCTTATGGGAAAAGATTGTCAGCATCAGAGAAAATTGCTGACAAAGTGTTAATTACTTAGCAGCACAAAAGAAAAATACTCTGTGTACTCAGGATTACAGTTAATGTTGCGAAATGTCCAATCCCGTAAAGAGGATCGTTTTGGGTTGTAATCTCTAGTTTTTCGCTTAATGCGATTATCAGGCAATATCGCGTGTTTTTATGTATTGTAATCGTCCGAATAAGCGCCCGGGCACTTATTTAATTTTTCTGATTTTAAGGGGGGGGGGCTTATTTGAGATAGGCGCTTATTCAAAAGGGGCGCTTATAAAATATTTCTTATAAGATACTTAATATTGATATAGTGCACGGTGAATTTAACAAATTGTCTGATAAGAAAAACAAAAAAGAATAAAAATTGTCAAAGAAAAAGTGCTATTCTTTCTTTTCCAAGGTCTTCCCTTCCCTCCATGCGAGATATAGAATTGTTTCATCGATTTTGTCCGTGAATTTAGAAAATTCGAATAAGCGCCCACCCTAGAACAAGGGGGCGCTCATTCGAAAGGGGCGCTTATAACATTATTTTATTAAAAGAGGAGCGCTTATTCAAAAGGGGCGCTTATTTGAGAGGGCGCTTATTCGAACGATTACGGTATAGTGACGCAGGCTAAAATGTAATACCAAATAAATTTTTATAAATGGTATATACAATGCAATTGAACCATGAGCAAATCAAAATCAAAACTTAAAAATCAAAATCGACACATGATCTATAAAGGAACATAATATATCGAAAGAGTTTATCATAGTTATGACTAAAATAAAAACTGACTTTCTTCTTTTCCTTTTCTTCTTTGTTCTGTTTCTTTTCCTTTTTTTCCGTTTTTGTCTTCTTCTTCTTTTCCGGTGGCAGTTCACCCTGATTTTCCTGCTTCACGTCGGGAGTCTCCTTATCCGCAAAATGAACATGGTGATGATGCGAAACAGAACTGTTCGTTTCTTCATACACGTCTACCGGGGGTTGGTGATAAAGCAAAGGCTCTGAAGGGGTCACACTGCTCTCCGAAACCTTCTTACTTTCTTTCGGTGGCTTTTTTCTCTTCTCTTTGGCTTTAAGCTGCAAACAGCATAAACAGTGCTTAAAGGAATTCGACATAGGTAGAAGTGTCTTACAGCCACTTGACCCGTAGTGGTCGACCAATCAAATTGAGCACAGAGAAAACACGTGAACAGTTTCCGCCTTTCTGCAAATCGGCGAAACCCTAGAGTGGTTTCACGTGAGAAGTTTCAAATTCCTTTCAAATGCACGTGCTCTGAATGCGTTATTTTTGGATTCGCTGTACTTACGCATGTCAAATGCCTTGAAGAGCTTTAGATATTCCCCGATAAGCATTTCCCATTTATACACAATCTTAAATCTTGCATCAGACCAGAAATATTCATTAAACATATTATAAATCGACCCCTTTTGTCAAAAGTTTCATTCATCAGTATTCAAAAACTTGCAGAAAAGACACTTGTATAAGCGTAAAGCCAAGACAGACCTACAAATTCTACGTAATGCCAACAATTAAAAAACTTTTAAACATTCCATATTGTCATTCTAGCCACGAGCCCCCTTTGATTTCTGTTATAAGAACAATTATGTCACAGTATCTATACGATTTCTGACTATTTTCAAGTGATGCTGGAATCTGTTATTTTAGCCAAACGCTTTCAAATCCCTAACAGAACTTGCCTTGCAGAATTTTAGCCTTGAAGCAGAACTACCATTAAAGGAAATAATTGAATGAACAGCCTTCAAACTACGCATTTGTGTTTCAAACTATTCAGCGTGGAGCCCTGTTAAGGGCCCTCATGCCAGAGCCTATCAGACTCTGATTGGTTAAATGAAAGCCAACCAGACTAGCCTTACACCTATTGGTTGATATCGATCCATATTTGGGTATAAAACATTACTGACCTTACAGACAAACCTAAACTCCATATGAAATTCTAACGTCGGAACAAAGTACGTCTGAAACGTGGAACGTGGGTTCCAGCATATGCATTTACAGCTAGAATCTAGCCGCCTACCAAATGAATTGAGATTTAATAAACAAACAAATCAAAGTAATTCTGATTTGATAATTTACCTTTCTCTCGATGGTTTCTTTTTTCTCATTACACATCATTTTCAAAAGTTTCAGCAGATATTCGGCTCGAGATCTTAAGTGCTTGTCTTGCGGCTTCAGGTTGCCAGGCAACAGGATCTGTGAAAGAAAGAATACTTGGTAATTCATTTTGATATAGTGCAATGCTCATTTGCTATAATAAGAAGTGTATCGAATTCTAGGCTACCCAGGCAACGAAAAGAAAAATTTCCTTTGAAGTGAAAATGGAGGTTAAAAATGAGATCTGCAGAATGAATAAGACAGCACTTTAAGATCAAAACATCTTTTAATAAATAAACAAACAATAGATAAATCAATAAACAGATAGATAAAATAAATGTTTCTCTTAATATTTGTTTTTAAATAAACTCTATCTGTTTCGTTTAATAAATTAACAACCAACAAAAAAATGAATTAAATGAGTTTCAAGACAAAAAAAAAATTATCTAAAAATCTGCAAAAAAAGAAACTGCCTTTTGACGGATCGCTGGATTTTCAGGACAATGGATCAGTTGAGAGTTGACAATTTATATATGGAATAACAAATCGATGAAATATGAGAAATTTCTTTTGAAATATCATAAGGAATTGTAATTGAATAACCAATGGATGGTGGGGGGTGCAAAGAAAAGAGAAAGCGTTTCGGTATGAGAAATAAACCACTAAGAGAATTTTAAAAGAAATACTGATTAATTGCGGGGGTTTGAAGTTAGAAACACTTCCTGTACACGCACACTTAAAAAGCTACAAAGACAACACATTGCAAAGCTAAGAAATAAAGTTTTTTCTGTAATGTGTAATACATTTAGATTGAAACTTTTATAAATATAAGGTAGAACATTTTTATAAGAAATCAGTATGTGTTGTATGTCACACGAACCCTATTTGATAAGCCAAGGCTATGATCGCTCTTGATTGCGTCCCAGTTATCAATGCCATATTGGAATATTCCAACCAATAACATTGAATCGTCGACGGCATCCCACTTGATACCCCAATGCACGCTTCTGGTAGGAACAGTTAATCGATACCTAAATAAAAAGAAGCATAACGAGTTACAAATGACGCACATGTCAGTTTATTCTGAACCAAATACCATGCTGCAACGTCCATTGGCACTTGAACATGGGTTATAGAGCCGAAGTTCGCAAATTACTTCAGAACGCATAAATTCTCACGAATTTATGATGGTCTGAACCGATTTAGTTACTTATTTTAACATTGTTCTGTTCGTTCCGTTGCACTAGCCCGAAAATTACATTAATGAAATTTACAGTAAAATTAGGACTGGGACGGAGAGTAGAGGCCATGTTAGTTTTCCGTGATCAAGTGTTGTGTTATCGTTAGAAATAGAGAAGTAGTGGAACTTTTTGCGTTTTTACTCGAGTGACGACGGTGTGCCTTGACAATTTCGGTACATCTGGCGACCCTGCAATCGATTAGTGAAGGTGTACAGTTACAAGCTTTAACAAATTCGGTACAGGTCTCCCAGGGGATTTCGGGAACAAGGGAACATGGCAACAAATGATACAGGAACACGGGAACAGCTTAAGTTTTCCACTGGAAACATGGGAACATTATTACTAGTTTACGGGAACCAGGGAACATGTTTTCATCTTTCAACGGGAGCACGGGAACATTGGGTGTTTTTTCAAAGGGAACACGGGAACAATCACCCCCTCCCCTTGGAAAACCCTCATTTATATGCTCTTAATAAATCACTTCCTATTACATCCGAGTTGTCACCTAAAAATGGCAAAGCCCTTAAAAATATGTTGCCACTTCCCTTTATTGGACATTTACTCTGACGAAGCCCTGTATGCCGGGGTGAAATTATAGCTCTACATTTAATTCATGGATAAATTCTTATCTACAATACATTGGATTTTCCTCGTCGTTTCAATTTGCCCCTGCCTCTTAGTTTATTAACACTCATTGTAAGATTCACAGTATAGACTTTCCTTCTGACATAATCCCTTTGTTAACTGGGTGGACATATGAAAAATTAAAACGTAACAACCAGGCACCGCGCAGCCATTGGGCTAGCAGGGGCTATAGCCCCCCCTTTTTTTGCAATGATAGGCCAGAAAAATTTTTTTGAAGGTTTACTCTAACACAACTTTGGATAGTTAACTCCTATATAGTAGCAGTTCTTCTTGACTGGAAACTTTTTCTAGGTGTTTTATCTTGCTCAATGATATCATGTATTTCCTAACTTGGTTAGCTTAGTGTTTTGTTGCTATTTTTATCTGTTTTTATAGTTTTTGATATCTTCTCTGAACCAGACAATTTATAGAAATTGAGTAGAAATAAGCATGTGTTTTTGAGGAGGGGCTTTTTTGCGGCGCTCTAGAGGGCGTGGCCTCAAAAATTTTCGGGCACACCCATTTTACTTTTAGATTGGTGCGCGGTCCCTGGTAACAACAAGCAACAAACGAAAAAAAAGTTACAAAAAACATGAATTACAAAAACGTACTGCTTTTTCTGTTCCGGATCTTCTGGAATGCATTGAGCAAGCGGTTCTAATTCCTGTTCGTGTTTCAAAACAGACGCAGCATTAATAGACACGCCAGAGATCTTAAATGAAGCACCTCGCTTTTTGCCTGTAAAGATATAATTTGACATAAACATGTTAAAAATGCGATCTTCAACAATATCTATGGCACCAAACTACATTGATGAAAATGTACATCAAAAAGAAATTGCCTGGTGATAGCATTAAGCATGAATCTTAGAGTAGCAACTTAGAACCGTCCTGTTCTATAAACCAAATAGCGTGTACAGCTCTGCCTTTACGGCATTGAACACTTTACGACAGGACGGTAAACAGTAATATTCGATTAAAAATATATATTAATCATGCCCAAGTTTTAAATTATTTAGGACCATGATTAACATGAACCTCAAATGTAAATGAAAAACTAAAAAGAAGAAATTTCGCAATGTTTTTATTTTAAGCATAGAATGTAATGCTTTCTGAACCCCGCTTAAATGTTTGAGCAAAATCTTTTAACGACAAGAAACTCGAAAAATAATATTCTCAGTCTAACGTACCGTCAAAGTTAGGATCACTGACGAGTTTCTCTTGGTATTCCTTGATAGCCCGTTCACAGCCGTCGTGCAAAGCATTTGCCAGCTTTGTCAGTTCTGCCGTTGACTTTTCTTGCAGCTCAGCATCGGCGGCAATCTCATCAAGTCTATCAATTTTAGCAAGGTTGGTTACAGAAGAAAATAAGAAAACAAAGACAAAAATTGTTTTAGAATACAGATGGCTCAATCTGATGTGCAGATCATCTGTGAAAAGCGCGTTATATTGGGGTAGTGAAGCAGCAAATCCAGGTGTTTTGCCAAAAGGGGTATGGGAGGGGGCGGAACCCCGTAACACTTTGTCCTTCAGCACATAAAGGATTTTCGCCGGGCAAAATCTTTCCAACTCCCTGTTACCTTTTTGCAGCAAATGTAACGTATAAATATTTCTGTAGTAGTTGAACTTTCAAAGTGTGAACTTTCACTGAAGTATGAATGTTGAAATGGAAACGTATAAAAGCAGCATATAAGATTATTTGTCTTATGATCAAAACCTTTAAGAGCTCGGGAATAAATAGGGGGGCCAGGTCCAAAATATAATAACAGGGGGGAATAACAAATAATAGCAGCGGAAAGGCCTTGAATAAAGCAAAAGTATTTCAGAATGCTGGCAAGTACATTTTTAACTTTGGCCCAACGTTTTCGTCGATGGAACACAAGGGTTGAAATGAAGAGCAGGGGGGTCTTCTGAAATCTCAAAAGGGGGACATTAACTTCCGACTTCGGAGTAGAACTTTCTCAAAAGCAAGATTATCGTTTAGTGTGATGCAGGGAAATAGAAACAGTAACCACTTGAATAGTAATGTCAAAAGAGACTACTGCCAACACGAAAGGCTTGCTTTGGGAATAATTTTATGTGAAAGTGAAATAGATAGTGAACAAACCTTGTGATTGGTCTTGGAAATTTCTTATAGCTCTTGATAAACCTGACAAGAATTAATGATAATAATAATAATAACAACAAAGTTTATGCAGAATGTTCTTATCACCAAAATGGAGTGTTTTTCAGGGAGGTACTGTACGAAGTAAATGGGTTACACTACAAATGAATTGACAATAATCAGCATTGTAACAGCACTTGATTTCTAGGTAAAGATAAAAAGAAGACTAACTTGCCAACTAGAAAAAATGGCATTTATGAGTGGCTTGTACCTGGTTGAATTCTTTTCATGCCTCATAATTAGGCAACCATGACAAATTTACTGTCTACACCCTGGCCACCCAATCTTCTAGACATTAAGTAAGCATTACTATATGAGACATACTTCCTGACTTCGGCATCACTGAATCCCTCAACTTCATCTCGCTTCACCGTTCTCGGCCGTCCTCTCTTTCTTTTGGGTGCTTCGCGATCTGCATCGGATTCGTCGTGGCTTGATGAATCCGTGTTCGTCTTTGTCTTCGATTTTCGTTTGCCATCCTTCAAGTCTGAGTGATGCATGTTCATCTGAAATGCAAAATGAATGGTTATGTCGTATAACATTTTAACAAAACTAACAAAAGTGAAGATAGCAAGCCAAGAGGCTCATACTAGCCACTCTGTTATAGATTTGGAAAAGATCACATTTCAATTCTTGTATGGTCTTTCTACTTCTACTTATACGAATTTAATCAACTACTTCAATACTGAAGGCTCTGTTGATGTAGACAAAAACAAAAAAAAATAAACAAACAAAAACACACAAAAAGTTAACAACAAATAATAACAAATAAATAAGTTAAGCAAAAGGACAGCAGTTCCGTGACTAAGATAGTATTAATCCAATGTTGATATTTCACCCTATGAAATCAAACTGCACTGCAACCGTACCTATTAATCTGTTACTGGTTTCTTTAGGATTTTTTTAAAATTTTTTTATCAAACTTGTTTGTCTTTTTTACATTAAGTTTTTCTGCTTTATTTACTTATACTAAATTGCGTTTTGATATTGAATTGATATGCTTGGTCATGGCTATGTCTTGACTTCCTGGAGGATATTTCATGTATTTATCATTATCAACTGCTACCATTCCATGATGGATTTTGTAAAACATTGCAAGTCTCTGTTTTGTTCTCCTTTCCTCCAGGGTTTCCCATTTCAGTTCTGAAAGCATATCTGTAACACTCGCGAATCGATCATGTCTATTTAGGACGTAACAAGCTGCTCTTCATTTGTATCAAGCATGTGGATGTTCTTTTTTGTGTATGGATCCCATACCTTTGTAGCATATTCAACAACTGGTCTTACAATTGCTTTGTAGGCTTTTGATTTCAGTTGAGGCGAGTTTATGCGAAAATTCCTTTTGAGAAAATTAAGGGATCTTGTGCCTTTGCTGGCAGTGTGACTGATATGTTGATTTCAGCTTAGATCCTTTGATAACGTCAATCCTAGGTATTTGGCAGAGCTTACATGGCACACACTTTCCCCATGGAGAGTGTAATCGTATATCATTGCTGACCTGCTTCTTGTTATTGTAAAAATTTGACACTTCTCTGGATGGAATTCCATCTGCCACTTATCCTCCCATTGTGCCAACTTTTCAAGATAATTTTTCAGGCTTATTGAATCTATTTCCGAATTAATTGCTAGGTAGGCTATTATGTCATCAGCAAAGAGTCTCACTGTCGAATTTAGTGTCTTGGGCAGGTCATTTATATAGAAGAGGAATAAACATGGACCTAATACTGAGCCTTGAGGGACCCCAGAGAGGACACCTGCCTCGTTTGAGTATTTCCCATCTAGCAGCACTTTCAAAGACGGCGTGCTTGGTCAAGAAATACGCTGAACCTTTTAAGAGATACGCTGTAACTACTTTGTCCTGTTGGCAACTTGCAACTTAGCCGTTACCAAAACTTTGACAGCCTTTGCAAATTTTGCTAATCTGACTGTCTTCGAGATACTCTTGACCCAATTTGTTACGGGTCTGCAGTTGACAATTACTTCTTTTAAACCTAAATGAGTGTTGCAACACAGGACCGATATTGCTTCAAACAACCAATCCACGAGATATATGTACCTGATGCAAAGCTGGAGTGACTGAATAAATGGTTGGGACTAGAAACTAAAATACGGGTTGCTGAGATTTCACCCATAGCTCAATGTTGATTCATCTGTTAATGAAGTAAATTCGCTCCAACCTTGAATGGTGGGAAAAGGAGAGGTTGGATATTGGACTATACATATATTCAATACAGTATCTGTTTAGGGGTCGCAATAATGTAGTAATAGGGAGGTCCTTTGAGGCAAGTGTTTCCAGTTTTTCGGTAAACAATGAAAAAGGCCGTTCTTGTTCAAAATGCGCTTCTCGCAAATTTCGAACAGGCCTTCCGATATCATCGGAGGGTGGATCTTTTTTGTGTACCTTAGTGTTAGTGTAAGTGTCTTCCTGTTTACTTATAAAGATGCTTGACATTGAGGGTGATAAAATTTTATCAATTCATTGAAAAGCCCCGAGAACGAAATGGGAACAGTCAATTTTATTAATATTCAAAAAGGGTGCGAAAAGGGTGCAAAAAGGTGCCTCAAATGGCTGTGCCCCTCCTCTTTTCAATGCATTCTTACGTCCCCGACTTAGGCCTACCTCCAAAGAAGGCCCAATCTCAATCCTTTACATCTCCAACATCACAAATATAAACGACTGGCTACCTTAGTGACAGTCTTGCGTTTCCGTGGAGGCAAATACAATTCCATTCTTTTCTTTTGCTCCTCTTCTTCTACTGCCTTCTTTCTTTCCGCTTCAGGGATGATGTCATCCCATGTCTTTTCGTCATCTTTCCCTTCCTCTTCTGTCGTGTCTCCGGCTTGCTTCTCCAGTTCATCGTCATCCTCGCCTATTCCAAAGTTTGCAACCTAACACATGATACAAACAGAAACAAGTTCTTTCATTTCAAAATACCAAGAGGAAATCCTTACGCGATACAATCTATCTAGTAAGTGAAGTTTCAACCAAACTATGAGGGTATTTAGAAAGCAATAATGAAATTGATCTTTCATGAAATCAACGAACAATTTGTTGCTTCTAAATCTCCACGGCTGACATACCGGTCCATTTACAATAAACAACCCTGTAGGCTTATACGATAGAACACTGCATTAAAGGTGATGCAAGTATGCAAGCGTAATATTGATGTTAAAGAGATACAAAATTCGGTGCAGCTGTTGATTCTTCTCTTAATAGTAATGAAGATAAGTTTTGGTCACCATTCTATGAGAATGCTTGAAAAATCACGTAAAGGACAAAATATAATATAAAGAGCAGTTGCCCGATGATCGCATTAAGTGTGAAACTCGGAGTAGCAACTTAGAACCTTTCTATTCTATACAACAAATAGCAAAAAGCACGAAATTTGTCACATAATTGTCCGCTTAAAATAAACAATTCTGAAGCCTAAGATGAAAAGACGGCTGCAATAAAGGTGATATGTTGTTACCCAAACAATATATACGTCACAAATAGCCAGAACTTTTGTGTCCTTATTTAAAACAATATTTTTGCAATCTATGTCAGAGGATATTGGGCCAAAACAAATAAGTAAAAATACCATATCTAAACTCAAATCTTTATTAATTATACATCTTGAAATACAATTTCAGATGCCGAGTTGCTATAATTAAACGTGCGATTTCATTACCTTGAACTGCGATAAAAGATCTTCTCCTGCAGTTGACGGCTGGTTCTCCGAGTCGTGTGTTTCTGCACTTTCCAAAATGTCATCGATGTCCATGGCCTGGGGAGAGAAAGTTGCGAATGATTTTTGACATTATAATTCTATGAAATTTGCACGAAAAGTCACCATGCTTTTACCAAAAATGATAACTCATCCGGAAGAAACAAAGTACAGTAGACTCCTGTTATAGTCACGCCAAATGTTGCTTGAAACTTTGACTGTAAACCGTGTGATTGTAAATGGCGTTAAGTTGAAGAGGTTTGCATATGGGGGTCTAAGTTTATGTGACTGTATCCAGTAGTGTGACTTCAAACGAAGTGATTATAAGCGGGGTTTACTGTATTACCAAATTTCTTTCTATTTTATCGTGGCTACACTTTGTATGTTTGTTTTAGTCTCAGTTTATAAGTAAAATGAAATTGATGCACCACTCACTAAACTTACGTTGAGTAGTTTTGAAAAACACTTCAAATTTACATAAAAAAACCAGATAAAACATTTTAGATGCTTGCTTCTGTTTTTGCAAGGTCAGGAAAAGACTTATGCATTTACCTGTAGCTTCTGATCTTGTTCGTTATCCTGCTCCTTGAAAAGTTCCTCAGCTCCAAATTTAAGGATGGCTGCCAACTCATCTTTGTTGAAAGGAGTCGATCTAAATTAAAAAATACAAGATGTGTAACAACCAATTAACTGACCTACTGTTGTTAACCTCGTTTCAAGCAATTTATTAATTGTTCGGAATTTCAAATGTTAATTGGTTTAATAAATAGGATCCAAAATTTGATTATCATTCAAAAATACAGTTTCTCCAGTTTTTAAACTTGAAATAATATTAACAGCAAAATACATCGATGAATAAATTTGGTCTTTATTTATCGGCATTTAGCTCGCTTTATGCAGTAAGTGAATGCCAGAACGTCTTACATTTGTAGATTGGTACATAAACACTAGCTCGAAGATTTTTAGATTCTTTTTCTAAGTGTTAAATCTACATAGGTACCAATTTTGAAGGGGGTACCATGGGATTAGTGTTGAACTATACATGTACAGCTTCTAGCATTTGTTTAGGTTTTTTCAATAGCTGCGTAAACGAATTTATGTATATTCAACAAGTTTCCCTGTTCTGAGTTCCAAGAAAACACACTCACGCTGATGGAGCAGTTTTGTTGAGGACCTTCTTTCCTGTCGTGTCCATTCTCTGGATGATCAAATGATCAAGAACCATTTTCTTCTTCGCTCTCTCGATGATATCTTCTTCGATACTTCCTTTGGTTACCAGTCGATAAATCTTCACCTGGAACAATCACATTTAACAAAAACTATGAGAGACGTAGAAACTGCTTACAAATCTTGGTGACATAAAGAGCAATCATGACTTAGTGATTTAGGCAAAAAAGCGAGGAGTATCTATCATTTGTTTTCATCATTTTGATGAATAACAGCCTTCTTAGAGCTCATTGCCCTAGAATGTTCCAAGCTCTGTTGCTACTGTCTATTTTTAAATTGTTCCATGTTCCAAAAATTTCCCCTTAATTATTAAATTTCGGTTTGATAATCCAACTAGATAAAAAAGCATCCGCAACTTGTCACAAGCTGAGAAAATTATATTAACATTACATAAACAATTAAATATGGTTTTTAAGGATCCAATCAAACAAAACATCGATAAAACTGAAAGAAAGGTTGTACCTGCTTCGTTTGGCCTATTCTGTGTGCTCTTGCCATGGCTTGTAGATCATTCTGGGGGTTCCAGTCTGAGTCAAAGATAATAACAACATCGGCAGTGGCCAAATTGACGCCAAGACCCCCAGCTCTCGTTGATAACAGGAAGCAGAAGTCCTTTAAGTAAAAAAGCACTGACTTACAATGGGTACTCGAGACGCTAAAAATAGGGAAAGAGAGCGGGTTGAGAAGTACGGTAAAGAGGAAGCTCGGATAAAGAAGATCGCATATCTATCAACGGGGTTCCAAGCTTTCAAGAACTATAATACGACCATTGAAAGCGCAAAAATGCTCGCCAATGCCCTTAATACCAGTCTAAAGATGCAAAGCTCTAGTTACGGCACCGAGCACTTTCTGACAGACCGGTAAACAGTAAGTTTCATTACAATGATTTAATTATACATTTTGCAGCCAGTCCAAGAAAACAGACGCTTAAAAATTCAACCTGCGATCCTTCTGCATTAAATTGGTCCAAAGCTTGCTTTCTTTTGTCACCTCGAATAGATCCGTCCAGTCTCTGAAGAAAGGAAAATCATGCTTGTTAGTAAAGGAAATCTATCTATAAAGAAACAATAGGTATATAGTGAAGATATAGAAAAGATACATAAAAACCTATTGCCTTCTAGGGCAGTTGATAAATTCTGACATGCAAATTGGATGCCTGTACTTGCTAAAAGAAATTTGTTACAAGGTTTGTTGCTAATAAGTAAAAACCGGAAGCACTTCTAAAATCAAAAATAAAAGCAAACTAACTTGGGAATAAACACTGAAAAATGACTCACAAGGGAAAAGAAAATAATCTCCCATGAAAATAATATTTAAGGTAACATTGAAGACTTTCGGTCATCTTACCAACAAACCTTGACATGAAGAGTCCCACAGGTTAATTACATTTCTCCAGAGCTTTTAAAGGCGTGAAAAAGCGGCTTGACTTAAACCCACCTGGAATTGGAATCTCTTCATCGCCAGATAGTCGGCAATAATGTCCAGCATTCTGACCATTTGCGAGAATATAAGCACCCTGTGACCTCGTTCTTTCAGCCTCGTTAGCAATTTGTCGAGAAGAACCATTTTGCCACTGCCTTTGATAACGGCCTAAAATAACCAAATATTCAGGCACACCCATTAAAGAAAGTTTTCTGCAATCAAAACAATAAATTTCGATGGAAAACAGACGGAAGATCTTTTTAAACGATGCAGTTTGTCGCAACAGAAACAGTTTGATTTAAAGCAGATCCATTGGAAGAAAAGACTAAGGAAGAACTTACTGGGTCAAGGAACATATGTATTTAAAAAGATAAGATAAATAAAATAACAATGAGAATAAAAGATAAATATAACATAAAGAAGACGACAATTATGCTAAGTTCTAAACTGATGACTTCACAAAAACATATTTTCAAAATCTTTCAATTTGAGTCCCATGGACTGAAAGAGCATAATGGAACACAACGTAATCAAAGAGTTATATTAAGAATTGAGTAGAGATATGGATAAAATGCATCAAACCAACCTGAAGAAAATCTTGTGCCGCTGTAGTTTCGGGCTGCCTGACCAAGTTGGAGTGGTTGCAGCACTTTTTAAGCTCGACAACAATGTTCAAGAAGCCACTGATGCTCCCTTTGACGCCCTTGCTCAACTCTTTATAGTTCTTGGTAAGAATCCATCTGCAATGAAAAAACCCTGGTTAAGAGGAGAACAAAACAATTGAGGAGGAAACAGGTAGTTCAGGAAGGAATAGCTGGGTCGAATTAGCAAAACCACTGGTCAAATTTTGCGTTGGTGAAAATTATAGAACCTCAGAGTACCAACGTCTCAGTGGATCAGATCATGAGACTTAAGGTCAAAAGAAATTTAAACAAACTCAAACACCAAAGCCATGCTAAGTGCACTTCTCGAAATTTACAAAATAGGGGCTTTGCGAAAAGCAATTCTGAGACGGGGGCACAGCATGCTTAATTCCAAGAGCAAGATGGATCATTGCATAGATTTGAAAAACATTTTGGGGATTCCCCTTAGAAATTTGGGCCTATTCCCCTAAGTTGCAAGCTTCTGCTGTCCCCGCTTGAATGCAAACATGAAACGGAACTCTCTAAAATGACAGTGAAATTGTTGCGTGTTTTCAAAACATTAAAGGCGAGAGGAAGCCAAAAACATGTAAGCCGGCCTTACTTGTAGTACTGTTTCTGAATTCCAGACATTTCAATTCTGAGAATTTGTTCAACCTGCAGAAAAAGGGAAGTAACAATCGGTTACCTCATCTGCAATCTAAATCCCACTAAAATGTACTTATTTCAAGTATGAGATTTCAAACGAAGGTTAAAAAGGATCTCTCTATCAGGGGCAGATCCAGAGCGAATTGGAAGGAGGGGCAGTCGGTAGTGAGGGCGCTGAAAAATTCCCAAAAATTGTTGACGAGAGTACGCTGTATACACAATTTCAGATCCATTTTCAGAATAAACAACTTAACTTTGAGGTACTCCTTGAAGCAAATTAATCTATCGGTCTCAGAAACTTTTTGCCTGATTCGTATTCTTCAAAAGGGGCGCACAATTTCCAAAAAAGGGGCGCCAGACTTGCTTCAACTTGTCGAGGGAGGAGCAACTGCCCCTAGATGCTCTCTATAACTCAAAACTTCGATAACCCGAGCTTTTATGAACACGGACACGCAAAAACTTGAAGCCTTAATAACTCGAACTCCGATAGCCCACGATAACTCAAAACATTTCTGCATACCCCTTCCCAAACACGTTCAAGTCCCCGATAACTTGTAAATCCTTTAACTCGAATCATTCTCATCGTCCCTTCCAATTTCGAGTCATTGGGAATGTACTATACATACATTCAAACCAAAGAAACATTTTAACTTCATGAACTCCCATGGATGGAATGGAGGACTAGACAGGCGTTCACGGGAAGGAGCAGTTTTTGCAAGTCTTTGATTTCTTGAAAGAGGATGTCACTGGATATTATAAAATATGAAAGAGGAGTTAAAATATGTCACATGTTATTAAAAACAAACTTACCTTCGCAGGCAATGACTTTTCAACGTCTTTTTTAATTCTCCTTAGGAGAAAAGGCTCTAGCTCTCGGTGGAGGTTTTGGTATCCATCTTTCATTTGAGACATCGAGTATTGGTTTTCAAATTCTTCCCATTGTGGAAATCTGACAAAAGTACACAATTTAATGATATAAATGAAGAATAATATAATAATGAAAAAGAAGCAAAGGGTCAAACTGAAACTAAAAGCTGCTCTTGAAATATGTGAAATAAACCACTATATGTGAGAACAATACAATACCGTAAGAAGGGTAGAATTATTGGGGGTGGGACACGATTGTTGAGGACAATAGAAACAAAAAGGATTGTTCACTGGAAACAAATGGTTTTCACCCCCCCCCCCCACCCAACCTCTGACAAACAAAAGTAGTTACGGCTGTGAAGAACATGTGTATTATGAAACTATAAACAAGGCAATCAGAAATAATTTTTCCAAATGACAACGAAAAACTAAAACGTTGAACATCTTGCTTAGATTGATTGAATGAAGAAAATGCGCATTTTACATCTTCGCTATGACAGCTTAGAACATTTCAATATTAGGCGAAAAGCCCTCGTCATCATTAACTAACTTTTGAATAAAAGATACGGACAAACAATCTAACAAAATATCGTCAGTGCTTCCTACAACAAGATAAGGCCCATTAAAAATTACATGACGTAAAGCCTCGACTGAAAAAAAGCCAACGCCCTTAAGATTGGCAGAAATTTTTTGCAGACTGCTTCGCAACACCCTTTAGAAAGTGTAAACAAATGACCGCTCCCTAAGAGAACTGACGTGGATAGAGCTATAACAAGATAATGGTGCGGGTGCCGAATGATAGTGTCTTAGTGCTGCGCGAAAGATATTACCAGCGCGCGATAGAAGGAATGGATACTGGAAACCAACCTATCTGGCATGATGAAATGCAGTAATGACCACAGCTCCTTCAATGAATTCTGCAACGGTGTACCAGTGATTAGAAGTCGGAAGTTCGTTCTGAAATCCACTAAAGTTCTATACAGCAGCGAGTCGTCGTTCTTCAAACGATGGGCCTCATCGACCAGGAGGGCAGCCCAGTACACTGAGCCAAGCAGTTCCTGGAATCAGAAGGAGCCATTAATTTCAGACAGGAAGGGTGGGGGAGAGGATAGCCAGGGGAGAGGATACCCAGTGGGTGAGGGATGTGGCTAGGGATCTCGATGGGTAAAATGGGGGAGGGGTGGTAGGCGTCAAGGAGACAAGGGACAACCTGGGATAGGGGAATCTGCAAACAAACGAAGACGCCCGAAAGGCAAATCACTCTATGGATATTTAGCACGCCTTTAATTTTAGCGATGGAAACCTCGTGCGCCATTAACACGAGTGAATTGCCCCTTCGAAGACGCTGACAAAACACTTGAATAGCTCACAGAAATCCCCCCTACCACATCCCTCTTCCCCACCAGTCAACCCCAAATCTTGTAGCTTAAGAATGCATTAATGATAGTACAACTTCCAAAGAAAACAAACAACTAAATTACTTTGAAAATGGAATTAAAGTTATAAAAATAAAACTTTAGGCAAATTTCCTTAAAAAGAAAACAGCAAGGCTATTTCTGTAAGCTCATCCTTGAAGATAATCTGGGCCACCTCACCGGAGTTTTTTTAAAACAAAATATGACGAGACGGTGCTAAGAAATGCAAAGGAAAGACGCTGTTTTCAAGCCAGATTCTTTTGTAATAAAGGAAAATGCTAGGTTTAAAAAGCCTACGCCGCAGGAATTGGCTTTTAAATGCAACAAAGCGGTTTGTATACACGGTGCTCACTGAATTGGAGGGTTGGATTGGATTGAATTGAATTGAAGAGATTGCACAATATTTCATCATCTTTTTAATTATAAATAGGAGAATTGTTCCTAAACAAATAGCTGAGCCGTTGGCGTAGAGGTCTTTCCACAGAGACCGAAGCTTGGATCTATGGTGGTTCGAGACTTACTACAGTGAAGAGTGAAGTCTATACCGAACCACCAACCTCTACGTCAAATTCGACACTCAGCCCTTCCATTTTGGTTTTTAATAATTTTAATACATTGTTTAAGCGCCTTAAACGAAATGTTCATGATTAATTTTCATTTATTCGTTTCTACATTTTTTAAGGATTTAACTCCTTACTTTGTTGCTGGCTTCGACTCTCGCCACCGACATAATTTTAAACTAATGCCGTGCAGGTTAACTGAACCTGGGTCTATGAAAAATCAAAATTCCAGAAATTTCCATCATATCAAAAATTCCAAATTCCTATTTACCTTCCACAACCTACACAAGTCATGCAATGACGTCATATTCAACCTCAGTTTTGATGTAATCCATGACGTTTATCATTCGTAATGGGACACCGTAAGGCCTTATAATCTTAAATTGGGGCCCTGTTATTGCAAAGAAAGAGGCCCTTTTTGCCAGGTTTTAAAAAGGCCAGTCCGCCTCTGTGGCCATATGTGAAAAATTTAGGTGGAAATTTTATATTTCTGACTAAATAACAAGCAGTTTTTTCTTGAATTGGACTGCAAATGGAGGATTGAATTGAAATGGGGAGATTGCACAATATTTCATCATCTTTTTTATGATAAATAGGAGAATTGTTCCTAAACAAATAGCTGAGCCGTTGGCGTAGAGGTCTTTCCACAGAGACCGAAGCTTGGATCTATGGTGGTTCGAGACTTACTACAGTAAAGTCTATGACAAACCACCAACCTCTACGTCAAATCCGACACTCAGCCATTTTGATTTTTAATAATTTAATACATTGTTCGAGCGCCTTAAACGAAATGCTCATGATTAATTATCATGTACTCGTTATCATTTTTTGAAGGATTTAACTACGTTTCGTTGTCAACATTATCCCCAACATACGTAGCTATATGTTAAAAATTTAGTTGGAAATTTTAAATTTCTGACTTACATTAATTCATGCAAGAAGTCATAGCCTATTTCATAACAATGTTTTAAGTCTTAAACGTTGGGCTAAATAAAAAAATGTTATACTTCCTCTTTTCATTAAAGCTGTAGAGTGAAAATCTTTCAGCCTCAAAAGGTGCCCTAAATCGACATGAGTCCTAAATTCACTTATCAAAAGACCATTCCTGTATTTGGACGCAAGCAATACGCTTGTTTCTCAAACTTTGACGTCATAAAATTGATATTACCATGTCCAGAACCGGACAGATATTTTTCACATTTGAAAGAAGCGGACAGTAGTTTTGCTTACGCTAACAGCCTTTTCTTTCAAAAATACGTAACACTAAGCGAAAGCCCTCTTTTGGTATCCCCTGGTAGAAACAATTTGGTGCAAATTTCGCGGAAAAGTCACTGCATTAAATTTGAGCCAGAAACTTCTTGTGTCAAACTTTCATGTACCTCTTTGGCACAGGAGATAGATCCAAGTATTGCAGAAAATCTACGGTTACTTGTTTGTTGGAGAGATTAACAAGAAATCAAAGAAATAAGGCATCCCCCCTCGATGTAAAGACAGCACACGCACATTGGACTTAATAACTATTGCGCATGCTCATTGACAAGGACGGGGGTTATCACGTTTCGTGAATAAGTGACTGAAAAACTGACTAAGTCATATTTTTGCCCAAAGGAACCGCAAATGAGACGGTAAATTGGAAATGAAAATATATATAGAAATATAGGTAATAAAAATGGCTTACCTTATCTTTCAACAGCATTTCATATGTGGTCAAAATGCAGTTAAATTTAAGCCGTCCATTTTTATTGCACCAATCATATTCCTGTATTTTCGTTCTACTATTTACATCGCCGATATAAACAACAAGATTCATATCCGGTGCCCAAGACTGGAACTCTTTTTGCCAAGCAGCCATTGTCGATAGCGGCACAACGATCAGAAACGGACCGTACAGCTCATAGGTGTGAAATAAATGGGACAAAATGCATATAGTCTGAATCGTTTTGCCTAGGCCCATTTCATCTGCTAGAATAACGGAGTTGTTTTTACACCAGGCATGCACAACCCAGTTTATTCCGCCCAGCTGATAGTCACGCAGTTGTAAAGTGTCACCGGGACCCATATAACTTGGTTGCTTCTTAATCTGTACAAATTTGGGCCTATGCTTTAGGTATTTAGCGTTTCTATTAGGGATTGTAGGCGCTCTTTCTCTGTTAAGATACTCATCAATAGAATCCTGGAAGAAGCGTGCGATAAGTGAGCCGTCTTCTACGGATGCTTCTGAATAAGGAAGGCCTTGCCATTTGCAAACATAATCCGGGTACGAAGATTTGCTATCTTCATTGTAATGATGACCTGGAGGAGAAGCGTTGCTGTTTAGTGACGATAAGAATAAGAAACCCTACGTGAATGGTTATACAAAAAAGTTATATAGCCGGGAGTTTATTTGCGCACGAGGGATAGTTTAAAATCTTAACACAAAATGAACCATTTTTCAGCAAGGCTAATAATCATAGCAAAATGCAATGATTTTAAGCTCTGAATTATAATTGAGGCAATCAGGCGTATATTTTTTATATGGATTGAAGTGAAAATGCAGTACATATGTTATTCCCCACATGCCTTACAAACCAGGAAGATTTCATTAGAAAAGCTTCATTATACAAACTAATTCAGTCGTTTTGTCCGATAAAATGAAATAAACATGATAGGTAAAAAAGAAAGGAATTCTTAGTAGATCGAATGAAGATCCCCTTACCTATGATACGCTCAACGATTTTGTATTCGTCTAGAATTTCCTCGAGAAGCTCCTGTTGGTATTCGAAGTATTCAACATCTTCGGGGGATGCCAGTCGTTTCCTGCGTTTTGAGAAAAATGAAGAATATATCCAATTTCTATGAATTTAGATTGATCAAGAGGAAGTGTATACAAGACTTGCCGTGGTTGGTAGTTTGATCTGGGACCAAAAACTGAGTTTGTTTGAGATCTTGTTTGTTGCAAAACATACAGGCTAAAATATCTATAGCCGAAGATACAGCAAAAGATGCAGATGGAATTAACATAAGAAGGTAAAGTTATTGGGTTAAGAGCTGTACTTCTATCAACTAACACAAAAATATGGTTGGAAAGACAAAGATTGAAGATATTTTTTTCCTACCAGTTATTGATTTCATCCATTCGTTTTATATAATTGGCAAGTTTTTTCAATCCCTTCACTTTCTGTTCAGTCAAAGATTTTTCAGTCTCCCAAGTGTTATGGATGTGTGCCCAGTTTTTCCATTTTATCAGAAACTGCAGCTCAGTCGGCTCCGTTTTGGGGTCTGGTAAGCTAGCTTGAGCGAGATCTTTCGCTTCAGGGGCATACATCGTGGTCACGGCACCAATAACTAAATCAAAATAGAGATTAGTTTCATTTCTCAGAACATTCATAGTAACTAAATGCTATATGCAATGAAATACCTCTTAGCAATGAAATACCTTAAAGACATCTTTCCTATCTTCGACGAAATACCTAATGGAATCTTTCTAAATGCCAATAAGAGGGAAATTGTTTTTTGCACCCAGCAGTTGATTCAGTAGATAGACTAGCCAAATAATCAATCATGTATTGGTATGCATAAAACGATTCAATTGTTGCTAGCCTAGTTAGGACAAACTGCCATATTTTGAGTGCTTAAACACCCCCCTCCTCTCCCCTGACTTGTTCAATATGATATAAAAGACGCATAGACGAGCTTTAATATGCCAATCTAAAGTCTAAATACTAAGTGAGTAGATAAAAAACAATGAAAATGAGACTAACCCCCTGGTTTGCCACATCTATGGGTCAGGACTTTCTCTATGGTTTCTGCATCATCAGGTATCTCAGGCATACCAGATGTTTCAATGACGTCATCCTCGTCTGTTGTACCATCACTGTGTTCCTTGTAGCTGTAATGCAAATGAAATTCAGAGATTCGCTGGATAACTTTCACAATAAAGAACAAAGATGATAATATTTATTCCTTCAATGCACTTAAACTATTAATGGACATATAATCAATGCATTCTAACAATACCTGATTTTTGAAGCTGACCGCCTAGAGGCTTTTCTATTATCTCGTTCCTCTTCGGAGGAGGCTCTGCCAAAATCACCGGCTGAGCTGGAGGACGCCTTTTTCCTCGATCTGGAATTAGTAGGAACTCGCTTCCGTGGCGCTGGTCTGGGTTTTTGCCTCTGACCATAATCACTGCTTGATTCACTGTCGCTACCGCTACTCAAGGTTGGCCAGCTTCTACAAAGAGCGGGACAGAATAGAAATTAATATTATAGGAAATATGCATAAACTTCATCAATGGCCGCACATTGAATTGGAAGTGACGAATCATGGCTCAAGAGAAGTTTGGTAATTGATTACCAGATATATCCCTAACTGAAAAATGCAAGAGAAACGATTGAATGCACAACCCACACCCCCCCCCCAAATTTGGCTTGGCCACAATACTACCTGAAACTTAGCACCCAAAGAAGCAATATAATTTGGAAGAAAAACAGTGATAGCAATCTAGAGATATGATGGCTCTTAATTTGATTGACGAAGATAAACTAACTAACTAAGTGATAATGATCGGATAAATAAACTTCTAGATGTAAACTTTGTCATTAATCATACCCAGCATAATGAAAGACTTTTAAAATAACTTCGAGAAATATTTAAGGTAGAATTCTAAAATCTCTGTGCAATCCTCAATTTTCAAAAGAAAAGCGCTGCGAATAAGGTTTTGCCAATATAGGTTTTATCATAGGGTATCGATTCGAAAATCTCTGCCTTGGTTTTGATGATATAATTGCATCTCCGAAAAAGGAGAAGACCATCTTTGAGACCGAAAAGAAACACCTTTTAATTTACTTTTTTTGAAGAATAAACGATTTGCTAATGACTACACAATAAACAAGACTTTACACATAACACTGTCACCGGCATTTGATTTTTTGAAAATTTCATTCTTATTCTAATTAATTTTTAATTGGGGTTTCTTTTCAATCTACTATACTTGTTCGTTCAATGAACAGATCAGGAAATACCCAATATATTGTCAAGCGGAAACTGACCTAAAATGTTAAAATGAAATACAAGAGCTTACGAGATTCTATTCAGTCTTTTAAGGGTATAAAAAGTAAATTAAATATCACGAATATTTTCATTCTTTTGAAGATTATGGTTTAAATTAAGGACAGAGATTATGTCTACCCTGAGCTGAGCCTTGACCTTTTGTTTTTCTTTCTCTTCTTCGCCCGTCTTGACCGGATATCGGATTCACTATCACTTTGTTCCTATGACAAAAAAACTTACTGCGTGACTTTAATGAAAATATGAAAATGTCAGACTTTGATAAAAAAGTTTTAATTAAAAAAGAAAACAAGCCACTATATAAACAAGAAAAGTAACATGTTTGAAGTCTTGATTTCTGCTGGTTGTCTGGAAAGAAATTTTCCACGAGTATAATGTCAGGATCAAGATAGAACCAATCCAAAGTTGTGTAAATGCCTATCACGTCTTAAGAGTGCATTGATCTACGAATTAGCGGTCTTTGTATATTTAATTTTCACGTAGCATGCCAGTTTCGGCAACCTCATGTAATTCGGTCCGGGACTCAAACGCATGGCAATTTTGGTTATGCAAAATCGTATCCAAGCACTTAAAAAATAGGGTACCAGAAAGTACATCATTAATGGCGACTCAAAAGTGTGAAATTTTAAACTCAAAAAGCATTGTGTTAAATTTGTTAATTATAACGTGTCATAACATTAAACTACGATGAAATCACATGGTTTAAAACACATTGCCTTTCACAATTTTACACTTTTGCATAGGGTACCAAAACGCATATTACACCTGTATTCAGAAACAGATTGAGGAAAATTTTCTTCTTCTCGAAAAATCTTCAACTAAGACCAGCTACACTTATTCACTCAGGGACGTAGCTGCCGGGGGTGTAGGGAATGTGACCCCCCCCCCAATCTTGAAGCCCCCTGATACTGAACACTTCACTTGAAATTTCATAAACATCAGAATAGAAATGAAGGAAAGTAATTGAATATCCTAAGGGTTTGATAATTTAAAACACCTTTTGTTTGATAGTGAGCCTTTCTGGTTCCTTCCTTGCACGTGAAGATCTTCGAATACCATATATTTCTGGGTTCTGTTCCCAAAACTGAAAAGAGGCATGTCACATTACAAAATAATGTCATGTTTACGTTTCCTCAAGCCTTCATTGGTTCATTGAAGAAAGAGATGTGATATTGCACCTGCTTCTGTAAATCAAAACCTAACACTTGCAGAGAGGGACAGCTTTCTAATAATTGTAATATCCGCCTTCTAAACTCCAACAACCCGGGGATATATCACCCTGTTTTATAAACCAAAGCATAGCTACACACACACACACAAAAATGTTTGCAAATGTCATCCACCTTGAAAGCCTTAAGACTACTGATAAAGGTTGTTAAGCTGGTCCGTAGCCAATAATATTGAGGCAGGGCCTGTGCGAGTGGGGAGGGGGGGGGGTTGCCATGGCCCCTTCCTTTTGTGCAAAGCAAGTAGTTTTCAAGCTGTAGTATAAGGGGTAAGAACCATTGGCCCCCTACTTTTTAGCCTTTCCCCCCCAACTTTCAAATTTGTGGTGCAGGCCCTGTGAAGGGTAGGATGGCTGCATTCTAGCATCACTGCCCCCCCAGCCATAAATTTTTTTAGTTGATCATGGTAGGGAAACGGCAAGGAAGCCCATACCAAAGCCCTAACAAGGGAAGAGGGTGAAGCTTAGAAAAAACAAAGATTAGATCAAGTTTATTTTGATTTTGAAAGAAGACAGGTTTTAAAAATCTAGAGAGCAATAAGTGGTTGTTAAGCAGTTAAGGTCTGGGAATAAAATGTGTGTTATGAGAAAATGTGTGTGAATGTTGGGAAAGAGGTTTCTGACACATCATAGATAATCAATTGGTTCTGGGTGAACAGGTGGCAAAAATCAATGTTACAATGCAGTTGAGTGATGATATAGCAGGCTAGTGATCTATCTTTGCTAAAGGAGACGCTAACATGAATGAAAAAGAGCAAGAAAGATAAGAACAGCAGACTTTGGGGGGAAAAAATTATCAAGGGGAAAATGATAACAAAGACAGATGCTGTCTTATGTTTAAAAAAGGCATTGGCTTGTAGTTATGGAGAAATCAGTTCTAATTTATAAGGATATTCATGTATAAGTTTATGGAAAGTCTTTACAAACAATGTGAGGAAGAGAAAAATTATTAAGGGAAACTTGGAAAAATGTCCTTTTCAAAAATTCAGCAAAAACAGCAAGATAATATAAGCGGATGACAGCTTAATTATGATTGTCAAATGTTCTGGCTTTTTGTAGCATATAGAAAAAATGCCTTGTGAGGAATAAAAGTAGGAACTTGAAAAACTGACATCATTAACTTTCCAGATGCTTAGTTGAGCTCCTAGGAAAAATACATGGCTAAATTCAACACCTTTATAGCTTAATTAGTAGTCAACAGAAGTTGGTGAGTTGAGGTTTTTTTGCTCACTATTCGATTAATTTAATTTGACAAAACATGTTATAATATAGTTAGTAGGAATAAGCACTCAATTGATCTATTGCATTGAGCCTCCTAGGCACCTGTGGAGGAGCTTGATTAACCTTGTGACTTCTTCTCAAAAGGCCTGAACCTCGACAGAACATGGCAAAATAAGATACCTTGCTTTCTGCATCTTTAATCCCTTTAGCATCTTCATCTGCATTTTTGCTGTCACCATCGGAGTCTTCTTCTTGGCCATTATCATCATCTTCATCGCCATTCTCTTCATCGATGTCATTTTCATTTCTGCTTGTTCTTCCTGAGGTTGCTACAGAAGACTTAGTTGATGTGACATCTACAGACACATCAGAATTTGATTCATCTTCATCTTCATTGTCCGAACCAGATTCACCTTCAGATGCGCTGAAGAGGTAAACAACTTTTCTTAGCACTTCAGGGTTTTCTCAATCTTTTATTCATATTAAAATTGAGGGAACACTAGATCCAAGTTTCACATCACCACTTGATCTGGGCCAACTAAAGGCCCAGGTCAGACCATTATCATTAAATCATTTTTAAATAAAACAAAAGCACAGTTTGTTTAGTTCAAGCAAGGCAATAAAAAATTTATACTAGACTTTTTTCTGAAAAAGTGTGCACCAACATTTATCACAAAGTTTTTCACGCAAATTAAGATACAAAGAAACTTTTAAATTCACTCTTGCTAAGATTTACATAAGTAGACAACCACATGATAGCTTTTTGACAGAGTCATTGCTCTTTGCTGGACTTTCGAAGAAGGAAAGAGGGATGGTTCCTCTTCCTTTTGGAAACAGGATTAATTAGCTCAAAGTATTCAAATAATGAAGAGACTTAAAAATTGGATGTGTCAAATTGCATTTGTTTTTAAGCAAGTATTTTGCTATATTAGTTTCTTTCAAAGCTACCTAAAAATTGAAAGAAAAAACAAACAAACTTTATCTTGTTTCATATGGAATTCCAACAAGAGGCATTTTAAGATAGGACAAAAATTGGGATTAATTGTTGTTTATTGCTGAAAGTTGCATACAGTTTCTGAATATCAACTATCTATTGTTCTATTCCTAAAGCTGGCCTGCAGACTGAACTCTTGAGTGTTTTAAAACAGACTCTTGTACAAATACAGATTAAAAGCTAACAAGACTTTCAGCGGGCAAGACTTGGTTCTTGACCACACTATTTATTTAGGCTTTCTCTGCACGGAAGGAAATCGCCAAACTAAACAAAAATGGTAAGCTTCAAATCTGTATTAGTAATGCTACCTGCTAATTTTCTATCATTTTCACTAAATGTAAAATTTGGGCCAAGCAAGTGGCAAGTTCATTGTCTGCTTGCAAAAATGAGAAAAACAATAATGAATAATTGATATGTTCATGCTTTGATAATTATCACCTGCTGTAAGATGCACAGGACTAGAGATAAGTTTGTCAAAAAGTTTCTACCAAACAGGTTTCTACATATCCTTCACAGAATATAGTGATAACACGAAGAAAAAAATATAAGAACAAACAATTAGCCAAAATAAATAGGAAAGAGGGGGTGGGAATCCATTGTATGGTTTCACCAAAACAGGAAATTAGACAGATTGAACCAATATTGTACTATGACTACATGAAAGGTCTTTAAAGCAAATAAATTATAGCAAAGATGCATTTCTTTATGGCTTTCAACATTATGATTTCATATGAACATGTTTTAAAAACAGATATAAATAAATAAATATGTTATTTTAAGCTCAATTAGGAAAGGCTTTTCCATTTTACTATGGTTGTTTTAATAAAACCTGCAGGGAGCATTAAAGGTCTGTAGGCAAATAACATTTGGAGATGCCAAAACTGGTTATCTGTGTGACTCTAAATACAATATTCACTTACAATGGATTGACAAGATCTGGGCTTAGCTAAAAAAGGCAGGTTTCACTGTACAACTACCATGTCAACTACTGTATAGAGAACAAAGACCTCCACGAAGCCAGATAATGTTCATTCCCGATTGGATATTCCTGCCTTACCCGATTAAACTGTCACTGAAAATAGAGCTATTATATTGAGTTTTGTCAGAGTGCAAAACATTTTCTGTAGAATGTCTTAATGCCCTTTAATACAAACTTCAGTGATTTAAAATCAAGTACTGAAAGCCTCTTTGTTGAATAGTATCACAAAAATGAGTAATTTGAATCAAATTATGGCTGAAGGTAATTCAAGTAATTGCTTTTACCTTCTCTAACACTAAAAGATTGTCCTTCAAAAGAGTATTTAAACACATTTCACACTAGCAGTCATTCCTTATTGAAAGCCATAGGCAATTTAAATTTACCAAAAAACCTATTTTCTGAAATCTACAAATTATGAATTCAATATCAGTGTAGTGACACCATGTTTTACACAAATCAATTCATTTGATAACTTCAATTTAGTTCATTCTTGCAAACTTTCGTATAATCTCTTTTACACAGCTCAGTGCTCTCAAAGTAACACAAATAACAATCAACCATATAAGATGAATTATCATAATAAACTGAAAAGAATTATCATAATCAAGGAGAGGCTAGACAGACAATATAAAAATACTAATAAGATTTCAATATTTATATATAACAATACTTGATAAAATTATTTAAATGTAAATCAAGTCTGCAATTAAAGCAGAAATTACCTTGAAGAGTCCTCTTCCCAAGACTCTTTCGTTTCCTTTTCTTCTTCAACAAACAGTTCTTCATGGGAGCTTTCATCACAACTTGAATGACCAGCCTCCTTAAAAAGATCCCTCAACAGCTGATGTTTGCAATTCCACAATGAATGACCCAAAAGACCTTAGTTTAAAGGCATTGAGTCATGATAAAGGGACAAGGTATACCCAAATGTACCCAAATCCCCGGAGTCATGATTTTGGTGCTGCAATGCTATTGGCTGACCTGGAACTGGCCACATGAACTCACCTTGTGCTGGTTAACAAAACAACTTCCATCAATAGCAAGTTGTCAACAATTGATGCTGATATCACATCAAACTGCAATGATCGAGACAAAACCAGATGACCCCCTTCTATAGAGAAGGCCTATTTACCATAACTCAATGCCTTTAATTAACTGCTTAGATATCAAGAACTTATCCCAAAATGCTTATATTGCAAAGAGGTGAGTTGTTGCCCAATGAGTTTTTCATAGATTTTTAAAAAGTTGGTGAAGGAACTCAAAAACAAATCGTACACAGAACGCTTACTTTTCCTCGATCTCCCAACATTAAGCAATAGAAGAAGACGTGGAGATATGATTACAACTTTCAAAATACTACATGGCATGGTCGATACTGATAGTAAAGTATTTTTTGAATGAAGTTCAGTTACAAGAGGACACAATCTCAAGCTTTTCAAGTTTGCTTCATCGTCGAGCCTGAGGAAGAACTATTTCTCAAACAGAGCAATAAACAAAAGGAACAATTTGCCAGCAACCATAGTCAATGCCAAGTCAGTTATAGAATTTGAGAAATTATATGACGATTTTTGCGGGAACCAGAAGTACAACTATGAATACACTTAAAAATGATCGCTAAAGGGTTTAAGAGGCCAATGGCCTCCTTATCCCTCATTATAACATAATTATTATTATTATTATTATAAAGCCATAATAAACAAAAATCTTTGTTTCCTTGTTCTGCTCCTAATTCAAAATTACACATTTTTCTGTTGATTGTCCAAACTTTATTCTTGGTAGTATGTGAAATCTAAGACATTTCCTGAAGCCTACAAGTTTATAGTTTATATCATTTCAAAACAAATTTATAAGAACAGTTTTGAAATAAAATATATTCACTGTTATGTTTAAGTATATCATCATTAACTTGATGTTATGCAGGAAAAGATTTTGAATTTGAGTTCAGTCTTGACTCTAAGAAACCAATGATTTACTTCAGGAAGCAGGTTGGTGGAAACTGAGAACGATTATCATAATCAAGGAGAGAATCGAGACTCTAAAACTGATGTATGTCTTTAAAAAATCTGACATTTTCTAGACAAACAACAATAACCATATCTACCTTATAACAAACAGGGCAGTAATCCTATTACTAGCAAATTGATGCTAACTTATGAAATTGTGCTAGACTTGTTGTAATACACATCAGAAAATATATCAGAAAGATCAAGATAACCATGAAATGAAAAATAATAACAATTTTGATTATAGAATTGCTTTCTAACACCTTATTCTGAATAAAGTAAAGCAAGCACATCAAATAGACATACAAAGCAAGCAAAAGGCCAATTGTTCAATTAACCACAAATGTCTTGCATTTTAGTTCGTTTAGCAATTTACCTCCAGTCACAATTTCTTGGAAATAAATAAACTATGTTTTATAATACAGCAGCCAAAAATTCAAAATAGCCACAATCAATGGAACAACACACCTCAAAATTTAGACAGACTAGCATGCTAGAGAGAAAATTACAGATGACTTAAAGAAGCTCAAAATCTACAAACATCAAATGAATTCTAGAAAATTATTTCCATGAAGCTGGGCTGATAAATGTATATGTGAACATTGCCTCCTTGCTTTAGAAAAACGTCAAGACTGATGCTTTATTTCTGGCCTAAAGCAACAAATTCATAGGTTTTGGATGGTGAAATATTAGAAAAAACGTTACAGCTGTAAAATATTATTATTTAGGCCTATAATGGGCCTATATATTGGGGCATTGCCCCTTCATGACAGGAAGTAAACTTGAAAGAAGACGAGCTGTGTGGTTTCTTCAAAGTCCATTCCATACTGGAATTTGATAAATAAATTTGGACTCAATGTGTTTTGCAGAATGCTGGAAAATCTTATAGCGAAACATTTTCCATCTCATAAAAATGTTTTCCCGCCATTTCTTGAATTCAAAGTCAGGTCCCCTCCTGGAGACGATCCTTTGGCTACCGAAGTGTCCACTTAAGAAGTGCGATTTACAAAAATCGACGAAACCAATATGGCCGACAATTCTCATCCGTGCGTGGAAGTATAGTTTACATAAATAAATCCACAGAACATCGCAATTCACCCTTAAATTGTTGAAAAATCACCGATCGTTGAATGGTAGGTTGTCATTGTACTTAAGTACACGAAGGAGGGCTACTGTCTGTTGTGTAGATCGAGCAAGTTTCATGTTCAACTCAAATCAAATCGCCAGAAGGCTCGAAGGAAGAAGCCGCCCGATAAAGGAAGGTCTTCCCAAATTAATCTAAAAGCAAAACTAATGAAAGACAAAAAAGCAAAGTTATAAAGGGGTAGTTTTAGACACACTTGGAAACAGTAGGGGTTTGATATCATTCAATAAAAGTAGTGTGGTCTTAACAAAAAAGTGACTGAGGGGATGAAATTAAAACTACGACAGGGGCGGTCGAGCGAGGAGCACGTCAAGTCCGGACGGAAAATACTAACTTAGGATGAAATAAGTAAGGAAAATATAAACTATAACATTTCGGTGATCCCCTAGGAAGTAGTAATGGCTGACTGAGGCTGATCTTTGGGCCCATTGACCCCCGTACTGGGATCCGAAGAACTTTGACAAAATGGCCTAAATATCGACACGGGCGGGATAAAATCTGGAAATTGATAAAGCAAAAGTGACTTTACTGCAAATAAGGTAATATCTAGAAAGATGGAGCTAAAAACTCAATTAAAACAATGAAAATTTAGTACCTGACTGTCTAAGATGGGGGGCATAGCCATCAAACAGTACGAATAAGCAAGTTGGACGACGTTCTACTGCCTTCTTGCCGTACAAATAAATTCGGCCGATAAGGAAAATCGCAATGCAACCTGGTATATTACACGTGTCACACATGTGATTGAATGTCAAACCCCAAATTGGAGAAATTATAATAATAATAATAATAAAATAAGTGTTAATAGACCAGGAAAAGGTATTAGAGAAGGCCATCAAGTTAACTTGGAAGCTATGAAAGAATGACAAAGGAAATTCAACATGGCCATGATTAAAACCACAAACATGAGGGTGCTTTGAACAAAAAAATAGCAGGAATTATGTAATATAATAAAGAAGAATGACTTATGAATGAAAATATAAAGTAAAAAAGGTCCAAAACTAATACTCTTTACAAAAAACTTCAATTTTTGACTTGAACAACATTGATAAACAACCTAACAAAAATTAAAATATAACATATAAGATCTAATTTTAAGAATATTTTTTTACTATTACTATTAAAAGTCATGAAATAAATATAACAAATAACATAATTTTTAAAAAAATGGTATTTTTTGTTATTTGGGATAAAAGATCACATACACATAAAAAATAACTATGGCAAATAAATTAAAAATGTTGTGAAATGGTAATGGTAAGTTAAATAAAGGTAACAAAAATGAAAAATAGATAAACTGTATAAAATCATGAGAAACATAAAACATTTGGTGTTCGAAACCCATAAAAAGAGTGTATTCTCAAAGCTTCTGCATACCACAATGGCACACTTTGTCACTTCAATATTTCTTATTTGGTCCTTAATTAATCACTTCTCAAATGAACCTTTATTTTTTCATTGTTAAAAAAACTTACTTAGACTGTGTAAGAAATAACTTATTAAGAAAATAAGCTAAAATGAAAGACAAAGGTAATTTCAAGATGCTTTTGAGATTTCAAAACCCCATTTTTTGTTATCTTCAAAACATTGTTACTTTTCTCTATATTTACAAATCTTAATTAACGTTATTACAGTCTGCTTCTATATTTACAAAACATTAACAATTAATCCATACAAATTCCAGGTAAAGTAATGACGAGCTAAAGGCCCACTTACAGAGGCATGTTTGTACCCAGCCAAAACTGTATAATCCTGGTAAAAGATGACATTCTAATTTTTAGCACATTACATGAAAATTGAACACATGATGTCCTACCTGTTTACAAGGAGTAACTATATTGCTGCAAACGTTATAGAAATAACCTATAAGCATATGGTACCCTCTTTTGTGGGACAGTCAATGTGTATTAAATTACAATAACATAAATTAATTGTTTACTTAAATTTCATCTGCATAAGTCGAAGTCCTCCAATTGCTATCAAAATCATTTTTGTTTATTTCAATTATATGCTGGTATTGTTCTGAAGTTTTAATTTCACTCTGTGGATTATTTTTCAAGTTTTGAAAGTTGATGCTCTCAGATAACGCAACATCATTTTCATTTTCATGTGAATTCTCATTCCGTGTAAGCAATGATGAAATCTTACTCATCAGCACATTTGAAGCATTCCACTCTTCGTAATTGTCATTCTCAATTGTATCTTCATTGTACTGTAGTATCGTTCTTGATCGAACTAGAAAGAAGAAGCAGTATGCTTAGAGAAAAATATCTTCATAGATGGTTTTTGTTCTTAGTAAAAAAACAGTTCCCTTCTAATTATAATATTTATGTACAAGTTAATATTGATATGTATTATAATATTTTAATATACAAGTATTTATGCTATAGTAATATTTCTACATATTAGTTGACACAAAAAAGTATTAAACATAGGTAGAGAATTAACTAAAAACAAAGATAAAAAGACTGTGAAATTAAGAATAAAGTTCTTACCAATATTGGAAGAATATGGGTCAACAGAAGCTGACAAAGGACCAGTATTCTGAACTCCAGTTTTTCCATAATTCATTGGATTGAATGGTAATACAAAAAGTGCAAAAGAAAGCAATAAAACCTGAAAGGAAAAAGATGCACATTTTAAAAAAATAATACCAAACATAAAACAATCACAATCCACATATTGATAATTAATTGTATTAAAAATGAAAAATGCTACACAATTTTATTAACAGCCAAAACCAATGAGAATATGTTTACTTCCTTCAAAACAATGGTAATTTGGAAATAAAAACCCCACAAAACAAGCATCTTGAGAAACCTATTTGGAAACTAAGAGACTCACAGTAACACACAAATAAAGGGAATACCTTTGTAACAGGAAATATCCCCCCAAAACGTGCAAACTTAGTAAAATGTGTTACAAACTGGCTGGGATTTTATCATACAAGCAAATGCTATTTCTTCGTTGAATCACAGTTAGCCTTGCTTTCAAATCTATAAGCTACACAAAACAGCAGTTTTGGAATGACAAAAACCAGTCCTTGCATTTGTTTTAGAAATGACACATTTTTTAACCATATCCAAGATAAAAAACAAACTTACTGCTAAGCATGTTCCTGTTTGGGCTGATTTGGTTTGCTTTGCAACAAGGCTTTGTAATTTTTTCAGCTGGTCAAGCAAAGATCTGAAATAAGAAAATTAACCTTTACATATAAATACAGATGCTCAATAAGAAACAACTTTCTTGATGCCTTGCTGTATGCTATTTCAGAAACCCAAATTCTGAGGTCAAAAATGAAACACTGAAAATTTAAATCAGAATTGACCTTTGAAGCACATTTCTAATCAACTTTTTCAACTCATACTGTAGATGTGTTCTTTAGTGTCCAAGAGGGTTAGGAATCTCGACAGAAAAATATACAGTTGTGGATGTATATACCTGTTTTCCTCTGTCAATGTTGTTACTTGCTTCTTCAAAGTCATGTTGACTTCAGTGCACTGTTTAACTCTGTAGAAAAACAAAAAGGATTAACAACAAGTCTACTGACAAAGAACTACAAAACTACACATGCTTAAAAAACCTGATAGTCAACGAGATTGCTCCCAAAAATCGAAAAAATTTAAATAGATAAAAAGGAGATATATAATTAACATACATAGAATTATCTATATACATATATATATAAAATACATTTTAATATATATTGAAATGCATATTAACCTTTTTTCTAAGTTGTCTGTATAATCTTTTCTTCTTTTTCTACTTTCCATGGCAGATTGCTATAAATGAATAAAGAAATATAAAGTTAATACACACATAACAATTCACCTTGATGTACATTTTTTCAGCTAAAGATGCCTTTAATTTTCTCAATTGCAAAAAAATCAGCAAAAACAGATCAAAGGAATTTTACAAATGGATGAAATACAAAACTTCATTCAAATATTGACATTAACAAAGCGATTGCTTTTTAAAGAAGAGGTAATCAATTTAATAAACATATAGTAATATATGTACCTTATTTTTAATTTTTCTTCGAACTTTCTTAAGGACTTTTTCTTCGGCCTGCAAAAAAATAATTTCTTATAAAGATCCAGGATACCAAGACACACCACATAGTTCACATGCATCACTAAAAAATGCAGGTAAGGAAGGAATTAAGAGTTATTTCATGTCCAACCAACTTTTCAGATGCAAGTTCTTGCTCGATTATAATAAACACAGTTTGATGCTATCACAGAAGGACTTTTGAAAGATAAACTCTTAGAATTGAGCTGGTATATGTAAATTCAAGGTATTTTGTTTTTGACTGTACCTTGCCATTCTTAAAATGGGAAAACGCTTTTGGGTGACTTACAGAAAAAAACAGTAAAAATTTTACAAGTTCTACCTTAGTAAGATGTGTATCTGTTGGTATTGTGACACCTTCCATTTCAAGCAGTTTCTTCTCTTCATCAGTTAATAGTAGATTAGGACCAACTCCCTAATAAAAACAGGCATAAGTACTGTGAAACAATTTGATAAACAAATCTACTGATAAGATTCATGACACAATATCTAGAAACCCTATAAAGCAAAAAAGACAAAGCAAATGACACTGAGATGCAACCTTGAGTGGAAGCACTGGCATAGAGAAATAGGGGCTTTGCAGGATACTGATTTCTAATCAGGCATCTTTATCATACTTAGGTTCCTCTCAAGACAATCAAAAAGGCATTAAATATTTGAGAAGATCCATACAAAGCACCTAGGCGTTTTGCATCTGCTATACTCATTACCTAGGCATCTGCTATACTCATTACCTAGGTTCCACTCAAGACAAAAAAAAGGCATTAAATATTTGAGAAGATCCATTCAAAGCACCTAGGCGTTTTGCAAAATATCAAAATCAGAAAGCAAATTGAATCAGAAATGCTGCGAAGGTCTGCCATTACCTTAAAAACAGAAATATTTGAACCATAATGTATATTTGAGACCTGAGACAAAAAAAAACTTAGACTTCAACAAATCTCACAAAAAAGGAAAAGTAAAAGACATACCTTGCTAACACCTCTTGACTCTGTGAGTTTAATTGCAACTGTATCACTTTTCTTCTCAACAGCTGGTTTCTGTTTTTCTGCAACTTTGAGCGTTGTTGTAGCAACAGTCTGCAAATTTGTGCCATTTGATGTAAGAGACAATGGAACTGAAATCAATGTGGTGGTGCCTGCAGAGCAGACTGGCTTTAGCAAGATCCCTCTGATCGGAACCATTTTGTTACCAGCAGAGACAACAACTTGATTTGATCCAGGAACAGTATTTATAACAAAGTTGCTTGTTCTTGCAGGGATATTTGTCTTTTCCTTACTCTGCATGGAACTTTCAACTTCCTCTATTGTTTCGGGGGAAGATGGACATTCTGTTTTGACATCTGTTATGTTATCTGTACATTTGATGCCATCATTTTCTGTATTCCAACCTGCAACAAAGAAATGGTTGAAAATGTGGGTGCAAATAAGAGATACATTTTTCCATACAAATTACAAACAAGGTTCAAGCATTTTGTCTATATCAATCACAATTTCAACAATATATTGGAAAAACGACCTAATTCTAATTTTCTGAAACAGTTTTTAATGCAAAAATTTAGTTTTGCATATTACTTCTATATAGTCTGTTGACTATTTTCAAATTTCATAGAAACAAAATTTACATAAAAATTACTTATTGTACCAAAATACTTTTGTTCCAAAAAAGGAAAACAAATCTTGGTATGATATCAATATCTTGTATCTAAAAGCTAAAATCAACATTTGGTTGATAAAGAGGAAAATTAAACATCATTTTACAGACCTGCTTATATGCAACTTCTATAGAGCCTGAATGGGCCTAAATGCTCTAAATGCTCTATTTTCAATCACCATTTTAGGGGCAGCTTTGCGTTTGCAAGATTCTAAATCTAAAAAACTATTTTGGCAGTGAAAAATTTAAATGAAAGCCTCTCCCATTGAGCCATATTCTAACGTGAAAAGAATTATTGAAACATTGTTGTTATGATGATGTTAAAAAACAGATCAACAAAACCACAAAGCCTAAAACAATCCATGGATCCTGGCCTAAAAATGTTAATAGCTCGAAAAAGACCTTTACTGACGAAACTAGGCTTTACCTATATCAACAGTAATGTTGTCCACAACACTATTCTCGTCAGTCGACAAATTCTGCAAAAAGTCATCGGTTCCCATATCATCTGTTTCCATGTAGCTGTGTTTATTTTCCCATTCGAAAGTCGCACCGCCATTTTCTAGCTCCGTGATGCCTTCAGACGAAGATGGAGGACCGAAATCACTGAGAAGAGAGTTCCAAAAATCGTCGTTGCTCTCAAAGCCAAAATCCTGTCCAGATGATAACTGTAAACAGAAAGCACTGAGCACTTACTTCACAAGTCGAGGGCCTCGCGTAAAAAATTGCAAAGAACTAGTTGGTGAAGTGTCAGACATCAAGATGGCTTCGACGACGGACTTGAACGTCGATTACCTTGAATAAGGACTTTAGCAAAATGTTCTCATATATCGAATTACGTGGCAGTATCATTCAAAGCTGAGAACGAACTAACTTCTGGGAAAACAGCAAGGTTGCAGAAAATGCAAGAATGACATCTGCTAGGACGAAGCAGGAAACAGTTTCTGCAGAGCGAAGGGGAAGGTCTCTAAAAAAAACATGGAGGCAATGTTGCAGACAGGCCTATTCTTGAGTTAGCTACGAAATTATCTTTAGATGTGATACAATAGAAGGCTGGTAAACTGAAGAATCATGAAAGTAAATTTGCTTATATTTAAAAATTTTAAACAAACACATGATATGTTTCGGGGAAAGCACATGCTACACAAATGTGATCGGCAACAAGGAATGAGAACAAGATAAAAAAAGTGGCCTACAGCTGATGAGGATCCAGACGAGGTGAAGCTTTGCGGGCTGCCATGACCCGAATCGGGGCTGCTCTGTAACGCCATCTTGGCGTCAAAGGAACCATCATCAGACAACAAATCGTCAAAAAAGTCTGGCCTTTCAAAATCGTCCTCCATTTCTCTAAAACTGCAAGCTGCTTCGATGTTTCAAACCTTTTCAAATCCACCCCTTTCCACGTAAACTTTGTTCTGTTGACCAAAATTACTATCCCCAGGGCTTTTATATCGACATGATTCCTGCGTTCTGATTGGTCAGTATCACTGCAATGACGCAATAAATCTCAAGATACGCATGCGTCAATTTTGACGTGGCATTTTTCGGTTTGCAGAAATGAATCACAACTGCGCAGAATACAACAGCGCAGATAACTTTATTAATGGGAATTACGTTAACAGTGTTGGCCGTTGCTCGACGACATCCGTTGTCAGGGAGACACGATTGAAAAACGAGTCAACACAAATGGGCCCGAAATGAAAATATCTGCTAGTTATTCCCGTTTCAACTACAGGACTGACCATCGAAACCAGCAAACAGAGTTTATACTGTATTAGGAACAAACATTTTAGAGCCCCTCCTGAGTGAAAGAAAAAGTCCACCTCAGTTCATCGACGCCCTTAATCTAGGGAGCAGGGATTTTTAAAATGTCAGTTACATGCGGCTTAACTGCATAAAAAGGTACGAAAAAAGGGCTTTGGCTTTTTTGGACAAGATTTATTATCCTTTTCCCTGTTGATTTCCATAACAGGCCCTTTACAATCTTAGGTAAGATATAACTTAAATTGCAATAAATTTATAGCATTTTATCTAGAACTTTGCTGTGTCGAGAAAACAACTGATCCCTTCCCCAATTTAAACCCCCTGTCTAACAGCACCTATACTTGCGAATAAAAGTAAAGGTAACTATGGGTGGTTCCTTCAAGTCAGTTGCGATGCTGGGATGCTAAGAAGGCTTTAATGCCTTTATCATAAGAATTTCTTGCATTCGAAGAATGCCCCTTTCACTTTGTGTTCAGGAGGGAGTCAGGAAGGATTTAGATGGGATTCTGAACTCGATTAGTTTTATCAAACAAAGGGCTTGAAGATGCCATTGTCTTCAAGACCTTCAGCTCTGTAGGGATTCACAATAGGCTTTCTCCATCATCGTGCAATGTCAGGGCCTCTGACGAAGGGGGAGGCCCTGTTATTCAATTTTTTGCAAAAAAATAGAGCTTTCTCCAAAATCTTTCTTCTGGGGGCAAAATTTTCCTTACCCCCCCCTACTTTCCACCCTGTGTCAGAGCACATTAATAACAACAAAATAACATTAAGCACAATCTTAAAATAATCCAATGCTCTGAAAAAAAATAAGAGGTCTATTACAAAAATAATGAAATAGTATTGAAATGAAATAAGAAAATTATCAGAAAAAGATAACCACAGGTGACTGTTAATAAAGTAGAGTTTCTCAACAGTGAACTACCCCCACCCTATCCGGTGGCAGCGCCAAGGGTTTGGTAAAGGAGGTAATTACCCCCCCCCCACATTTTTCAAAAAATGGTCTACGACCTACGTCATTCTTCTAAACATCTATACAAGTGCATCAAATAGGGGCAGGTCCTACTTTTTAAGTTTGACTTAGGAAAGTACTCGTACATCTGGTATAAATGTAAAGAATCTTGAAAGCCTGTAGAAAATAGAAAGAGTGGAAACAAAACTGAAGTGCAGAAATTGCGAACAAAACAGGCATCTCGAATTTAAAAATCTTTCTTTTTCCAAATAATCATTCAACGCATTACAAACCCAATGTTAGGTAAGATTGCCGCCTGACTACCACTCACTTGAATGACAGTTATTCCAAGGGCAAAGCAAACTGTAAAAGTGTGTGATGAATTCAATGCAGAAGCGCCAAGAAGGGGTCATAGTAATGGCAAAAGGTCAGGGGCAGATGCTCCGATGGGGCCTGTGATAATCTTACACGATGTATCAGATTGTTACAAGATCTTTTTACGACGCAAAAAGCTACTACTTTTAGCAAATAATGTGGAATCAAAAGTGCGCAGGAAAAAGGATAACATTAGATGTTTGCCTGAGAGTTGTTGGTCCGTTCGTGAATACTGGGATCATTGACAATGCTTTAGAGATAATAAAATTATCTTACATTTCATTCATGTCTGAATTCACTACTCCGAAAGCAAAAGGCGCCCTTGATGCTCTATCAAGAATGGTAAACGGATGAAAAATGATTGCCGAACAAAACAATGACGGCAATGCACCGTATAAAGGAAAGAGTTTGGTCTAAGGAAACGCTGCCCCGAAAACATACTAAACACATAAACATATTTACCAGGACTGGTGTTCGTAGGAAGAGGTATGGTTTTGATTTTAATGTGGGTGCTAAGCAGGGACGTAAATTGGCAGATATTTGAGGGGGGGGGGGGTGAAGGGCTCAAAATTTCCGACTGACAAAGGTCAATTCTAATTTTGTATGAGGGCCTAAACTTTAATGGTTTTTTACCAACAAAACCTTATAAATTGAATCGTAAATAGTTATTCAGCTGTATGATAAAGTTTAAAGATTTCGTAAATTTGGAAGATCGAGCATAAAGACTGTTAGTTTAATTAGTGCATCAAAACATACGTAGTCCAAAAATCAGGTGTTAATTTTTCTCCTTCTACGACTTGCCGATTGCTCCACTATCTTATCTAAATTTAAGTTGTCTAAAATGTTTTCCTCGCAAGTAAGAATCATGAGGTCGTATACTCTTTCATCGGTCGATCTCGCGACTAAATGTTCTTTCATTCTTTGCCACTGATATAGGAGCAGTAAGAGTAAATTTGTAAGCTCTGTAAGTCATGGGAAATGTACTGAGCTTCTTAAAGCATTCCTCTGCTGCATTTGGAAGTATCAGTTTTATAATATAACATCAAAACAAGACAACAAGACAAATTTAAAACTAATTTTTGGTATATAATTTAACCTTGAAATAGATTCTCATTTCTGTTTAATATTATCTAAAAAATTCCATTTCATATCCCGTTTTTAGAAGCAATTTAATGGAATGATTATTACACTATCCCCATTACGACGAAAGTAGTTGAAAAAACTTGCATTTTCATACCCAAATTCGTTTTTCTGTATTGCGTCGCCTCTCATTTCTTTTAGGGCTGCCTTTCACCAAACAACTATTTTCTTATGAACTAATACTTTTCTTATGCTTTTCTTTGAGCTACAGTTTATAAGGTCACTTTAGTCAAAACTTCATTTTTCTCGAATGATTATAATTTGTTCCGATTAACCTAGCTTTCTACCAACAGCTTAAAATTTTCCGACTGTCCTCAAATTTTCCGACTGGATGAAAGATTGGGGAGGGGTATCACACCCAACCCCCACACCCCCCCCCCACACACACACACCCCAGTATTCACGTGCCTGGTGCTAAGAAATCCACAACAGAAGCATCAAAGGCAAATGCAGCACCAGTTGAATCGTTTGAATGTGGTGGAGTTGTGGTTGTGAAGTTGTGGTTATGAATGAGTGGTTGTGACACATAAGACAGCAAAAATGGCCACAAGCGCTACACTGATAATTATTTTACATCATTGGAGCTACTTGTAAAACTAAAGTCAGAGGGGATTTTGGCAATTGGCATCTTGAGAGCAGATAGGAAGAGAGGCTGTAAGCTAGAGCCAGAAAATGTTTTGAAAAAGAAAGGAAGAGGGAGCTATGATTTCAAGGTAGATGAGAATTCAGGGCTCTGTGTTCTGGAATGGTATGACAACAAAATTGTCAGAGCTGTGTCATCGCATTATGCAGCAACTCTAACTCCAAATGTCCAGAATTTTCTATGATATCTATAAGATGTACACGCTTTTTTAAAAAGGAACCACTTTATAACGAACCTACATGTTCAAGGCCGAGATATTTAAAGAACTTATACTACTAAAAACGAAATCCCTAAGGAATTTTTCGATTTGAGAAACTTTTATAAAAAGCGTCTTTATAAAAAGAAAAATTTAAACAGCATTCAAGTATATCGAAACAGCCGATCGGCTATAGTAGTCGAATGACTTAACTGTTTAGTTGAGTTGGTTAAAAAGCAGAATTATGGAACTTTTTTTGACGAACTATGAGAGACTCTCCTGTATATCAATTAAGAAGAAATTTGAAGACCCACCCTGGATGGCTCTTTAATAAAAATGCATAAATCAGGGGTGAAGTTTACGCTCTACTATGTGACACAGAAGGGCGACAACAACAATAATTCAAGATTCCCATTCAGCGTTGTCCATTTTTAATCTTTATATTTGCCAAAAATGGATCATATAAGCAGAAACTTTATGTTCAAGTTAGTCTGTGCCGAAAATTTGTTTAGACAGTCAGGCCACAAATAACGATGTTTTCAAAATTTAGCGTCTCCTTCACATTTGCTGCTGCAGTGATAACATTTAATTGCAGTAACAAACTCCGGTCGAATCTTTATAAACATCTTAATATTCAGAACAGAGTAGCTAAATCGCGACTAAAAAGTCTAACAGACATGAAACTTTCAGTAAAGACTAATTTCAACACAAGGATTTCAAATCTGTGGTATATTTTTGACAAAGGCCTGCAGATAGCAAGATAACAAATCGATTTCGTCATCGTTAACAGCGTTACACGAAGTAATAGAAATACGTGCGTGTTGTAAGTTGTGGAGATTATTGTCCATCATGTTGTTAAATTCAATATATTGGCATAAGAACCGAATATTCAGTGTAATTATGCGTGTTTCTTCCTCAAACCGGCCTGGGGAAGGGGCACGACAGTTAGCTGCCTCTCAACAAAAACAAAAACAGCAAGAATCATATTTTAATGACGTCATCACGGGCGCTACATGTTAATACCCCAAGCTCCAAAAAAGTTATCGGCGGGACTGTCAAGAAAGATAAAAACTTTAAACACACGTTAATAGGTTCATAGTTTCAGCATTCGAAACAAAAAGTAGCTCAATCGACAGCAAATACACGACATCTAGATCATTGGTCTTTCATCGTCATCTACATCTCTGCGCTAGTATGTGAAATCGCGAACCCTACCCCCTCCCCGCCCATTTTGAAGACCTACACTTTTAATTGTTTTTTATCATTCGTTGGAACGTTCTTCTGTGCAGTCAGTTCTATGTTTTCTCCTTGCAGTTCTTCAAAGCGAGATAAAGCTTCATAGCAAGCGAAGCGAAACCAGTCGAAATATATTTCTTACTTGGTAATCGACAACCAGTGACGTAGCTAGAACCCATACTTCTGCTGTGTTTGCCGTTTCGTCTGTTGATTCGCAGCCCAGCTTTTCCTTAGTTCAGCCTCCCTTTCTTTAGCCTGGAAATGAAACAACCAGTTAATCAATTAGCTTATAGTAAAAACCTTTCTGACAATCATTGGGCAAGCCAGAACGTCTTTCTGCTAAAGCGTTTTGAATCCGTCTACATGAAAAAATCCCGATTTTTGTAGACAGAAAGAAACTCGTTTTCTCGCATTGGCTCAACAACTAAATCGAAGGATAAAAATTGTCGATTGTTTAAAAACAAATTACTAGTGAAGCGCACACTTTTGGAAAAAAGAACTAAAAAATTGCTAAAGTACGATCTGTATTCCTTCTACCTTTTCGTGACATTTTTATAATAGGTGATGTTTGACTGCAGATATTGTTAAGAAAAATAAGAAGTTTACTTAGTGGTGTTTATCATCATTAAAAAGAAAGGTTTTGTTGGAAATTTCTAGTGTTTTTTGGAATATTAGGGAATCAATGAAAAGTTCATCTTGACCCTGTTACATATGTTGTTATCAAAGTTCCCTTTAGTTTCTTGACTTTCAACAACAGGGGCATAAAACAAGACTACAAATTAAAAAACATAAATTCGCTAAAACTGTGAATGAAAGTAAAGATTTCAGTTACCTGAAAGGCGAGATAAGTTATCTGATGTTTTTTTCTTTGTTGGGAGCTTGGCATGTCGTTCTTTGGCTAGAAAGAGAAAAACGAGAAATTAAAAGATATGAAAAATTTCAATAGGATATAGACATAGCGATAAAATGCGATTAAATGCGATGAAATGCCATAAAAAGCGATTAAATGCGATTATTATTATAATTAACGATTATTAACGTTGGCAAGAAAGAACAAAAAAATACATATAGCTAATAAGCTAATTAACGCCAACATATAGCTAATAAGCTAATTAAGCGATTAAATATGGAGATGAAAACTGTGATAATTCTTCTTTTAGATCAGGGTCACTTCATGAAGCATCATGCTAGTTTCTTTCGACAATGATGTCGAGGAACTGGCTATCTGAATTGCCATACAAATGACACACTAGATATACTTTTCGAATTTATCATTTCAATTTCAGTCAATCGTCATCATACCAAGTTAGATTTGTAAGAAGATTCCTCAGTCATATTTTTCAGTCTTGTTGACTCGTCAAATTTCATCTCTTCGCCATGGATATCAATAAAATCAGCTTCCTGTAATCTGCGCTCGCGTTTTCCTTGAAGGCGTCTTAGCTATGGAAGGAATAAAACAAGAACGCACTTCAAGAAAAAATATTCACTTGATTTGTATACTTGAAAATATTGAAAGCATCGGGAGGTTCTTTCTTGGGGTAAAATTTGCTTAAATTCCTTTCACAGGTATCTCAACAAGGAGATAACAAATTGGGCAACCTTCAGCTTATTGTTCTCTAGGTAAAGTTAGACACTCAAATGTGCAGAAAGGTTGTTATTACTTTTAAAATCAAATATAAATTGGCACTTATGGTTTCTCCTTTGCTCTCAAAGACAAAAGATTTTTGAGAGGTTTAAAATATTGGAAAGAAAATTCAACAATTTTTTTCCAAAACTTAATACTAAATTTACACCTTTCCTCAGTTTCTCATTTCTGTCATTAACATTTCTTTGTATAAACATGGCACAATCATGCTACATTGTAATTAGCTAAAAAACTGGTATATTTCTAGCACCATTTGAATTTTTCAATTCAGATGATGTCAATAGCAAATATATTACCCTCCATGAAAGAAAGTATATTGGCAATTGCAATAATGTTTTGCACATACCTGATCAGCATCAATGCTCTCATGCTGCAATGCAGTGTTGGTAGATTCCTAAAATTTGTAAGAATATAAATCGAATGAACAATCCATAGGCTGAAAATAACATCTTTGGTAAAAGGAGGCCAAACGATCTTAGAACCTACTGAAGCATTTTATCTGACACTCTTCATTTGTTTGAGAGATGAACGTTTCAGGGTTATTGCCATTTTGGGGTCATTGCACATTCGCATCATCACTTGCAGCCCTGGCAGGAAGTTCAAGAATTGTGTGGTCGCAGACAGAACAGCTGTGTGAATACTGTTATTAATGTGCATGTGCTATGACCCTACAACACTGATTGGTTTAAGACGGTATTATTTCAAAACAAAGGGTTGATATTTTCTTCTCCTGAACAATCATAAAAGGTTAGATGTGTGCATGAGTGTGGAGGTAAGCAAGCATGATAAGCCAAGATCTACAGCTACTGTTATTTATGATCCCCTTTGGTTAGCCTTTCTGTATTTATAGTTTTTTGCCTGTAATTTTATACTGAAGATAACACTAGCTAGAGTTGAAACGTTTCACCTTTGTATTGTCTTATTAAACCGGATCTTCACGATGCAACAAGGACTTGTCAAATAGATTCAAGCTAATATATAATGGATTTGTTTAACTAAAGGATTTGAAACCTTTGTAATGTCTAATTAAATCGGATTTTCATGATGTAACAAGGAATTGTCAAATGGATTCAAGCTAAAGAACTACAATGGTTTTTTTGTTGTGGTCATGGTTATAAGTTTCATTATTAAGCTGCCTTTCCCAAAGTCTGAAACTACTGTAACTGTAGTCACTAATACAAAGAGACATGATAAAAAGGTAAGCTAATTGGCAAACTCACATAACCTCCTTGATAATGATGGTAGTTTGGCTGTGGATCTAAATATGCTTTTTGCCCATGGTCCTGTCCATAATCAAAATTAGCACCAGTACCAACATGACCATATGATGGTGCATCAGGATTGAAAGGTCCAACACCACCATATGGGTTAGCTGAGGAACTACAAGATCCATATTCATAACCTGAAGTATCTCCTCCATATGGGCCTACTACTGAAGAGTCTTCATAAGGCCCTGTCACATTACTTTCAATGTCAGAACTTTGCATAGATTTTGAAGGATATGGCCCTGTTACAGATTCATCCCTCTTGTTCAACACTGGTTTGTGGATTGCAGAAGGGGTAGCAGATTTAGAGGTCACAGCTTTGGTAACAGCTGGCATCTGACTTTTTGAAATGCTTACAGCTTTAGCAGAAGTAATGTTCCTAGGTATGTGGTTTGAAAGATCTGATTCTTTGTCATTGGTACTTCTAGTCTTTTGGGAACTTTGTGATATAATTTTTTTACTATCTATACTGTTAGTCCTTTCATAACTGTCTGTCAAAATATTGCTAGCATTGCTTTCTTTTTCCCCAAATGAGAAAAAACTTTGCGCTGCTCCATCATCATCACTATCACTCTCGTTGTCTTTAACATTCTGTTTTTCAGTTTTTGAGTTCTGTTCTTCTTTCTTTTTAGACAAAGTATATGGCACAAGAAGTCTGCTAGGTTTTCTCTGGTTCAATTGAATTGTTGGAGCTTTGGTTGAAGATGGCCCGAGCTTTGGTTGTGGAAGACAGCCTAATAATCCACTTCCAATCTAAAAATTAAGAGCAGGGATTAGTTTAATTTAAAATTAAAAACATTTGATACCTGTATGACAGTTACTAAGTAAGCAATGAGCATATGAATAAAATTAAGCACTATGGTGAACAAAAACCAATGCAAAACAGTCTATATATCTAATGTAGGATAGTATTACCATTACAATCAAGAAATTCATTTCATTAAGAGAGATTAAGAGATATTTTTATATATTTCCAAATAGATCATATTAATACCTTCTTGTAATCAATTTTCTTGTTATTTTCTACTTCATCAACTAATAATAAGGACTAGTTTTTTTTATAAACGTGGTTTGATATTTTGTACTTATATGTTTGAATGGCACATTAGAATAATTGTATCTATATGTAGCTTTTAAAAAACCTGATTTAATTTTTTTAAAGTGAAAATGCCTGATTACATAAAATTTTTGATGTGAAAAAATATGATGCCCATGTTACCTACATCATTGTTGTTTGTTCATTGTTAGTAGCCTTGTATTGAGTAGGAGTTTACTTGGAAGTAGGCCTAAGTGCTAGAAGTGTGTGTCTTTTATTATTGCCTTATCTTTTCAGCCCATTTCCACTGTTTGTACAAAACTACAAAATCAAACTTGGAAAAAACATTATTTATATATACTGACTTTAATTATCCTTAAACCAGGGATGCTTTCTTCTCAATATTGCTAAGGTACTAGGGATTATTAAGTACAAAATTTCTTTAACTGAAAAATTCATATTCAGCAATGACTTATAGGCTCTTGTGCAACCAGCATGCTTTGCAACAATATTTTGAAAATTGGCCTAATTGCGTACGGCATGAAAATGCAAGACACAATCATTACTCAAGACAGCTGTTGCTATGCATGCCATTGGCACAAGAGCCTTTTAAGAGTGCCTAATGTTGAGTTAAAAAAATTACAATATCAAGTATTCTTACTTTTCCCGAAGACTTTATAGGTTTTCTTTTTGCACCCTCGTCATCTGAATCAGAATCATCCTAAAAACCAAATTACAACATTGTCAAATTAAAGATTGAAAAAATTCACAATTTCAAAGCAAATAAAATGCTTGGCATATATCAATGGCTACCATGATGTACTTGAATCAGCATAAGGGTTAACTGAATTCACACTGGGACTCTATTGATTAATTATCTATGTTTAAAGAAAACAATATTGAGTGCCTTCAAGCGTCTTCAAATTATTAAAATTTAATAAACTATAAATACAGTTAGGAGAAATACTATAATAGAAATATTATCTTGAGAATCGTTTTGTTTCGCACACTCAAAGAATATTATGAGTTGATCAAATTACAAATTTATTGGTGCAATTTTTTAAAGCAATGTTAAAAAAACCATTACAGCAATGGTTAAAAAAACTATCAGACATTTTTTCATGGTTTGGTTTCATTATGAGTGAGACCTCCTTTTCAGAGAATGAACCTAAAATTCAGAGGATAAGACTCCAGGTTCTGATTCAGCCATTTGAAAGGTCTTTGATCCTGTACCTAATGGATTTGATCCATACTTGCCAAAAAATACTAAAAATATTTTACAAAATGATACAAAGTTTACATTCTATTGTACTTTACTTCAGTTTACCAGTTCAAAATCCTTCTGTGTTACACTTCAGTCTGTAGAGTATGGCAGATGCACACAAAAGCTTCCAGACAAAAGCTTTTACTCTGCATGCCAAAATTTGATATTGCACGCAGAACTTACAATAGCATTATTATAAAATGTGTAAGAAGGAAGAACCGTAGGATAGGCTGTCCGCCAGATTCTGTGAATCTTGCAATGAGTGTTGTTATGAAAGATATACAGGAACAAAGCAATATGACGACGCAAATCCAATGTCACGAGATAAATTTAAGGATAATTTATTTTGAAAGTTTTATCTCATGACATTGGATTCTCTTTGTCGTATTGCTTTGTTCCTGTATATCTTTCATTATTATAAAAATCTTATAGATTCATAATAAAATCCTTGCACACCATATTATAGGTTATAAAGGGTTTGAACATTAAAAAACAAAAGATTTTGACAAATGCTGTAACTCTCTGCACATTTGAATACTTACATCTGGCAGACTTGGAAGAGCAATTTTTAGTTTTTGCTTGTCATCCACACGCTTTGGTTTTGGCAAATTCAGTTTTGCCGATGTTCCGTTATAAATTTCAGACTTTGATGTACTTCCATCTTTATTGACATGATCTAATGAGTCTACATTCTCCTTTACTCTTCCTAATTCGCTCCTTTTAAATGGAATATCGTCTTCCTCATCGATGGTGAAATCAACAGATCGTTTCTTTGGAGGGGGCAAGAATGAGAAAATTCCCTTCCTGGGTTTCTCAGCATTGCCCTCATTCTGTGAAAGTGGAGTTACATCTGCTGGCGATGTATTATCAGCCTTAACCCCTTTGTGCAGAACTTTTACAGGTCCGTTGCCTTTGGTTTCATCCTTAGAGTCTAACTTAGGCCCTTCATTTCTTGCATCTCGCACTTCCTCTAGCTCTTCCCCTTCGCTCTCTTCTCCACTGCTTTCATATGCAACAAGAGACATGTCTTTTCTAGATGATTCCAATCAAAGCCATAATTTTTGCTGATAACACCAAACAGCAACTCAGAAGACGATCAACAACGTTTCACACAAAGTGAGTCTGCCATTACATGAGACGGAGAAAGGTCTGGGACTAGCTAAGCGACATCTATTTTTCATTTTCAATTTTCATTTCATTTATTTTTTCATTTTTCATTTTCATTTCTCTTTGAAAATGACGAAATTCGGTTCAATTCAATTTGGAATTTCGAATTTGAATCTTAGGCGCAGAACGGCCTGGGACTAGCTAATCTATCTTTCATTTTCAATTTTCATTTCATTTATTTTTTCATTTTTCATTTTCATTTCTCTTAAAAATGACGAAATTCAGTTCAATTCAATTTGGAATTTCAAATTTGAATCTTAGACGCAGAACGGCCTGGGACTAGCTAATTCATCTTTAAATTTCAGTTTTCATTTCACTTATTTTTTCAATTTTCAACTTTCATTTCTCCTTAAAAATGACGAAATTCAGTTCAATTCAATTTGGAATTTCAAATTTGAATCTTAGACGCAGAACGGCCTGGGACTAGCTAATTCATCTTTAAATTTCAGTTTTCATTTCACTTATTTTTTCAATTTTCAACTTTCATTTCTCCTTAAAAATGACGAAATTCAGTTCAATTCAATTTGGAATTTCAAATTTGAATCTTAGACGCAGAACGGCCTGGGACTAGCTAATTCATATTTCAATTTCAGTTTTCATTTCACTTATTTTTTCATTTTTCAACTTTCATTTTTCTTTGAAAATGACGAAATTCAGTTCAATTCAATCCAACTCATCTTTGAAAATGACGAAATTCAGTTCAATTCAATCCAATTCAACTTTCATGTAACATATCCTAAAAATGTTACTTAATTTCTATAATATGTGACAATTTAATCCTCATACTACCTCAAGATCCCTTCTTGGTCAAGCAAGTCTCCGCCCACACTGCATTAAGAGGGGTAAAAAGTAAAACCAGTGGCGTAAAAATAGGGGGTGCGTGGGTGTGGGCAAAACCTCTAACAACAAAATTAAGAATTACTCCACTTTCTCGCAGGTTAACATCAGCTATTAAAAGAGGCTAATAAAATCTTTATTGCTTACTTGTTTTCTCTTTGACTTCTATCTTGCATGTGACGCACAATAAAAGGCCAGGAGGTCACGGCCCCCGCAAATATGACCAGGGGGTCTGGGATGACTGAACTTGCTCTAGTAAAACTAGTAGTGTTTCAAGTAAGGCGTCAAATTTTCTTAAGATAGGAAGAAGTGCTTTCAAGAAAGAGTGCTGAAAGGGAATAAGCAGACGGAGTTGAAATTTCCCTGTCTTTTAGCCAACTACAAGCACTACTTTGGTATATCTAAAATGTCAAGCAGATACGAAGGCATTCACATTATTTGAGGAAATTTTGCGTTTAAGAGATGCAAGGCTTGAGAAGATACTAGGCCAATTGTTGTAGCGGTTATAAGAGAAATATCTTACTTGTGAGTTTCACAGGTCTAATTCGACTTACCAAACTGAATTTATCTTATCTATCAGTTATTCTCTACTTTCTTGGCACAGCAATAACCACATAATTTTGCTCATTGTTATTCTTTTCTAGAAAATTATTATTTTTTATGGTCAGACAATTTCTACAAGACTCTTTCAGTTATCTTCATTGTAAGACTGTGGGAATGAGAATCTTTAATATCGTTTTCATTGGCTACTCAGAAAGTATGGAGGCTTGCTCACCCCTAACCGAATGTGACGACCAATAAAATATAAATGGATAGTAGGACCATTCTCTCTCAAGTACAGGAAGTTCAATTCTGATTTTCCGCAATTACAAGATATGATTTTGTTGACAATTGTAAATTAGCTCTCCCAACCCCACCATCTTTCACCCCTGTGTTTGTATCTAGAGCCATCACTACAATGGAGACGTACAAAAATAGAGACCTTTTATATAAATATTCTTCTAATTTTCAGCGTTTTACTAACTCAGAACTTCCATAAACAAGGATAAATTTTTGATCGAAAGAGGCTAACATTTCACAGCAATTACAACATGAATTACGTCTTTAATAACACGAATTACACTATCTATTCAGGCGATACTATACTCAAACACAAATCAGACTGTCGGGCACTTTGCACTTGAACTCATTCCGTTAGCCCTGAAAAAGAAACATTGAGTGATTAGAGAAACATAAGTATATTGAGTGATTTTAGGATTTAAAGTATATGAAAATATATGAAATAATAAAATATATCATATTTATATAGAAACAGTATATGAAAAAAGGATTGCAACAGCAAGTGATTTCAAATGAAACTAGATGGCTTACGAATGATAATGATTAAAGTGCCTGTGTTTTTGTATCGTAGTCAATGAGGGAAATCTAACAGGTCCAAGATTAGCGAAATTTCCAGAGAAAGTAGTGGCAGCGAGGATGAGATTTTTGAAGGTAGCGCTTACATTGTTAAAATAACGAGTTCCTCCCATGACGTCACAAGAGAACGGCGAATGATGATAAAGCGACTTGGCTAGGCCGCACTATTTTGCTTAATTTCAATATCAAAACGTTTTTATTTCAAAAAAAAGTTCAGATCTACTATAAGAGCAGTGCAACGCTTCAAATAAGAGAATAAAAAAAATCATGTCACAGGCACTTTAACGATGATAATATAATGTTAATGATAATGATAATGATAATGATATAATGAATACGAATGATAATGATTAACGATGGTTGATGATTTTGATCATGATGATGACGTATGCATGGTTTTTACAGTTGGCACAAAGGCAAACAGAATATCGTAGCATAGAGAAAAAAAGGTCTAAAAGTAATCTGCGGACGAAAAAGCGTGTATTTGTGTAGCTAAAAGCACTTATAGCTTGTAGATAAGTTGACATAAATACAAGGAAATTTGTCACGGCAAAAGTAGCTTGGTTTCCTAGAAGGGTAACTGTTGACTGAAAGCTGCGTCATCTCTATACATTCCGAACTTCTCACAGTTAGCGTACATGTATGGGAACAGTTTTAATTTTCATAACTGAATTATTGTATATAATATTGTAATATTTCAAAAATATTGTAAAAGAAAACAAAAAGCTGCGTGGATAGGGTGAGTCAGAAGGGGTTGGGTAACGTATTCTATCATGTTTAGATATATCATAACTATTTTTTTTAATTTTATTTTATGTTAGTTTTTCTTTTATTTTAGATGCGTGGCCCCTTGTAAACCAGCATTGCTGAATGGGCTACCATGCTTACATAATTCAAAATGAAATGAAACGGAATCTTTCATTGCTAATTGTGGAATTATCGGTGTAAATCCCACCAAAAGGTGAAGTACTCAGAACTGTGCAGCCAATTCCTAACTCAATGTGCAGGAAACATCCTCACCCAAAGAAGAAGTTATTCCTTATTAGACGCTATCCTGGGTACCAGAGCCACAAAGTTTCCAGCACGTAAACAGAATGCCAAACAGAAAAGCGGAGGAGTGGCTAGACGCTCCTCCGCTTTTCCACTCCTATCATCTGTTTGCTCTTGAATTTATGTGGCTCTGGTACCCTGGGTAATTAGACGCATACAATGGCAAATAATATTGGCTTGACATGAAAACCCTTCCGATTATGATCCAAATTCACCCCACAATGGCACCTCCCTATCATTTTAAGCCCAATTCGAAACCCCACGAGTTTCAGCAGAATAGCAAACTTGGCAAATTTTTTATGATAATTGGAGCCTAAAGTCGTTCCCACATAAGTGAACTGCCAATCTAAATTCTCCTTAAAAAACCCTGTAATGAGGGAAATTTGCTTATTAAATTTGCTTACCTATTAAATTTCATATGACTTTTAACAAGATGACCTGCAGCTAAAGCTGACAGCAAAGATAACTCGCCAGCAAGAACAGTTCCACAGACAATCTTCGCCAACGTACTAGCATTTTCACCGACGACATCGCCACAACCTCGTATTCCCATCATCTAGAAACAATGAGAGGCTAGAATATCACCACGTCTCAAAAGTGATATGACTGCAAATGACTGCCATTAAGGCAATTGTGACTCAGACAGACAAGGAATCATTAATCGAAAAAGGCAAGCAGATTTAGTGCCCAAATCAAGCCCACCAAGACATGGGCTCCGACACAGGTTGGAAAGTGGGGGGGGGGGGGGAGGGCAAAAGAACATAAAATTTTGAAATCACAAATTACAAAATTCGGAAGGAATGCTTATTGTTTAAAAATGTGGGGCATGGTCCCCAGCCCCATCTTTGTTCGGAGGACCTGCAACGATGGGCAAGGGGCATGTGCCAATGGCCCCGTAGCAACGGAAGGTGCCCGCTGGTAATTAAACAATGGTCTCTTTATAAAGTATAACTTCAGTAAAAAAGTTGTAATTTCATCTTATCCGTTAATTGGAAATTTGACAAATAGCTTTCGATATAAGTTAAAGTGAAGTATATCAGGCATTTTTATCAAGCTAAACATGTTACTTGTGTTTTTATTCTTTATGGTAAGAAAGAAACAACGGCAAACGGCATGCACATTATTAATTGAAGCCTTAATGCGCAGACTATTTGGATTTTGCGAAAGGATCCGGGGCGGTCCACCCGTCATCGATGTATGTCCTCATTGATTTGCCGGACGTACTGTGTTAAATACCTCCCTAACATACTGTATAACTATCATGTCTAGGGATGGATCTACCTTAGACAGGCTGCCTGGGCTGGGAGATTGTGCCTACTCCCACGGTGGGTGAGTTTCACAACTTCAATTGATGCGCATTGCTCAGTAATAATACAAGACAGCTCGCAATTTATAATTTTTATAAACAATTTAGAACGCATCGTGGATGTATAGCGTTAAGTAAGTGCCGTCTTCTTTTTAATATATAGTCGAAATTGGCCTCGCTGTAGGGACAGTCAAGGAAACATTCCTCTACATTTTCTTTGTGCTTTCGCTTGATAAAAAAGACGTTGCTTCGTTATGATTTTTCAACGCGTTGGCTAGGCCATAACACAAACACAGGGTATCAATGCACGCAACAAACATCTCTATTATAACAAATTCCCTTAACAATCATTAGCGATGTTATTTGCTTACTAATTAATAAGAGAATAAAAATATTTTAAGCTCCGAAAGACTAGGACGAAATCAAGTAGAATGGACGAGAAATACACCAAATCTTAATTCTTCCAGTTTCAAATATCTGAAAGAAAACTCTTCTATATTAAAGATAGACCAGCTACTGATTATGAGTGATAAGAAAGAATGCCCAAACACACTGAATAAGCAAAACGAACTAATTACCTAATATATAAATCTTCCTTTTTGTCTCCGTGTGGTTCTATTAATGTTATGCAATTGGAACTGACAACACACTGAGCAGGGTCCTAGAAAAAGACATGTTAACGTATAAATGGACTAAAATGTATCACAGAACGTCAATATAGACACAAATCTTTTCAAATCAAAACCCCTGCTTTATGGTAAAACTTGAAGAGAACCCAAGAATTGTGAAAAACACCCTACCTACAAGCACATATGTTTCTCAGTGGAGCTAGTTTATGCTTTGCTAGACTAAGTTTCAATTTTTAAACTCCTAAAACCTCTCCTAGTTAACATATTTTAGTCAGGGTACCCATGTTTTACGGAAACAACATACTCTAGCCATACCAAACTCGATCCAGCTAGCTCTCGGCTAGCATCGTGGGATATTTGTTCCTTTGCTCGTTGGGTGCAATTATACTCAAGCTTGTAGCTAAGTATACTTTTTTGAACGGGAATCATCAAAACATAAAAACTTGTTATATGATTGCTGCATTTAGCATGAAACTTAACTTAGCAACTTAGAACTTCAACTTTTTCAAATTGACAACATTAACTGAATGAATATCATCATATACCTCTAATACTGCAAAATCAGTTACATCAATACGATAAAAAGTGGTTGGCTGAGAAATGGCCAATGAAAGATGTGAAGTTTGTTAATGGATTACTGGCGTGGCTCATAGCGTGATAATTAGGACATATCTCAACCAATTTTATTGTTGATTTAATATGTATGTTTGGTAAATAATCGAATTAGACAAGTTATGGTACTGTAGCCTATGATTATATTCGATTTAAAATGAGATTACAAACAAACAATTTGTAACATATATAACTTATTTTGCACATTGCACATGATACTTTTATAGGTTATGTTGTTATGTTGTTAAAATTCAAAAATTCTTAAAAAAAAGACCTTTATAAAGTCACATCTTTGGAACTCTTTATGGCAATGAACCAGCTAACAGTAATCTTAATTGACGTAAACTTTAATCTAAAAGCATTTACATACCTGTCCAGTTGCTATGTAAATTGCAGCTACAATGTTGGCAGCATGCGCATTTTGGCCTCCTATACTTCCCGCCATTGCCGAGCCAACAAGATTCTTGCTTACGTTGACTGTTGATATCGATTCTACAGTTGTCTTTAGAACCTAAAACAAAAACAACCATAAACCCTTAAACATCTTGCCAATGTAAATACTTCTTTCTTTCCACCCAAGTTGGGCGCCACAAAACAAGAATAATAATTGATGGCCTAAATACAAGTTACCTACCTTTTTGACTACACTTCCCGGAATAACAGCTTCACAAACAACATATTTTCCTCTACCATCAATCCTAAGATAAAAACAAAATATTTAGAATCAATCCAATAACTTAGACAAAGTAACAATCAAAGGTCAACAAATTTTTGATAAAAAATGATACACCACCCACTTTTATCAAATAATGAACATGAATTATAAGATCTTGATACCATAAATCTGATAAGAAGTTTGCTTAAGTATCCAGTCTTAATACAAACAGACAGAAATTAATTTGATTAAAAAACGTAAACTTCACAAAGAAAACTAGGAGAACTGCCTTATATTTACGAAACCACTGAGAGCTTGAAACATGAAATATCCTCTTTTTCTATGATAAAATGGGCTGCAAATGCCACATTAAAGCAGTTCAGATCTTATTACTGTATGCCAACGGTTTAATGTCAAGTGAGAATATATTTTCTTGGATTTCACATGCCTGAAGAAAATTCCGTGGTGGGAAAAGATTAGAGAAAACTGAATATTCTTGAATATTCTCATAATCAGACATAACTCTGGGTAAAAACTGCGGATGGGTAGGAGACATAAATTTTAAAGTATAGCGAGTCCAGCACTTGGTCTTGACCCCACCAGCATGATGATGCCTCGCTACACTCACGGCCTTTAATGTTGCCCTTGGATACCCATTTGCTGCAGGGTGGATTGAGACGAGCGAGCAAATCACAACACCATAAGAAAGTTAATTAATATAAGTAGGACTTGATAAATCTGATTTTTGAGTTTTGTAGCCTCGAAGTATTTGCCCCAAGGTCATCTCGTAGAGGGCCGGTTTCTAGTCATACATACCAATTTATTGCTGATGGTTTTTTATCTGTGCAGTAATTGCCACTGACACTGATAATCTCCATGTTAGAGAACTTGATTTGCAAATACCGAAGCACATTGTCTGTTCCCTAAGACACCAAGATAAAATAATCATCAGAGGCAATTGATAGATACTACGAGAATAACCTTAACCATCTGTCAATCAAAATTGACCAATCAGAAAGCGTAATACAAATCACAAGTTCATTGATTGGCCAAGAGGTCACGTAAAGAGGATTTAAATCGTACCTTACATTGCAAGATGTTGAGCAACTTACAGTTACTTTAATATATGGGCCACATCAAAACAACGTCATAAATTTTATTTAGCGAAGTGTGGTAAAAACCGATATTTCAATGAAAATATTTATCATTTGAAGGTTAAGCGATGCTTAAAGAGAAGATTATGAATTCGACTTGGCCATGTTATTTTAATCAAATGGACGTTTCAAGACAAGTTTTTTTCATCTTTAGCTATATTAAAAATAAATGAATGACTTTAAAGAGTTCAGATACGATAATTTCAGAGCGAGAGAATCCAGCGACCGGCCTATTAGGCCTTTTTCTACTGGCTAAAATTTGTTACCTTGGAAACCATGTTCATCCCCATAGCGTCTCCACTGATTGCCCGAAAGCGCAGAAAGACCAAACGACCTGCCACAGTGCATTTTACCGATTTCAGTTCAGTGTACCTGTCAATAGAAAGAAAGGCTCGTTTACTCGAAAGAGGTTATTTCAGACCTACGTTTTTGAGGCAAACAATGAAAGACGTTACAGACGTAAAGTAAGATTAGGTCTTGTGGAAGCGTGTTGTAGTCTAGCTCTCAGATTACATAATCAATAGATCAACTGCTCACTAGAAATCCTTGGAAAACAAACAAGCGATTATTCTTCCAACTACGATTTGGGGTATAAACAACGTCTTACACAGTTACCTCTGTGTAATTCGAACTGTCAGGGGGATCATGGTCAAAAGTTTTTAAATTACTAAATGCTCGCGTTATACGAGTTGTTCAAAAAAACCAGGATTTTGCCTCAGTTTTCCTTACACCAGCTATATAAACCCTTAAAATTGCAACTTGTACGCCAGCTCATTTAATGAAATTCGCAGAAAGGTCGAACTGCAAGGGTTTTTTCCTGAGGGGACCGACAAAATTGGTCGAAATACGAACTTTTACTAACATAGAAGTTCGAATTTTAAAGAATTCAAGGCTTTTTTAAAGAGATTTTCAAAAGACATGATAATCTGGCTCCAATTAGCAAATTTTCAATGTATAATCAGTTAAAAGAACTCGTTCCTTTAGGGTATAAGCTAAAAATGTACCTTATATTGGGAACGTAACAAAAGTAATTGCTTTAAATCGTCAGCCACTTTTCGCTGAATACAGGCAAAAACTAGGAGCACATGCTGAAATATTTCCTGAGCTTTTTAAACCTGGAGGCAAAAACATTCCTATAATTTCTTGGTTCCGTTATATGTCATCATAGAGCCCTGAAACGACGATCCTTTCGCCACAATACGAAATAGTCATTTACAACTAACCTACCTACTACTGACGTTAAAAGCTTCTTCTACTCTTGAGTAATTTTCCGGCATATCCAGCCAGTGCTTGAGCTCGCTAAAATGACAGAGTAACAAATGTTCGATGACTTAATGTCAAAGGACGACAATACGTTTTTAATTTGACACAGAAAAGTTCGAGTCATAGCTCAATGATGAATCTTTATATCCAAAATCCAAAAGCGATCTATCTTTTCACTGAATTTTTAAAATTAGACCTGGATCAATTCTATTCAACAAGGTTTCGAGGCAGTTAGAAACAAATTCATGACGGGAGAAGGTTTGAGATACTGAAGATTAAAGAATCTGTATTTTCGCATTCAAGATTTCGTCGTGGAGACAATAAGGAATTGCTAGAAGGCCATTTGGAGAGCTGAAGCACCCAGCTTCCAAAAGCCCCGAAACCAAACTGGTCAGAATTTGGTCCATAAATACACGTTTTTTTCTGGGATGCAAGAGAATCATAGTCCGAGGTCTATTGCAAACTGTGCGACGAAAACTGCTGTTAAATTGTCAGTTAAATTGTCTTAACATTTTAAAGTTGACATCGAAAAAAAATTCACCTGGCCTCTTTTGCCGAATGAAATCGCACAACTGGTCCTCTGGTCATTCCATCTCCCAAAAGAAAACTGGAAACGCCTCCTGCACTCTTAAAAAGGACAAGAGAATATTGAATTGTATAGCTAATTAATAATGTAAAAGAAAGGATTAATAACAATTATAATAGTGGTGAAAGTTTAAAAATAAGACTTTGTGAAATTTGAACTATAATGTCATTTTTGCTCCTATGGCTAAGGCCGATGCCGAGGTGACTTTTGAAAACGAGGTTGCAACTTCTGAAGAACTTACTCGTAGGGCCGAACAGCCTCGGTTTGTGCTGGCAACCAAACAGCCTTCAGTTGTAGCCATTGGCACGTGGTATTGCTTTTTATCCAATAGCAATGGCCCAACAAAGCCGACTGGCACAGGGCAGAAGCCAATGACATTTTCGCAACAGACACCGTGGACCTGAGGTAGAAGAAAATGGCTTTCATCATTTCAAAAAATATATTTTTGGTTTAAAATTGTAGCTCAAACAGTCGGTTGGGATTGCTTTCCTTGCAAAAATGTGTAAAAATTCAAAATACTAAAATTAATCATTAGTCTAATATGACGAAATAAGAGAGAAATCGCTAATCTACCAAGGAACGTCAAAAATCAAGACTTACAGTAATAGCGGCAGGTAAACGTAAAGTTTACTTTTAAGGCAGCATGGAAAAGCGAAAACATAGGAAAAACTTCGGATAATGGCCAAAAGAAAGCCGAAATTTTGTTTAGATGCGGGTTGAAAGTAACGAGAGAGGAAAGTGATGCATTTTATTGCTTCCTTGTTTTTTTAACAATCGGCAACCGCTTAACTCATCGTTCAAATTGAATATCTTCCAAAAAAGAAAACCAATTCTTTTTTTCTACGCAATCGGGATCTTTGTTTTGATGTAGACAGAAAATGCTTATAATGCATTGATTTTACAATACCGTAAGTCAAAATTTGGATTAGCAAATTTGGAGAAATAACTTAGCTGTAGCAATACAGTCCCAATTTAGAATAGGAAGAGAATGCTCCTTGATATTGTTGTGTTAAAAACAATACCAGTTTAATATAGAGCGATTATGAATCTAGATCATGAACCTCACCTTCGAATAATCCATTGTTTCCCAAGGGAGGTTATTCAATGATGGCGCATTTCCACGCAAGCGTCTTCCAATGACCGTCCTCCTGTGCAACAAATACAGCAAAAAGGTTGTGAAAAATACATACAAACGTTATTTTACAAAAAAACGAAGCCACCGTTTAAATAAAGATTTTCGTGTCATTCTGTATAAGAACAGAGTTTAAGAGCATTTCCAATAGGCCTAAATAACGTTCTCAGAGCCTTCAAAGTCAACTAAGAATGGGTTCCCTCGTTTTTATGTCATTATTCATTGATAAGCATTTCATTAGGGAGCTGTCATTAAGTCTGGCTGGTAATGGGGTGGAAGCAAACTTACAAGGGCATGAAATTTTTTGAGGATAATTTGTAGGGGGATAGAAATTTTTGGAAAAAAAGTTGGGATATGAACCCAATTAAATTTTTGAAATATTATCTCAAATTGTTAGCAAAATCATTCACGTTCTAAAAAGATTCAAAATCACTGTGATTTGCATAAAAATCAAAAGTTGTCTTTGCAACTTCTTCAGATTTGGGTAGGAAAATTTGAGAATTGTGACAGCAACAGGAAAATCAACACTGATTGCGGACAAAAATTTCTAAAAAACAAAAGAAACTGTTCTTTGATAAGCAAGTTTACAATAATTTGAGAGCTATTGCGATTTTTCGCCTGAAAAAGGGTATTATTAAGAGATCATTGCTCAAACTTATATTCCTACATTCAACATTTTCTTGAAAAACTGGAAAATCAGGATATACGGTGAAAAGAGGGGGAAAGTTTCAGGAATTCTTTGAGCAACATAAACGCCCCATATTTCCTTGCTCTTTCTTGCATATAATGGGGCTTATTCTTTGGTTCGTATGTCATCGCTTTATCGTACGTTATATACTTACGTTTTTTTCTACAAAGTACAAAAGTATTTGATATCTCGTTTTTGTTTGACGTATTTACTAATTAATTAGTAATATTAAAATTGGAATTATTTAGTGGCATAAAGTAGAATTTAACGCTATTAAGTAGTAATAAGAATCTCGTACTTTGTGCTTAATGAGAATCATAACATAGATCTGGGAGCGTTTAGAGATATACACTAGTTTTCTATGGTACCATGAAATTCTTCGTATCTGATAGTATAGGAATTATCTTAAAATGGCTTTAAAAAGGGTTGAAACATACTTCAGCTTTACGTCTGACACTCTTCTGAGTATAAAAAGCCAAAATAATGATCGGAAAGTTAAGCTAGGAATAGTAAATACCAGGTTGTGGATCGAAATAGGCCAATCATAAACGCGACCACATGACTGTTGAGCTTGCCCAATTAGTGCCGCTTGCCTATTAAACATTACCAATGGATTCCAAGGATGGACATAATTTAGCGGTATTTCGCAACATTAGGTGTCATACAATTTGGCACTACAAGACGAACAGAAAACAAGTTGTCAAAGCCGAATACATACCTCAATTCAACGGCGCGGTCGAAAGATTTCAAGACAGTCTCTAAGCTGTGCATAGCGATTTGTTTTGACTCGATCAGAGAAACAATTTCATCATCTGATAAATGCTCAATGCCTTTCTGTTGAATAAAATCATTGACAAACAAACTAAAAAATTGATTTGGAAACAAATCATGAAAGTTTGAAAGAGGCAGTCTTCGAGCTCTGATCTATAAAAAAGAGTAGATCGAGCTCAAACTGATATTCAAAGATTGTGACCGAGTGCAACCATCCGAAAAGAGGGCCCCAGAACAGCCCATCCGAGGAGAGGGTCTTTACTATCGCTCCTAACAACGTTTTAATCTGTTTTGTTCTTTTTCTATCGCGACTCGAGAACAATTTTTCTATCTCTATATCATTCAAACATTGGTTTTTAGAAATGGCTTGCCGCTTTTTTTTGGAGTTCCTTTTTCTTTTGTAATTGAGCGGGTTTCAAACTTTGTTATTTTAAGACATTAGAAGCTCGATCCAGTCTTTTTATAGACCAGGGTCCACGACAAATTGATGACGATCGTAATATCAGACAAATCGACCAAACACATAATCGAGAAACAGAACATCAAAGAATCAAACGATCAGACTTATCAACACTCCAACCTACCTTTTCCATCATATTTAACTCCCTTGATGGAGGTTGCTGAGCCACTGCTGGGCTTTCTGTCACCGGCGTATTGCTACTCGATATTGTCCTTACTCTCCTTCCAGCAGCGGATGTCTCGATCGATTCCCTGAGTTCATGCAGCAGATATTTAAATGCAAAATTAGCAACCAGCGATAACGCGAAAAGCTGGAATGGAAAAAGAACCGAATATCAACATTTACGATAGCTTTTTTCATCAGGGGAAAGATTATGTTAAAATATACATTCTTCCAGCCGTCTTATGGGAATGAAATTTTGAATGATCAAAGGATAATATCCAGAGAAGCTCACATAATAAAAATCTCATGGGATCAGTAAAATGTCTTTTAATTTGTACTCGTCCAACTTGTGCATGGGAAAAATTTATTTGAAATTATAGTTTGACATATGCTAATTTTCGAGTAAATTAGCATATTTTAAAACAATTTTTAAGCGAGGCTCGGTTTCATACTTAGATAGAGATTGACTGTTGTCATAACAGCTGATATGAGATATGCCCGCGAGAAACTACCATTTTGTCAGCTTCCTTAAAAACCATGCCAAAAGTTAATCATCTTTGAAAATGCATTTGACTCCATACAAATAAAAACAACGAATGGTGGAAATTAGATGAAGAGAAACTATGGATGTTCATTTTGCAATTATTACATTCAGTGAATTCTAAAATTTGTCATTTCTCAGACCTGTCTGTCAGTTGTTATATCTAGAACCACGGGCATAATCTTAACATGACACCACTTTTGATTCAGCATTAAATACTTTAAGTTATCTTTCAACCCAGCTTCTTTTAACAAATTGATGGTTGAAAGCATGGCCTAATACATTTGTCATTAAATCTTATTAACGGTACTGGCTGTCTGGAAAATTATTGTCACTAAATTCGAAATTTACCTGTTCAAGCGAAAGCCAATGCAATCTGAAATCAAGAATTAAATTTTCATGAAAGGAAACAAAGGAAAAAATGCTAATGTAAAGAAAAAACGTGAGCAAAAATGCTAGTGTGGATGTCAAACAAGAAGAGGTCTAACTTCGGTGTTTGGGGAATTAAGCTTTTGTTTAAAATTACCTGCTGAAACTGTGTAGTCACCTGATTGGCTGGATTAAACAATAGGAAATTGTTACTTTTTCTAATCGGCAACGCAGGACTAACGTCTCAACGAATTAGAAAAAACAGCAGTTCTATTGGTTATGGAAACGCTACTCAAAGTTGCTCAAAATGCTTAAAACAGAAGGACATGTTATCACATCCAACCGAATGCTCTCAAATCCAAAGCAAAAGAAACACTTTGAATTTTAAATAGATCTCAAAATACTTACTTCTCACTAGATTCCCTGTTACGATGTACAACATGCCAAGAAAGATTAACCACATGAACGATGAATAGCCCAACACACTAGAAACAAAATATCAAATCACTTCTTACGAAATAATCCAGCATTCATCGGTAAATAATCGATACATTTTTTATCTGTTTTAAGCCGGAATAATCAAAGTTACAAATCAAAGAAACAAAATCATTTAGAAATCAACATTTACTTTATTTTACGATTATTGCATTAGGCGCAAACTCAAAGTTGCAACTAAGAACCATCTTGACCTACACACAAAAATGTCTACAGCTCCGCCTATAAGACATCGAGCACTTTATGACAGGCCATTAATACAGAAATTTTTATTTCTTCCGACGTAGTATTAGATTAAACAGACTAGCTTGGAGAGAAACAACGTATGCAAAAAGTCTACTGACAAATTTAGAAAACTGCATTTTTCTGCTGCAAAAAAATTAATCATTTCTTTAAAAATCCCTCCAGTTCTTGTATACTTTACAAATTATCAAACACGGAGCTAGTCGAAGCCTGGTGTGAGGATAAGGTAACCCTCCTGAACATGCAACTCATACTGAGAGAAAATGTGCGTGTGTGACGTGACCAAGGCAGGACTCAAACCCGTGACCAGCGTTTTTGCTCTACAAACTGTACTGTTTTGTCACGTTCTTAAAACAAAGCCCAAATCTCTGGAAATACAACTTACCATAATAAACCTAAGGTGATTTGCAAGAGGGTTGCTTCGATAACCAGTCGCCTCGTTTTCACTGCTGAGAAACCTCTTGTACGTTATCCTCTCATCTTGATTGGTCACCTCCGTGTTGTCCTTCTCAGAATCGGATGAATTTTCATTCAACTAAAAGTGATAAAAAAAATGGTTGCTTCGTTTACGAGAATTATAATTTGAATGTAGCTTAAGATAACATCGATTTATTTATCTGAAAATGGCTTTGAAAAAAAGCAAACATTTTATTTATAGCAAATTAGCTAAAAGCTTTTTCGTCGAGTATAAAATTTCAGAATAAGGTTCCAAAAAAACAAGATGGAAAATATATACCCAGTTGTGGTTCGAAATAGGTCAATCTAAAAAACGCGAGCACAAGACCGGTATAGTTGCCCAATCAGACCATGCACCTATAGAAAAATTACCACTGGAGTCCAAGATAGAAAATGAACTCCTTCTGTCAACGCAATAGCGGCGTTTTCGTTTGTATGTAGATCGATTTGAAAACTGCTAGATGAAAAGACGACCAGGCCAGGCTCGGCCAGTCATCTAATGTTTTATATTTGAGTAGTATCAGATGAACAAGCCTACATATACAGAAGTAACTGACTAGTATCGTACTGTATACACTTTCCAATGAGCATATCACTTCATGAAAAAGTGGCCCTTTGGTCTGTGATTGGTGATCAGCCTTGTGAAAGCAGGCAGAAACATGTAAGGAAAAATACTAAGCACTCACTTGGATAAAGATGCTAGTTACGGCTGGCAGCAAAATGAAAAATGATGTAATTGATGTGATGATAGCAAGACAAGCAAATGTACAGAGAACCTCCACTTCGGCAATACCTAAAGGCAAATATTAAATATTAATAATAATAATAATTACTTAAAGGCAAATATCAAGTTTTTTTTTAAACATCTCATTTTCATTGAATACATTTTAAATTTACAATTATACGACTCGCTTTTACAGGCATCATATAATTGGCTTATCTGCATTACAATATTTAAAAGTCAATTAGTTCGGGGCTTAGCCATGGTTTGTTTCGACGACAGAAGATATAGTAGGTGCAGCGGATAGAAATGTTCATGAGTTTCATCAAGATGGATTTAGTTTGATTTGAGTCAAAATTAAGTTGGTGTAGCATGTCAGAGAGAGAGGTAGATGAGGTTCCCAGAATGCCAAGGGCACTCATAGAAAGGTTAACAAAGGTAACACGTTTATAGGCAGGGCTCAGTTCCTTGATAAGGTCGCTATATTTCCTAGCTTTTCGTGTACTGTTTTCGTCGATGTTGCTTTCGAACCCAACAGTAAGCTCTAGCATGTAAAGGATTCGATCTTCAGTTACGAAGACAAGATCTGGTCGATAGGAGTCGCCTGTGATTAAAGAAGGTGATAGAAATGAAGGCAGGTCGGCGTAAAGTGAGCTGTTTCTAGGTGTTGAAAGGATTTTAGCCAAATATAGAAGTACAGAATCATGTCTCCAGGTATACCTACCATGTTCAAGATAATTCTTGCAGCTAGAGACTATGTGCTGTAATGATTCTGATTGGAGACAGAAAGAGCAGGCAGATGACTGAGTAATTGACCATTTGCAGAGGTTTTTTCTAGTGGCAAGAGTGTTGTTTAGGTATTTGATGGTAAAGTTGTAAATGTTTTTTGGTAACTTTTGCTGGACACTAGACCAAAGTTGATTAGTTCCCTTAGAAGCAAATTTTAAGATGCACGAGATAATAAATCCTTGAGATGTAAGAACGTTTTCAATGCGGTTTTCGTGTTCACTTTGGATGGATTTGAGAACTTGTTTGGTGTTGCGATAAACGTCATATTGTATGTTTGTACCAGTGCTAGAGTCTTTCCATAAAGAGCGAATCTCTTGGTTTGGGGACAGTCTTAAAGAGTTGCGGATAACTGTTTGGCATTGTAAGAACTTGGTAGATGGAAGAATGAGATTGATGCCAAACTTCGATTTTGGAATGACGAGGCTACTTAGTGAAGCACTTATTGGCAGCTCGAGCCATTGTCTAACAAAGCTTGAAACAACATTGTCTAGATTCTCTGTCACCCATGTCTTGCTTAAATCAGCGATGGTCAGGTTCCAGGAAATTTTAATAATAATAATAATAATAATAATAATTACTTTCTTTAATAATAAAAACAATTACTAACAACTAGGCCAATCATACCAACCATCAGTTGAACAAAATTATCGATAATTATAATAATCAAAACTAAATATAACCTAAATTTACAATCAAGTCTTTATACAATAAACAGTTGCATGGAAACTGATTTCCATCCCTTTTAAAATACTCTAGAGATCGGGATTCCTTTGTATATAATGGCAACTCTTGCCCCCAGGAAACCCAGAGCACCAGTCTGTAGGTGGAAGTGCTAGGTTTGTGTGAATAGATGTTTGCAACTGGCAAACAAAACAGTGTTGGAGCACGAATAATTTGCAGCAAAAATGTTCATAGTGACATTATCTAATGAAAATCAAGTCTGCTGAAGTCGTGTAATAGGTCATATAGTAGCAGCACTTGTTTCATGTGCATACAAACGGTATATAATTTTAGTCAGTAAACTAATTGCTAAAACTTTTTAACATTCTCTCCAGGTACTCAATATGTATAACCAGTTGCTAAATGCTAACAGCTGTAAACGTATTTAGAATCTAAGCTCTAGAAGCAGATTCCAAACAGTAAGATTGTTGATTTTGCAAGTTTGTTTGCTTGGAAATAACAAATTTAATGGGTTCGTGGTTAGAACTGGAGGATGACAAAGTTAACCATAGTATTTGTGATGGCAGAATTGAGCAGAATTGTTTACAGTGCATAAAGGAACTGCTTTTTTCCATGCTCAAGACCTAGAAACAACATCAGAACAAGGACAAAAGTTTGAAGCTAGAAAATATGTACCCAGTTGTGGATTGAGACAGGACAATCAGAAACTCAAGTACACGGCAGGTATTGTTATGATAACCTAATAAGTGCTGCATGCCTACAGAAAATATGACCATTGGACTCCTCATTCTGTCTATAAAATAGTATTTAAATGGACGAAACAAAAACCAGAGTGAAAACAACCTCATTCTGTCTATAAAATAGTATTTAAATAGATGAAACAAAAACCGAAGTCTGTTAATTATTCAAAACATGTTGCCATTATAGTTTTCAGTACAATAGAATTATTCACTGAAAATATTTTGACATCGTATTCCACCCATAAAATTTTGTGCAGAACAGCAATTTATGAGCAGAATAAGTTCTAAAGCAGAATAAGTTCTGTTAACAATGTTTGACACTGATTTAAATTAGTATGATTTGCTACATTTTAGTGTTCTTACAACTTTACCCTACGAATTAACTTTTAGCTAACATAGATGTAAAAATTCAGTAGAAGATAAGCTTTTATAATTTTTATGTTGTAGATAATTATATTTCTCAGTTGACAAGATACAACCAGTTGCTTCTAAATGATATTTCTTGTTTTGATATGAAGACATAAAAAGTACCTGATGAAAGACCAAAGCCAAGAACCAACCCCTCTAAAGATGACTCTGATAACAGTGACAATCCATAATGGGAAAAAGTTTCAGCAATCCTTGCATCTGAAACCTAGAAAAACATGTTCTGTATCAATGAACAAAAGTAATTTATGAATGACTTAAGTGTGCCTGCTCTTTTTTACAGTATAGAGTTCTAAAGTGTGACGTCACCAAAAACCTATTTCTATAATTTTTGAATTTTAACCACATAGCATAAAAGATCACCATGAGATACTTCAAAATATGCAAAATTAGTCAAAAATGTCTAAAATCAGTTGAGATATTATCAATGAAAGATTTGAAGTTTTCTAATCGCTCTGTTCATCAAGTTATGAACAGAGACCAAAATACAGAGGTTTGGTATTTCATGATGCTCATTCAGGCTATGGAATCCAAATTCAAAAATTCTAAAAATATATTTTTGTGACGTCATCACTTTAGAACTCTTCACAGTCAACATACATCATAAAAAATGAGTGATTATAATGTAGAACTTGATGAGTGATCATCAGCAAATAACAGGCTAGGCCTTTTCTTTGTTGTATGTAAACAATGGAGAGGCCACCATAGCAAACTGCTTGGTGGACTCCAGTGAGATACTTTCAGCAAAAAGTTGATAACACATAAAAAATATGGAACACCTTAATGCATCAAGAATAAACCACATTGAACATTGTCAAATAAATTAAAGAAAGAAAATAAAACTTTTCTTTGTTGGCAATGAAAAAAAAATTTCAACATATAATTAAGATTACCATCTCATTTTGGCCCCTTTGCATTTGTTTGTTATAAATTAACTCAAGCTATATAACAGCTGCTTTTAACCAGTAATGGGAATTTCTTTGTTCTATCAAAAAGTGAGCATACTCAAATGAATTTGTCATAAACATTATCAAATTACATCACTTAGATTAAAACAAAATGTAAAGTTGTTAAAAACAGCTCAATTGTTGACACGTTCTAGTACAAACTGCTCACATGAAATCATCAATTGTCAACAAAGAAACTCTTGGTTGATGGTCTTCTTAAATTTAAATGGTTTTATCAAGCAATGAAAACACTGCAAATCAAAAATTGTTAGCTTTCTTCTAAGTTTGCTTGAAAACAGCATAAACCATCCAAAATATCACATGCAAATTCTCATTAACAACCCTTATTGGTTAACAATTTTAGCTTATCCAGGCCCCTGGGTCAAGCCATAGTTGTATCTGTTGCATGTCTTTAAACTGATATCCAAATACAATCTTGTGCAATCCAAAATGAAAAAAGGCTCTAGAATCAACAATTAAAAAACTCATACCTTATCAAAATAAAATTTCCCAGCTACACTTGAAACAACTTTGCTACATCTGTTCCAATCCATAAGAAACAAAAATGTAGGGATCGCAAACCTATGAAGTCAAAAGTGAAATGAAATCAAACTATCAAGGCAAAGCATTGTGATTTTTTCTTTGTCTGGGTTGAAATTATTAAATGCAAAGAGCCTCCAAAGATCTATAAAATCAAATTTTAACACTAAATGCATTACCCATGTCATATTCAACATGAGGCATCAATCCTTTGCTACTTTGCAACATACAAATCTATGCAAAGTGGCTAACAACATTTTTCAATGAAGATCTTGAAAATTCTTATGAATTTTTGTGACCAACTAAAAGGAGTAAACCAGTTTGCTTTTTACAAAAATAATGTTTTTGTTCTGATATATTGGGCTTGATCATGCTACAAAATTCTAGAAGATGGCAAAACTTTGCTGAGAAAGGTAATAAGAAAAATAGGATCATAAATTTATGTTAGATTTTAAGTCTCCTTGATGAACAATAAAACAGTGAACTTCAAACTATGGAAAAATCAAAATGTATTGTACAAAAATATACTCATCAACAGCTGTAAATTAAATTCAATGATTTTTAATCAAGCATTTTTTTAATCCAAAAAATTTTGCAGAACCATGAATAAAATATCCAGGCCACTTAAGGTCATTATAATTGAGTCAACCTTGATGGGCTACATGTATTCCAACATTGTACCCAATGTTGACCAGTGAAGTTGGGACCGGATGTTGACATGTTCTCAACATGTTGCCCATGCGTTGTTCCTCAGGAATGTTTGCTCTTGGCAACACTGTTGAAGGAACACTGTCTGCAAACATTTCACCCACAAATGTTGCCTCGTGGCAATGATAATTAAAGGCATTTGACACAGGTAAAAGTGACTTACCGCTGCTCGACCACAAGCAGTTGACCAATTTCGCACAGAGAAAAACATGTGAACAGTTTCTATCTTTCTGCAAATCAGTGAAATCCTAGAGCAGCGCGCAGTGGTTTCCATGAGCAGTTTCCAATTCCATTCTTGGGCGCATGCTCTGATCAATTTGGCCTAAGTTATTTTTGGATTTGCTGTACTTATGCATGTCAAAGGCCTTTAAGAGAAAGCTGTCTGCTAGATAAAAAGAAACACCAAAACACTGTAAATCTTACCTATATATGATAAGGAAATCAGGCCTCCTGGTACACAGAAATGACAATGACAGAAAAGTAACCACTGACAAGATGCCATGAACGGATAAAATAGCTAAAAGTAAAAAAACAAAAATGAATGTTTACAAGGAGCTGTTTTTCTAGTAGGTCTGCTTATAAAATACAATCTAATCTCATAAAATTCTTTTGTGAAAGAAGAAAGGTGGCAAAATATTCCAAAAAGTTGGTTAAAACTTAATGATCTAATTTGTTTGAGCCTTTTGATCATTTTCTAAGGAAAGGGTTTAAATAATTAGGGACCTAAAAAACCATAAATTAGAGAAGCAAAAACTGAACTAGAAGACCACAAAGAGACCAGAGTTATAAACTTATGTAAAATATTGTGATTAGTTATAAATTTAATTAATTACTTACATTTAATAGTTAAAATTTAGATATAAAGAGTCTGATATGTTACAAACAACAATTAAAGTTCCAACAATTGGTTCAACTTAGTGTCAAATGCACTAGAGCTCCTTATACTGAGATCATGCTTCTCATATGCCAGTTTTGGAGAGGGGGGCTTATCAATATTTCAATGTGAAAATGTTATAAAAATGCCACTATGCATTTTTTGTTATGAAAATGTCATACAAATGTTCGCAAAAACTTTGCTAGCAGCTTCGGAAGTTTCTGAAAATCAATAAATTATAATGTCCCTATCTTCCTCAGAGTCACCAGGATCAATTGATATCCCCTGGGACATTTCTAAACAAATTTTGACTGACTTCTAAGGCACAGAAGTATATATCTATATGGGCCATATTACATGCACACAATCATATCGTTATCACACCCGTTGAGAGACCCACTCAATGCACATGACTTCTTTGTTTTTATATCAGGGGCTTAATAAAGAAGGGGCTTATTTTAAATTTTTGCTTGATAAGAGGTTGGCTTAAAAGAGAGGGGGGTATTTAAGTTAGACAAAATCAAAATAATGAACTAAAAAAACGAAATTAACTTCAAGAATTGTTACTCTAATCAAAGAGTCATCTAAGTTTGCCATAGAACAAACGAAGGGGCACATTAGCATTTACTTCAAAGTACACAAGGAGCCCAAGAGAATTGAATCAGATTAGAGATTAATATCAATTCACATATCCCATACCTATCACTTGTTTGGAACAAAGTGTCCTTCTGAGTGTCCTTTGAATCTGGATAAATGCATGTGTCATAATGATACCATATGTGAATACACTATAAAGGACATTCTGATATATTGGGAACTCCTGCAAAAAAATAGGAAAGTTATAATATAACATAATGGCTACTAGTTGAAGTAATAATATTGTTATGAATTGGGAAGTTTCAGGCACATATGAATCCTTCCTTTAGTTCTCAAGAGGTCAGGCTCAAAGTTTTGTTACAAGCACTGCGTGTGTTACCAAGAAGCTGATTAATACACATTAATAAGACATAGCTAGATTTTCAAGATATTGCTTTGATATAAAAACTAGGACATATTGCAAAATTGAAACCATAGAACTGTTCCTTTGAAAACTTATAACTATCTCAGTCTTTTCCATATACAAAGAAAGTTGTGTCATCTGTCTGCATCTAACAGGGTTTCATTAGAAGCTGGCAACCAGCAATGTCCGCCACTTGATCACCAAACCTTCCCTGCCTACTTCCATCCTCACTTTAATAAGACTATACAAACTTTAGTAAACTAATAGATGCCTACTTTTAAATGTGAGCCTTTATGAAAACCCCTGTTATATAAAATTATAACATTTTGACAAAATATAACTTGGTAAAATTATTTTAACATAACATCATGTTCAGTAAGTAATCATATACAAAAATACATTTAAATGGTATACAGATTCGAAAATACATACAGTACCCTTCCAAATAATTACCATATATTACCATAAGTTACATATAATACCATACCAAAATGTGCATAAGCTCAAGTCAAAAATACATAAAATGAATAAAGGATTATAGGCCTATCTAGATATCTTATGCTATTATCATTCATGATCAGCTTCTGAATTTAATACACAACAAGACAAATAATCCTACAGCTGAAATCTGAATCTTTAAGATCCTGAAAGTCCTAAAAAGTTAATCTTGTATCTCTGCGTTGTTTTTAATCTAAAAATATCAACCAACTTGAAGCTCAGCACGAAGGACACTGTCTGTCAACTTCATCATGACAAACAAAGTTCTATTTATCATAAATGTAATTAATATGATAAAATCTTTCTATTTTCAAAGTACTCAAAAACAAATCATCATCACTGTATACGTACAATTACCTTCAGACAGTTCTGGTTTAATCTACGAACGACGCCATTATATAACGTTAGCCCTTCTCAAAACTTACCTTTCCAATGCTCCCATCAGTGGAATTTTCAAAGCCTGGTAACCCTCCTTTAATAGAAAAACATCCTATACTGACTGAAACGTACAAAAGCAAACATTCTAAAGGATAATTCATAAGATTCTTCACAAAACGAAAGGTGTTTCTGCTACAGACGTCCTCCATGTTGTTGCATCTTGTGTAACGAATTGCAAACGAGGCGGTTTTGTGAGTTGGGAACACAACAGCGAGGTCGTGATTACGTCATACTTCTAAAACAAGGGGAATCCTTGACATCTCAGATAAACTACATTATTTTGACAGTAAAAACTAGACTATGAGCTAAAAAACACGAAATCGGCATTATTATATGTCTATGAACCAACAATTTCTTGAAATCCCAAATCCTTTGAAGCTTATCTTTGAATCTTACTGATTGGAATTCTTACTGAGAAGGCTGCCGGAGGGCAGCGAAAGTTCTAAGACCAAGTTGTGATCGTGTATTTGTGTTTTTAATTATGGTTTATAAACACATTAAAGTTATCAAGTTACCGAAATATAATTTGTCATACAACACACGGGAACTCATAAAATAATTGGCCCAAAAAGCCAGTGGCCGAAAACAGGTTTTTTATCAGTATTCTAAAACTGCTTACATATTTTGGTGTGTCAGTTAACCCCTGTATCGAAAAGGTTTCGTTTCTAAAAGCCTCGGGGGCATAGCCCCAACTTCTTCCAAATGTTTCCTCCAATATCAGTTGTTGCATGGCTCCATACATCATTGGAAAGGGGCGAGGAAAACCATTTGGCCTACAACAAATTTTGAGAAAAAGCTCTATTGTTTTGCAAAAAATGGGGGGCCATGGGCCCCGGCCCCCCTTTGTCGCATTCGACAAATGCTTTTTAGAGAAACTCTTCAAACCAAACTAAATGGCTTTTCCAATAAATTCTACCTGTGGGTCCATTCTCGCATTCCTTATCCTTATGACCAACCCCTGATTCACCATTGCTTACAAAATCAATGATATTCAGTCATTGCTTATTTTCGTTGCAGCATAGATATGAACAACGTACAAAAATCTTCTGCATATCCGTTTGTATTCATGAGAATGTAAATTCAATTAAATATACGTCAACGTATTTCAATTCACAACAAATCGAGCAATAAAAATAACAAATTTCTCTTAATTGAAAAATTACATTGGAAAACTTCAAAAAAAAATATATTTCAGATTAATTGAAGATTCAAATTCATGAAAATGATAAAAAATTGATAAATTGTTTATTCAATAGGTACACTTGTTAAGAAGTAGCCAACAAAAAATCGTACGAGTCCTTAAAAACCTTGATCATGTGGTCGTGCATTCAGGAGCACATGGTAGTGCAGTCACGTGGTCAAGCGGTCAAGCGGTCACGTGGTCACGTGGTCAAGTGGTCACGTGGCAAATAGCTTTCAAAACAGTTTGATTAAAAACACTGTGCATTGAACAGACAGAACTTATATTGCTGCAATCAAACGAACATTTTTGTTTAAACTTAGGTAAATTTCCAGGGGTACTAATGGTTTCTTTATGCCAGCAAAAACTTTATTTGGGGTTTGATTCGCTTTCATGAGTGATCTTGAAAAACTAGCACTAAAATGCGACTCAAAATCTAATAGAATGTTCTAACAGTCCATTTCGAAATACTTTTGCAAATTATCTGCATCTTTTGAAGTGTCTTTCTCTACTTTTTCTAGATCATCGTTCTTCTTCGCAGACGCCTGGGTCTCAATGACGTCATCCTGGCTTTGCTCTTGGACATCCTGTTGGTATTGGTTCATGTCCATATACACGTCCTCTTCGATACAGTTTTCATTCTGTAAATCATTGAGCTCATCTCTAGTATTTTCTTTTTCGTCTTCGTCTTTTTCTTGTTCAACGATTGTCGTCTCCTCACTCTTGCTAGAGGCATCGCCACTCTTTCTCCTGCGGTTAACTTTAGCGTATTCTGGATTACTGGCATTCGCAGAATCATTTGCTGTTTCTGCATCATTTTTGTCGGGTTCTTCATCTTTTTCTTTTCCCAACTTTTTCTTTATATCTTCGATCCATTTCTCGTCGATCTTTGAGTAGCGAGGATCGTTCAGCTCGGAAGACATCGAATCTTCAGATGCAGAGGAAGATGAAGATTGAGAAATGGCGTCTCCATCGAACACCATAGACCGTCGAAGACTGCCACTGCGTTTGACTTCTTCCATGTCACCTTGAAAACGAATTGAATAAATTGACTAAAATGCGCTAATAAAATTACCATTTGATTTAGTATCGTTCAAGACAACTTGGTTTATGAACTTTTCAGCAATATGGTGCCCTGTCTCTGTCCTAGAAGATCGTAGTCTTTAGGCTAGCTATTGCACCGGTATCAAACATTTATCAACATACCAACCAGTACATAGCCAGTTTGTACCACTATGACAGCACTAAGTGCAAGCTCAGTCGTTAGAGCCGCTGAATAGAGGGGATCCATGATTCGAACCTCGGACATGACCAGACTTTCTTGCAGAGTGAGGAGAGTCGCCAGCTCTCTGTAATTTCGTGTGTAAGAATCACGAGGAGTGGTCACATCGAGTGGAAAGACGAGGACACTACTCGATAAGCATAGCTTTTCAGTGTCCTAAAACTCCCTTTGGAAGCTAGGTAGCAAACAATACAATACTATGGCACCACTATAAACAACTATAGCATCAGTAGCCACAGCTAAAGCACCTTAGCACCAGTATCAGCAACTATAGCTCCAGTATCTACCGTTATAGCATCAGTATCAACAGCTTTGGTGCCAGTATCAACAACTATAGAATCAGTAGCCACAGCTAACGCACCTTAGCACCAGTATCAACAACTATAGCTCCATTATCTAACGTTATAGCATCAGTATCAACAGCTTTGGTGCCAGTATCAACAACTATAGAATCATTAGCCACAGCTACAGCACCTTAGCACCAGTATCAACAACTATAGCTCCATTATCTAACGTTATAGCATCAGTATCAACAGCTTTGGTGCCAGTATCAACAGCTATAGCATCAGTAGCCACAGCTATAGCACCTTAGCATCAGTATCAGCAATTGCTCCAGTATCTACCGTTATAGCATCGGTATCAACAGCTTTGGTGCCAGTATCAACAACTATAGAATCATTAGCCACAGCTACAGCACCTTAGCACCAGTATCAACAACTATAGCTCCAGTATCTAACGTTATAGCATCAGTATCAGCAGCTTTGGTGCCAGTATCAACAACTATAGCATCAGTAGCCACAGCTACAGCACCTTAGCACCAGTATCAACAACTATAGCTCCAGTATCTAACGTTATGGCACCAGTATCAGCAGCTTTGGTGCCAGTATCAACAACTATAGAATCATTAGCCACAGCTACAGCACCTTAGCACCAGTATCAACAACTATAGCTCCAGTATCTAACGTTATAGCACCAGTATCAGCAGTTTTGGTGCCAGTATCAACAACTATAGCATCAGCAGCCACAGCTAAAGCACCTTAGCACCAGTATCAACAACTATAGCTCCAGTATCTAACGTTATAGCATCAGTATCAGCAGCTTTGGTGCCAGTATCAACAACTATAGCATCAGTAGCTACAGCTACAGCACCTTAGCACCAGTATCAACAACTATAGCTCCAGTATCTAACGTTATGGCACCAGTATCAGCAGCTTTGGTGCCAGTATCAACAACTATAGCATCAGTAGCCACAGCTATAGCACCTTAGCACCAGTATCAACAACTATAGCTCCAGTATCTAACGTTATAGCACCAGTATCAGCAGTTTTGGTGCCAGTATCAACAACTATAGAATCATTAGCCACAGCTACAGCACCTTAGCACCAGTATCAACAACTATAGCTCCAGTATCTAACGTTATAGCATCAGTATCAGCAGTTTTGGTGCCAGTATCAACAACTATAGCATCAGCAGCCACAGCTAAAGCACCTTAGCACCAGTATCAACAACTATAGCTCCAGTATCTAACGTTATAGCATCAGTATCAGCAGCTTTGGTGCCAGTATCAACAACTATAGAATCATTAGCCACAGCTACAGCACCTTAGCACCAGTATCAACAACTATAGCTCCAGTATCTAACGTTATAGCATCAGTATCAGCAGCTTTGGTGCCAGTATCAACAACTATAGAATCAGTAGCCACAGCTACAGCACCTTAGCACCAGTATCAACAACTATAGC